TATGGCAAGGCCTAGATTATAATTGGCCAACACAAATTCAGAAGTTTTCTCTATTCTCATTATCACCCTCCTAATTGTTTATGGTAGTTTAATAACCAGGCAAGTTTTTTAAAACATATAATCAGTTGACTACATGTAGCTGGGCCGTCAATCAACAGGCAGAGTGCACATCGTATTTGGTATTTGAGGAAACACTGGCTTTGATATTAAAATAAATAACACAACTATTGAAGATCAAATAAAATATGGGTTGGTAATGAATTTAAAAGATATTAATATACGTTTATGTGGAGTGCACAGGTCTGGAAACTCCTTAAACATTATATGTATGCGGTTTTCCTCCTCACTTTTCTCAGTACTCTGTGTTTTGTCAAACCCTTTGTCCTGTTAAGTTAACTAGACTTCTGTGACCTCGATATCCTCGGCATTTTAATTAAATATTATATATAAGAATTGCTGGTTTCTAAGATTTGCCGGCATCTAAGAATTGCCGGCAAATCAAACACAACTTGTGGTTACTTTTTGCCGGCATCTAAGAATTGCCGGCAAATCAAACACAACTCGTGGTTACTTTTTGTCCGGCCCAAATCGGCCATCGTAGAAATCCGAGTTGGTCTTACAAGAATCTTATGACAGAAAACATTAACTTCAGCTGGGGTTTACTTACCTGATTACCGTTATCTGCCTTTCCGGTCAGGTGATGTACATTGACACTTCCTGGTTCTACATTGATCATGAGGAGGGGATCCAATTTTTCATTTTACGATACAATAAAGCTAGGAATATAACAATAATGACATTATTGATAAAAAAGTACCCAACAGTATCACCTTAACCAATGGTTATAAAACAAACAAAAACAAATATTGATAAATCAAACCTACCAATATATTTATATAGTTTTAATAGACTGTTATCTAGCATAGAAATAAGGTAGAAAATGGATTGTCAAATGTATTTTATCATACTGAAAAATTAAAAATACCTTCTCAAAATAGACAAAACCTGCTCTTTTTAATTAATCATTTTTTGATAGATAAAATGTATAAACTTATTTATATATAATATCTGATAACTCGATCTGTGGCCTAATCCCTTCACCCAGGGATTATAAAATTCACTGCTTTGGTAGAGGGCTAACCTTACAATCAAGATATCTGGGAGTCTTAACTCGAATCTGTGGTTACTGAAAGGAATTCCCCAAATTAAAACCACCGACTATAGAAGTCCAGGGTTTCAAATGCATGGGACAAGCAAAAGTTACAATTTAAAAATATCCTGCAAAAAGAGTAGGAAAATGTATTTAAAAAAGCATTTGATGAAGTCCTGAAGATAGGAGCAGTGAACCACATACATGTAGAAGGAATTACTTTTGATGAGATGAAACAAAGTAAGTGTCAGTTATAAACACATACATGTAGAAGGATGAAACAAAGTAAACAAGACGTGTCAGTTATAAACACATACATGTAGAAGGAATTACTTGTGATGAGATGAAACAAAGTAAACAAGACGTGTCAGTTATGAGCCGAACAAGGGGGTGGGGGGGGGGGGTTAGATTAATAAACAAAAGTCTCTTTATACTCGCTTTTTTCTAAAGAACCTTGATCTGTCCATCACACTTTCTTCTTCCTCAGACTCCTCTTACATTTTAAGTGGTAGCCAGTTCATCTTTTGAAATATGATTTATCATCATTGCTGGTGTCCTGTAGATGACTAGATGTGCAATAAGATTTGGGAATTTTCATTTTTACCCTTTGGGCCCTTTGTGGATAGAAAACGACGTTTCTACAAAAAAAAAACATGGTTTGCAGAATCCCTCTTAAATTTTTTGAAGTGGAGAAGTTATATTTTGGAATATGATTGGTGATGTCTTGGAAATATACAATAGGGTTTCAGATTTTCATTTTTGCCCTTTATGTCAACTGGGGAACGAAAAAAAGACATTATTCTACAAAATCCTGGTTCCCAGAACCCCTCTTTCATATTACACAGCAGTCAATTCATCTTTTGGAATATGACTGTTGGTGTCCTGTAGATGTGCAATAATATTTGGGACTTTTCATTTTCCTAGGGGAGGTTAAATGAGGGGGCAAAAAAATTATTCTTTAAAAAAACATATTCCGAGAATCCTCTTGATTTTATGCAGTATAGCCAATGCAACTTTTAAATCATAACCATTGGTGTCTTCTGTCTTGGCCACATGCTCATCTGAGCATTTTAATGTTCAATTTTTTTTTTGAAAATTAAGGAATAACTCATTAGTTACTCAGATACAAAGAAGAATAATTTCAGAGGCAAACATTAACTGGCGGGTATCAATTGTCATATGACAACATCTAGTTTAACCATTGCGCTAGATTTATGTTCTTCCTTGTTCAGTTTCCAGCACTCACTCAGCTTGTAAAGTTTGTTGTTTAATTATTCCATTTTAACTTTTTTCAACATTTGTGTGCACTTCATTGAGACTAATGAGAAAAGGTGGAGATAACGAATAGTGATCAAACTCATAAATGCAGCAAAGACTACGAATCCTGAACAGGGCAAAAAACAAGGATCCCTGGAAATACCAGAGATAAAATTCAGTGTGTAGAAGGGGTAAGCATTCCCTGTCGATCGGTCACACCCGCCGTGAGTCCTCTGTATTGATCAGGTTAATGAAGTAAACTGTAGTCAAAATAATCGGGTGCCTAGGAGGGTTGAGCTTCCCCTGTCGACCGGTCACACCCGCCGTGATTCCTCTGTAATGATCAGGTGAACAGAGTAATCTGTGATCAAATTAACCATTGGTGGGAAACATGTCAGTCAAATTACGACCAAACGAAACGTAGTATTGGCAAACTAGGTCATTATAACGACTATAGAATTTGAGAAATGTTGACTTTGAACGAGAGTTGAAATCCAAAAACATCAACTTATTTGTCAGTGGCCTGTCTCGGTTTTTTTTTTAAAAAAAAAGATCGTATTCAGAACATGCTCCTGTGTATTGAATCATATGGGAGACATAAACACCATATGCAGAAGATAGTTGCATGTTACTATGTAAATAGGGAAAGCTGACATTGGAAAGGCTGAAGTCATCCCGTTTGTCGGATAGTTTAATTGTTAGTTTGCCGTTATCGTATATACTCAGTGTAACATCCATGTGGCAGTCTCTGTGCTGTCTTTTATTTCGAGTTCATTGAGATATGTCAAATTGAGATTTGAATGAAAATAACTATTGTTATTTGATACAACGTCGTCGATATATCGAAATGTTGAATTGAAAGCTATAAGATGGGTTTTCTTCTATGTAGAAGGTTTTTTAAATAAATTTTGCTTCAAAGGAATATAGATCGTTGGAAAAACTGGTTTCCAAAAACTAGATACTTTCAATGAGGAACTCCAGCATCTTTTTAATATCAATTTCACAATACTTGTATGTTTAATCCGAATTATTTTTACAAAATGATTTTGTATATGACCAGTCACAAGATATGAAAATTTATGAGTTCCATTTTTATTGAACAATCACTTATCTATGATGTAAAAAAAGCCAGGGGTCTGTTTTACAAAAGAACTTATGACTAAGACCAAAATTCAATTCTACTTAGAACAGGACATTTTTATGTTGGCAATTTCAAACAAAATCATTAATTTTGAAAAATTTTACAATCAACTAAATTTGTTGGTCTTGGTTGTAAGTTCTTTTGTAAAACGGGCCCCTGATCTTTAATTTATTGTGAGGAATGTTTGTATAAGTCTGGAAAAATCAAACGTTCTGATGAAATTGAAAATGTTGTGATTTTAAATTTTCCAAAAAGATCTTTGGAGTTTTTGAGAATCTACATTTGATTTACACCACTTTTTCCATGTGTTGTAGCAGTATGTCTGAAATTTCTCCTTCACAGCAGTTAATATGATGTTGAGGAGTAAGGATAAGGGTTTAATATTATATAACTTATGCTTTGCTCTATGTCTTCTTCAACATCTTGAATTTCCTGAGCATTCTTTAACCTAATACTATTTACAGTAATATATCTCTTGGATTGTGAGACCTGTGGCATCATTTTAGTTTTTCTCTGATCTTAAGAAATGAAACCCATGCATGTACCTAAGCAAGGAAAAGAAGTCCTGATAAGATCTATACAATGTTCTACATCTCTTAATATTGAAAGTATTCATCTATAAATTAGCATGCAGACACCAAAATAAGCAAAACTGACAAATACTGTATAATACATAATAGAACACATTTGCAGATACTTAATAAAGTTTCTCAGTTATTATATAGATATTTTGTTAACTTAAACCAAGAACAATACATAAAAATAAGAATTCTTTGTCACAACATTCATATCTTACTTCAAAATATTTGAAAATCCAGTTATTTGAAGGGAAAATGACATTTTAATATTCATATTCGTTACGATTTGATTAGCTACGAGTTCAAAAAGTCTGCCTTATCCATGAAAAACCAATACTCAGCTATTTTTTATCATTTAGAATCAATCTGGACAAAATTCTAATGCTTAGGTTTTTCCTATCTCTTTACCATGTTTACTAGACAAATATTTTTGTGGACAGAATTAAATTCTTACAGCTCTGTTCTACATCCAATGAAGTATTCCATTCTTAATTTGATAGAAAGACTAAACCACACTACATCTTACTTGTGTAGAAATGGAAACCAATTAGGGAAATTATAAATGTTCCTTGTTTAATACCTAAACATGAAGATTCTGTCTTCTTTATTCAATATCCCAATGAATCTTGGTTTAAAAGCTGTCCTCAAATTAAGTAACAATGTATGGAAACGTATAAAAACCAGCAGTAAACCTTTTTTTTCACTTAGAACCACCAATCAAAGTTTGTTGTGTGTTTAAACCTTATATGAAATTTTCACTTGTAGACTTAAATTTCTATAAATTTCTCCTTGTATTTAATATTTCGTTAATTTAAACAGATGTTCTTCAAATTCTTCAAATAAAACTGTTTAATACAAATAATGCAGAGATACATTTATATTCAAAATTTTAATGGGTCAATGTTTCAGTTAAAAGGTAAGTTACATGTACAATTGGCAATATATAATGTACGGTATTTAGCATACACAGTTATTTACATATCACAATATTGCTTAAATAAACATACTGGGCTCTTGTTTCTTTGTATTATACATAAAATAATAAAGCAAAAAGAAAACCTATTTCTTTCAACCAGCTACACTTCCATCACATAAAATGAGATTAAGCCACCTACTCTGAATTTATTATCCTAATATCTAACTATACTTAATAAACATCAGTACTGAAGAAGTACATATCACACATCGTGTCTACTCTACCATCAATACAAACACGTAAGAAGAGGAAAGGTATTTCCCAGCAAATATAACATTTTTCCAACTGCTTTCATGAAACCATCTATTCCTGAAAAATACATGTATTTTAAAGTTTGAAAAAAAATTAATTACTGTCTTCTCAACAGATTTTTTATCAATTTTTTTTTTTTTGATTGTTCAATGATTTGCTCAAAGAACTTCTAACAAAAAATCATTACTCCCTGACTTTTGAAAAAATAAGTCATATATTTTTAAAAATCTATTTATAGAGAATTCTTTGAAATTTATAATGAAAGAAGTGCAGCACTTGTTTCATTTTCTCGGAAAATCCTGTAAGAAATGTCTTTACCATGATTAACCTGTTCATAAGAATGAGAAAAGCTACATATGATCGTGGTTAACTCTGAGACTCGAGAAGTTTCTGTGTCCAGCAGACAAACACGTTCTAAAACTGTACACTCAAATGGTTCATTAAATTACATTAACATTTAATTAAGTTTCAAATAATGAAAAAATTAAAGCACAATCTGTACATATTTAAATCCTTATTTATACCTATTCCAATGGAGGTTGATGAAAGGTTTGGAGTAAATGAAAAATTAAATTATTTTTAATACGTCTAAAAATATGACATTTAAAAAAAATCATATCCATATTTCCACTCATGAAAAAATTTTACCAACAGACAAGTTCACATATATTGTACATGAATTCAATGAAAATAAAAACTGACAATGAAAGCAGTGTTTTATAAATGTACTTCAATTTCTAAGGCAAATAGATAACACAGAGATTTCAAAATCTAACATCATTCCTTACAATTTCTGTAAATATTTTGCAATGCTATTAGAAGTTAAATCTTGAAATCATTGTTTGGTCAGAATACATCCATCAATAGAGTAGACACCTGTGGATTGCTATAAGGCATTGGTCTTTTTCTCAGCGATGGATTCCCTGATTTGCCTGTCAAGCTCCGCGATGATTTTGTCCTGTGTAGAGTACACGCCTGTCCTCAGTAGAGTATCTCTCTCTTCTATCAGTCGTGTGATGTGGTCATCCAGGCTGTAGTCCAGATCCGGCTTTAGGGGGTGCATCCCATCTCTTGGGCTGTCATCTGACACAAACTTCCCTTTCTCTTCCTCAAGTTTCTTCAACCTAAAACAGTTGTGGTCAAATGCAACAGTGAACAGCACTTTAAACTGTTTTCAAATACACAATACTATCATTGTCCCATAAATATTTATTTGTCAAATTATGCAATTTAAAAATATGCATCCAATTTAAAACAGTACAATTGAATAAAACATGGTCATTTCTTTTCTAATTTTCTGTAATTCTTAAAAAGGTACTGTCTTACAAAATCAGAATTGGTAAACATTTACATAACCCCAAAATAAAGATAAAGCTAAAGGTTCAGTAATTATCCGTTCCCTACATACTTGGACAATTCATTCTTGAGTTCCTCTAGCTCTTTCTTCTCTGAGTTGACCACCTCCTTTTCCTCGGCAGCGAGATATCTCAGTCTCATGTGTTCCAGCTCCTGCTGCTGTCGTTTGAGCTCAGCCTTTGCTGAAGCCTGCTCTTTTTGTTTTAATCGTGCGAGTTCTTTCAGTGCACGGCCCCACTGCTGTTTATAGTGGAGCTTGGATTTTGACAGTGCATCTATCTTCCTCTCCAATTCCACCTAAAGGGGAAATAACTCTCATTATTCCAGAGGCATAAAAATCAACTTCAGCAATGTTATCAAACATTCTGGAAATCTTTTTTTCCTGATGAGTTTACATCACCATAGAAGTCTAATGACTATCATTCCTAGCCCTTTTCTAATCAATTTGATTGTTTCCTAGTTTGAGTAAAAGTCCTGTACTTTTTCTTGTAGATATTGAACTTTGAGCAAGTTATGTAACTTTTAAAGTAGACATGTACATATTGGATTACATTTCCTAGTTTGTATAAAAAATATGTACTACCTTTTTTATCATTAGGCATAAGAGTTAAGTTCCTTTCTAGTGCTATTACTAAGAGATATGCACTGAAGATCACCAAATATTCGTGACACCATATTTTTTCAAAGATAGGTATTTGGCATTTATAAGCAAGATAAAATCTTCACAAATTCTGACTATTGTCCAATATCATTTTTACTAATAAAAATATACGCGAGAAGGAAATTTTCACAAGGAGACAGTCTCACATAATTATGAAAACATAAAGTTCTCGCAAAGTGATTTACAGTACCTTTTCTAGTATATTATTGTATGTACATTTCCAAGTTTGAGTAAGTTAAGTAATCTTTATACTAGACATATACATGTATGCTTCCTAGTTTGGGTACGAGTTGTGTACCTTTTCTGGCATTGAGAGTAAGAGTACCTTATCCAGCATTGGGGCAAGAGTTGTATACCTTTTCTAGCATTAGGCATAAGAGTTGTGTACCTTTTCCAGCATTAGAAGTTAAATGTGTACCTTTTCTTGCATTAGAAGTAAGACTTGTGTACCTTTTCTTACATAAGGAGTAAGACTTGTGTACCTTTTCTTGCATAAGGAGTAAGACTTGCATCAGGTGTAAGAGTAGAAGTAACCTTTTCTGGGGTTAGGTGAAAGTAGCAGTAGGAGTAAGAGTTGTGTACCTTTTCTAGCATTGGGAGTAAGAGTTGTGTACCTCTTCTTGCATTATGATTAAGACTTGTGTACCTTTTCTGGGGTTAGGAGAAAGATATGTACCTCTTCTTGCATTAGGAGTATGAGTTGTATACCTTTTCCAGCATTAGGAATTAAATGTGTAGGTACCTTTTCTAGGGATAGGAGCAAGAGTTATGTCCCTTTTCCAGCATTGCAAGTAAGATACGTACCTTTTCTAGCTTTCAGTATAAGACTTATGTACCTTTTCTAGCATTAGGAGTAAGAGTTTGTATCTTTTCTAGTTTTCAGTGTGTATACCTTTTCTAGCGTTAGGAGTAAGAGTTATGTACCTTTTCTAGCTTTCAGTGTGTATACCTTTTCTAGAGTTAGGAGTAAGAGTTATGTACCTTTTCTAGCATCAGGAGTAAGACTTATGTACCTTTTCTAGCATTAGGAGCAAGACTTGTGTACCATTCTAGCATTAGGAGTAAGAGTTATGTACCTTTTCTAGCTTTCACTATAAGAGTTATGTACCTTTTCTAGCTTTCAGTATAAGAGATATGTACCTTTTCGAGCGTTAGGAGGTTGATCTCTGACTGGAGTCGAACCTCCGGTTTACTGTTCTGTTGCTCCTTATAAACAGCGAATTCTTTCTCCAGGCCTCGGTACTTCTTCTCCATCTCACTCAGCTAAAGCAACAGAAAGGAATAAAAATTCTTATAGCATTAATGATGGAATTTTCTGAATTGTATGTATAAAATTTGTATAATTTTACTTTTTACCTCATTTTTATAGCGTTCCACAATGCCCTCAATCTCTCGGACCTTCATTCTACAATATAATCCAAATATATAAACACACAAAAAAAAAATAAAAATAAAATAAACTTAAATAAATTGATATTTGTACCAAATTTTATAATTAGCCATAAATAATTTTTTTCAGCACCATGATATACGTTTGATATACATGTATAAGTACTGGATTATAATTCATAATATCCCATTGCTCTACTGTTGGTATCATATAGTTCTCAATATTTGAAGGTATAAATTTTCAAGTCATAATTATCTTATTTACTTAGAAATAGACTCTGTCCAAGTTGGATTAAAATGAGTTTACAGACAAGTGCAAACTTGCTGAACTTGACTTCCACATTAGAATTGACATTTGCAGATTCTTTTAGCTTAACAAATTTCAACAATGCTCAGGAAAAAAGTAAGCAAATGTAATACACCATGCATCATAACAATATTTACAGCAATGTAATGTTACATGATGCATTTTTTTTTCATGAAACACTGTACTTACATTAACCTTTCCACCAGATTAGGCACTGATATAAATAGACAGAACTATAAATAAGATATTAACCTCTCCAGCTCCACCTGGTGTTGACAGTCCTCCTTCATCCTGTGGGAGGCCTCTTTCATTTCCTGCAGTTTCCTGTCATGTTCCCTCTGTAACTCCCCACGTTGTCTCATGACCTAAACACATATACGTATTGAGCATGCATTACAACCAGCTCTGTGTAGAAATAGCTCGATAATCTGGCAAATTACCCACCCTATCTTACAAATAATTTTTGTAAAAGAGTATGATACTGGACAAATCTAATAAGTTATTTGAACATGAAATTTAACACTAACATTTTTAATTTCAAATAAGCTGATGTCAACATATATCATATCCTCGACACAATGTAAATATTTACATCAGTTGCCATGGAAACAACATTACCTCTTGTTCATTGGCTGCTAATTGTTTTTCTCTCTTTTGTAAATCTAACAAAGTTTTCCTTAATTTCTCCTCAGACTGCGTGTACTCTGCCATCTAAAACAAAATGATCATGTCAGATGTGATATAGAAATATCTCACCAAATGGTGCATAAATTTGCCCATAACTACGGTATTTAGCAGATTTAGGAATATCAATATCCTCCTTATTGAATTTAATAATTACCATTTATAATGCATATTTAAATGAACTTATATCACTTGTTTGCAAGTGATGTTTTCTGTAAAAGTGTGACCCCTCTTAGACAGAAAACAAACAAGGTGATTTCTATGTGTCCACCATCATAAAATCTGTGTAGATATTTTCCTGATTTTTTTCAGTGATCAGTATAAACTTACTTTCTTTTTCATAATAATTTCCCGTTCTCTGTCCCTCTTCTTCCATTCCTCTGCTAATGCCTTCATGTACATGATTTCTTTTTGCTTCAGCTGTCAATCCAAACCAATTAATAGAATAACTTAAAGTTAAATAGCTTAAAGATTTAAAGAAACGGTTTTAAATGCATGTAATGTGATAAGACCATGGAACATTAACTGGCAAAATTGTAAATATACAGCTTACGTCTTTTCCATCTGTTACAGTCAAAACATGTAATGATAGACAATGAAATGGGCGGGTACAATTCGGCACATCCGTCCGAGAAAACATTGGATTGAAATTCTAGTTTGAAATTCATTTTCAATCCACCTGAGCTGTTTTCAAACACAGAGTGTGATTGTATGATCCAAAAGACAAATAATTTCAATTCCCAAATACATGTTGTTTGAAATTCATATTTATCATCGTTTATATGAGTTTTAACCTATGATTTTAAGGACACGTAAGTCATAGAAGACAGAGATTATTTTTTCAGATTTGATTCTAGAAAGGGGGGGTGTAAAAAATTGTCCAATCAGATCATGCCTTCACATGACAAAATACCGTAAGTTTTGGGGTATATGTCGATGGGGTATATAGGTCGAAAGGCTCATTTTCAGCCATGATTTTTTAAAAATCCTTAGATAGGACGATTTGGAAGATAGGTCGAGGCTTTGTTTATCGACTTTCTAGAGATTCTTACGTAGAAACTACGTATCAGAACATGTAAAGGTCTTTAACTTAACCCGTGATATTAACGTATGAAGAAAATAAACTGGTATTTTTATGAGTACAGCATTTTAATAGTGTTTTACACAAACATAGTTAAAACTTCCTTGAATTGTGATATAACGCATTTTCTCCAACTTGCCTGTTCAACGCCGTCGTTGTTTGACTCCGTCGTTAAACACATAAATACGGTAGTATACAACAGCTATAATTAGGGAAATACCCGAAATCAAACAATAATCATTTCCATTTTAGAACATCGTGGACACATTCTTTTATTCCAACATTATTTACCGGGGTACAATATTAAGTGCGATGACCGCCATTTTTATATTTCTTGTTCAGGGATTTGCTAAAACACGCAAATGACTATTACCTGTAACAGTGAGCAATTGAAATTAATCATATTAACATGCTATAATTTGCTTGAGATATTGTTGCTAAAAAATAAATTTAATTGAGAGTACATTCGCAATTTAACAGTCATCAGGAATTTCACAGTTTTGTTTGTTCAATGATGTATAGCACTAATACCCCTGTAACGGCACGTGGATCTGTTAATCATGCCCCGCAGGTGTTTAAACCTACAGGTGTTAACACCTTTGTGTACACAGTGTATATCCCTCTATCTGTCAGACAATTAAAATTCTATTAGAAGCCAATCTTTGTATAATTCGGTGTACCCCTTGGATATAAAACAAAATAGTTATGACTAGCGGTATTTTAGGAATTTACCGGCAACAGTTTATTTCACACATTTTACATTTAAATAAATATCACAAGACAATGAAAAAATATTTAGGTATACTATTTCAATTAATCATTACAAATAAATGGTAATAAAAAAAAATTCAATTGCGATTGTGAAAACTCCTCCGTATTTTAAACTTTGATACGGTTGCGGTTTTATTTTTAGTAAACGATTGCGACTTCCAACTTCACAAGATGGACACAGCATGTTGTAAATATACTTTGAGACATTATTGATGATATAATAAGTTTTTTTGTACATCGACGGATATTTAATGGAACTTATTTTGTAAGAAATCAATGGAATAAATATTTAATTCTTTATTGTTTATTATTTTTTTCTCGGTAAAGTAATTTTAAAAAAATACGAAAATGGCACAGATTTGCTTTAAAATTGATGTAAATTTTACTGATTTTGGGGCATTTTTCGTAAACTTGGGCCTTAGATAGGTCGATTCGTTAAATAGGACGATCCCAGCGGTTCTGAGAAAAAAAGTATCGTCCTATCTTCCAAAACTTACGGTATGTTTTTTTCTAGGATGATAAGAGGTATTTTTTTTAGTTTTGTCTTCACTGAAAAATGTTTGACAATCAAAAGCAGGGAGGGGTTGTCCAAACTTAGAGAAAAAACTTTCTTTTTTATTTCCAAGATCGTTTAGCCCCCTCCATGCACCCCCCCCCCCAACACATGCATGCACATACCTAACAAAAATCAAATATTTGTTCCTTTATATTTCTTTAAAAGCACTGGTCAGAAATTCTGATTTATATATTTAAGCTTCAAAATTCAAAATAGTCCGAAATTGAAATTATTTGTATTCTGGGTCATTCAGTAACACATTGCCTTCTAGCGCAGCTGAGGTGGATTGAAAATGATTTTCAAACTAGAATTTCAATCCAATGTTTTCTCGGACGTCCGTGCCGAATTGTACCCGTCTATTCCATTGTCTATCATTAAATGTTTTGATTGTAACAGATAGAAATGACGTAAGCTGCATATTTCCAATTTTGCCAGTTAATGTTCCGCGGTCTTAAAAATAAAAATAATATAATAAAGAGTTCTTCTGATGTATTTTTAACATAATGTAATAAAGAGTCCTTTTGACCTAGTTCTAACATAATGTGATAAAAAGTCCCTCGGACCTGGTTCTAACATAATGTGATAAAGAGTGCCTCAGACCTGGATCTAACATAATGTGATAAAGAGTGGCTCGGACCTGGTTCTAACATATGATAAAGAGTGGCTCGGACCTGGTTCTAACATAATGTGATAAAGAGTTCCTCGGACCTGGTTCTAACATAATGTGATAAAGAGTGCCTCGGACCTGGTTCTAAGATAATGTAATAAAGAGTCCCTTTGACCTGGTACTAACATAATGTGATAAAGAGTCCTTCGGACCTGGTTCTAACATAATGTGATAAGAGTGCCTCGGACCTGGTTCTAACATAATGTGATAAAAAGTGCCTCAGACCTGGTTCTAACATAATGTGATAGAGTGCCTCGGACCTGGTTCTAACATAATATGATAAAGAGTACCTCCGATCTGGGTTTAACATAATTTGATAAAGAGTGTCTTTGACATTGTTTTAACATAATGTGATGAAGAGTTTATCATAATGAGATAAAAGAGTCCCTCTGACCTGGTTTTCAAACATCTGTTCCTGTGTTTCTTTCCACATTTCCAATTCCACTGCTGCCTGATACTCCGCAGTCTTTCGGGGCTCCTCGGGACTTACTGGTCTTTCAGTCACCTTTGGAGATCGAACGGGGGAACTTAACACAGGCTAGGGGAAAAATCAAGAAGAGTATATTGTAACAGTTATTTCTTATGATAGAAGCCCAGTAAAATCTTTCATACTTTCCATCAAAGCCATTGATTAACAGTATTTAAGATTATCAAGAAATAAGGAACATGATATAAAAAAATTATCTTTCAAAATCTGGAGAAGCTTCACAATTGCGCACTTTCTCGTTCAAACATTTTATCCATTAATTTATTGAATAAAATGCCTAGTTACTGAGTGTTACAGTAAAACATGTTCAAAACAAAGTGCCAGGGATGGATGATTTTGCTTCATTATAAGTGTAATTCGTTATATTCGATAGGTTTACAAAATATTTTAAAGTCAAGGGAATAAAAATCACTTCACTGTAAGCATCATTTTAATTAAAAGTGTGTTCACTATAAGCGTGTTTCACTGTATCTTATTTTTAGTATGTAGTCAGTAAAAAAGAATGCAATAAAAAATTTACTGACTGACAAATTTTAGGGAATTATTCATGACATGAATACATGTATAATCAATATGGTTCACATGTAGGAATGATGACCTTGTGAGGTTTGAAATACCTGTGGTGGCACCTCCTGCTGGACGACAATTTGCTGGGCTGTGATTGGTCCCCAGTCCTCAAGACACAAAACAAAACAGACCTCACCAATCTTCTGATGGCTACTAAAACAAAAACAAGGAGGTCTTATAATTTTTGGCAAAACATTCCTTCGTGTATTCTGAGAAAACTTTACGCAAACACTTCTGCTTACTAATGACAGTTTTCTCCGTTTTAAACGGTGACCATATAGCAACTGTGTATTAATTTTATTCACACACTACAGTGTTAATCTCTGAATGTTACTGACAAAGATTTAGCTGGTAGAAATATTTACACTTCATTGCACAGAATAAACCCCATTACCTGTATAACTGACACCCAATGTTACGCAACAGGTTGAATATGTATTCAAGTAATATGTGTTTCAACTTCCTAATATTACAGTAGATTAACACAATGTCACTTTGAGTGGGAGATGTTTCACTGTGTCAGATTCTGATATTTTGAGATTGAAATTAGGAGTCTCCTGAACAGAAGGGGAGAATTTGAAACTATGACAAACGTGGTCACCAGTCATTGGCTATGACAAGATGGTTACCTGTCATTGGCTATGATAAAGGTGGTTACCTGTCATTGGCCTCTGACAAAGATGGTTACCTGTCATTGGCTATAACAAAGGTGGTTACCTGTCATTGGCTGTGACATAGTTGGTTACCTGTCACTGGCTATGACAAAGATGGTCACCTATCATTGGCCTATGACAAAGGTGGTCACCTGTCATTGGCTGTGATAAAGGTGGTTACCTGTCATTGGCTATAACAAAGGTGGTTACCTGTCATTGTCTATAACAAAGGTGGTTACCTGTCATTGGTTGTCATAAAGGTGGTTACCTGTCATTGGCTATAACAAAGGTGGTCACCTGTCATTGTCTATAACAAAGGTGGTTACCTGTCATTGTCTATAACAAAGATGGTTACCTATCATTGTCTATAACAAAGGTGGTTACCTGTCATTGTCTATAACAAAGGTGGTTACCTGTCATTGGCTGTGATAAAGGTGGTTACCTGTCATTGTCTATAACAAAGGTGGTAACCTGTCATTGGCTGTGATAAAGGTGGTTACCTGTCATTGTCTATAACAAAGGTGGTTACCTGTCATTGTCTATAAAAAAGGTGTCATTGTCTATAACAAAGGTGGTTACCTGTCATTGTCTGTGATAAAGGTGGTTACCTGTCATTGGCTATAACAAAAGGTGGTTACCTGTCATTGTCTATAACAAAGGTGGTTACCTGTCATTGGTTGTGGTAAAGGTGGTTACCTGTCATTGGCTATGACAAAGGTGGTTACCTGTCATTGCCTACGACAAAGGTGGTTACCTGTCATTGGCTATGATAAAGGTGGTTACCTGTCATTGGCTATGACAAAGGTGGTAACCTGTCATTGCCTATGACAATGGTGGTTTCCTGTCATTGGCCATAACAAAGGTGGTTACCTGTCATTGGTTATGACAAAGGTGGTTACCTGTCATTGGCTGTGATAAAGGTGGTTACCTGTCATTGGCTGTGATAAAGGTGGTTACCTTTCATTGGCTGTGATAAAGGTGGTTACCTGTCATTGGCTGTGATCCCGAGTCTGTCATGGAATGTCTGCCTCCATCCAGTTGAGCCGGTGTTACTCTACAAACATTTACATCACCATTAATTCAGTTATACTCCATGATTATACATTTATGTATTTTACATCTCACTTGTAAGAAGGAAAAATAAGGGGAAATAAAAACCATTTCTTAATAGCCAATATCACACAATGTGATGTCATAATTCAAAAAAAATTAGTAAGAGCTTGGAATAATATTAATTCTGTTTGTTCTTGAACAAGTATGGAATACATGTGTATGTATTCTGATAAAAATATAATCCTACCTAAATTCATGTCTCTAAGCTATAACAACAGTGAATATTTTCCTGATTTTCCAGGTGGTTTACAGTTATTTTTTTTTACCTGATGTACAGATGTATGAATATAAAGGAAAGAAAATGACACATACTGATACTCTGAATTTATCTGTGGTAATGATTTGATCGAGGGGGAGTTGTCCAGACCCAACTAATACGTCCTGTGAGAGCTGCTTGTCTCGGTGCCACACCTCTATTATCAGGGGGACTCTGTACGAGAATTATCAGTTAATCATACAACAGTACAATACAGGAATTCTCCAAGCAGATTAATCACAAAGGGTCATTTTACTTTCAAATTAAATGATTGTTTGCTACATATGATAAACTCCAGACACACCAAAATTTTATAGACAGCATCTCTGAATCTTGACTCAATATTATAAGTAAACAGGCCATTCAGAATTTCAAGGCTTTAAAAGTAGCATTCAAATTTAAATTATGCTTCTTTGTATAGCCTATAATATATTGGCTGAACCAACATATGAAATAGGAGCATTGTGCAATTTTATTTTTGGAAATTTAATTAAACTGTTGCAATAATTGGACATCTGCTGAAATTACTTGTTACAAGTTGTGCATGGTAAGTAATTCTGTAATTGCTTCCTGTTTACCTTAGAAATGTTTCCTGTAGTTGTTGTGTGGTACAAGCAAAGTCAAACGCACAGAACGACTGTGGAAGAATGACCTCCGTCCCCTTCCTAATCTCAACAGGAGGGTTTGTCAAAATCGGAGCAGCACTTCCAAAAAAGGGATAAGAGTACCTGAAACACAAATAAAGGATCAATAAAGCCATCTAAACAATACTTAATTCACTGACAGAAAATTCTAAATATGTGTATAATATTAATACTTGAAGTTTAAAAAATCTGACACATCTTAAACTGAAAAAGAATGACAGGAAAAAATGTTTTACAAAAGATGTCTAGCCTTTGTTAAAAATAGTGTTTCCCTTATTTATATTGTTTCATTGCACAAAGCAAATAATTGAGCTGTGAATGGCTTATTCTTACCTGATAAAAACCATTAGTGTTGAGGTACTATGGAAGTCTTTGATACTTCGGAGGTCAATCGAGAAGGTAAAGTGGTGGGCCTGGGGAGGTATGGCCAGGTGAGTGGAGGTGGTCGTCTGACTGTCCACTGTAAAACAACAATACAGGTGATATTGTGGGTTATGGAAAGGAGTGAAATGAAACCTTTAGTGTCTCTTGTTAAGTTTGAAAGACAGAAAATGTGTTATATAATGATTTTATCATCTTATGTTGTGAAGAAGGGATCATATTAATTTTTTCAAAAATGATGACAAAAGCAATCTCTGTCTGAAACTATATTAAGGTTCTTAAAGTATAAATTTGAAAAATTAATCTTCATAACACACTGATCTGTTGGACTTACCAGGGTGTGACCTGACCGGGCTGCGGGGACTCTGAGGGGCACCTGCTGGTTTCTCTGTAGCTTTCTTAGCACCTTCTAAAATTAAAAACAAAATAAGTGTAACTACGGATGTCCTTGAATTAAGTAAAGTCTTTCTAAAACATACAGTATGAATCTAGATAAAAATATATTTTAAGATCTTCACATTTCTTTACTTTCATGAGGTGTATTTTTCTCTAACTTCAACATCTATTTGTTGTCCTCGTTACTTATACTATAGCATTACATTTACAGGTTTTTTTTCTATCACTTTATAGTAAAAGTGAAATGAAACTAAAATACAAGTGTATTGTACACTCACTTTCCTCCTCAAAACTACTGACAAACTCCTGTGTGTTATTTCCATCCTCAAAATCATCCTCGTAGTCATCAATCTCCTTGACTGGTTCTGCCTTGGCTGGTTCCTGGGATCTGTCCCTCTGTTTGGCTGGTGACCTATCCTTCTTGGTTTTGGCTGCTGGGGATGCTGGTCCCCTGGGTGGGGACACATCACGGTCCTTGACAGGGGACCCTAAAACTTTAGTTTCCTGAGTGTCATTCTTGGCAGTAGAGGATATCACCTAAAATTAATTTAATCTTTAACTAAATAACAATGAAAATATTTTATTCAAATATACTTGTATACTAACATGTAACACAAATACAATTGTTTGATCATATTAGTTCATATTTATCTGTCATGTCCTTACTTTATTTCATTTTGTAACAAATTTGACTAGGACCAAATTAGTGTTATTTGAAAAATGAGGAGCATTCATTTTATAGCACAGTGGACAATGATCAAGATCCTACCATTTCCTCTTTCCTTAGTACAATGGAGACTCCAACAGTGGGGGCTAGATCCCCAGGGGCAGGGGTTATTTGCTGCTTGGTTTTGTTTGGGGGTATCAGCTGGAAGGAACCCTCAATTGAGACTGGTTTCATGTAGATTTCTGTACTGTTTTTGACTAGAAGATCTTTCAAAGGAATCTCACAGCTACCTAATGATTGCTCCCCACAACACAAATGTATCTGAAAAAATAAACATCAGTTTTATCAATGACCGCTGTATCAAATTAGAGGGACACCAAGGGTGCATATGTTTTGCTAACCAATCTTTCCACCAAAAGAAATTCCCTATCCTGAAGTACTGATGCTTGAATAGGAGGTTAGTGTACTGACAAAAATTCTACTGAAGAAAACAATTTGTCTACATCTGACTTTTGTACTCTAAAGATTAATTACTTACAGTAACTTCACTAATACCATAATCTACCTCAAAATCTTTTTGGTTTTCTTTTGCCCTAGAGTATACTTTTCAAACATTCAACTGAAAACCTTATGTCATCTTTTTTAATTGTTAGGCCATTATTTACACACTGAATTGTTGACGGATTTTTCTGTTATTTCCCGATCATGACAAGGAGCACACGGCGGGTGTGACCGGTCTGCAGGGGATGCTCACTCCTCCATGGCACCTGATCCCAACTCTGATGTCTTAGAGGTCCGTGTTTGCTCTGCTCCTATTTTGTAATGTTTGATGGACTTTTGAGCTCGAATACTGTTCTTTATCTCCACATTTTTCATTTTTTAATATCTTGCAGATGACAGACATGGGAGAAAACAAGTTCCAGATTTGTTGGGAGAGATTTAAATGCATTCATAACAGGAAACATACATGTATTTTCACTGACATTTAAAATCTGTCTCATTGGCTTTGTTCAGTGAATCACAACTTGAAAAAATGTTGTTTGTATCCACTCTATTGATTATAGATAAGTTAGGTGTCCTTTATTTATTTTGTTTTTGTTTTTTTTTTAACTCTTTCAGGACAAATTACATGCTCTGCATTCAAACAGGTTTAATCTACCTCCCTGTCATTCCTATATAGATATGACAACATACTTGTATACCAGGCTGGCAGGAAAAGAATGCCCTCAGTGTGTCTACATTACTTCGGATTTTGACAGAAGCTCGTTCTGCAGGAAAGTTTGGATTTATTAAATCGTGGAAAGTCTCATTGGTGACATCATTCCCCAGAAGGGAGAAGTAGAAGAAGTACCCATTGGCCGTCACAGGGAGGGGCTGAGAACTTGGTATCAGCTAAAAATAATTTACCTTATTACTTACTGATTACACAGTGAACCATCAATTACAAATTCAGTTCTTATTCAGTTTTGATATTTTACTGCAGCATGATTACATTTACAAATACTTTATACTTTACACAATATATGTACATGTATAGTACAATGTGTGTACATACAGTCACAGAAATATTAAGTAATATAACAGTGTTAATTTAGATGGTCTTACAGACAAACTCATCAAATATAACACATTGGCCAAATTTCTTTGTCTGATGAAATAAGTTTGAATAACCAGAGTTTATAAATATAAGTTCATTAAATGTATGAAATACCTGTGTTAAGTTTGCAGCCTGTGCAATGGTAACTGATAGGACAAATTGTTCTTTACATTTAAGCTTGGAACCTATCTGGTAATATCCTTCAGCTTCGTTTAGTAGAGGCTGTAAGTGTCGGGGGTCCACCCCCAAGTTCTGAGTGTCCTCAAGTACTACAAAAACATGAACAAGTATTTGCATGTAATATTGATTACACTCATCAGAAACAATTTGTCATTCAAGAAGAGATAATTTCAGGATTTATCTTTTTATATAACAGGAAGAAGAACAAAAACAAAGATAACAAACAATTTTCAACAAAAAATAACATTTTCAGGTCTCTCAATTGTCTATAACTGAGGTCCCTGAAAACCCACATCCCCAATGAAAAAGGTACCTCTTTTCCCAACTGATGGTGTTAATTTCCTAATTGTCTTTACTCATGATAAAGCTGATAACAAAACACTAGAAAACCATATTTTAATGAAATTTTATGAAAACTTTCTTTGTATTTTGATTTTCCAATTTTCCCACTCTACTGGCCTTGCCCCTGTACCAAAAAGTAATGTGAAAGTCCCAATTTTAAAACAATAGAACAACAAATAACAGTAAACATAAATAAACAATACTACGGTTGTTGTTACTTGTGGGTGTCTGAGTCTCCATACTATAAGTTGCTTTTGGGTCCCGTTCTATTACTGTAATTGCATCAAAAACCCAAACAAGATGAGAGTAAAAAAGTATTTCAGGTAAAAACTTTGAATTACTATACAGTGATACACAGACAAAATTTGAGCCTACCGGTAATAAGTTGATCAAGTCTGCAAGTACATATTAATCTAGCTACTTCAAAAACAAAACGACAAGTTACTTAGAGTTTTAATTAATCTTTTAATTACAGAAACAAAGTGCACCTGGTGCACTGAAATACTTACACCTTGCAGGGGCATCCTTGGCTTTAAAGCTTGTTTCTTGCTCACCACCACTTTTATCATTTTCTAAGTAAATAGCTAAGCGAATTTCTGATTTATTTTTGCTGTATTTTGAGTGTAGAAGTGGATACCATTTTGGAGTCTGGAAAAAGATATAACTCAATCTTCATATGCATTTCAGCAACTATTATTTTATTTATTTAATGAGAAAAAATGAACAAGAGCAAGAATTCCAGGTTAGTTTTAACAGGAAGGTCAAATATACATTGTATTTTAAAGTAAACCTTTAAAATGCAACTGAATTTTATACAGAACACTTTTTAGAAAACAATTATCAGAATTAAGATCTACTGAACCTGTTTGGTTGTAACTGATCTTAGATCCAGTACAACATATCCTATTGCCTCCTTAAAGGTGGATGAACTGTCACATGCATAACACTGAATTTTAATGGAGGTCCTCTGCAATCTGTGTTGTTGTAGGCCTTTCTTGTCAAGTTCCCAGGCCAGTTCCTGTGTGAAGTTTGGAGTTTCTGTGTGATCTACAGGGTCAGTGGACAGAAGCTCCCCATCAAAACGAGCCTCCGTGATTATCTTGTGTTTTGATCGCTTAGGGAATCTTCTTCCTATAATCAGAATTACAGTTCCAACTTTATCATGTTTATGATACATATTAATTCTATAATTTGATTTACATGTATACTACCTCTGTACATATCCCATACAACAAATTGATATATAAGATTTTATCACTACTATTCTGGCAAAGCATTCTTTTTTCTTAGGTAAAATTTATGTTCAGTTATAAAGGAAAGATTTCATGAAAAATCTTAGAGAACAATGAAATTTTAATACATTTTTTGTCTATAGATTTTATCAGAAAATGTTGATGGAGACTAAACTCATTATTGGAAGTTGCTGATAATGCTAAATTACATTTTTTTTTTTTGGACAAAATATACATGCAATGTCATCAAAAGACTACATGTATGATTAAAGCAAATTTGTGCTGTATAGTTCTTATACACATTTACAGAGGGCGGAGCCCTCTCACGGGCCCGAAGGGCCATTGAGAGTGAAGCTCTCCCTATAGGTAACACGTTTGTATGTAAAATATATTGAATTCTATTGTAAACTATAATTTTATTACAATACCTATGGAACTGAGAACCTTTTCGCCAATATGGCGTCCATAGTCTTTTCCATCTTGAATCTCGTGACAAATTCCCGCATAAACGAGATGCTGGAGAATCGTAATTTTAATTTCAATCCTGCGTTAATGAAGTTTTATCAATTCTAATAATCTAAAACACTCTTATGGTCCTTGTTACTTTCGTTTTCAACTAACTTGCATTCGATCGTCATAGACCTGACATGTGACATCATTCATTGATGAATCAGCAGAAACTTTTGCATTTTCATTTTCAACAACCTGTAATAACTGATATTTCATATGCGTACTCTCTTTTTAAAAACAGATTTATTCACCTTTTGATACATCGATAAATATTCTATTCGATACTTCCCAGAAATGTATCCTATTATTCACAAGTTTTGACTTCAGAATTCTAAAAATAGTTTTCGCCTTAACAATTTAATGTCTGGAAAAAAAACTTTTATTGAGTTGAATTCATTTTTTCAGATATTAAAAAGAAAAGATTTTTACCTTGCTTTTATGTTAGTTTTAGAAAGCACTTTAGACTATTCGAATCAGATTATAGTTTTTAAAAAATGCAGAAACATTAAATTTACTCTACATTTGTTCCATTAGAATTAAGAAAATAATTCTCAGAAATTTTGCGATGCTGATACTTTTAGCTCTCACGATACTCAGCCCTAATGTTGGTCACATGATCAGTTTCCAAGTGTCCTGATAACCCAGAAGTTAGATAATCTTTCTGTAGTTTGGGTCCCAAGTTCGACTTCTGATGTAGTCCCTGACAATTGTAGATTTATAAAACCTAATACCCTTAAATTTCTTTATTTGAGATGAAAAATATTTAAGGTAAGAGAACTTCAAGGTTATTTTTTTCAAAAGGATTGAGGTCTTTGTTATGATTTACAACTTGATTTTAACACTGATTTATCATTAAACAATAAAATGTAGAAATGTTCACTTGATGGCTCCGCCCTCACCACCGGTCGCACCGTCTAACATATTAGTTCTATACACATATAGGGTATAAAATGTTATTTCCCTTATTATAACTAGTTTGGGGTGAGGTATACTATTGCTCCCCAACTGTTAAGGTAATAAATCAAAGCATCTTTATATTTAATCATAACATAAGTGTATGTGTTCAATCGACCATCCAACTTAGTAGGAACCAATGGAGGAAATTCGAAATTATTGAAAACAATTATTAAATGCAACCACACATTTGCTATTTGCTTTCCTTCAAGAAGAAAAAAAATTATACAACATTATCAATTTTAACCAATGTTCAATGAGTATGAATATTAAAACTGAAACACAATAACCAGCCGCTGACACATGAAAACGAGCACAGACCTGTCAGTTAACTATACGTATCACGTTTTTAAATGATAAAAATTTCAAAACTTACCCTCTAAGACAGATATTACTACAAGAAATTTGTCCTTTTCAACCATTGTTTTCTTAAACCAATAAAGGGCGATTGTTTTTGTCAGAAGCAAATCATTTTAAAGAAAGACTTCAAAGTGGCTACTTTCTTTCAAATACGGCGGCCATGGTTGTAAACATTCTTTCGGAACATCTCTAAAATTTTGTTTTAGATTCAAGTGTAATTTCATTTCCGGATGAATTTGGATTACGCCTCTATTTCTGTCATTTCTTCAAGTTTTTTTTAACGACAAAATGATGAATTAATCTGCTTAATATATTTCATTATTATATAATGAATTGTATAGACAATGTTTTTTACCATACTGCGTGTGTACATGTGTAATATCCGAACTAAAAAAGGAGACATCATTTATTTACAGTGTATGTTAAAAATGTCTCTGCTTTAAGGACAGACGATACGTTCCTCAATAATATATAATATTTTCTAAGATTTCGTCATTGAAGTATTGCTACTTTAACAAGTTTCCTCACAAAAAATTGAGGTACCTTACCGGGCATTTGTGTAAGATACCAGATCGAGGATGTTTCCTATAAAATCCTTTTGGAAAAAACCTAATTTGCCAATATCACATTTTTTAGTGATTCAATTTTTTAAAGACAATTAGAAACAAGTTTAGAAATCAGAAGGTAATTAAAATTTGGAATATTTTCCATACAGTACGAAGATATACAAAACAGATATTTGAGGAACGTATCGTCTGACCTTAAACTATACCGTTGGTATAATTTTGTATTCATTTTTTACTAAAACATTAGGGGATATTGATATGTAAATAAGTAGGTGTATTAATCATAAAATATCATAAAAACACACACCTCCTGATCGAAAGAAGCTATAGGGAGTTCATGAAATAGCGGAACCAGGAATTTTTCACGGGGGGGGGGGGGGGTTCCAAACCTAACTGAAAAAAAAAATCAGGATAAAAAAAAAAGGCATAATGAGTTAATAACCACTTCAACAAAAGAAAAAGGCCCATGGGTCACAATGCTAATTAACAGATTTTTTTCTATGTAGAATCCTCAGTATACACATCCTGTACATTCCTATGTAAAAATTTGATCGCCTATTGTGACCCCACCCTATCCCGGGTATCATGATTTGAACAAACTTTAATCTACACTTTCTGAGGATGCTTCCATATCAATTTGACTAATCATGGCTTTGCTGTTCTTTTATAGATTTTTAAAGATTTTTTTTCCATTCCTGTGTAAAACTGTGGTCCCAACCTACCCCCAGGGGTCATGATTTGAACAAATTTGAATCTACGCTACATGAGGATGCTTCCATATAAATATAACTTATCATGCATTTGTTGTTCTTGAGAAGATTTTTTTTCTCTACATTTTCCAAAGTTGAATTTTGATTGCTTATCGTGGCCCCATCCCACCTCCGGGGTCACGATTAAACAATTTGAATCTACACTATGTAATGAAGCTTTCACATAAGTTTCAACTTTTCTGACCCAGTGGTTCTTAAGAAGAAGATTTTTGAAAGACTACATTAAATTTTCACTAATTCTTAATTATCTCCCCTTAAAGAGGGCGTAACCCTCATATGAATAAAGTTGAATCCCCTTTACCCAAGGGTGCCTTGTGGCAAGATTGGTTGGAATTGGTCCAGTGATTCTTGAGAAGAAGTCGAAACCGTGAAAAGTTTACATACGGATAGATTGACGGATGCTGGGCAAAATGTGATCAGAAAAGTCCACTTGAGCTTAATTTCAGCTCAGGTGAGCTAATAAGGGAAAAGGAAGATTCACAAAACTCAAAATTCTTAAGACACGGTCCTACTCCCATAAAATCAAACGAAGCTCACAACAAATGACTCTTCTCAGAAGAAAGGGGGAATGGGTGTTTGCATGACATGGCTAAATATCAAAAAGGCCAGTGTCGTTTAGAAATGAAATGATAATCTATATTAAGACCAGAACTGTCCATACTTTAAATTTTAGCATAATATTCCCATGAGTACAAGATGCATGGCTATAATCTCGACCGAGATTCGTAGGTCTTGGCTGAATATTAATCTGGACCGATGCCTTCAGTTCGGTGAAGACGTCAGTCCAAATATCCAGCCATGCAAAATGAATCTCAACCGAGATTAAAATCCCAGTACTTGTGGACTGAACCTCCATCCAAACCTCGGGAATTCAACCCCTGGGCTATATTGGATTTTTTCTTCATAAATGGTATTTATTAAATTTATATATCATAAATATTATAGCAGAAATCGGGGGAAAAAAACAAAACAAAATAATCGTTCCATAAAAAAAAATATCCGACATTACATAATAAGAGAGATATGCCTTCTCCGTTAATTATCATGTCCATTTTTTTAACGATATTCATGATGAATAAGTTAAGTAGATATAAAATATGAAGGAAAAAAATCCAACTTGAATATCGGAGAGGGAGGGGCTGTGTATAAATCTACCTATTATTAGCAGTGGATTATAAATGCTTTTGTTTATATAAAGTAAAAGTCATTGCATTTTGAGATAAAATTATCAACGAACCAAATGTAGCAGTTTTAGCTGGGGTTTGTGGACCGTGCACGTGGATATCGGAGCCTACATAGCTCAGTGGTTATAGCAACAGAGTATAGTAATGCCGGGGTCACTTGTTCGATTCCCGGTCCAGTTTTAACTTACCATCACAACAACGCAACACCGTCCAGTGACTTGTATTCCGATTCTATAATAGAACTTATCTGCATTCTCAATCCTGATAAACCTAAATGTACAACTGACTGTTGATCCCCCCTTCCCTATTAATTTAAAAATCTTTTATAAGTATATTCCAATTTTGGGCCCAGAGGGCATATGACAATACAAGGCAGTTTATAGAAAGGGAAAGTTCAAAAGGATTACACATATACAATTAAACAATGATAAGCATTAAGGAACACACTTTAACATCCTCACAACGTCAGGGGACCTGTGTAAACACGTTGCGGATGCTCCAACGGCAACGTACGTATTGACTCAGGACCCCCTAACGTTGTGAGGATGGGACCACAAAAGAACCACTAACTACATGTTGATGCAGCAAATAGGGAAAACATTTTAAAATTACGAGTTGCGTTTTGTAATTTTATGACATCACCTCTTTTTCTGAAAGTTTCCGCTAAATATTCACTGACTCAGTTTGAGAATTATTGATTTGTCTTCATTAATCATTAGCCATATAATTTTTCTTTACTTCTGAAATTGATAAAGTTCTTGTTGAGTTTAGAGACATCATGAACCCCCCTCCCCCCATTTCATATATATTTTGAAGATACGACAGTGTTTGATTAACTTTGAAACGTACTCAATTTTTGAAAGGTAAAAATGTTAAGACTGAAATTACCAATTAAAAAATCTTAACAAAAGCTGAATATTTGTACTTAAAAGTTAAGCAATTGTCATTTGATAATCAAAGAAATATGAAATTTTAGGGGATTCCAAAAGTTTATATCTGTTATATGATCTATGTGTATATTTTTAAAGGATGGATGCATGTAGATAGTAAATAAATTTACAAAAGATACAAAATTAAACTGTAAAATATTTTAAATCAGTTGGAAAAGGTTAAAAAGAGAACTGATTTGACTGTAATGATTTTTGCCCAAAGTTGGTGTTGACATGTGAGCCCAGTTTAGCTGCATGAACAGGGTAACCACTGGACCCATGACTGCTTTACTTTAAAAGAAATTTTCAGTTTTGGTGAATTAACATTTTATTCGTCACTTTCAATGAAATATGAAGATAACGAACAGTATTCAATCTCGAAAGTCCAATGAAACGATACAAATTTGAAGCAGAGCAAACACGGACCTCAAAATTTAGAGGTGAGATCAGGTGCCATGGAGGAATGAGCATCCCCTGCCGACCGGTCACACCCACCGTGTGCTCCTTGTCATGATGGGGTAATAACGTAGAAATCCGTATACAGTTCAGTGTATAAATAATGGCCTAAAAATTAGTATGAAAAATGTCAGTCAGCAATTGACTCAATGATGGGTTGTATGTCCTGATAAGGTCATTGTATCGACCTTAAAACTTGCGAAAAGATGACTTCAAACGAGACTGTTGATATCCTTGTTTCATCAACTTGTTTGTCAATAGCTTGTAACGTTTTAGAAATTGTTCATACGTAGAGCATGCTCTTGCGTATCGAATCAGCTGAGAGACATTAACCCCATATGCAGGTGATAAGGGTATATTGCTACATAAGTAAGGGAAGTTGACGATTGAAAAGTTGAAGTCATCACGTTTATCATAAAGCTTTGTTGTTAGGTTAGACAATATAAACATATATAAACACATATATACAAAATACCGGTATTCTGTAAATCTATTGCTCTGTTCAATTCCATAATTTCTAAATCATTTGTTTAATTGTTTGGTGCTGATCTTACGAAGGTAGAAACTTTTATAAAGCATCATACCACTGATTTAGGTACCTCATCTATTTGCACGTGTCAAAAACAGAATGTCATACATTTTGAGAAAAAAAATATCTATTAGATATTATTTGACCAAAATTTTGGCAATATTTAAATAAATAATAGGAACCTCAAAGTAAAACTGCATTAATTTCCTATTCAATTGTACCTGTAAGGAAAATTTTGTAATTGAGTGCTTATTACCACCGAAATAGGTTTCTCGAGGATACCTCTTTCAACTCTTATAGATCTCGTGCAGTAATTCGTATTTTTTTCATAAAATTTCTTTTATGAAAAAAGTATGTTTTATTCTGGACCCTCTTCGTTTCTATCCGAAAGGCAAATTTTATTGTTTATAGAGGGGTTAACCGATGGCATTTTGACCTATTTTTGACACGGAAATGACGTTTAGTGGCGTGATTATGCCGGTTTTGGTATAATTTGTGTAAATTTACTTCAAATTAAAAGAATTTTGGAAGGCCACAGATTTGAACTTATCATTCTCATGTTCTATCTGAATGGAAATCGGTGTCTTGAGGATCTGCGACCTTTATGTGCAATGTTTATTATAAATAAACCGACCGCCTGGTAACGGGAATCCCCGACTTGCGCACTTTGCCGGGCGGCTGATATTCTTATTCCGGTATTTATTACCGCTAAAAAATATAGTCCCAAATCGTAAATTATTATATTCTTTGAAGGTAATTTTATTGTTAAATGTGATTTTAAATGACTAAAAGATCAATAACATTATAGATTTATAATTTAATTTTGATCTTTTGTTGACTTATCATTGATGCGGAATAATTTTGATCGCCCGAGCAGCTGTAAACGTAGTTCCTTATCGAGGAAACCATGATCGAATAACAAACTTGTTATCATCTGAATTTCTGGAAAATGTGCTCTGAAATTAGATAGAATTAGGATGTGAGGATAAGAGTGATATGTTGCAATCAGCGTAGTATGGGAAAATTCCACCCACCCCCACCCAAACTCAAGAAAAAACTTGGATTGGGTTGGTATATTAGTTGACCAAGTCTGAAAAGTACTGAACGTGGTGATTCCATAAAAACTGAACAACGAACTTTTGTCGTTCGTTAAATAAATAGAGATAGCGTATAGACCGCTTAATAATAGTATGCACTCTCAAGCTAGAGAGTACGAAGACGCTTCTCGATCTGGAAGGAAACAAAGTGCTCGAAGCATGCAGAACAGAACAGGGAGTTCAGCTGGACCCATGATGGTGGGACCAAACTTTAGAGTGGGCAAAAAAATTGGATGTGGGAACTTTGGCGAGTTGAGACTAGGTAGGTTTACATTTCTTTTGAGTAGCAGTGAGGATCAAAGCTCAGCATTTGTTGTGAAATAATCTCTTTCTATTAGAACAAAAGATTTGAAGGGTGTGGCAATTCATATGTTATAAAATTTTCTTTTTTACTCAAGGTTGCAGTGCAGTATCTGTAACTTGTCTGTATGTTGTCATGCAGTATGTTTATAACTCCTTATGCTATCTTTGTGTTTACGACAGAGTTCAGGTGAAGGACATGGTTGACATGATGAGAATGGTTCAAAGCAATGAAAACACTGATATCTATTCTCTTTGTTGTAGCAAAGATATTATGCTATGAAGCTGAACTTCTGTGTGCTTCTGGATGTTTAGAGGCGTACTTTGTAGCTATTAGTAAGCACCAAGAATGGGCATATGTTAAGCAGCCTGAATATTCATTGGAACTAAGAATACCATAATAGAGCCAAAAGATTAGAAACAAAACTTTATGCAGCTTCATGGTATTATTTTTGCTTTCTGGTGGTTTGACATATTTACACCTTGTTAAACAATCAACTCTTTTTTTTTGCATCAATCTCATAGCATTTCCTAAAGTAAGTTATAAAGTATATTTAATATTAACAGTTAAAAATTTCTAAAACACACACACACTCACACAACTACTTATTTTGAACTAAAAATGAGATCTTAGGCATAAATTGAAGTCTATCTTGTGCCCCATATTGTCCACCGGGTCTCCATCTTACTGGTGTTAACCCCAGATATAATTTAATTTGAAACACTCAGATTTTTATTTTTTTAATGAAATGATTTTTTTTATCCCTGAGATCACTGACAAAAAGGCTTAAGACAATAAGAATTTTTCATAAATTACACTGTATTTTGTTATATATTCAATCATAGACATATTTGTATCGTTCCAGCCCTTGTACATGACATTATGGCCAGTAGCCTTGAAGCAACTTTTATTAGTGCATGAAAGTACCTGGGCTTAATAAAAACCAGGCCTGTTTCCAAAAGGGGGATATACATGAACATTGAGCAAATATCCATAATGACATGGATTTAATATATTATTAGTACATGTATTTTAGGTTCCTGTCTTTTTTTGTGTTTGTTTGTTTATGGCATTTTGATTTGAATGTCATGAATATTTTTAATGTTCCAATCATGAGTAGATTTCGAGATACTTATAAGATGTATAATGTTATTGGAATTTTTTGAGGAAATGGTATCCAACTTTCAAAAATGTGAATGATGTAACAGGTTTAATGAATGTGATACAAGTTTTTAACCCATTTGTATGTTGGATATTTCCCGTTGACTTTTCCATGTACGTTAAGTGGTTTCTGTGTACTATAGTACAACTCTGTGATGTCCCTTGTTTAGAAGGCAGTGGTGAATTCACAAGTGTTTCAAACTTTCTGATCTATTGTTGAAAATCGCTACAACCATGATAACGCAGTGGTGAATTCACAAGTGTTTCAAACTTTCTGATCTATTGTTGAAAATCGCTACAACCATGATGAATTATTGACTTGCATTTTAATTATGTTAATAGTCATCTCATGTGATTCATTCATCACTGAGATGATGAAAAGCCAAAATTGAAATCTCAATATTACGAAGTTATATGAAAGTTAAAATTGCGATGTTTTTTATAAGCTTTTATTTTTAGTTTTTTTTAATTGTGGATTCAGACAGATAATGTATTTGGTGGCCTCTATAACATCCTGTCTCACTGACTTGTTTCCTTTTTCAGTATGAAGTTACAGCTAGTCCTCTATAAGAGAGTATGTACAATAGATTTTCACATATGTGTGTGATGTATTTCACACTTTAGTAATCATAAGTAACAAAGAGGTTAATAATAAATACAGGATGTGTGCATACTCGGTAATGTTTCCCTGTGGTATCTTCAGCAGCCCCAGACACGCATAGATTCCACTGGACCATGTTGACCAAGGTCTTGTGTTCAAATGACCCAGCACCTTGTAATGTTGATAGCATTAACATCTATATCATGTATATAAAATGAAAACATTTATAACAATGTGTGTATTCAAAGCCTTTTCAAAATAAAGTTGAGGTTTAGAAATGTCAACTGATTCGTGCTTTTAGTTTTGTAAGATGTTGATCTGCTGGCTTTCTTTGTGTCCTGATGGCCAGTGATGGGTGAAGGTTTTGGGCTGTACTTCTACAATCACAAGAACACATGTTGAGGGCAGGGAATTAGTGGGATATATATGTACACAGGAATGGAAACTTGTTTATTTATTTAAGGCCTGCCTGGCCTGGTCCTGTGGTGAAGGAGATTTAGTTATTTCCCTGGAGTTGCATAATTTTTGTGTGAATCTGATAAAACAGGACTTAAAAAAACATGATATGTAAAAGGTTTGAATTAGCTTCAAATTTTGATTTTAAATGCATCATATACATCAAATTTTTTCACAGATTAAGATAAGTATGTCTAGTAGTATTTGAATAGTATGTTTTTATATTAGTTTTCAAAGCTACACTCTATTCTAATAGAAGTACATGTATCAATTGGCAAGCTGACTTCATTAAATGATACACAGTGTATCAAGATCTACACCCTCTTAGCCACAGCCCATTTGTATCAGCCCCAGCCATTATGAGTTTGTGGAGCTGACTGTTCTTTTTGTGTTCCTCAATCAATACACATAATACTACGTAGATAGTCTGTACAAACTGTCTTTTTATGGCCATTACACATGGATTCTTTGATCACTAATTGTTATTAAACCATATTTGGTTTTTGGATGACAGATTTATGAAAGAGGATTCAATGTCGTCTCAGTAATTGTTTGTACATGTGTTCTAGCACTCATTAAGCTAGTGACAGGGAAACCCCATATTGTTTGTGTGTTTGTATGTGTGTGACTATGAATGTAGTGACAGATATAACACATGCACTTGTGACAAAATAAAGTTTATACATCTACATGAATTGACAAGTAAAATCATATTATGATTGGTAATGGGGAAGGGGAGGGGGTATACATTCAAATCTAATTTTAGGAGAGTGTTGAATATTCTCTTTAGATTTCAAGAGAAAAGCACTAGGAGTTTCAGATATGCAGGGGTGTTAATTGGTTGAATATAATTACACACTTGTATAAATTGGATACTGTAGATGGTTTTGATAAACAGAAGGTACTTGCCTTTTTTTTTTAATTCAAGGTCATCCTCTCTAGTTTTATTCAACATCCTTTGGTGACCACTTGACTTTACAAGTAAATTATTTCTTTGAAGACTTATTAACAGTTTCTAATTCTGCTGACACAGCAGTTTTCCTCCATGTGTTAATTACGGGTCTGTTAATTAGTACTACATCATAAGAATCTGTGTTTGATTTTAATATATATGTTGTATCCTGGGCATTGGTCTGATCGTTTATAACGTTACATGGTCAGGGTTTATGATGCCATTCTTTACTGTCAATCTTTGTGTGACGTGACGAGGCTACCCTTGTATGGTAATAATGTTATGGCTTAGTAAGCAGTTTATGTTCTACAATGTCGACTTAGGCCTGTGTTGGATTACCACAACTGAATTAAGGAACTATGTTTCATGTGTTGATTGTCTTTATACATAATGTAGTGTACAATGTAAAATTAACAGCACAGTACACAAATAACCTTGAAGGTCTAGGAAGACATGAGTAAGAGAGTGGGCCATTTTCTGTGAGTACTTTATAGCTTGTGGTAAATATTGATTTTTAGGTAGGATCCCTGCAGGTTTAACTAATGACACAGAAAGCAAAGGGCATATGATAGAAGAAACTCTTTCTTGGTAGATAAAGATCGGATCAAATCCATGTACAATATTTGTACCCATGTGAAACATTTATTATATATATTAAATCTTTCTTCAATTAAGTGTATTATTTATAAATTGAGGATGCTAACACTATGAAGTAGAAAATTTATTAGATGTCATTTTTATAAGGCATCAACTAAAGTGTTGTTAAAATACAATAAATTTTATGATCTCCTTGATATTTTATATGAGAGATTATCTGGTGTGAGTACATACTGCAAGGTCACTGTAAGAAGGAAAGGTCAATGTCCCAATATGTTACCAGTTCTGTCTACCTGTAATTGCATGTACTGAGTGTCACATTGCTCACCTGGGCACATTAACATACATATCAACAGCTACCTCACCTGGCTACATCATCTACTGCTTGCTCACCTGGGCACAGTTGCATACACGTCTGTAGCTAGCTCAACTAGGCACATTAACATACACATCTCTAGCTAGCTCACCTGGGCACAGTAACATGTACCCCTATATACCTAGCTCACATAATTTACATATAAGAATTTACAGCTAGTTCACCTGGGCAACTTAATATGTACACATTTATAGCTAGCTCACCTGGGCGAATTTACATGTAAGCATTTACAGCTAGCTCACCTGTGCACAGTAACATACACATTTATAGTTAGCTCACCTGGACACATAATCCGAGATTCCTCTGACTCTAACCCCTGCTTTTATATTTTGACATGTGCAGGGGAGAGTCAGAGCGGAGGCCATATTGAAAAGTGGGAATTCAGCGACACCAGCTGACGTCATGCGCAAAGAAATCAAATGGCGAGGAGGCGACCTAATTCAAGTGATACTTCATTTGTCGGTGATAGGGCCGTTTAAATGGCGATAGCATCATATTAGTGATGAATAAGTTGTAGAAGAATCATCCCTTTACTGAGTTCTTGCATCTCGGAAGTTAGATCCGCAAAATAAAGTTGTAAAAGGTATGCAGAGTCACGACACCAGCTGGTGTCGCTGAATTCCCACTTTTCAATATGGCCTCCACTCTGACTCTCCCCTGCACATGTCAAAATATAAAAGCAGGGGTTAGAGTCAGAGGAATCTCGGATTACTGGACACAGTAACATCACATTTATAGCTAGCTCACCTGGACACAGTAACATCACATTTATAGCTAGCTCACCTGGACACAGTAACATCACATTTATAGCTAGCTGAATATTTAGTGAAAAGTCCCTGTGACTTTCTACCTTCCATTTTGTTTGGACACATTTAATTTTATAAAGATGTGTACCTAACCTTAGGTCCATATCGTCACTGTATTTGCTCATCAGCATGGCCTATGTCTTAATTTAGATTCTCCTGTAGATATACCTGTATCAGAGACTGTGTCTCCTTACCAACATAGCTATATTTAGCCCTTAATTTATCTGGACCCTTACTATTTTAGTTATAAATCACTTCTTGAAATTTATTTTGCTTGACTGACTTGAATGATGGTTTTAAGGGTAACCTTCAGTTAGCTCAATTCTGATAGGTTAGTCAGACAGGCCAAATAGGCAGTCCTTTTATTTTTTTTATCTTATGAGCAAACAGAAAAGCCTCACCATGAAATGATGATATGGATTATTCATTGATTAGTTATAAGTAGAGTTTTATCTTGTAAACTCAAGCCAGACTACAAAATCAGTCATTTGTCAGATTTTTGCCATTAGCATGATTAGTATAATCTTGGAAGGACAGTGATTTTGACACACATTGCTTTATATTTTATTTATATTGTGATTTTAATATTGGCTGATGTATCCGAAGAGGATGATTTTCTCTTCAAATAAAATTGCACCAACGTTTAAGGGATTGCTCTGTCATCAACAAATTTCCAATGATAAACAGAATGAGCACTGTGGTACAGGAATGTGTGAAATTTAATTTCACAAATGATAAATGTAAATGACATTGATTCTCCATCCACTCAAACACTGATGATGTGTTTGTTTTCATTATGGGTTTCATTTGATCTTTAAAAAATGGGGGGGGGGGGGGATAAATGATGTAAATTCTTGGAATAAATAATGATTGGTTATATATATATATATACAATAATTAGTTATAACTAAGAGAGAAGTGTTCTGAATGGTTGAATGTGTTGTAAGACGTGCATACAAACATAACATGTTTACATGTGCACAAATTTTCTTAAAAAGCTAAAGAATATTGAAAGTTTGTTAAATTATCTATGGCAGCATCTATATGCCTACTAATTATCTATATAAATAGATAAATATATCTAAATAAAATCGCACTGTACTATGGATGTTGTGTTTTACTGAAGACGTTTGGTCACATTTATAGGTTAAACATGCATTTGTTGAATATGTATTGCACGCTGCTGAAGAAAAGGGAAAACTATCAAGTTTCAGATTTATGAATTAATGGAGAACTATTTTTGCTTTCTGTGGCCATTGATTCATAATCCTGCAGACAATTGATGAGGCATAAGTTATATAAGACTGTAAATCCACTGATAAAACAAGGATTAGGTTGTTATGGTTTCTCTTTTCATTAAGACAGATCTCTCTCCAAGAGAATATTGTATTGTTTTATTTCTAAATGTTTTATATTTGTTTTTTGTAGGAAAGAATCTGTACAATAATGAGCATGTGGCAGTCAAATGTGTAAGTAAAACAGTGTATAAAGCTACACACAGTTGTATAAGTAAAACCTTAGTGTAAAATGCTAGTTGTACAAGTAAAACCTCAGTGTATAATAATACACAAGCAAAACCTCAGTGTAGAAAGCTACACACAGTTGTATAAGTAAAACCTTAGTGTAAAATGCTAGTTGTACAAGTTATTGAGGGGGTCATACATTGTTTGTCTGTCTGCATGTTGTGTTATCATTTCCCAAATACTGTCACATTCAATATTTCCCAGCAATTTCCCACTTATCCCTAAAGAATCGGCTGACTGGGATGATCAGCCCTCAACATCACAAGTGAGTTAGTGTACATAATGTTTACATTGCAGCCACTGTGAATACAATCTTCTCTCAGTATGATGTCATTAGAAGTTATTCCATTGAAAGAAATAGATTAAACTAAAGTCATATATAATCAAGAAGAAGTGGTCATGATAGCAGATTATAGGTCATTCTGTTGGAAGGCATGAAGTCACAAGAATTCTATTCATTTATTGTGAATATTGATTTGTACATAAGAGCTCAATTTTTTTCTGAATTGGTAAATTGAGTTTTGGTAATTCTGACTTTCTTTGGCCATCAGACTATAAGGCCCCTGTAATAAGACTTTCAATGCTCTGGAGAGATTGGTATCAAGTTGTGCTTTAGTGGCTAAATCTCTGTACCACAGATAAACTCTAGCATACATACAATATCTATTGAACTTTGTTTCAAGTGTGAATCAATATTCTGAAACCCTGCTAATCCCTGATCAGTGGTGAAGGAAGGATATATTTCCCAGACAAAGATAATATGTGTAGACAAGTATCACCATCTAACAGTACAGTATAAGCCCTGGGGGTCAGGATTCAGACATGGTGGGTGTATGATTATCTGTAAAACTGCATATAGGCATATTTCTCAGAGGAGGTTTCATAGAGACACCACAGACTTAGTTGACAGAGAGTTGGGTTGTATTAACAGTCGGTGATATTTCACCCCTAGCATTTGGATTGAAGGGCAAAGTTGTTCTTGTAGATCATTGTTCTTTAATTCCATCTCTCTTGATCTGTACAGCCCTCAGAATTATGTACTTTGCATATGTTACTGATTTTTAAAAAAAATCATGGACATTTAAAATCACACATAAAAATTAAAAGCTATACATCTACTCAGTGCCAATTCACTATTAAGATTTTAAATTTAGCATTGTTGACATGGTGGAATCTGTTGATGATATCTTATGTAGACAAAGAATAGAAAGTTCAACTATATTTAGAAATGATGAAATCAATAAACATTCATTTTAAGTTAAAAAAAAATGAACAGAAAATATAGTTTATTTTCATAAGAAATTTATTAGAAAATAACAAAGGAAAATAAAAATTGATAATTTTGATAACAAATGTTATTGTTTTATTAACCTCGGAGTATTTTCTGTAGGAGCCTATGAAGTCCCGAGCTCCCCAGCTTCACCTTGAGTACAGATTCTATAAACAGCTTGGACAAGCGGGTAAGCTTATTTTTCATAGACAGGAGGAAAAAATTTTCAGTGAGGTGCACCAGGAATTTTTATATTTGAATAGAAGGAAGGAGGTGGGAAATTTTTTGTTACGTTGAAAAAAAAGGGGGGGGGGGGTGTCTAGATAGTTAATGCTAAGAAAAGAAGGGAGTATAATTATGTGAATTCATCACCAGTGTGATAACTGTTAACCTGGGTATTTCACACTTGATCTTGATTGAGACTTCTGGTAAATAAGCAATTTCATCTTAACAAAAAAAGCAGACCAGTTATTGAATATTGTTGCAGTCTAAAACAGGCAGTCTGTTGAATTGAGTGATAATACCATATAAAATGTGTGAAATAAGCGTCAAAATAATGGCCATTTCTAGCGACGAGGTAGTAAGCTCCATAGAGACTGAGACTATAGTACTTAAGGTATCTGAGGACGGATCTATACTAGCATCTAGACCAGGAGTTTTAAGCCATATTTTAGGGGGTGGATGTCTGACTGTCTTCACTTATAAAGTAGTTAAAATTTGAAGAAAAACAAGTTTTACATGAGTAATGTTTATGGTAGATATTTGAGCATGTTGTACTTCATGTATGCTGGAGATTAGCTAGATGGTTTCAAGTGGTGGATTATTTATAGGATATGCATGTAATATTTAATTAAATACCATAATTTGTGTCAAATTGAAAGAATGTAGGATATGTTTACATGTAATGATTTAATAGCTGAAATTATAACGAATGCACCGTACTGTGTGTATGAGTCATGCTTTAGAGATTTCATTATCCCAATTTTTGTCAAAGGTCAATAACACTGGTGTACTAGGAGATTGTCAGAGTCGGTAAAAAACAAAACAATGTAACAACCTGCTACTGAAGTGGAATATTACTTCCTTAATCAGGGAACTTAAATATTACTGAGTACAGGAAGTTCTCACAACCAGTGTGTGTGTGTGTGTAGAGTCATCAGTAGACTAAACCCCTGATAAAATAACGAGATGATTGTGGGCAGTAACGGGCAGAACCAGAAGAGAATCGTAACAATTCTTTATGTGGAGAGAATTCTATCAGAGTGTAAGGGGGCGTAACTGATGAAAGGGGTCCACAAAGGTCATTGATGTGTCACAAAAAAGAAACAAACAAGGTCCAAATTAACATTAATTAAAAACATTATATAGAATCTATGTGTGGCAGTTATTTTTATTACTTAAAAATGATTGTCAAGGTAAAATGTCAGATTTGCATTACTAATATTAGGATGATTTTTTTTTTTATCTCAGCAATGCCATGAATTTAGTAAATTTGACAGTTGACAAGTACTGCCAGTATTTTTCATAAACCAGAATCACAGTTGAATAGAGTCAGTTTCCCCTAGGAAATGTCATATTCCCCCCAAATTTCCAATGGCTTTTTTAAGATTTCAATGTAAAAATTCTCCCCAAAATGAATGAAAAAGGCTGCTTTGAAATTATGGGGTGACTGTAGATCTAGAGTGTACAAGTGACATAGTTTATACAAAACAGTACAAGGAACTAAAAATACTACTCAAAGATAGTTCTGAGGGAAAAAAATGAAGGGGCTGTATAAATTGTTATTTAATATTGAATTCTCTTTCTTAATCCCAGAAAAGGAGGGGAGGGGGTACCTATTTGATCCAGCTAAAGTGAAGGCTACATGTAGTTCTTGAAGCTGTGCTCTTCAGCATTGCTATTTTATTTTCGGTTTAGTTACTTTTAAGAAGTGGCAGTGGAGGATAACTCGAGGGAGGGATAGAGGGACTTTAGTTATTGACTGGTCACCAGAGGGTAGGGTGTTAAACAGGACTCTGTTTTGATGAGGGTTGTCGTAGAGGGAGGGATACATGTATGTGGGTTCTGTTACTTCTGGGTCATGGCTGAACCACTGACACACTTCAGAGGTCTCTAGAATTAAAACAGTTCCTTGGGGTCCTTGTTTGGGTTGACAACTGGGCAGTGTTTACCTGTGTATCATAAATTAAGTCCTTCTCAATACAAGCATTACACATTTGTACACACTGTCTTTAAAGGACATTTATAATATCACTTGTCAGTGTTAAGTCCACAAGAGGGCATTGACAGAATTAAAGAGACTCTCTCTCTTTACGAGGACCTGAGGTGTTCGTCACTATTGATTTTGGAATTCAAAATCTGTCACATGAACTGATTAGCTTATTTGTATATTACATAACACTGTGATGCTATTCAGAGCATTTTTAAACAACACAGGACTGCAAAAGGACATAAAGATTTAAGTAGGTTTTTAGTTCATACAAAACCTGCTTCCATAAGTATATTTAACTTTTGCAATGTATGATGTTTAAGAAGTTATGCAGAAGTGTGAAGCATTTATTACATGAAATGTTAGATCAGTCCAAATTTATATGTTGAAGCAATTATAAAAAAAGAAGAATATGCTGTGCAAATTGCATGTAGAAATCACTAGAATTATAAGAGACAGGTATTTATTTATCTGTTGTAATTCAAATTTTTAAAGTAACTTTTCCTTAGTTCTAGTTATGTGGTTTAAAGATAACTTTATTTTAGTTCACATTATTACAAATTTATCCCAAAGATGTTGTATTATTCAGATGTAATCAAACTCACAGAAGATAAATTGGGTATGTGTTGAATTATCCAGATGTGATCAAACTCACACAGATAAATTGAATATGTGTTGAATTATCCAGATGTGATCAAACTCACACAGATAAATTGAATATGTGTTGAATTATCCAGATGTAATCAAACTCATACAGATAAATTGAATATGTGTTGATGATTTTCAGAGGGTGTTCCCAATGTGTACTATTTTGGACCAAGTGCTAAAAACAATGCATTGGTGATGGAATTACTGGGGCCAAGCTTAGAGGATTTATTTGACATTTGTGACAGAAAATTCTCCCTCAAGACTGTTCTAATGATAGCCATTCAGTTGGTGAGTGCTTAAAAAATTTCATGTAAAACACTTGTATTTTGTTGATATTTATGTTTTGTAGTGGATTGCAATGATAAAAGTAGACAAAAGGATTGCTTTGTAAGATCAAACCTGGCACTGTCAGCCTTAGAATGTCTTAACTATACAGTGTCAGGTATATTCACATGTATTGAGTATTTCTGATTGTGATTTTTTTTTTTTGATTATTGGTTATATGAATCGAGACGATTTATTCTGTGATATTTGAGGTAAAACAAAATGTCTTATGAAAGCTAATGGTTAAACATTATGCTGTGTTGTAATTATGCCATTATTTTCTGTAGATTTCAAGGATGGAATATGTGCATTCAAAACACCTGATTTATAGGGACGTCAAACCTGAGAATTTCTTAATCGGACGACAGTCTACTAACAAGCAACATATCATACATATTATAGACTTTGGTTTAGCCAAAGAGTATATAGACAGTGAAACACACAAACATATACCTTACCGAGAACATAAAAGCCTTACCGGTACCGCCAGGTACATGAGTATAAATACACATTTAGGAAAAGGTAAGTGGTGCACATACGTGTCTGTGTGGTGGTGTTGGTGGGGGGGGGGGTACCATTTTAAAGTGAGAAGGCTGGTAACTAGGATTAAGAATAAGTGAGAGATAATATATCATAATAAATGTTTGAAAAATATCAATAATGTTTATTATTAATTATGTACAGAATTTGGAAGATTTAAATTTTATTCTAGATTAGGAACTGTAAAGTTTGGATTGAATTTGTGTTGATAATGGAACCTATTAAAGTACATTGTACATGTTGTAGTTATGAATGAGTGATAACCTCATACAATTGAAGTGTATTTCATTTTACAAATTGTAAATTAGTTTATGCCAGTCATTTATTGTGTGTTAGTGTATAAATTGATCCTTGACTGTTGATATGATCACAGTTGGATAGATGTTGCTCTAAGTCATTGTGTATTAGTGTATTATTTGATAGCTAGCTATTGTAAAAAAGATACAGTTGGAAAGAGTCATTTAGTGTGTGTTAGTGTATCAGTTGATAAATTGGCTGTGTATAAATGAATGATTGAACTAAGTCAATTATTATTGGCCATTAAATGAATTGATAATTTACTGTTATAGTGTATAAATAGATAATTAGCTATGTGTACAAGTTGATAATTTACTATTGTAGAGTATAAATCAATGAACAGATAATCGACTGTTGTGTATAAGTTGATGCTTTACTGTTATAGTCTATAAGTAAATTGATCATTTGACTTATGTAGTGTATAAATTGGCAATTGGCTTTTTTAGTTTATAAATTGATTATTGACTGTTGTAGAACAAAGTCGGAGGGATGATTTAGAGGCGCTGGGTCACATGTTCATGTATTTCCTAAGAGGAAGCTTACCATGGCAGGGACTAAAGGCAGATACATTAAAGGAACGATATCAGAAGATTGGGGATACAAAGCGGGCCACCCCTATAGAAGTCTTGTGTGAAAATTTCCCAGGTAAATCCTGACAAAAAGTCACCCCTATAGAAGTCTTGTGTGAAAATTTCCCAGGTAAATCCTGACAAAAAGTCACCCCTATAGAAGTCTTGTGTGAAAATTTCCCAGGTAAATCCTGACAAAAAGTCACCCCTATAGAAGTCTTGTGTGAAAATTTCCCAGGTAAACTCTGACAAAAAGCCAACCCTATAGAAGTCCTGTGTGAAAATTTCCCAGGTAAATCCTGACAAAAAGTCACCCCTATAGAAGTCTTGTGTGAAAATTTCCCAGGTAAACCCTGACAAAAAGCCAACCCTATAGAAGTCTTGTGTGAAAATTTCCCAGGTAAACCCTGACAAAAAGCCACCCCTATAGAAGTCTTGTGTGAAAATTTCCCAGGTAAACCCTGACAAAAAGTCACCCCTATAGAAGTCTTGTGTGAAAATTTCCCAGGTAAACTCTGACAAAAAGTCACCCCTATAGAAGTCTAGTGTGAAAATTTCCCAGGTAAATCCTGACAAAAAGTCACCCCTATAGAAGTCTTGTGTGAAAATTTCCCAGGTAAACTCTGACAAAAAGTCACCCCTATAGAAGTCTAGTGTGAAAATTTCCCAGGTAAACCCTGACAAAAAGTCACCCCGATAGAAGTCTTATGTGAAAATTTCCCAGGTAAACTCTGACAAAAATTCACCCCTATAGAAGTCTTGTGTGAAAATTTCCCAGGTAAACTCTGACAAAAAGTCACCCCATAGAAGTCTTGTGTGAAAATTTCCCAGGTAAATCCTGACAAAAAGTCACCCCGATAGAAGTCTTATGTGAAAATTTCCCAGGTAAACTCTGACAAAAAATCACCCCTATAGAAGTGTGAAAATTTCCCAGGTAAACCCTGACAAAAAGTCACCCCATAGAAGTCTTATGTGAAAATTTCCCAGGTAAACTCTGACAAAAAGTCACCCCATAGAAGTCGTGTGTGAAAATTTCCCAGGTAAAACCTGACAAAAAATCACCCCTATAAAAGTTTTATGTGAAAATTTCCCAGGTAAACTCTGACAAAACGTCAACCCTCTAGAAGTCCTGTGTGAAAATTTCCCAGGTAAACACTGACAAAAAGGCCTCTCACAGTGCAGTTGCTTTTATTGGAGCATCAATTTTCTGAATTGTTACATGGGAGGTGTTAAAGTTTTATTTGAATGTGTTAAAGAATAAAATGAAACCACAATTCTGTCCTTCCTTATTTTAACATAAGTAATCAGAGGCATAAATTATGAATTTATTCAAAGAATAGAGAGAAATGAAATGACCTCCACTTGTGTAGAGGAATCCTGTGTTCTAGAATTACATAATCTGATTCTTTTATTCATTGCAGAGGAATTTGCTCAGTATTTGAGGTATGTGCGGCGGCTGGACTTTTTTGAGACTCCGGACTATGACTATCTGAGACGACTGTTCACTGATCTCATGTATCAGAAGGGCTACGAGTGTGACTGGGACTTTGATTGGGTGGGCCGGCAGGTGAGTAAGGTAAAAGATCGAGCTCACTCAGTGGAGTATTCTGGGGAGTCACTCAGTTATTGTGAAATGAGACTAAAAGGGTCAGGTGATGTCACTTCCTGTGAGACAAGACTTTGAGGGGGTCAGATGATGTCACTTCCTGTGGAACATGACTATAGGGGTTAGATAATTTGGGGCTAGTATTGAACATAAATTCTAAAATAATCATCCTATTGCTTGAGGACCTTTTAGGGTGAAATACTCTCTATGACAGCCAGATTTCTTACAACTCGGAACTTTTTTTATATTTTTAGTCCACACCAGTACCAATTCCCTCACAGGACCCAATTGGACCCTCCAAGACAAATGAAGGAGCACCTGGAAGACATCACCCACAGCCAAAGAAGGTAAAGCCCCCCATAATTGTCTGACTGAGCCATGAGTCGACTGATTAGTACTGACCAATAACAGGGTCATGTGATTTCTATTGAACTTTATTTGTCATGTGACTGAAGTTTTATTGCATGCACACTGATTACAATTCTGAAGCTTTATTTAACTGGCTTCCCATATGAAATGATGAAAACACATACAGGTTAACAGTTGGCTTTGATGTTTGGGTTTTTGTCTTGGTCATTTCTAACTGTTCCGTTCTTGTTGTTGCTGTGTCACAGCAGCTTTCTGTCGAGCTCTTTTTCTGCTTCATTGATCATGGTGCATGGTTTAATTGTATTCAAGAGCTGAAGCGAATCCCAAAAGTTTCTCTAGCACCAAGTAAGGATCAGTATTTGAGAGGGAACTTAAAAATAATGGGATGTTTAGATATAATATCAGTTCACAGAGAATTTTTATCTATGATAAATATTTCAGGATTTTCCTAAGGATACAAAAGGGGACTTGAATTCAGGATAAATTGAGTATTTTGTATGATCTAGAAAGGTCTTGATGTGAATTGACTTCAGTATCTGATAAATGTGCTTACAGGGGCTATGACTTGTTAATTTTTTTCAGAGTAAACAAAGGGCTCATGAGGTAAGATGGAAATCCCTGTACACATGTACTTATCCCTGATTCTGAGTTATTTCCCCTTCAAGTGTAATCTTAACAAACCACAGATAGATTTTAACTGGACTTTGGCCTTGGAACACTGCATGTATATAGACAAAAAAACTTCAGAATTATGCACTGTTATTTGTTGAGGTCATGGAATAAAGAAAATTGATGCAAGAACTCTAAATTTTTATCATATCTGCATAAAATATCTGAAGTATGAAACTGACTTCTGAACACTCTCTATAATTTGATAGCTATTGAAATAATTACATTAATTTTGAAATTTGGTCACTGAACTCTGTATGAAATTGGTTTAAGGATAACAACAGAGCTATCATGCATGCAGTGTATCAGCTATAATGTAAACACCATACCTGGTATTGTGGTTTCCAGGTAGGGTTACTAATACACTGTCACATATACTCTGTTCAAAATTAACAACAGGGATGACCTATTGGTGTGGGGTTTGATTTCGATTTACTTAAATCCGTTGTTGGCAAGAATGCCACTCCAAGATCCTGGATTCTTTAGCTTTTTTTATTGGATCGGGAATCCCTGAATTAATTATCATTTCATACTCAGGTCAGGTAAATTTAGTGGATGGGAATAACACACTAATAATTCTATACTTAACCTGGTCTAGGAGACTAAGTCTTATAGATTATCCTGCTAACAATCCTGCATTACTTATATAGATAATCAGGATTGTCTAGTGGTAGTTACTGTGTATCTTGTGGATATATATTCGTTTCAGCTCATAACCTTGTGTTATTTAACTTGTTATAGTGCTTTGTATTTGCATGGTGTGTATATCTGCATGTTAAATCAACCATCTTTGACCTTGGACATTTCAGCCTATATAAGAGTTTTTGGGGGTTTTTTTTCAAATTCATTATTAAAAATTTTATTCCCACTTTTATCACTGATAAAACTTTTGAGAAATTTATCTTGCACTTGAAGAATTGATATTTTAGATGCCAGTGAAAAGTCCAAGCTAAATACTGGGTGTTCGTTGTGTGCATGGCTTACAAATAGATTTACAGCTTAAGAAAACATTTTAATAAAGAAAAGGAAAGAAAATAAAACCTATAGATATCAGATTCATTTACAACTGTGTATAGTTTATTTAATGGCATTCAACACTGAGGTATTGAGACATCATTACTACAAATTACATTAACAGTAGCTAAAGGTCCATGTGGTATTACAGTATGATGAATTTTTGTTCTGTACAATTTGAAATTGCAAGGTACTTCCTAGCATTTAAATATATGTGTGTATGTTTCAACATTTTAAAAAGAAATACTACTAAATCATGCACATGGTGTTTTAAAAAGTATATTCACATTTCAAATGTTTTATTCTGCAGTAACCCAGAATCCGTTTAAAGTTAGAAATAATTTGATTTTTGTTTCATCTGTATTTATTCTATGTGGAAAGATTTTGGCTGCAGTAAGCACTGTCTTGTTCTTAATTAATCTTAACAAAGTCAGAGCTATATTTGTACGTGTGTCTTTATCAAGCCATGAAGTAAATCTTGTTTGCATTTTCTGTGATATGCATGCTGGCTAGAGTTGTATGTATTGACATGATATAGTTTTTAAAATGTCCATCTTCATGCTCTTGTACTGCTTGTCTTTGTGTTGTTCATATTTATATAGCATTGTCATAGGTAGCTTAACTTCTTAACATGGGAAAACTTATTTGAATTCACTCATACCTCAATACTCAATCAGATCAAATGAAAAGATACCTGCCCTTAACTGAAAATCCACTGACATTAAATCTATCTTGCGAAAGGTTATACCCTAATACTCAATTTAGTCAATTGATCAGGTACCTGCTCTTAACTGAAATTGTTTTTTTTTTTGTTTTGTTTTTGTTTTTGTTTTTGTTTTTTTTCAATCCTTATGGAGGAAGAGAGAATTGGTCGTTAAATCAGTGAGAAAATTGAAGAAAGGGGGGGGGGGGGATCTTGAAAAGTTTCTGAATTCAGATGAGATTCCTTGAAGAAAACTGTAATAAAAAAGATTCTTGCAATAGATAGTAAACCATGGTCATGGTGAACTGCTAGCTACAGCTATAATAACCCCATTATATCTGTCAATCAGTTGATCATTACTTTGTTGTATTTGGTAACCAAATATGAGTATTATAAGCAGGTATAATGGAAAGTGTTTTCGCTGTAAACATACTTTAGTGTGGACAATTATACATTTATTGTCTGAGTTTGCAGGCAACATGCGTTTTGTCGGACTCAAGGTTTTGCCTTAGACCGAAGGCAAAATTGTGGTTCAAGGGGTCGACAGAATGCATCTTACCCAAGAACCCAGTCAATGAATGTTTTGTTATACCTTTTACTTGTTATTTTGACACATCTTGTGCTGGCTATCATGTTTGCTATAATTGATAAGATATACCATATAGGGTGATTGTTTAGTGGGGTGCCAAATTTGGCTTATTTGCGATTTGATAGAATCCCACTAAAATTTTAATTGCTAAAGAACAAGGTATGGTTTCAATACAAATCTTGCCCTGTGTTTTTCTTAAAAATAAAAGTGATGTAAAAAATTAAAACTCATGCTTTTTGAATTATTGAAATTCCATGCAGAAAGATCATACAAATCTTTTTTTCTCACATAACCTTCCAAATGCTAATTGTGACGTCATAAACTTGTGCATTTTCCCGTATTTTCTTCAAAAGTTGCAGAAGACATCAATTTTCAATGGAATTTTCTTTCAGATAATATTGTCCACAGGCATCGCCCACAAAGATTTTGAGATATGTGATTTTTCAAAGAATTTTACACAACATATCTAAAAATTAACGTGGGCGACGGCTGTGGACACTATCTTCTTAAGGAAAATAACCCTTGAAATGGGTCATTTTGAGGCTTTTTCTGTTTAAAATAGAGAAATGCATCAAATTAATGACGTCATATATCCAGAATGGTACTCCATCATGCTATATTCTTTCCTGATTTATTACAGTCATATACTCAATTAATATTTAAGCCAGTTTCAAAACTTTTTGAAAACATTCAATTTTTAGGGCACAATAAAGCTAAAACCATACCTTCTTCTTTGTACTCTTGTGTGTAGGTACTGAATACAAGAAAGATAACTTTGATCTGGCTGTTTACATGTAAACATTATACTCTCTGAACTCTATTCAAAGTAAAAAAAAAAAAAGTAACATCTGGAAGATGTATCTACATATCTAAGGTACCTTAAGCAGTCTGTTGTTTAATGGTACCAAATTTTATTACTGGTTTTGAACTTTATGGAATCCAGTGTCTGCCAGAAAAAAATTCTACCAAAATTATTGACATGCCTTTGAGCAAGCAAAATGCCAAATTTTACACCCGTTAAAGAAACCTGCTATATGGTAGCTGATTCCGCCTACAGTGTGACGTAAGAAACATCATAGCGGTCCAATATCTCATCAACAGGTCCAATATCTCATTCAGCGGTCCAACATGGATTTTTTTTAACCACTCAAAAAAAAAAAAAATGGAAATGTTTGATTTTTTTAGCAAAGATTTATATAGGGAACAATTTTTAAAGGTATAACAAATGTTAAGACTTATCATTCTCATAGAGTGTTGTAGGTTTTGCATGATGTTTCTCTTTAGTTCTAAAACATTTTTATGTGACTGTGATATTGAGTACCATTACAGGGGCCTAAACATTGGAGGTCAACAACAGAATTCTCCCCCATGCATAGCAGCTTCCCAAGTAAATGAGAGTCTACCAAAGTTGTCATTCCATATTGAAACATGTCTCAAGGTTAACAAGACTAAAACATAGATCTCTTAAAGGTCTCTACGTTAATTGAAAGGACTCCCAAATTTGTTAAAGCAGGATGTTCAGTCCACAAGAACTATTATATTTAATTGCTGTGTAGATATGCATTATTCAAGCAAAATAGAGGCTATCAAACTATTTCTAGTCCACAACTGGCTGCTAGACCACAAGTAACTGTTTGACTGCCTGGCATGTTGGAGAATTCTAGCATTTCCATTACTTCATTAAATTGTATAGCTGTCATTCATTTCTGCACATGACACTAATTTGCCGTTTCAGCCCGGTACAAATCAAAGGGGGCTAGCATGGGGTGAGAGTTCCCGACACACCACTAACTATCTGGGTGCCAACCTCGCACCTGATAGACACGGGGGCTCAGTACAGGTAATACTATCCATTTCCCACCATTTTTCTAATGTTTGTCAAATCCCATTTGGGAATTTAATTTTTTCTGTCCAGATCTAGTTATTATGCCATCGTGCAACTTTTGCCTGGGTAACCACAGAAGCTTGGAGAATTGGTGCTTTATGCATTAGATTTCTGGATTTAGCTCACTTCAACAACATGCCCTATCTCATCTGAAGGTTATTAATAAGAAGGTCCAACCCTAAGTAGTTTAACAGTACTTGGTCCAGATCTGTGCTGATCATACATTTTTTAGAGGCACTCTACCATCCATTTTTCATAGAGTGCCTGTTATACATAAAAATGTTGAAGCATTTTGAATCGGTAAATCAAATCCTCAATGACAGCTTTGTTTGATGAAAATTCATAAACGTGTTGATTAATAAGCTGTAGATTCTGAATTTGTATTTTCTACAGTCTAGTCTTGAGTTTTCAGTAGAAATTTACACAAAGAATGATCACTGTTTCTTTCATGGACCATATTTGTGCACTACTTGATGGTTCATGAAGGTACTTGTATAAGAGTTAGCACCAGAGGATATACCAAGACCTATGTATAACTTACTGATTCATTGTGAGACCATCTAACATGCGTTTGGCATTTGTCGAGGTGAGCTACATATCCCTGATGATACTATTTTTCTTTGGGCTTGTTTATCATTGCCACTTATCAAATGTATGACACAATGTACAAATTTTTAATGTGTATAATTTTTTTTTTTATGTTTATAAATCCAAATCATTGATTTCAGTATGTTTTTGTTGTATATGAGTATTTAATTATTTTGATATTTTTGTTATGCAGCCTTATCATTCCATGCTTATGTCACATGATTCGGTATATATCATTGCCATTTAGAATTATTTTCTCCTCTCTAGCTGTGGTCCTTTTTGCTAAATAACATTCTTCATTGCTTTCTGGCCAGCCTACCAGCCTGCATATCTTGCTAAGATTTTGTTATTTCTGGAGATGTATGAAATGATGTCTCAATGTTGAGGTTAATAATAAAACTGGTGTTCTTTCTTTGTCAATTCCACTAACCAGTCATAGAGTTTGATTAAGGATAAATAATGTTCTTACTGTGTAAATTACACTAAGTAGTTTTAAAATTGAATAATAAAATACTTTTAATTTATTCATTCTACATATTTTTTGATGAAGGAAAAATTGTATCTTTGCTCTCTGTGACTTTCTTTTAATGTTAATCTCAGATCATATTGATCTAACATCTACAAGTCAACAGTCTGTCTTCATAATCTTTATCACTTGGTTCTTTGGTAACCAGGGTATTCTTTTAATATTTTATGATGATATAATTTACTCAAATTATATGCAACTTCTATGACTGTGTAAGCATTGCAAGATAAATTGGAAGGCATTGAATTGCATGGTTTTGTCAGTGACTACAACATAGGACAAGATTAAATAAATACAAGATACTAAGCTGAATGCAGAGTGTTCTGAGCTTTAGACTCTTTTGTTATTATCAAAGTGGTTGAAATGTGAGATATTAACTTCTTTTGAATTATCTGAAATATGTAATGAAAAAAAATGTGTATCTCTTTCAGTAATGCAGTATTGTTAAATGATCAGAGGTATATAAACTTAACAATGACCCAGGAATTGAAGTACATGATTTTGATATCATTTTTCAGGTTCTGAATTCCAACAACGGTGATGTGAACACAGAGGATAACAATGACATGGGACAGCACTCTACACTACAGCTGAGTAAAGATAGACAGGAGGAGGATAACAGTGAAACAAAGTAAGTAGGTCAAGGTCACTACAGCTGAGTAAAGATAGACAGGAGGAGGACAACAGTGAAACAAAGTAAGTAGGTCAAGGTCACTACAGCTGAGTAAAGATAGACAGGAGGAGGACAACAGTGAAACAAAGTAAGTAGGTCAAGGTCACTACAGCTGAGAAAAGATAGACAGGAGGAGGAAAACAGTGAAACAAAGTAAGTAGGTCAAGGTCACTACAGCTGAGTAAAGATAGACAGGAGGAGGACAACAGTGAAACAAAGTAAGGTCAAGGTCACTACAGCTGAGTAAAGATAGACAGGAGGAGGACAACAGTGAAACAAAGTAAGTAGGTCAAGGTTACTACAGCTGAGTAAAGATAGACAGGAGGAGGACAACAGTGAAACTAAGTAGGTCAAGTTCACTATAGCTCAGTAAAGGTAGGAGGATAACTGTGAAACAAAGTAAGTAGGTCAAGGTCATAGCAAACAGGTCAATGACATCTCAATAAGATCAAAGCAGGACTACATAGTAAACTAATAATGCTAAATGTGTTACCTTTGGTGATTAAAGGAACTTATATATAGATGAAATGGTTTGATTACCATAATACATTGTTAGTATTATTAGAGCCCTCATATGGTACAGTCCCTGAAACGTTCTACTTTCCCACTTGAACGGTGAGCGAACGGTGAACGAACGGTGAACAAACGCTGAACGAACGCAGAGCGAACGGTGAGTGAACGATGTGTGAACGCTGAACGCAACTTGGTGAACGATGTGTGAACGGTGAACGGTGAGCGAACGCAGAACGCGAACGGAGCGCAAACGCGAACGCAAAGTGAACGGTGAACGAACGGTGAACGCAAGATGAACGATATATTCGGAATGCCTCTGATCTTTTCCTTGCATTGAAACTATTTTATTGTATTATAATGTCAGGTGCCAAAAAAAAAAAAAATAAATAAATAAATAAGTAAACCAATAAATGAATGAATAAATAAGTCAATAAAATAAATTTTCCAAAATTGTCCTAAGAAAGACGATGCATGCACATTAAGTTTTTAATCACACGATTTTTATCGCATTAAAACATTGCAATTGTTGCCGAACGCTGAAGTATAAAAGATATTGTTTTTAGTTGGAAAATAAAATGTTTATTCTTATTTGATAACAAATCAGAGAAAACTTATGATTTATAGAATGAATTAAAGCGGTTGTAACTTATATTCATTTATATATCTCCGTGTCAAGGCGATTTCGTGTAAAGTAATGAAAAAAAAATTTAATTATATTTATACGCTCGTATTTTAGATTTTTAATACAATAATATATTATGTGTCATTTCTATTTTTCATTATGATTTATTGAGCAGACGTCAACATGTATCCCTAGATGGCCGTGATTATACTCGGACAAGATGATACAAAGATACATATTCATATTATTTGTTATTAATTCAATTTTCAGAACATGATATTCAAGTAATATGGTGTTATAGTTTTTATTAAACAGACAAATGAGAGAGAGAGAGAGAGAGAGTACTATTCAGTTTTAGCCCAACCCCCCTCCTTTCAGGCTTCACCACATGTTTGTACCTATATCAAACAAAAACTCTGAATTTTTTTTCTAAATATATCAGACAGTGAAAGTAACTTTTTTTTATCAACAAATAATATCCATTTGTTTGACAGTCATACTCGTTTTTATTTTCCTGCTTCAAGTTCACACGAAGTCCACGTGCTTGTCCTGTCAATCAAAATCATTCGACACTGTGCAGGTGTGAAAGTTTCGTCACATCGAAGACGAAGTGCGAGTATTTCCAACAAGTTATAACATTTATTTTTATCATTTCTAGATTTGATTCCAACATTTGAATAATAAATTAGTAAAATACATTGGGCATTAACACTTGAATGTGAAACATACTCTCTGCCAATTTCAAATACCACCGCCGACACGTGTACATTTTGATCTACTATTGTTTTGTGACTTTTTTTTAGATGCATGTTTGTTTTGAGACTGAAATTTTGTTCTGAAAAAGACCGTAGCTTTTTTTTCAAATGTTAATTAAAATATTCTGGAAATACGGTACTGACCAAGTCACCGATTTAAGGGGAAAGGGGGGTGGGTGGGTATTAATCATATCGAATGGCAAACATATAAAGTTACGGTGAAGAAAGGTTTTTTTCTCTATAACTATAGACTTTACATATTACAGTAGAGAAATTCTGTAGTGCATTACATTTTAAATAAAATATTTCCTTTAACCACACTTTCAATTTAATTCGTTCTAAAGATAATAAATTAACAGGATATCCGCAGTACTATGTATAACTGTCAGAACTAGTTCTATTATATTTTCTGTAGTAATTGAAAAAAAAAAAAACCTAATAGAAATAAATATTTTCGTAATTTTGCTGCGTAATTATTTGACTTGAATAATTATATCTCCATTAACGATTTGTCGTCTTTAACAAAACAACAAAATGTTGCAGTGCTTGAAGTATTTGCACATTGCCCTTAGTTAAATTTAATATTTCAGCATCGTTCTACATAGGTACAGAATGTGCTTGTAACAACATTTATTTTCCAGAGTAATTTAATAAATAACCTAACAGCTAAGTTAGAATAATAAAAATATATATCGTAGATATTTTTCCTCATGAAATAATGATTCTTCAAACACGATATGTTCGTTAATAAATTAAAAAAAACCTGTAACTCCTTAACTACGAAAAGATAAGTCCTTTCACTTCGGAGTTCCGAATGACAATGAAAACTGAACGATAGGTGAACGCTGAACGCAAGGTGAACGCAAAGTGAACGGAACGAAGAGTGAACGCTGAACGCTTTGTGAACGGTGAACGCGAGCGCACGGTGAATGGTGAACGCAAAACTGTGAACGGAGAGCGAACGGTGAACGCACGGTGAACGAACGGTGAACGCACGCTGAACGAACGGTGAACGAACGGTGAGCGAACGGAAAAATGGGAAAGTAGAACGTTTCAGGGACTGTACCTTATAGTAATCACTGTGTCTGCATGTCTGTTCTTCAACACTTTAATGTGATGCAACTTACATACATTTTACCTACAGACCATGTACTTGTAGGTGGTTGAAGGAGGATGCTTACAGTTTATGAGTCATTTGGCCTAAGGTCAAGATCAAAATAAGATCAAGGTCATAAGTCAAGATGAATGCTATGACCATTACCCAGTTAAGGGATGCATCCCTCATATATTTTTTAAACAGAGTTTATATCTTTTACATAATGGGAGCATGGTTAAAAAATGGACACATACATTTGGGTCATTTGTTCAAAGGTCAAGGTTAAATGTCAAAGTTATTTAAATGACATAAGTGATGCAATAACAGAGACATTTTGTATTCTACATCTACATTTTTTGTATCACTTGACGAAAATTTGAGGTCAAAAGTTAAGATAATGCTATGACTGGTACACACATTTATGTGATGCAAGAATTTGTGATTTATTATTCCACAGACTTCATTCTACTACATTAGAAGGAAAGTAAATAGATGAAGACATGTATAGCATTTCAGGTTATTTTGAGATAGGTCAAGGATAAGGAAACATTATTATTATGATCATAGTGATGCAAAGACTGATGAAAGTACACTGGGACCCTGACGGACTTACTGATGTAAGTGCACTGGGACCCTGACGGACTTACTGATGAAAGTACACTAGGACCCTGACGGACTTACTGATGAAAGTACACTGGGGCTGTGACTGACTGACTGATGAAAGTAGACTAGGGGCTCTGACTGACTTACTGATGAAAGTACACTGGGGCTGTGACTGACTGACTGATGAAAGTAGACTAGGGGCCTCGACTGACTTACTGATGAAAGTACACTGGGGCTGTGACTGACTGACTGATGAAAGTAGACTAGGGACCTTGACTGACTTACTGATGAAAGTACACTGGGGCTCTGACTGACTGACTGATGAAAGTACACTGGGGCTCTGACTGACTGACTGATGAAAATACACTGGAGCTCTGACTGATGAAAGTACACTGGGACCCTGACTGACTGATGAAAGTAGACTAGGGGCCCTGACTGACTTACTGATGAAAGTACACTGGGACCCTGACTGACTGACTGATGAAAGTAGACTAGGGGCTCTGACTGACTTACTGATGAAAGTACACTGGGGCTCTGACTGACTTACTGATGAAAGTTGACTAGGGGCCCTGAATGACTTACTGATGAAAGTACACTGGTGCCCTGACTGACTTTTGTCAGTTTTTAGTTAAGCCTACAGACAGGAATGAAAAATAATTTTATTATAAATTTCATAATCAAGATAATATTTCAGACCTGTGTAGTTGGGCTTGGTTTGTTGTAGAGGATCTTGGAGTAGGTTAAGATTTTTTTTTTCTTGAAGAAAAGTGATTTTGTGGACTTACTAGTTTGTAAAACTTGTGTGTGTGTGTGTTAACATAGCAAAGAATAGGAACCCAGTAGACCTGATTGTTTTCTGTGAAGCAATGTCTAGTCCAAATTGTCAAATATTTTAATAAAGAAGTAGTATTGTATTTGTTGCCTTTGTTTGTGTTGGAATACTCCCTTTCGCTCTAGCAGGCTTGACTCTTTATTGCTTTCAGATGCTGTTTTTTCCGTCGACGCAAGAAAAAGAAGACAACCCGTTAATAAAGCATCCATACTACATGTACAGCCAATTATTTTCCAGGATATTTTGTTGATTCTTTTATGAGTGATGATTTTACTTGTTGGCCATGTCTGGTGTACTTTCCCCAATTTTAAATTGCAATAAGAAATGGAGGACTGAGTCTATTGTTAAGTGAATGTGTGCATTTTAAACAGCTAGGACTAGAGCTGTATGGAGATTTTTCAGTGAACTTTTGAAGTGAATGCCAGCTCTTTTAGTGTCTTGATACATGTGTTTATGTTTTATTGTCATTATTTATCCTGTTCTTATTCCACTGAACTCTGTGTGATGGAGAAGAGTTTTGTGAGAGGTCCAGTGAATTTGACCCCCCATACGAAAGATGTACTGGATATAATAAATAATATTCTGCCTGCACAAATCCTCTTGTGCTTCTCGTCGCAGGTGCTGCTGTTTCACCCGAAGGAAGAAGCCACGAAAAGGCAAGAGGAGGAAATGACAAGAAATATCGGGGGAAGAAGACGGAGCAGGCTATATCCCGCTAAAGGCAATGGTAGAGGCTGATGTCAGAAAAGATGTCACATATTGCCCCAGGCTAGTACAGCCCTCATCTAGAATAACTGGTGGCATTATCAATCAGTCGTTTGAGTGAAACCAAAGACGCACAGCATTTTCAGGCCATACTTTGTGTGTGTGTTGTGTGTGCTGCAAGAGTTGTCCATTGTGATCTTTATACAGTATCTAACTTTTCCCACAAAAAAAAAGTTTTTTTCTTTTGTACACATTATTTAATTCATGCGCCAAACAGCAATATTATCATGGGGATTTATATCCTGATTGATGAGAAATGTCTATAAGGTGTTTTTCACTGTTGTCAAACTGTTTTGTAACTATTATTTGACTTTAGAAGGTTATTGTACCTAAAAATTGTAAAATGTGTTGGGTAAAAGAAAATGTTATCAATGGAAGATTTTTTTCAAATTGTTTTAAGTGTTAGTTGAGAGGAAGTAGTTATTATTTGAAGAGAGGACTTATTGTAATGTTAATAATAAGTGTGTGCATGAAAGACATTTATATGTATATCCTGTGCCATTTTGTTTTCTCTGATGATTCAAATCTCTCAAAAATCTGACAAGTAGTTTTTATCAATTCAATCTTGCCAGATTGTGCATTTTCAGAGAATTTTAAGTTGGAATGGAAAAAGTTAGGAAGGGGAGATAATCCTGTAAGTCATAATACAGTAGAATTAAGGGACGGTAATAGAGAGTGCTTGTAAACCTGAATTTTCTTAGTGCCAAGTAACATAACTGGTTCCTAAGAAGGAATGAACAGTTTTTGTTTCATACTATTTTATTTGTTTTTATTTGGAGGTGACGTTTCATTTGTCTCCTGTAAAAATGGCAAATGTATTATATGCTTTGTTAGATGTATATATAATTGTTTTATATTTGATACTAAAGTTCAAGAGTGGACAGTCAGTCAGATTCCAAATGTTTGTAATTCATTGTCAATTATGTACACATCATTCTCTATCTGGCTAGTCTGTTTATTAACATGAACACTGTGTATGACGATGACTTCATGCTGGCCCTGTCTCTCTCGTTACTTAAGTTTTAACTGGGTATGCTCAGACAAAAGTATTATAAAAAGCACTGTTTTAGAGATCCATGTCACATTATACAACATTTTACTGGAATGAAGTTGAATTCTGCCTAGTAGATCTTAAAATTAAAAAAAGTAATTGACGTGTATCAGAAGTACTGATCGATTTTCAAACAAAGAGAATATATTTGTTAAGTAAGATCAAAGGTTATGTTCCACATGGAAGTCCAGGCTTTCAGGGGGATTCTAGTATTTGTAATTTTGTATGTAATTATTTCACACGAGATGAATGCTGTGTTGTCTTTAAATTGAATAGCGTATGTACATGTATCTCGTCACAATGGGCTTTCATCTATACAGAATGTAAGAAAGCAGTTGGAAAGGGTTTCAACAGATGTTCAATTCCAAATCAACCACATTCATTTCTTGATGTTTTAATGAAATTGGTACATGTATTCACATTCATTAATATGAGGTACTACTTTAATTATAGCTAGACATGAGGAATTTTCTTGATGAAATGTATAAAGGTTGTTAGGTTTTCACGTGTTCATGTCAAAAACAACAATTGCATATTGTTTTTCAATAGTTCTACTTTAAATGAGCAGTAATGACAATGGGGATTTTTGCACTAAAACTGTAAAAAAAAAAATTTATTATTATTATTACACTGTGGTCTGTGGACAATTTATTTAACTTCATGTGCAGAATGCAAGATCTCAAAAGACATTTGTCAGTGTGTGTGATATTGTTTTTTTAATCAGTATCCATATTTAAAGCAGGTATAATCATATGTGTTGAGGGGTGAGTGATCTACACCATTTGTCTGATAAAAAAAAATAATTGTACTATCAGAAATAAATTTCAAATCTATTGAAATTTGTCTGTGTGTTTTATAATTCCCTCTTCATGCATTTAAGTTTGGAAATGAACCAGAGTGTCAGTCTGTCATATTGACTAAATGTTGGGGGAAAATATATTGATACAAGATGCAAAGATTGTCTGACCAGAAGGTATAGGCCTCATGATAGATGAGACAAAAATTATTTATGCAAAAATTATCTTTTTGCTTAATTTTTTTTTCATGTTAGATTACAGAAGAAATCAATGACCTTCATTGGAGGAAAAAGTAGGACATTCATAACCAGAAAGTGTCAAAACTGAAAAGTCATTTTACATAACAATGTCGCTGATAGGAAGAATGTACATTTGTATAGGCTAGAAGTTAAAAAAATGGAGGATATTCAGTGTTTTTTTGTTGGATGTGGAATTTATTTCAGGAGTAGGACAGATTTTTTTTAATATTTTCACGAGTGTGAAGCATGAGTAAAATAAAAAAAAATCCAGCCTCATGAGTGAAATAAATTCCATATCCAAAAACAAAACATTGAATTTTCTCTGTTTATTACAATTTCTTTGATTTCTCTCTGCCTCTGTCTTTTCTTAACACTGTGTTAGAGACTGTTACGTCATAGTTGAGCGGTTGAGACGTCATAACTTAGCGATTGTTAGACTGAAAACATTGTAACATGGATTTTGGCAATATATTTGGGAGGAAATTTACAGTTTTAGTCAAGCTATTAAGATGGTTTAGTTACTATATCTTATGACAGACCAGAAATCATTTTTACTTTAGTATCCTTTCGCACTGTGACAGAATATCAATTTGGTATCCTTTCACACTGTGAGAGAATATCACTTTTATTCAATAAATAAATCACAGTATTTCACTATTGAAAATGTAATAATACTTTGTATGCAATTTGTTCTATTTTTATCAAAATCCACCAATTGAAATCAAAGATATCAGTTGACTTGAATGTGTAACACTTGAATTCATCTCGCTATTGAAAAGAAGGTCATGAACAGATGAAGGACAACAAATGGTGATCATTATCTGAGAAGAAAGGAATTGACACGCAAAGTATTAATTTGTCCTTTAGATATTTACATCATGTGACTAAATTTAGCAGCTTTTCCCCCATATATTATTCTAACACCCATGTACATAACAAAAGGTTTACAGTGTAAAATTAAAAAAAAATGTATTCTTGGGATTCATACTTTAAAAAATTAATCAAGAACCAGAAAAGCTGAAACTTATGTGGAAGCTTTCTAAGATAGTGTAGATTCTGAATTATTCATATAATGGGCCCCGGGGTTAGGTTGGGGCCACAATAGTGGATCAAAGTTTTACATTGAAATATATTGGAAATCTTTAAAAATCTTCTTATCAAGAGCCATTGGACCAGAAATGCCAAGACTTATGTGGAAGCTTTCTAAGGTAGTGTAGATTCTAAATTGTTCAGACCATGGTCCCTGGAGGTATGGTGGGGATACAATAGTTTTATGTTATATATTATATATATATTAGAAAAATCTTATCAAGAACCATTGGGCCAGAAAAGCTGCAACTTATGTGGAAGCTTTCTAAGGTAGTGTAGAACCTAAATTGTTTAAATCATGTCTCCTGGTGATAGGGTATTGCCACAATAGGGAATCAAAGTTTTACATTGAATTAGGTAGAAAAAAAAATCTTTAAAAATCTTCTCAAGAACCACTAGGCCAGAAAAGCTGAAACTTATGTGGAAGCATCCTGGGATAGTGTAGATTCTAAATTGTTAAAATCATGACCCCTAGGGGTAGGGCAGGGCCACAATAGGGAATCAAAGTTTTACGTTGAATTATGTAGAAAAAATCTTTAAAAATCTTCTTCTCAAGAACCACTGGGCCAGAAAAGCTGAAACTTATGTAAAAGTATTCTGGGGTAGTGTAGATTCTAAATTATTCAAATCATGACCCCTGGGGTTAGGGCAGGGCCACAGTAGGGAATCAAAGTTTTATGTTGAAATATGTAGAAAAAATCTTTTAAAAACTTCTCTGGAACCACTGGGCTTGAAAAGCTGAAACTTATGTGGAAGCATCCTGGAGTAGTGTAGATTCTAAATTGTTCAAATCATGACCCCTGGGGGTAGGGTGGGGCCACAAAAGGGAATCCAATTTTCACATTGAAATATATAGGAACAATCTTTAAAAATCTTCTTCTCAAGAACCACTGGGCCAGAAAAGCTTAAACTTATGTGGAAGCATCTTTGGGTAGTGTAGATTCTAAATTGTTCAAATCATGACACCTGGGGGTAGGGCGGGGCCACAATGAGTACTACAAGGGGAGAAATCAAGTGAAAAACAGCAAGGCCAAAGTTACTCAGGTGAGTGTTGTAGCCCATGGGCCTCTGTTTTTATCGTAAAAATTTTTTTTCTGTGCAGACAGTCTAATTTTATAATAGCCCTCATATGTTTTAATGGAACAAACTGTATATTTATGTGTTATAAGAATATTTAAAGGGAGAGGGCAAATAAAACGAGGCCCATGGGCCACATCGCTCACCAGACCACTTTGGCTAGGAGTATCAACCTATCCCTAAGGGGAGGGGGTGCATGATTTGAACAAACTTGAATCTACACGAATGGAGGATGCTACCATATTTCTTTGACAAATCAAGGCTTTAGAAGTTTTTGAAAAGATTTTTTCCAGGAAGTTTTATCTTCTATTGTGGCTCCACTCTACCCCCAGGGGTCATGATTTGAACAAACTTGAATTTACACTACCTGAGGATGTTTCCATATAAATATGACCAATCATGGCTTTGCTGTTCTTGAGAAGATTTTTAAAGATTTTTCCTAGGTATTCCTATGTAAACCTTTGATCGTCCATTGTGACCCCACCTATGCCTGGGGGTCATGATTTGAACAAACTTGAATCTACACTACCTTAGGGTGCTTCCATATATATATATATATAATTGTGGCTCTGCTGTTCGTGAAAAGATTTTTGTAAAGATTTTTCCTTTGTACTCGTATGGTAAATTTCGATGCTTCGTTATGGCCCCACTCTACCCCCGGGGGTCATGATTTGAACAAACTTGAATCAACACAACCTGAGGATGTTTCCACATAAGTTTCTTCTTTCCTGGCCCATTGGTTCTGGAGAAGATTTTTAAAGATTTTTCTTATGTATTCCTATGTAAAAATTTGATCGTCCATTGCAGCCTTGCCCTACCCCCAGGGGTCATGATTTGAACAAACTGGAATCTACAATACCTGAAGATGTTTCCATAAAAGTTTCATCTTTATTGGCCCAGTGGTTCTTGAGAAAAAGATTTTTAAAAGATGCCATTAATTTTTCACTAATTTGTAATTATCTCCCCTTGGAAGGTGTGGCTCTTCATTTGAACAAACTTGAATCCCCTTTACCTAAGGATACTTTGTGGTAAGTTTGGTTGAAAATTGTCCAGTGGTTCTTGAGAAGAAGTCAAAAATGTTAAACATTTACAGACGAACAGACAGACAGACAAAATGTGATCAGAAAAGCTCACTTGAGTTTTCAGCTCAGGTGAGCTAAAGAAGAGGGTGTATAATTAGGAATGAGAGGGAGTTTCTGTCCATAAGTACCTTCGCAAATAAAAAATGTAATCATTACTTTTTTCTTTATTAGGAATATAGCATAGGCATATTCATTCAGCAATACAAAAAACAAAACAATAAAAGCACACAATAAAATATGTAAATTAACAAAAATGTATATTATTAACATCAGAATTTAGCTTAGCACCAAAGAAATGACTATGTTGTACTGTTCTGCATTTTATTATAAAACTTAACATGCAACCCTCTAAAGTCCTACACTACATCTACAAGGAATTTATGTTTTGTATAAAACTTCAATCCAGCAACTTCTCTACTCCCTTTCAAAATTAGATCATCTATGTTTCTATCATACTCTGATTTAAAAACAGAAACAATTATTGTAACATTTAGCTTTGTTTTGACTTTTGTGTTAATTAATACACGTTATAGTATAAGTTGATTCCACACTTTTCAAAAGTTGTGTCCCTTAGTCGCCATCTCTGGGGAAAAACCCATAGAATCATCACAGTAGCCTTTGTAGTTTTCTGGTTTGTAACTTTGTCGTATGACTGGAAAAAAATCTGTTCCTCTTGTATATTGATTGCCCTAGGATGGGACTACCCATACATCGAAAGAAAAAATTTAACACAGTGGATTTATCAGAGCACACCCAAATGTTTGGTAGCATAAAGAGGAGAAATGTCTATGGTTGGAAATTATTGAATCCACACTTCTCAAAAGTTATGTCCCTTGACTGCCAACACCCATAGAATCCTGACAGTAGCCTTTGTAGTTTTCTGGTTTGTAACTTTGTCATTCGACAGGAAAAAATCTGCATCTTGTAGTTTGATAGCCCCAGGATGGGGCTATCCACACATTGACAGAAAAAATGTAATAATCACACTTTATCAAAGCACACGCAAATGATTGGTAGCATAAAGAAGAGAAACAGTGTTTTTTCCCTTTTGAATTTTTGGTTGACCCTGTAAAGGGATGCAACTTTTGCAAAGTGTGGATTGGACTATATCATGCAACACAATCTCTAGAACAGCATTTCTTCACTACTATCAAAACTTATGAATAATACCGAATAAAGATTACACTCTTGGCACCACAATCATGATCATCATTGTTCTTTGCCCAGATACCTAATGTGCCATTATTAAACATGTATCCCTGCTTTTACTCTCCATAATCACTGTTCATTAGCTGCCACAAGGTTTTAATACAGTCTCAAGCTGGGAGATCATGTTTTGTTGATCAGGTTCACAAGAGTTCTGGAGATGGCCATCACAGACTCCGTAACAGGGGATTCTGGGTAATCATCCAGGGGATTTTTGCCATTCTCACAGCATTCAGTTATCAACTTGAATGACAAATGAATATGATAATAAATGTCATGAAATATTGATCAGCTTCAATAGAGCTGACACAAGCATAAGGAAATGGAGTTTTAGCATTTGACTTTTTGAAAATTGATAAGATTACATACTGGATCCATGGGTAGCTGCCCTAAAACTGGGATACTATGGCTGCTGGCAAGGGAGGTAACTCCACTCCCAGGAAAGAGTTCAGACATTTCCTGACAGAAAAGAAAGACATTAAACACTGCAATCAAAATGTGATCAACAGAAAAATCCATGGAAAGCAGTTAACCAACTTTGTAAAACCACATAAAGCAACATCTTTCAAATGGCTAGTTGGATGGAGTTTAAAAGTGCAATATATGTTAACTAATAAACTTAATCTAGGCCTATAAGATTTAAATAAATCGTGTCTTTAAATCCCAATTATTGTCTTGAAACTTTCACAGCTGGCTCCATTTGTATATATTATATGGATGGTCATATCAAAATTAAGGATTTGGGACAAAATAGGCAACCATCTTCACAATCACTGGTCCTGAGTCAACATGTTGCCATTAGATCCCTGACAAATTTCATTGGATATCTTGCAGGCTGACTGCAGCGACGTCTTTCAGGAAAATTACAAATCTTGATTGTTTTTTTTTTATTTCAGAGTCTCAACCAATCACATTAAGCCTTTTGGTGATAAAGAATGCGTAACACGTGCATTTTAGGTGTCAACTGATTCCTCTCTGTTTGCATTATCTGTCTACTTCTATTTGATTGGTGTTTCTCAATGAGAGAAGCAAGCCCAAATAAAACGAATGAAATTTGTCAGGGGTCCAAGGCAACGTGTTGACTCAGGACCCCTGAGGTTGTTAGGCATGATAGGCAACTAGCCTGCTGCTCAGACTTGCCTTATTATTATAAGGCATTATAATACTTCTTGACAATAAGACTAACCTTACAGCATGGACAGACAAAGCCACCCATATTTTCCACAATCCCAAGGATAGACAAACCCATCTTCTTACAGAAACTTATTTCTTTTTTAATGGTTGCCATGGCAACCTCCTGAGGGGTGGTCACTATGATAGCTCCATCTGGTTTGACGTTTTTCAAAAGTTTGACAATTGCCATGTGTTCATCACTTGTTCCAGGGGGTGTGTCTAATCAATTTGAATAAAAATCAACAATAAGATTCTTATCAGAAGTTATATGTATGAAAATTTCACGATAATACTTTCTGAAGAAAGAATATATCACAAATTATGTCCAAGAAGTACTGACCACAAATTAGAAAATCTAATTTTCCCCAGAACGTCTCCTTCAAAAATCTTTTAATCAATCCTAAAATTTATAAAATATTAAGATCAGCTTTTAATTTCAGACAGAATTTGATTGGAAGCTGAGTGATGTCATGGACTATAAATAATTGTATTAGATTACCTGTCTTTCTTGGTCCTCGGAAAATGACTGACATTTTGTCAGATTCCAGGAGAGATCCCACAGACATAACCTTGATATCTCCATTAGGAGATCTAAAACAAAAAGTAATGTAGAGAGAGAGAGAGAGAGGGGTGAAAAATATTCAACAGAAAATTTGCAGAAATGATCAAAAAATATCATAATAGAAAATTTGCCGACATGATTTTAAAAAACAATGTACATGAATTGCATTACATGTATTCAGATGATTGCTCGACTTGTTTAGAATGAAAAATGAATAAGCATGTTCCATATTCAAAATCCGAAACCCATTTTTAACTTGATAATTTTGATAAAATGTTCAAATAAAAACCCCCAGCAATTCCATTTTCTTCATTAATAACAAGGGGCCCATGGGCCACAACACTCACCTGGGTCACTATGGCCCTTCTGTTCTTCATCAGCAGATTTTCCCTATTTTTATTCCTATGTAAAAATAAGTCCACATATTGTGGCCCCATCATACCCCTGAATCAAGGTTTGAACAAGCTTGAATGTTTCCATATACACATGACTCATCTTGGTTTTGCTTTAAAGATTTTCCCTATATATTTCTGCGTAAAACTGTGATTGCCCACTGTGGCCCCATCCTATCCCCCAGGGATCATGATTTGAACAAATTGAATTTACACTTCCTTAGGATGCTTCCATATAAACATGACTGATCATGGCTTTGCTGTTCTTGAGAAGAAGATTTTAAAAGATTTTTTTCCTATATATTACTATGTAAAATTTTGATTGCCCATCATGGCACTTGAATCTACACTAAATAATAATGCTTTCATGTATGTTTTATCTTTTCTGGTCCAGTGGTCATTGAGAAGAAGATTTTTAAAGATGCCATTAATTTTTCACTAATTCTTGATTATCTTCCCTTGAAAAAGGGCATGGCCCTTCATTTGAACAAACTTATATCCCCTTTATCCAAGAATGCTTTGTGGCATGTTTGGTTGAAATTGGCCCAGTGGTTCTTGAAAAGAAGTCAAAAATGTGATAAGTTTACAGACAACACACGACAGACAGATGCCAGACACTCTTCAATCAGAAAAGCTCGCTTGAGCCTTTGGCTCAGGTGAACTAAGAAGCACTGGCACTTGCAATACTTACATAAGAGGTTTCCATCCATACGGTGACTGTAAAATAGACTGGTGCTCCACATTTAAGAGTTTTGGTATACTGGGTCCACAAATATCTAGGTCAATCACACCCACTTTAGATGATTGACATTTAGCTAGAGCCAATGATAACAAGTACGCAACAGTTGATTTTCCAACACCTGCATGTAAAAGTCCAAAGTCACATTAATTTATGGAAGACATTTACAAAATCCTAATTCATTTGCAATCTTACCCTCTCCCCTTTTAATTTTGGAAATCTTCAGTTCTAAATATTTTGTTTTAGTTTATGTAATTCATGTACAGAGGCATCAGGATAATATTATGGGTGTACTCAGAATCAGGAACTAGCAAAGGTCCACTTAATTTTCCCATTTATTACATCAGAGTATTTTCCACTGTATTTTTAAGATATTATTTAATACTTTATCTCACATTTTAATTAAGATTTTTAATGTCAATTTAATTATATTACTTAAGGGATTTGGGTGTATCTCAAAAGGGGAGTAAGAAAATGTTGCATTGTAGAAATTATCTTTCTTGGTAAGCTGCTACAATATTTTGACATTGGTGAATCTTATTCTAGTTCTAGTATTTTGTACCTCCTTTCCCTGACAAAACAAGAATCTTGTGTTTTATGGCCCCCATCCTGATGTCTATCATCTCCTGATCTGGGTCCACCATGCCTACAAAAAAAAGGTTTAAATCTGTAGAGGAGATTTTTTGGGAGTTAAAAATTTAAAACTATGAATATTCATGGTTCTACATTAAAAGCTGATCTGGTGTATTTCTATATAAAAGAACACCTTTGTACACCTAAAAGGTAAGCTGATCTGGTATACCTCTGTAAAAAAAAAAAGTAATTGTACACCTAAAAGGTAAGCAATTTTGATTAAAAAAAAAAAAAAAACAAAAACAAACTGTATACAAAGAAGGATATTAGCACATCATTTCAAATGAAATAGTTTAACAATTTCTTTGGTGATAATTTTCAATTCAATGTGTAATAATTCTCATTCAAAATCAAAAGTGTCTATTGCATGTACAACCAGCAATATTCCATATTCCAATGTTGTAAAATTAATGCTTCCTAAAATACATGTTCAAGTCCCATAGTGGGGGTCATTTATGTGAAAAATATGGAAAAAATGTTACTTCATAAATTGACTGATGATCCAAAAGTCCATCAAACTAAATCCCAAGGTCTTTGGACAAGGTAAGGTATCAATATTGATCACTCAAGAAAACTCGTACCACAGTGGGTTGCCATAGATTGACTCAAGCAGACTGTACAAAGGTCAAGGTTACCAGAAGAGAAATGGGATTTTTTTGTTGGGTTTCATTGTGACAGTATATTTTTGCATCTTGGCAAGTATGTGAAAATACAAAACTCAGGTAACTGTCAAGGCCCTGGGGCCTCTTTTTTATTATCCATGTGCATGACTACATGTATATTCAAATTATTTAATTGTACTGTACATTTTTCTTGATCCTTAATTAATATTGAATTCTTAACAAAACCAATTGCAACATGCTAAAAATGAATTTTAACACTATATTCATTGAAATTCAATACAAGTGGAGTAAAAATGCAGGATGTTACCTATAAAACCAGACAGATGTTGTTTGTTTCTTTATTTTTGTTGTTTTATTTAAAAAAAAAATAGATGGCTCCATCCTTCCCAAAGTGTATTCCTGGCCATCACTATAAGACCTTGACCATTGAGATTTGCCCCTTGAACCAGACAAAGACCTGGCATATCTTTAGGTCATCATCAAAATATACAGTTCTTGATTTGAACCAAGGGTTCTAAAGTTGTAGTACAAAAATAAACTCACAATCTCATTGGTCAATGACCTCCACCTTCATTGCATAGACAGTGATCTTGACCATTGAAATGACCTTGAGTCAAGATCATGACACACCTTTAGGTCATGGACAACAACATACTCTCATTTTAACCTGGGCATTGCAATTAAGTGTTTCAAAGTTAATGTGGCCAAGACAATATTTTGTGACAGACGGGTGGCTAGTTTAAAAAGACAGACAGACAACCATACTAAAACCAATATTTCTCTTCCCATTAATATTGATGGAGATGGAATTAAAATACTGGATTCTTTTAATTAATAGCGAGTGGCGCAAGGCACCGCTCATCACTGCGAGCTCTTAAAGTAACGCCTGGGCGAAAGAAAATTTGGACTTTCCACACTGATCCAAACAAATTATGCTTTGCGAATTGCATCTCACTGCAAACTATTATCTCGCAATAGCAACAAAAGAATCAATTTGATTTAATGGATATTGCAGAAAAAACAGTAGATTAAAGATTTTTCATTAAAACTATAGTTTTATAGTACTGTTCAGGCTTCGATTTGGTAATGCAACTTACATACGACGTCATGTGACATCAGAGTCTAGACGTACCAAATGTCACATGCAATTTGTGAGAAGGCTGTAAATTAAAGCTGAATAGGTTACTGCGCTCGCCCTAACGGTCGCACCGTCAACATATTAATAAATAACAACATTTACATGTCTTGATCAAAGTTGTAGAATGTGTTTGAAAATTTTGTCAGATAAGATATGAACTTCAGTACGTGTTACCCTGGGCTCTGCACATTGCTTGTCCAGGACATCCTTCACATACCGAACTTCTACCAGCATCCTCCTTAAAAATATATCATATGTAGATTTCATTAATGATCAAAAAAGATGTGCCATCTCATTTAGTCAACAATACAATGTACAATTTGTACCAGAAAGAAAACTAATTTATTTGATGGCTTTAAGCAGTGCAAGAAAAACATAAAAATTACACTATTTGCAGGGCATTCAGTAAGCCTCTGGGACAGTGTTTCTTGGATATCTTTACTGGAATTCATCAAATTTTTGCTTTTTTTTCACCGGATATTAAGAATAGCTCGCTAATTTTAAAACCTTGGATTCCGAGAAACAATAGTCCGATAATGTGAATATGTAAAATTCATGATTTCATGAATTAATCAAACAATTTTTTTTAAAATACTGTATCACTTGAAACTGTTGTTAACTGTAGTTTAATCATCAATTGAAAATAATATGTGCAATCCTTGATACGTTTTGGATTGGATATTACAATGCTTTCAAGATGGCGACCTCCATAAGAGGACCATGCATTTTAGATTTACAAACAGTCGCAGGCTAATATTTTAGCTTAAAGTTCACATTTACTTTTTTGTTTTGTTTTGTTAGGAAATAGTACCGATTGCTTAGATTAATTGTAAAACAGTCTAAAATGAAAAGGAAGCAGGTACCAAGTCTTACTAGATCTAGTCATAAAATTATTGTATAACATTATCATAACATTTCCGAAAATAATATTAAAAAAAAATATCCGGATGTATTCACCCTATTTTTCTTTTGCAAGTTAAAAATTGCTTTTCATACAAAATGTCAATTTTAGGGATATATTTTGCAAGATCAAATTTCTAGTATGGATAGAGACTAATTGGCATATTTATATAGATGTAGCGAAGTTGAAACATTGTTTCATGTTTACCACTCTTATTTGATCTTGTAATTGTTAAACCATAGTTGAATTCTTGACCATTTTTTTATTTATGGTATTCACAATTCACTTTGTTAATGTCTTTAACGTAATTCAAAGAAACCTAGCGCCATGGCTGATGATGATGACAACACTGATGAGGTGTCAGGGTCAGAGGAAAGCTTTTCTGGGCAATCAGATACAGATGACAGCAGAGAAGATGATCTGAACAATGACCAAATAGAAACAAATAATGGGGAGGAGTCTGAAGAACCGCCTGAGAAAAAACATAAAATCTCAAAAAAAGACCTGTACAGACCCCCAACAAATGAAGAATTGAACCAGCTAAAGGAAACACAGTATCTGTTCCATTCCAGCTTGTTCAGACTGCAAGTAGGTGCTCTCTGTGTTTATGTGTGTTTTTTTTTTGGTCAATTATTTTTCGTCTAGTATGTTACATTACATTACAGTGTATTTTTGTACCAATGAAATACAGTTACCTGGCCAATTTTTTGTCATTTAATCCTTTTGCCATTTTTGATGTTATCCCAGGTTTAATAATCTTACTATTATTATAATGTTGGTATGAGGATTTGTGTTAATTGACCAAACCCATTCAAGTTTATTGGAGTGATCAAAGTAAGCATATAGATTAAGATTAACACACGAGTTATAAATGGGAGACAGATGCTGAGTTTTATGATTGACAGGTGAGTGAGCTACTAAAAGAGGTACAGGTGAAGGCCAAACGACAGAGACAGATAGAGGAGGCAGTGACGACTCTCACGCAGACGATTAAATCCCTCAAGAAAAGTGTCGAACATGAGGTACGAAGGAACCCTGATAACATTCTTTTGGAGTTTATGGCCAGAATTTTTCTTCCATACTCACATTAGCTTGTATGATTGACAGCTACAGTCACAGAAATGGCTGAAAAACATCCAAGTTCCCATACATCAGAATCCCCGAGGGGTAAAGGGGAGATTCCAGTTTATACCCCCCACAGAGATACTGACCACTGGGAGCTATGTGACGGGGACATGTATCAAACCTAATGTTACCGTGGACCTGGTTCTGGTTATACCCAAGGTAAATCAACAAAGTGCAGATGACTACAAAAAATCAGATAGAAATTTTTTTTCATAAGGTTATAGGTTATATGCAATGTATATGTACTTTACAATATGATAATTTCCCAAGATATTCTTAATTCAAAGTCATAGTACAATAAGATGTTCTTATACAGTTAAACAGCATACATTACCAGGAGTTCTGAATGGATATCAAATGATGTGTTTTTAAAGAAAAATCAACAAAAATATAGATTCAGTTGACATTTCCTCATAATTTGATTCAGAGGAGGTGTACATATTACCAGGCATCATAAAATCGCACAAAGGTTCTTCAATTATTGGAAATCTTAAATTGTACAGGGAATAAGAAAGTAAAGTTCAAAACTATGTTGCGTATGTCCTTAAAAGTAGTTCTGAATCAGATAATTACGTGTAAATGTGATTATTATTAATTTACATGTTTTTCTGTTACATACATGTACACTTACACAATTGAATTTCTTGCTTTATAGGAATCCTTTCAAGAAAAAGATTTCATGAACCACCGTTATCTCCGAAAGAGAGCAATCTATTTAGCTGTAGTTGCCAAAAGGTTACGAGAGATTCATGGGTTGCAGGATTTAAAGTACACATATCATAATGGAAATTCACTTAAACCCAGCCTTGTCATCAATTATCAAGGTAATGTTGCTTTAATTAGAGTGATGCAAAAAGTATGGGTATCAAACACCTTTTTGTGGAATTATTGTTGAGCTACTTTTCATTGTAAATTACAATAGATTGTATTAATGAAACAGTATTGCATTTATCATGTAATAATTAATTTAATTAGATCTTACATGTACATTGTATTTACTCAGAAACAAAAATCAAAGGTGATTTACAATGTACTTGAAAAAGCTACAGTTGCAAATGTTTAAATAGTGTTGTTATTTTTCAAAGCATTCAGATATCCTGCAATTGAGTGATGATGTTTTACTTATGACTGTGTATGAAATGTGAGATTGTACAGGTAATAAGGTAAACCTGTCTGTAATTTTACAGGTGATGAAGGTAAGCCTGTCTGTAATTTTACAGGTGATGAAGGTAAACCTGTCTGTAATTTTACAGGTGATGAAGGTAAACCTGTCTGTGATTTTACAGGTGATGAAGGTAAACCTGTCTGTAATTTACAGGTGATGAAGGTAAACCTGTCTGTGATTTTACAGATGATGAAGGTAAACCTGTCTGTGATTTTACAGATGATGAAGGTAAACCTGTCTGTGATTTTACTGGTGATGAAGGTAAACTTGTCTGTAATTTTACAGGTGATGAAGGTAAACCTGTCTGTGATTTTACAGATGATGAAATTAAACCTGTCTGTAATTTTACAGGTGATGAGGGTAAACTTGTTTCTAATTTTACAGGTGATGAAGGTAAACCTGTCTGTGATTTTACAGGTGATGAAGGTAAACCTGTCTGTGTTAACATCTCAGCTGTACCAGAGGATGGGGTATTTAAATTTAATCGATTCCACATCACAAAGAATAATGTACGTTATCATTGGTTCACGGAGGGAGAATCCAGGGATGCAGAATCAGGTGACGTTATTTACATATTAAAGTGTAGAAATCTTCTGTGCTTGTCATATAATGTAGAAATCTTCTGTGCCTGTCATATAATGTAGAAATCTTCTGTGCTTGTCATATAATGTAGAGATCTAATGTTTCCTGTCATATAATGTAGAGATCTTATGTTGTCTGTCATATAATGTAGAAATCTTCTGTGCCTGTCATATAATGTAGAAATCTTCTGTTGTCTGTCATATAGTGTAGAGATCCTCCATTGTCTGTCATATAATGTAGAGATCTTTGGTTGTCTGTCATATAGTGTAGAGATCTTCTGTTGTCTGTCATATAATGTAGAGATCTTCTGTTGTCTGTCATATAATGTAGAGATCTTCTGTTGTCTGTCATATAGTGTAGAGGTCTTCTGTTGTCTGTCATATAGTGTAGAGATCTTCTGTTGTCTGTCATATAGTGTAGTGATCTTCTGTTGTCTGTCATATAGTGTAGAGATCTTCTGTTGTCTGTCATATAATGTAGAGATCTTCTGTTGTCTGTCATATAATGTAGAGATCTTCTGTTGTCTGTCATACAATGTAGAGATTTTCTGTTATCTTTCAAACAATGTAGAGATCTTCTGTTGTCTTTCAAACAGTGTAGAGATCTTCTGTTGTCTGTCATATGATATAGAGATCTTCTGTTAACTGTCATATAATGTAGAGATCTGTTGCCTGTCATATAATGAAGAGATCTTCTGTTGTCTTTCATAATACATATAATGTAGAAATCTTCTGATGCCTGCCTTTTCTGGAGTGTACCTAACTTTTCCACATTTTTTAGGCGAGACATTTGCCACTCCATTCTACAACAATACAGTGCTACAGGACTTAACAATGACAGAAAACACAAGCTTCCTAGAGAAAACACTGGGCACTTCACAGAGCATTAAAGATGGAGTAACTCTCCTCAAAGTCTGGCTGCGACAGCGGGAGCTCTCCATTGTATGTATCATTAAGATATTAACTACATTATATTTACCTTATTGCATATTAGCACAAAAAGGAATGTGTAATTGCAATATCTACAAATTAATCCTAGAATTAAGATATTTCAAAATTAAGCAATCTTTTTTTGTCAAACTTTAATCAAAGTTTCTATAATATGTATCTTCCGATAATAGAGAGCAGTGGTTAGGATCCAACACATAAGAGGCTTACAAAACAGTGAGAATTAATAGCGATTCTCTGTAACCACTTAAACTTCTTTGCCACGCATGGTCACCGATTTTGATGAAACTTTGCCCATTATTACAACTTGACACCAGAAACATATATCAAATAAAATTTCGTTGCTATGTGTCTTGGTTGCCATGGTAACAGCCAGAAAAGTTGAAAAAATTGAGATTTTCAGCTACTTTGAATCTTTATTAAGCCTAAATAAAGATGAAGAAAAACAAACCAACTATTCTCACAAAAACATGACACCTTGTTGCCACTTATGCTATAAAGAAGCTACTTAGAATTTATCTCTAGGTAAGTGGTAACCATGGGTACATTTGGAATACATTTAAGATGCTGAAAAATGCTGAAAAACGCTCAATATTCACTAATGATAGTTGTAACATGATCAAACTCAATCAACAACCGAAGAAAAACAATAAAAATATTTGACCTTAAGTTATTAGGTATTGGCAATATTATTCTAAAAATAACTTTCCTGGTTGCCATGGTAACACAGTGTTACCATGCAAAATCTGTTGCTAAGATTGGGTTAGTGCTACTATCTTCAGGAAAAACAATAATATTCATGACTGGCACATATACATCCTTAGGACCTTGCAACATCAACAACATAAGAAATGTTTGGATTAATTGTTACTTTGCAGTGTAACCATGGAAACAACGTACCAGTTGTTTAAAGTGATATTTTTTTGCTGCTTTAGGAATTTACTTACCTTTTAATCAAGAAACGTATCATTTGACCTACTTTGAATAGTACTTATCTGGTAGAACTAAAGTTGAATATCATATATTGATAAAGTTTGTTGAAAAATACAACACTGTTGCTATGGTTACCAAGTAGGGAAAATGTTCGATTTTGTTAATTTTATATCAATATTAAATCCTATGTCCCAGCTTTTTGCATCCAGTTAGAGAATGGGTGGCAGTCAAAATTGAAAGTCAGGTTAGTTGTTCATATATATCAATCATAAAAGTTTTGGGAATCTACATACAAGGGTACGTATCCAAGGAAACAAAATATTTTTCAGTTTTTTATGCATATTTTTTCGACTAATTTCCATAGCAACGCTGTATTTAAAGATTTGAATTTGAATTTTTTGAAATGTGAAAATTAGGGTCGCACCAGCGCCTTTAAAAATTGAACATCAGTTATATAGAAATATGCTTTTTAAAAAGATAGGATAAGATTAAAACACTAAGAGAGTAAATTTAAAATCCCTTTATGGTATTAAAACCATGGCAACCATTGCCAACCTATAAGAAATATCATATTTCGTCCTTGGTGTATGTTTAAAGGATCTCTTGTCTATTATTTGCTTGCATTTCAATCTATAATTGTTTTTATTCTTTAGTGTATGACTTCATAAAATTAAATGAACAAAATTATTACTTTTGAATATTTTGTTTCCATAGTAACGTATGTAATAGTTGATTTACCAAACATGTTCATCATGCATTTAAGACATCAGGCCTTAAACTTTCAGAAACAGTCATTGCCACTTGTTTGCTTTGCTGCAAACGTTAACTGTGGGACTCTGAACATGTTGAAAAATGCCATTTTTCAAACTTTAGGACATGTTGCTATGGTAACCATGACACGTAGCAACCAATTTTTGCCTGATTTGAGTTTACGGTATCAAAGACTTTTATCATAGAGAGATTGGAGAAATTCTGAGACTATGCGTGCCACAGCTCCTATATAAAAGTTAAAGTCATTACAGAGAATGGCTCTTAAAACCTTTGAAAACAAAGTACATGCACATATAATGACAATCAAATAACATTAATGTAATCTTAAGTGTTTAAAAGTTTGATGTATACATTTCAGGGATCAGGAGGTTTTTCGGGCTTTATAATTTCAATGTTTGTGGCATATTTAATCTCTCGACATAAAGTGAATCAACTGATGAGCAGCTACCAAGTCATGCGGAATGTCCTCCTCCACCTCAGTAAATATGTCATTATCATTGTTAACACACCCCTCCACCTCAGAAAATATATCCCTGTCATTGTTAACACACCCCTCCACCTCAGTAAATATATCATTGTTAACACACCCCTCCACCTCATGGATATGTCATTGTTAACACACAGCTCCACCTCAGTAAATATGTCATTGTTAACCTACTCCTCCACCTCAGTAAATATATCATTGTTAACAGACCCCTCCACCTTATGGATATGTCATTGTTAACACACCCCTCCACCTCAATAAATATATCCCTGTCATTGTTAACACACCCCTCCACCTCGGTAAATATATCATTGTTAACACACCCCTCCACCTCAGTAAATATATCATTGTTAACACACCCCTCCACCTCATGGATACGTCATTGTTAACACACCCCTCCACCTCAATAGGTATATCCCTGTCATTGTAAACACACCCCTCCACCTCAGTAAATATGTCATTGTTAACCTACTCCTCCACCTCAGTAAATATGTCATTGTTAACACACCCCTCCACCTCAGTAAATGTTATTGTTAACATACTCCTTCAGCTTGGTAAATATTGAATTCATTCTCTTCTTTCTAGTATTCAGTTATTTATCATGAGGTGTAAGATAGTCTTTTGGAAGTGTAAAGGATCATAACAAATTGATTAAATACATATACATGTAAAATATAAATGAATAAGCAAATGCATGTATTAAACAATTTTCTTTTTTAATGTACCATTAAAAATATTGAAAAATGTGTATTTCATGCTTGAAAAATTCCTTTTAACACTGTCCCCATTTCAGCTCAAACAGACTGGACAAAGGAGCCATTGACCATCTGTTCGACCTTTGACCCCAATGACCAGCCTGATCCTTGTTTGTTTTATGAACACTTTAGTGTGGTATTTGTGGATGTCACTGGTTATGTTAACCTGTGTTCTGATGTCAGTAGGGGCCTGTATGACAGGGTATTAATTTTATTTTTAAACCTTTCTAACATCTTTTTAAAAGTGAAATTGGACACACTTTGTAATTGTAATGAAACTTTACAGCAAACTTCATTTCATTTACCTTTTATGTGAAAATATTTTAATCCACTAGATAACTGCAGAGAGTTTAAATCTGTCAGTATAAGGACTATATTCTGTAATGCCCAATACCTGTGGCATCATGATAGACAAAAAATGCCAATTGCATGTATTTGTCTCCAATCCATTACATCATTTGTTTATTCATATTTTTAATACAATCTATGCAATTGTTCACATTTCAAGAGATATTCAAAATTTGACTACATGAGTTATGGATCCAGGAATATGCTTTTACAGTACATAGTTCTTTGACAGGTAAAACAGGAAGCGGGCCTAGCCATTAAGTTTTTGGAAAACCATTCATTGGACAGCTTTACTGCACTGTTTATGACACCGGTGGACTTCCTCAGGAAGTTTGACATCACATTTCAGTAAGTACATCTGCAATAACAACAAAATAAGAACAAGAAATTTATTCACATATGTATTTACATGTCCTTCCGTAAGTTATACAATGAATATAACTTTGGAATAAGTACAGTATAACCCCCTCCCCCCCCCCCCCCCCCCCCCCCCAGAAAAAAAGGGGGATCATATGCTGCATATACAGGCGCTTGACCATAACCTAGAAACTGCTCTTAAATATTTGCCAAAATTCTTACAGACTTGTAGTCTGGTTAACAGCAGATTCTGCCAAGTTTGTCTTTTAATTGAAACAAATTTAAATGAATTAAATACTTATACTTTAAAAGTATTCTTGATAACTGCTATGGGATATGCTGCTCAATAAAAGTAAAAACGAAAGAAAACAATTCAGAATTAGCTCATACATAAATACAGTAGCTGTTGTACATACACATTTAAAGTATTAGATTTTCAGTTTAGTTTTAGGAAAATTAACAGTATATCAGTGCATCAGCACGGTATAAAATATGTTAGCTGAAACTTTACATGGTTATTCCGAAATCAGAAGTGGCAGAAATACACATACTGTACATTCACATTTACATGTATAAATGCATCATGTTTGACAACAAAATTTTTTTTCAGCATCCAAAATATTTCAAAGAAAGAAGTGGAGAAATTACAGAAGGAGGACAAATATGTAGATTATGGTGGGAACTTTGTTCTGGCACTAAAGCCTGACATCCATTCATTGTTATGTCAGGGGCTTGGAAAGAGGGTGTCAGTTGTACAATATCGGCAGTTCCAGGTACCACAGGTAATCTCCATTTAAATGATGTCTCAGAGCCAAAATGATGTACATGGGAAAGTTCATATGAAGTCTTGTGTATATTTTGTTCGAGAAAATTAGTGAAGGAGTATTGTATGATATATGATTGTCAAGAGTAATTGTCAAGACTATTTATCTTAAAGACTTGCTTATATTTCACAAAATCCAAATTTCTATGTTTCTAGTGGGATATCACATGTAATCCACCTAGCTATGAGTCTGCTGATCCTGTTATGGTTGGTCTGCAGTTAAACCCCGAGTGTGCCTTCAGTGTTCTGGATAAGGGACCCCCAGCAGACTCAGCAGAGGTTTGAATTACGATTTATTTTCAGATCAATCAGTCCCCTCAAAGAAAATTACAATCTACAGTTGAAATTTTCTATCAGGACCCATAAATCAAACTTTATTATATGCACAGTGTAACTAAACTTTGATATATATGCATATGCACCTTATGTACACCTTTGTTATCCCCATGCAACGAAGTTGGAGGGGATATAGTAACACGCTTGTGTGAGGGGAGGGGGGGAGTGAGTGTGTGCTGAACAGAAGTTATCAGAAGTTATGCAAGTAATATTTTATATCTGAATTGTAGTGCTCTTTTGCAAGGAGATGCTCGGTTTTGCAATGCTTTTGTTTTATAATACTCTGTTTTGTCTTTTTAGGCCAAGGATTTTAGGAGTTTTTGGGGAGAGAGGTCAGAGTTACGTCGATTTAAAGATGGCAGCGTTTGTGAGGCAGTGCCATGGACAAAGAGGGCGGTTTTGTCAGAAAAAAGAACTGTGTGTTGTAGAATTGTACAACACGTCTTAGAGAGGTGGGGTAGATATTGTGTTTTTTTTATTTCATTGGAATTCAAACGACATATCATTATGTAATTAAATCATCTGAAATCATTTTAATTAAATCATTTTCATTTTTCCCACAAAATAAGATCAAATACAATTTCAAAAATTTATTTACATGTAACACAAGAAACAGTGATGGTAAAGTAATTTCAATACATGTACCTGGTACTTATATTTATTACAATACGGTGCAATATTGCTGCTAAGTATCTTGATAAATCATATACATGTACTTTTCTTTGGCAGACATACAGGACTCAAGTCTGAGTCAGTGAAATGTTTTGTAAATCAGTTGGATCCTATGTTACAATACAATATAAACAACAACTCCGGTGATGGAGATGTGTATGGGACAGGCGAGGAGCAACATAATGATGTGATACAGAAGTATGATGAGCTTTGTAAACTGCTGAGGAACCTTAAAGATCTGCCATTATCAATTAACTCAATACAAGGCTCAGCACCAGTGTTCAGGTATACAGAGGTAAGGCTCAGCACCAGTGTTCAGGTATACAGAGGTAAGGCTCAGCACCAGTGTTCAGGTATACAGAGGTAAGGCTCAGCACCAGTGTTCAGGTATACAGAGGTAAGGCTCAGCACCAGTGTTCAGGTATACAGAGGTAAGGCTCAGCACCAGTGTTCAGGTATACAGAGGTAAGGCTCAGCACCAGTGTTCAGGTATACAGAGGTAAGAGTTCTCTCAGTCCAATGAAGAGAACTGACGACTGACTGACTGACTCAGTGTTCATATACTGTATAGGGGATTAATTTCACGGGTTGTAATTTTCAGGTTTTTCTCTCCTCTGACACGATCACGGTTTGTTGAATTCGCGGAATTATATATTTTATATAATAAAAGTTATCTCCTTGTCTATATCCGTTTAATCCATAGCATGATCAGTGTTATGTATTCACTTCACGAACAGCGGGGTAGGTTTGATTAAAATAGTTAAGATCTAATAATTGACAATTAATTAAAACAAGTGCGGTGATTAAATGTCCTTGACTATAAACATCGAGTGACTTTCCTATATGTTATTACGATGGGTGCATATACACGTCAAGATCTTCTTTCCGTAGGGATAAAAAATCGCGGCGAAAAAAAAAACACTGGACAGTAATAAATATGTTAATGTAGGTCGACGAAGTAATATCCTTCCACATCTTCAGCAAGTTCGATAGTTATTAGAGTGATTTTTTAAAACCAAAATGTCGATAAAAACTTATACGCATGATATTGCAGGTAACAAATACACGTGGTAACATTAGTTAATAATTAGTTAAATACGGGTAATCAAACCCATGGCCCATGTGTTTTGATTGATAAAACATGTAGCGTTGGCTATTAAAACAGCTTTTTAACAAATACATGTTATTATCTGCTGATTTGAATTAAAGTTAAGAGTGAAAATTAAAATAATTGAATGACAAGTACTACTCGTAATTACTGAGTGAAGGCCCATGCACTGCATGTATATATACCTATTGTAGTATATTCTAAAATTTCCAAATAAAAATTGGAAGTTATTGAAAACTTATTCACTGTTTCTTGAATTCACGGATTTATTAACACCGTGAATATAGCGAATATTAACACCGCGAGTTATTTTCCCCCTATACAGTACTGTGTGTAACTTAACAAAAAAAATACCTAGTATTCATGGTTTTAATTTTTATTGAAATAAGTTGTAAATGGAAATGTGCATGTACCTGTACATGTGTAGAAGGGTTTGTGCTTTAGACAAAATTCATACAGGTAATGTTTGAAAATCTTATTTCCAAACTAAATCTAAAATTACATGAAGAGTATCATTGTCAACAACAAATTTGTAGAGATGCCTGTTTTTACTCTGGGTTTACTCTCCTGGTGTCTCTATGTCACTCTATAGGTGTTTCCACCTTTACCAGCTGTGTGTGACAAGGCAAATAAAATGGAGAAGAACAAACGAGACTTACCAGAGAATTATGGCAAGCACTGTCCTGACTTTGTTATGTCACTCAAAGGTAAAACAAAAACTTTACTGTAGATTCCTAAATATATGCGAGGAATTGATGATCGCGTAATTTTGCAAGAAGCACCACTTGCGAAATAAAATTACTTGCTTTTATTTTTATGGTGCTGAAATCCATGTAAAATCACTTGGTCAACTGTCCATTCGTGAATTATTATTCTCACGATTTGACGTTAAATGGTATTTCGCGATAAAAAGAACTTGTGAAAAATAAGGAATCTACAGTATACCTATTATGAAAGTTGTCCTGATCACATAATCGAGTCTCTTAAAAGTACAAGGTGACTTCCTCTCTCTTTTGATTCTTTGTGCCATGAATGTGTGTTTTAATTAAAGATTAAGCTGGTTTTAATCACTGTACAAGTACTGCATGTCTAAGTTTGTAAATATAACATATTCTATAATTGTTAAAATTGTTGTACGGTTGTATTTTGGATCAAAAGTTCCATTTGAGGTTGTTCTAAGCCTGAGACCTTTAAGAGGAATGCTTGAACATGTACTTGTGTTTGAAAATGATGTCTTTATCTTTCTGAGCAGCAGTTCAAAATTGTACAAGAATTCTATTTCTGAAAATTGTCATTTCTACAGAAAATTGTCTGCAATTTTTAAATTCGAATGATTATAAATCTGAATGATTCCTGGATTGTTCCAGTGGTCTGTTTGTTGGAGGGCAGTGGTAAATGGCCAGAAGAGAAGAAACCATTTAACCGACTGATGGCCGCATTTCATATTCAACTGGCAGAGTCACTAAAAGCTCACTATGGATTGGCAGTATCCGTGTATCCACGGCACATTGATGTTGTCAAGGTAAACAAAGCTCACTATGGATTGTAAGTATCCATGTATCCACATCACATTGATGTTGTCAAGGTAAACAAAGCTCACTATGGATTAGCAGTATCAGTGTATCCACGACACATTGATGTTGTCAAGGTAAACTGAATCTCTCTTACAACTTTAGAAATGGTAGCTTACTTTTAGCTGTGAATTACTTGAATCAGTATTTTTAGCTTGTTTTCTTATGTCATGTGGTTTATTTTAGGTAAATTAGTATTTTTGCACTTTCTATGCAATCATTACTAAACTTGATTAACACTAAAATACATGACTGTTTTAAAAAATCTTGGATAAAAATATTATAGTTATGTATATGGATAACAAACACTCACAATATTTTTTTATTGCTTTGAGTGACTTATATTCTGCTTGGTTTAAAATATATGTACCTATATGTTTATAAAAATAAATGAAAACAATATTTGAATTACTGTTGAATCAGAAGGAATTATTTTAGCACAAACTGATTTCCTTTTGACTCCACTTTTCAGGATAATTATGTATTCCGCATTGTTCTGGGCTACACACGGGAGATAGCTCTGAGTAAGATGATTAAGACACCAGAGGGCATGGTAAAATACAAAGATAACGAGGAAGCTCTGGCTCTAGAGAGGGAAATACAGAGTCTACCCAGGCTCACAAGTACTCTACATGGGTAATTATACTCACAAGTACTCTACATGGGTAATTATACTCACAAATACTCTACATGGGTAATTATACTCACAAATACTCTACATGGGTAATTATACTCACAAATACTCTACATGGGTAATTATACTCACAAATACTTTACATGGGTAATTATACTCACAAGTACTCTACATGGGTAATTATACTCACAAGTACTCTACATGGGTCATTATAGTCACAATACTCTACATGGCTAATTATACTCACCAGTACTATGCATGGGTAATTAAACTCACAAGTACTCTACATAAGTAATTATACTCACAAATACTCTACATGGGTAATTATACTCACAAGTACTCTACATGAGTAATTATACTTACAAGTACTCTGCATGAGTAATTAAACTCACAAGTTCTCTACATGGGTAATTAAACTCACAAGTTCTCTACATGGGTAATTATACTCACAAGTTCTTTACATTGGTAATAAAACTCACAAGAACTCCGCATGGGTTATTAATTAAACTCACAAGAACTCTACATAGGTATTAAACTCACAAGTTCTCTACATGGGTAATTAAACTCACAAGAACCCTACATGAGTAATTATACTCACAGTACTCTACAGGGATAAATATATTTAGGAGTACTTATGAATACATAACAATACTCTCACACAAATACTCAACTTGAATAATTATACTCAGAAGGACTCTTCATGCCATTAAGTAATTATACTCACAATATTTTGAGTAATTATATTCACAAGTACCTTTTACTGGTAATTATACTTACAAGTATTCTATATTGTGATGATTATATTAATCTTGCACTCTATTTCATTGGAAATATATTTGTAAACACAAAGATAATTACACTCACAGTCCTGTACATGTATAATAACAATGTATATGCACCTACACACTAATGCACATTGGAGAAGATTGTACTCATTAGTAATCTAAATGGACTATTCTCACTAGTACTTTTATGTTCACGACAGATAGTTATATTCACAAGTTATCAACAAGGCATATCATGTAAATGCTATAATACTCTATAAGACAGTAATTGTAAATTCCATACTCCATGTATGTGAGTGCATTTAAGATTTTACTATATTTTGTTTCATCACTCTGTAACTATTCTTTATTGTGACTTTCACAGTGTTCAGCAGCTCCATGCATCATTTAGTTCTACTGTGAGGCTGGCCAAGCGATGGTTGTGTTCTCAGCTATTGACTGACTTTGTGTCAGATGAAGCCATAGAAATTATCACGGCACACCTATATCTTCACCCAGCTCCTTATACACCTCCCAGGTAAAGCCCCTTATACACCTCCTAGGAAAAGCCCCTTATACACCTCCCAGGTAAAGCCCCTTATACACCTCCAAGGTAAACCACTTACACACCAATCAGGTAAACCCCTTATACACCTCCCAGATAAAGCCCCTTATAGACCTCCAAGGTAAAGCCCTTATACACCTCCAAGGTAAACCCATTACAGTCAAACCTGTATTAAGCAGTCACCTGCGGGAACCATTAAAAGTGACCTTTATAGAGAGGTGACCTTTGAAAAGAGGTTCATCTTTTTTTCAAGAAAAATTCTATTCCAATTCATGTAAGTTCTGTGTTTTAAAATACTACATCATAGAATATTAAAGAAAGATGTGTTTTGGACATCAATGGTCTCAGTTAGATTTTTTTTGTTTAAATTTAAATAGTCTCAAGATTAAGTTCAAGCTAAATTTGATGACTCCAACAAAAAATATATTGAATATAATAGGGCATTGCATTAATTACCTTGGTTTCTCAAAGTTCTTGATCTCTCAAAGTGAATCTCCTGTCCCGATTTTTTCTCCTATATATATAACTAAGCAATTTTACTCTTGATTTCTTGAACTCTCAGACTCCTGAAACCCTTGATCTCAAGAAGTCAAAATACAGTTTCATACTGTATATTCAATTGTAATTTACTCTCATTGCCTCAAGGTGGCTAAATGTATGCATGCTTGACCTAGTTAGCACCTATACCTGGACAACAAAATGGCTTCAGGCACAGTCAAGCAGGATGTGTACCAAGATGGGTTTTTTTTTCATGTTGCTGCACAGAGACAGCAAGGTGACAATACATGTACTTATCAACAAATTATCACCTACACTTAAAATAATTAATATCAAATGAAGATAATTTGGAAAAAGCAATGTATCAAAGTAAAAATGAATTGAATATTTTATTGCTTTTTGTGAGCGCCCGTGACTGTGGCAATTAACTATGTGTACATAAAACGAGCTCAAATGAATATCAGATATGCCTCTATTTATGTAAATATTTTATAGCAAAATCAAAATGCATAGGAATATCAATGATGAAGTACACATGTAATTTAAACATCCTTGTGAATGAGAATAATTTTTAGACTAATTTTAAAGCCATTCAAGTAACCTGGAAATTTCTGCACTCTTGAACTTGAGGTTTTTCCATGGTCAGTGTATGGAGAGTCACCTGTATATTATTTCTTCTCTTAATCTTACATGTCTAAAAGATTGACAGTTACAGTTATTTCCTTTGATTACTTGTGTGTTTCTGCCGTATCTGTACCCCATGTCTGTGAAATCTTAAGTTATATCAGTAAATTTTTGTCATCAACAGCACCCCAATTGCGGGTTTCCAGAGATTTCTGTACTTGGTTGGATACCATGACTGGAAAGCTAGTCCTTTACTTGTCAACCTAAATGATGAATTTACAGGTAGGGACATCTCCAGATTGAAAAGTGTCAACAGCTTCTTTTTATGTTTTCTTTGAAGTGAGATGCATTCTTTAACTTGCCATAATACTCTTAGAAAAACTTAATACAGCTTTTAAATATTTATCTGTTGTATTTTTACTAATTTGGAATTTATTAGTTAAACTAGTGCATACCTTCATTATAAAATTCTGTAACTATTTTCTTTATATGTTTTGAGTTCATTGTTCATGTAACTGTGATAATTTATACAACATACATCATTTCTTCCAATGTCTCTACATTTTTGTAAACATTGTCTCTGTGAAATTATCATCAACATAAAAGTCTATGGTCCCTTTTTGTAATTTTTCTGTAGATGAAGATCTGAAAGAGATTCCCTCCCGATTCCACAAGGAGCGATCTTCTCGTCCTCTTATGTTCCTGTCTACGCCGTATGATAAACACAATTCCTATTGGACAAGGAAGTCACCCAGCACCCCCATATTGCAGAGACTGGTTCTCCTAGCACGGGAGTCACTGAGTGTGCTCAATAAACTAGTACAAGAAGGTGGAGATGATTCTAACTTCAAGGTATAAAAAAAATTAGAATGGGTAATTCATATTATTTACTGTATAAAACAGTAATTTACGAATCTTTTTTCACTTTTTAGCTTGATAAAAAAAACACATAAGTTTAGCATATTTCCTAACCAGCATCCCTGTCTAATAGCTCAAGATTTGTTGACAGTGGAATGGACCAAAACACCCTTGGCACAGACAGGGTTTACATTAACTGACGGGAGAAAAAATTACATGTATATCTCAAAGTATTTAAAAGGGTATAAACTAAGATCCCAATCAAAGAAAATGATTCAGATGACACTAACTGACTTTCTACATGTAAACATAGCTTGTATGTCTTTATAATTTAAATTTAATTTATTATATGTAAAGTTTTAAGTGTTTGCTGTTAATTTGGAAAATTAATTTTTTTGCTTTTAATTTGGAAAATTAATTATTTTTAGATGAATAATATACAATGACTTTCAGTGCAATGCCATGTGTTTTAATATAGTGGGTTTGTTTATCTGCTGAAAAATAATTTGGTATCTCTCCAGCAACTATTTCGGCCTTTCTTGGATATGTATGACATCATCATTCACCTGACATGGAAGCAATCACCACGGCAACATGAAGCCTTACAACCAGAAAACAGCCATCTTCCTTCAAACTTACGAAAGTATGTCCACAAAACAACTGTCACTGGAGACAAGCTCGAACATTTCCCTGTGTACGACTACGATCCTCCACGATTGTACTGGAAGGAATTAAAGGTGATGAAGGATTATTTACATTTTAAACATTGATACTGAGGAATAAAAACATATCTGTATTAAGCACTAGAGACAACTCAGATCTGTACTTGTATAATCTTATGTCAGACCCGAGTAATCACCTTCCTACATGTAGTGTGATACTTGGCCAATCTGATTAAAATCAGATCTTTGATAGCACATTATGAGATTACTTGCAGTTGCTCCTGTTATAAAATGTACGTGAAGCTTTACACCTATAATTAGGATACACTTTATCGAGTTTATCCGATTATTTACTCTAGGAGATGTATGGAGACTTTGCCTTGTTTTTCTATGACAAATACGGAGGGAAGTACATAGCAGTCTTATGGAAGCCAACAGCCTTCACTCCAAAAGATTTCAAGGTCAGCAGTACTCATTGTTTAGATAAAGATAATATTGTATATAAACATGTAAACATACAAATATTTACACAATAACAGAACTCAAGTATAGTTATAGTTTACTAACCCAATCCTTGGCAAAACTTTTTACTCATGATAAATGTTCAGAGAGTATGTACATTTTGTAACATTATACCCATTGTGTTGGTGGCAATTCATGTTTCTAGCTCACCTGAGCAATAAACTCAAATTAGTTATTTTGATCAATATTTGTCCAGTATTATGTGCATTTACTATATGTATTCTGTATATATTATGTATATATATACAAGTATGTTCAGTGTGAATTTTATTATGTTTTTTGACTTCTTCTGGAGAACCATGGTGCCAATTTCAATCACAAATGCTGTAAAGCATCAATGGGTGAAGGAATTTCAAGTTTAAGTGAATAGCCAAGCTGTTTTCCAGGAGATAAAAAAAGTACTGAATTATAGAAAAAATTAGGTCACCAAAGTCAATAAAACTAATGCTTCTTTTACGGTGTGTATGTGTACAATTCATAGCCAAGGTGGCTAGGATGGGAACACAATAGGGGCTATAAGTTTGCATATAGAAATGCTTTTATGTTTTTTGGAGAAAAAGAATGTCCAAAGTCAGCAGTGCCACAGAAGTCAAATTAGGCAGCATTTATTACATGTACATGCTGCTTTCTACTAGTCTAGAATAATTTTTACTTTTCATATTCAGCATTTGTTACCATCTTGTAAACCTTATGTCAAGGTAATATATACCGTTCATGGTAGCTCAGTCGGTAGAGCGCTCGCTCCGTGATCGGGAGGTCGTGAGTTCGAATCTCGGCCGCGACAGACCTAAGTCGATAAAAAATAGGTAGCAACTGTTCCTTCGCCATGCGCTCGGCACTTTGGAGTGAAAGTTGCGGGTCTTTCGGATGAGACCTTAAAAACTGAGGCCCCGTGTCACGGCAGGCGTTGGCACGATAAAGATCCTTCACTGCTCAATGGCCCTGAGTGCCGAGTAAAGGTCAAAATTTGAAGCCCTTCACCGGTATATGGTGACGTCTCTATACGAGTGAAAAATTCTCGAATGGGACGTAAAACAATATATACAATACAATCAAGGTAATATATATATATATATATATATATATATATATATATATATATATATATATATACAAATTTAAAAAAAACAGCGAATTTTTACCAATTTGAAAATGGTAAACATCACCAAGCAAGTTTGCTGCCTTGACATGTAGATATTACTTTGATTGTTGGTCCTAACTTATGATTCTGTTGTAGGTGTCCCACTTAGCCGGGAGGAGAGTGGAGACAACCCGTAGTGGTGCTAGAGAAATAACAGTGGTACCTAATAAGGAGGCCATTATTGATGACTTTAGAATTCTGGGAAGAGGCCTAGTGTCAAACATTCACCTTAATAATGGAAGCTCTTAGTTCCGATTATATTACACATATTATATGGATAACATTTAAGAACATGAACTTCATTTGAATTCTGTGCATTTTCATAAAGATCTGCCAATGTATACTAGTTGCAAATCATTAAATGCTAAAACTTCTATGTATTAACTATTTTTATGTTGGACAGCAGTAGAAAATCAGAAAATGTTTTGTTCTGAAATATTTTATTCGAAGATCAGAATTCTACATTCTTCTGATCATATCAAGTATAAAACAACAAGGTCAAATTAAACAGCTCAAAAAATAAAGTCATTAAAAAAAACAGTGTAATGACAGTCTCAGAATACTATGAGTGTACATGTGTTTAGTAATCACACTGAAAAACAGTAACATGCAAAATGACTGAATAACATTCATTGCAACAAACTTCCAAATAATCTGATCAAAATCACAGAGAAAAAAAATCCAGTAACTCTCTAATCAGAGAGATATTTTTGAACTCTCAATTATTGCTTTGCAAAATTGTCATTGAGTTCAGCGAAATAGGGTTTAAATCTGATTTGGTTGATAAAAAACAAGATAATGAAATAGCACTGACAAGAGGACCCCGATACATATTTGTGCAATTTTCAGGTGAAGAGGATGATATTGATGGGAACCAGTTCATAGTTTTAACTAAAACGACACGAATTCAGCTTCTGATTAGATGTTTACATATGTACATCAAGACTTGAATGAAGAAATGCTTCACAAAAGAATAATTTTCATTTTGATATTCTCCAACACTACATCAGCCTACATCCATGTATATACAAGACAACAACTGCCTCACGATTATTGCGAAACAAACAGAATATCTGGTTCATTGTACAAGCCACTGGGAAACACAAGGATATGACTATAAAACTACCCACTGTACTGAAAAGTATAAACATCTTATTGTGTACTTGTAAAGTACAATAAAATCTTAAGCAAGTAAAACACATGTAACTTAAGTCACTGATCACAAACTTTTCGGATATATGGGACTAAACAACAATAAGCGATCCTTCCTAGGTTCAACAAATGTATATACTGTATGTACGGTTCAACAAATGTATATACTGTAGGTACAACAGCACTACATGTAAAGCATGGTCATTTTACATGAATCTCAGACATCCTGTTTTTGTTGATGAGACTGAGTTTTAACAGTATGTCAAGTATGATCATTTTTTTCATGAGTCTCACAGATCCTGTGCGAGTTGAGGAATCTAACAAAATGTAAAGTATGCTCATTTCTGCACGATTCTCAAAGATCTTGCCTATGTTGATGAGTCTGAGTTTTTGTAAATTCCTGAGTGTCTTGGTTCACCTTTGCTCTCTGTGATGTAACATTATCTATGGAGGTATTAAGAGGGCCAGTGTTTTCGGTATTTTCGACGAGTTTAGAAACTGCTTCCTCATCAACAGTTTCTATAACAACATTTGGAGGGAGGGGGATCACTGGAGTTTTGGGTGGAACTTCCCAAGGGGGGCCAGGTTTTATTGTCAGACCATAGGGATCTGTATCAATATCCTGCATTTCATCTGGTGAGTGAAGTAGACTTCTGGATTTTCCTACAATTAAAGAATGTCAGCATTACTGATTCAGAACAGATAAAATCATCCCTGTTTCTCATCTAAACTGTCATCAAACACAGACTTTTACTGTCCATGTCAATCCACTAATTAAAATAATATGCATACAATTTCTAGTTCTTCCAGTAGAATTACATAATGTACTTTTTCTCAGTTCTGAAGTAAAATTCAAGTTTTAAGTAGAGATTTATGTAATAAATTCACTTTTAGAAACAAAATGGTATATCCAGTTCTTACCAGGAATAGGGATGGATTTCGGATCTGAGAGTTTGTCCTTTTTGATCCCAAATGGGTCAATGTTTGGGACAATGAGGAATGCAAAGGACATGATGAGGACCACCAGACAGGTGCTAGCCTGTGGTTTGGTTTTAGACAGCACCAAAGCCTGAAGCTTCTTCAGCTGCTGTATGAGTTGTCTAAAAAAACGAAGAAGGCTTATAGACAGGTCTTTCGATATGAATTATCTTCTATTAGATCAGTGAAAATATCTCTCTATAACAACATGACAAAGAAATAAAATTTCAACAGCTAATATGTTTCAGAAAACCATTTGTTTAGTCTGAGTTCTTCATGGTATGTTTGTAGCGATACTTACAAGTTTTGTTTTAGTCTGAGTTCTTCATGGTTTGTTTGTAGCGATACTTATGAGTTTTGTTTTAGTCTGAGTTCTTCATGGTATTTTCGTAGTGATACTTACGAGTTTTGTTTTAGTCTGAGTTCTTCATGGTTTGTTTGTAGCGATACTTACGAGTTTTGTTTTAGTCTGAGTTCTTCATGGTATGTTTGTAGTGATACTTACGAGTTTTGTTTTAGTCTGAGTTCTTCATGGTATGTTTGTAGTGATACTTACGAGTTTTGTTTTAGTCTGAGTTCTTCATGGTATGTTTGTAGTGATACGAGTTTTGTTTTAGTCTGAGTTCTTCATGGTATGTTTGTAGCGATACTTACGAGTTTTGTTTTAGTCTGAGTTCTTCATGGTATGTTTGTAGTGATACGAGTTTTGTTTTCGTCTGAGTTCTTCATGGTATGTTTGTAGTGATACTTATGAGTTTTGTTTTCGTCTGAGTTCTTCATGGTATGTTTGTAGCGATACTTACAAGTTTTGTTTTAGTCTGAGTTCTTCATGGTTTGTTTGTAGCGATACTTATGAGTTTTGTTTTAGTCTGAGTTCTTCATGGTATTTTCGTAGTGATACTTACGAGTTTTGTTTTAGTCTGAGTTCTTCATGGTTTGTTTGTAGCGATACTTACGAGTTTTGTTTTAGTCTGAGTTCTTCATGGTATGTTTGTAGTGATACTTACGAGTTTTGTTTTAGTCTGAGTTCTTCATGGTATGTTTGTAGCGCTACTTACGAGTTTTGTTTTAGTCTGAGTTCTTCATGGTATGTTTGTAGTGATACGAGTTTTGTTTTAGTCTGAGTTCTTCATGGTATGTTTGTAGCGATACTTACGAGTTTTGTTTTAGTCTGAGTTCTTCATGGTATGTTTGTAGTGATACGAGTTTTGTTTTCGTCTGAGTTCTTCATGGTATGTTTGTAGTGATACTTATGAGTTTTGTTTTCGTCTGAGTTCTTCATGGTATGTTTGTAGTGATACTTACGAGTTTTGTTTTAGTCTGAGTTCTTCATGGTATGTTTGTAGTGATACTTACGAGTTTTGTTTTAGTCTGAGTTCTTCATGGTATGTTTGTAGCGATACTTACGGGTTTTGTTTTAGTCTGAGTTCTTCATGGTATGTTTGTAGTGATACTTACGAGTTTTGTTTTAGTCTGAGTTCTTCATGGTATGTTTGTAGTGATACGAGTTTTGTTTTAGTCTGAGTTCTTCATGGTTTGTTTGTAGTGATACTTACGAGTTTTGTTTTAGTCTGAGTTCTTCATGGTATGTTTGTAGTGATACTTTCGAGTTTTGTTTTCGTCTGAGTTCTTCATGGTATGTTTGTAGTGATACTTTCGAGTTTTGTTTTCGTCTGAGTTCTTCATGGTATGTTTGTAGTGATACTTACGAGTTTTGTTTTCGTCTGAGTTCTTCATGGTATGTTTGTAGCGATACTTACGAGTTTTGTTTTAGTCTGAGTTCTTCATGGTATGTTTGTAGTGATACGAGTTTTGTTTTCGTCTGAGTTCTTCATGGTATGTTTGTAGTGATACTTTCGAGTTTTGTTTTCGTCTGAGTTCTTCATGGTATGTTTGTAGTGATACTTACGAGTTTTGTTTTCGTCTGAGTTCTTCATGGTATGTTTGTAGCGATACTTACGAGTTTTGTTTTAGTCTGAGTTCTTCATGGTATGTTTGTAGTGATACTTACGAGTTTTGTTTTCGTCTGAGTTCCTCATGGTATGTTTGTAGCGCTACTTATGAGTATTGTTTTGGTCTGAGTTCTTCATGGTTTGTCTGTAGTGATACTAACGAGTTTTTTTTTAGTCTTAGTTCTTTGTGGTATGTTTGTAGTGATACTTACGAGTTTTGTTTTAGTCTGAGTTCTTCATGGTATGTTTGTAGTGATACGAGTTTTGTTTTAGTCTGAGTTCTTCATGGTATGTTTGTAGTGATACGAGTTTTGTTTTAGTCTGAGTTCTTCATGGTATGTTTGTAGTGATACTTATGAGTTTTGTTTTCGTCTGAGTTCTTCATGGTATGTTTGTAGTGATACTTATGAGTTTTGTTTTCGTCTGAGTTCTTCATGGTATGTTTGTAGTGATACTTACGAGTTTTGTTTTAGTCTGAGTTCTTCATGGTATGTTTGTAGTGATACTTACGAGTTTTGTTTTAGTCTGAGTTCTTCATGGTTTGTTTGTAGTGATACTTACGAGTTTTGTTTTAGTCTGAGTTCTTCATGGTTTGTTTGTAGTGATACTTACGAGTTTTGTTTTAGTCTGAGTTCTTCATGGTATGTTTGTAGTGATACTTACGAGTTTTGTTTTAGTCTGAGTTCTTTGTGGTATGTTTGTAGTGATACTTACGAGTTTTGTTTTCGTCTGAGTTCTTCGTGGTATGTTTGTAGTGGTACTTACGAGTTTTGTTTCTCCAGTGTGTCCACCTTCTTTTTCAGCTGATTGTTCTCAGTCGTTGACAGTTTAACTCTCTTCTCCAGCCCCTCTACATACGTCATCTTCCTTTTGCGACTCTCTTTGGCTGATGCCTGCAAAACCAATGTCAGAAATGTAATATATACTGAACTCCTTATTATTGAGCAAAAGAAATTCTTTCAATTATCCAACATGAATGTTGCATTGATTTACAAATGTTAAGTGTTATTATATAAACATGTCACCATGGTGAAACTCAACAGGATTTTACACTGTATGAACAGGATATATATAAATTACTGACCTTGTTTCTGATTTTTCGTCGGACGGCTTTCAGGACCCTCTCCTCCTCCTTTGTGAGGGGCATGTTAGTGGGGAGTGTCACCCCCTCTTTGTATAACAACTCCCTCTCCTCATCTGTCAACAGCAACTCCGGGAACTAAATATAAACACATTATTGTTATACTGCAGCTCCAGGAACTAAATATAAACACATTATTATGTTATAATTAGGACAAAGGAACTGAATTCTACTTACAAGGACAATAAAAAATATATAAACATGATAAAGACAACTAATTATATATTTTCAGTTGGCATTGGTTGGGTCAAATAGTTTATAGAGTAAAATATTTCTACACTGATTTTTTTTTTATAATTTATACAATGGTCATTGTCAAATAGTTGGAAATACATGTACAGCTTATGTTCTTTAATTCTTGCCTACTTTAATTCTTGCCTACTTTAATTTTTGCCTACTTTAATTCTTGCCTACTTTAATTCTTGCCTACTTTAATTCTTGCCTACTTGTTACATGTATATGGATAGTTATTATAGATGATGCTGTTATCATTATAGATGATGCTATTTGTGCCTTCTAAATTAACCCACTGGTTCAAATTTAACCTCATCAGCCTTAGTTATTAGACCAGCTGTTGTTGGTACTCTTTGTGCAACAAAGCTGGAAATCAATAAGTACAATAAATTGATGTAAGAACAAGATCTTAAGCCCCACCTTTGATGAGGAGGTGACACATGACACGTCCTTCATGGTGAAGGGCAACGTGTCGTTCTTGGTGGTGCACACTTTGATGATTTTGGTCATTTTAGTTGAGCTTCCTGTGGGGGTCTGGCTAGAACTCGTGACTGTATCCTCCATTAAATCTGTGTCCATTACATTGATTGTCACATCTGAGTCTTGTGTTCCATCACTGAGAGATAAAAAGTCTGTATCCCCAAGAAAGGCACCAGCATCAATGGTGCTCATATCAAAGTTTTTGAAGTCAAAATTCTCCAGAGTAATGGGGGTGGTATCACCAAGATTTTCATTGGCTGAATTGATTTGAATGTCAAGATTTGATTGGCTGCGAGGTGACCCTGAGAGGGAGCTTTCTCTGGGGCTGTGTTGAAGGTGATCTTCACTCATGCTGTGGGGGGAGTATGCCCCGTTACTGGATATTCCACTGTCACTGGTGGCACTCGGGGATTTCTGGGCAAAATAATCATGATCATGCACTACATCTTGTGATTTTGTCTTTGGTGGCTCTTCCTCATCAAAAAATGTGGGAATGTGTGATTCAATGAGTGCATTTTCAAGAATGTCTGTTTCTGGAAGGAGTCCAAGATCAGACTGCAAGAAAAATTGAGAATTTGCAAAAAAATAAAAAAGTTGAAGGGAAACTTCATAATTAATACTAATTTAAACCTAAAATATTGCAACTTAGAAAATTTTTTAATATGCACATATAATTTTCATATTTTAACCATTTGAAGAATGTCAAGGACTTAAGGTTTTTGTCAAGCTTAAAGGCCGACATTGACATTTGATAAAACTTACTAAAATGTCATCGGTGACATCCCAGTCACTGTTTAAGTGAACATTATCTTGGTCACTTTCATAAGCTGACCAGTTACTTTCACTGTCACTAGATGGCAAGAGAGCATTCAAATTCTGCTCTGTTGCTTCACTATCACTATCATCCATATTATTCAGTCTTTGTGTACAATTAGCTCCAGCTTTTGTTGCAGTAAGTAAACTACTACTCCTCAAAAGTTCATCTAAAAAATTCTCAAGGCCGTCATTTTCACTGTGTGGAGAGATCAGGATGTCAGCAAGACACGTATTAAGTAAAGCCATGTTCTCCCTACAACAGCTTGTATCAAACTGACTGGTGGATAGTGTGTGTATGACTCATAACCTGTTATACGGAACCGTGTTTGTTTATTATTGGTCAGCATGCTGAGGGATTCCCTGATATAGCATGATGCAAGAAATTTTGCTTGAGACTGAAATGCCATGGCTAATATATTCAGGTTTAATGTTAATGACTAAGAAAAAAAATCATCATTTACTATCTAGTGTGAAAATTTACTTCCCTAACCATGCTAACCTGGATGTAAAATGCATACCAAAAATCCCATATGGAAGTAATGTCAGCTTACATTACTATATAAAAAATTGAACTAAGTAGAAAAGGAACTCACAAAATCTATGGTCTGTATGTCTGGTAATTCGCTTTTCAGAATTCCACTAGATTTGTCGAACAGCAAATCCAAGACATCTGGGTCACACTCAACAGCCATCTTTGTTGACAACAAATTTTCTATTTTTAATCATGAACACGTCTAAGATACAAACGTGTAGGCTTCCTCGTCATTCACATCCACGTCACCCAAAAAATTTAACAACAGTTTCACGTGTTTCCCTCTCCTCACTAAATCCTGTGAGGTTGTTTGTTTATGTTCTGTTTACAATGTTGTCAGGAATTCCCCGCCGATTATATCTCACTTAAAATCGTATTCCAGGTTATCTATCCTTAATGAAAAAATATAATTCCATCCATATAACAGTATCAAAAATTGTTAAAATGTGTCAAGTCTTTAAAAACAATATTTTTTCGTCATTGACAAGGAGCTAAAAATAGCTTGTTACAACGCCTTCCAAATGACGTGGAACCGGAAGTTGTAGTAATAGGGTCACACTAATAAATAATGAAGGAAAAGAGAAGTCTAATAACAGTGTTGAAAATAATTCTAATCTAAAAATACGGGTTTTTTTCCGAATGATCGCATTGGATTTTGATTTCCTTTAGTTTTCAAACTTTATTTTTCTTTTCTTTTCTTTTTTTTTTTTTTTCAATTTTAAGGACATATGACAAAACATTTTGAAGCCCCAGCCTAAGTTAATTATCTGCTCACCCTGGAAATACATAAAATAAAGTTATATGCATTAGTCTAATTCTGTGTGAACAGGGCATTATATTAATAGTACAATTTTGGTACAAAACACTTTGTCAATAAAGATGTGTTTTCAAAATTTCGTTTTTTCATGATAAAGAGTGGAGTAAAATATATACAGGTGAACTTCGGTATCTTGAACACGGATATATCGAATGCCATGGATATGTCAAAGTGATATGGAAGTCCTAACCACGTATTTCTTAAGTATTTTACTCTCCATATCTCGAACCCTCGGATATCTCGAAGTTTTTTCTCGGTCCCATTGAGTTTGAGATAACAAGGTTTGACTATATTATATATATAATTAACATCCCTATTAGTGGCCACTTGAGGGGTTGAATCCTGAACCCATGGGACACAAATTTCCAACTTGGTCAAGGACTTATTCTGATTATTAAATTTTCATCACAAACAAAGTATATGTTTTTTACTGTAAAAATTGTTAGGGGGCATAAAGAAAAAAAAAAGGTATGACATATATTATGTGCTCATTTTCAATATTCAATTGATGTTTATTGCCTAACTAACCTGGGGCCATTTGTGAGACCTATATAAACCAAATAAATGCCACAGACCTGGAGGATTCGAACCCAGGCACACTTTGAAGAAAGGCAATTTGGAACAAACAATTTAAAAAGTTAAAATCTTGAACTGAAAGGTAGCAAATTAATTTCTGTGTTTTTAATTTCTAGTTACATTATACTGCAAAAATATCATTATGGAATATGACTACCAGGTGTTAACAATTTGGCATAATACTGTTATGTTTTATGTATTTTTAGATTCAATGATATGTTGACCTTTAATTCATCATATTCATATTGCATTAGAACTGAATTTGAAAGTTAGTTGGTAAATTATTTTCAAATCACTTTAATTTCATACCTCAGTGGTATAATCTTTTAAAATAATAAACAATAAGCATTAATGAATAACATTAAATCAGGCTGAATAACATATGTACCATCTACCATGTTTGAGAATAAACAAATGATACACTATCAGCTGCTTATAGTATAACTGAATTCATATTTTGCAAATTTGTCCTTTCCACATAAAATTGAGAACAGCAGAAAATACCCGTGATAACATAAAAAATAAACATAATACTTTTAATTTTCAAACATTTATCTAATACTGATACTAATGAGCACCAAAATGTTTCTGATGAATATTAATTATTTTATCATTAATGTTTGTAAAGTACTTCAGTTTCACAGTCCAGTCTTTTGCTTTATCAACATCGTTATCGCTGAAAGCCTTGGATATTTCTATCACACAGTTCTTCATGTTAGCGTCGTTTGACATCTGGATCGGCTGGAGTGAGTCCGGAGTGTCGGCATCCATGATCTCTTCATTAATCTCCATGACCTGCATCAGGAAGCCCTGGTCAACACTGGTGTTGTCCTCCTCTATTGGGACCCCTCGCCTCTCCAGCAGGTACTGGGCCCGTGGGAGGGGCTTCAGGAGGGTGAAGTAAGCTTTGTTGACATAAGAAGACTGCTCCTCTGCTATCTGTTTTTCTTTCTGCAATGTTAACATTTACATTAAAGAAATAATTCAAATGACGTTCAATGAATAACTGGAGATTAAAATAATGATATAATACTGATATACACAATGAAAAGATATCATTTAGTTAATAAAAACATTGCCATTGCTGGTTTAATGACATCAACATTTATGAAGAGTAAAACAATGAATTAACCCTCCTGAGACTCCCTCCTATCATTAAAGATGATCTACCACTAGTAATGATCCTATTAGAGACTGCCTTATACACCCTCCTATCAATAAAGATGATCTACCACTAGGAATGATCCTATTAGAGACTGCCTTATACTTCCTCCTATCATTAAAGATGATCTACCACTAGTAATGATCCTACTGGAGACTGCCTTATACTCCCTCCTATCATTAAAGATGATCTTCCATTAGTAATGATCCTATTAGAGACTGCCTTATACACCCTCCTATCATTAAAGATGATCACCCACTACTAATGATCCTACTGGAGTCTGCCTAATGCTCCCTCCTATTATTAAAGTCAAGATGATTTACCACTAGCAGCTGTTTGTCAATTATTGTAAAGGTTACCAAGACCACAATCAAAAAGAGTAATTTATAATACAAAAGAACACACACTCTCCATCAAAAGGATGATAACTATCTGGTGATACGTTGTATTTAATCCCCCCCCCCCCTTCAAAATTTGAAGTTCTGCATATCTGCTGTAGAATAGAATAGAATAAGAGGCTACCATCAATAGTGGCAGTCAGGTTCCTGTGACTAGAAAGCTCAGTTATAAGAGCACCTGACTAGTAATTCAGGGGGCCCAGGTTCAAATCCTGGTCTGGATGTTGCATTTTCTCCTCACACTCGGTTACTCTTGGTGCCTTGCCATACCCTGGAAGTGATAAATGTGTAACAGGAAAGGAGAAAATGTACGGCTAGACCGGGAATCGAACCTGGGACACCTGCATTACCAGTGAGGGGCTCTAACTGAGCTATCCAGGCCAATGTCCATGGTCCAAACCATTAAAAGTTAAAGACCTGCCAGGGTGGAGCCTGGGCTGGTGTCTTGTTGGGATAAAAACCTTAAAAGAGGGAGGAAAGTGGCCATCAGGCAGGTTCGATATTTGCTCTGTAAGACTAAGTTTTATATGTTTACAGTACCAAATAAAAATCAATACTTATCATAATGCAAATGAACTGTTTTTATGATGGTTGTTACCTTCTCACCTCGCTTTTCAGGCTATACTTGTCTGGGTGAAGCTGTCTCTGTAGATCTCGATATCTCCGAGTCAACAATTTTGTATCAATGTCAAATGATTCAGGAAACCCCATCAGTTCAAAGAAGTCCAGTCCCTTCACGTCCTGTACAACTCCACATTTACAAAAGAAAAGCTCTTCTTTGGTGTCAACTTTATCCCCACACTTCCAACAAGTTCTGTCTGAGTTTGATGAAAAGTACCTGGTGTTGTAATTATTTTTAGGTAAAGTGAAAGTATGGTTTGCGCTGACTATAGATATAGAGTTGACTGGCCTGCGCCCCAAAATATCAGATGATAAATTTCTGGTATTTTTGACAAACTGATTAAATTGGCCGTGGTTAGAATGAAGCTCAATAAACCATGGAAAGCATCTATAACGCAGATTTGTTGTAAGCCAAGGTCTGAAGGGCGCTGCCATTTTCTTAATCATTCGAGCATTTTATAGAATTACAATAAGGTGAATCACTAGAACTCCGAGTACATCCGAATGTACTTTCAATTTCACAAACGACAATAAAGCGGGCTGGAGTGTGTAAAGAGAATTTTCATTTTAGGTTCATGTGGATAAAATATACAACAATTGCACAGGTAAACCAAAGAACAGAGAATGTGAATTTATCTTACCTTACGGATAACGTAATAAAAAGATTGATACTCGAAGTATTGATATAAACGATTTTCTATTTCCTATAGCATTTTTAACAGGTCCAGTACAATCAGTACATTTAGCTACGTAGCTAAAATTTCCTACCGTAGCTTTATTTAACCTACATCAGGTAGCTTTATTTAGCTATTTCAAGGCAACTTTTCACAATTTTGCTTTTTAAAAAGATAAAATAAATCGCACGTAAATGTCTACTAATATTTATGCTAGGTATTATTTAAAAAGCAATCTAAAGCAGAGATAGTTTTAACATTGCTGTGTTTGAACACTTTTAGGGAAAAGATGTATTTCCATTGTTTGAGTAACTGTACAGCACCTTGTGTGTGATGAGGCGTGGATAAGTATGATTACTTCACATTAATTGTGCTCATGCATGTTAACCAAACCTGGTTTTCTTTGTTATTTCACTCAAGAAGTAACTGTTAGGTCACAAATTAACTGTTGTATATATCCCCAAAACTTTTAGAACTTCGATTGCAATTGCACAGAAAAAGACATCTTCAAGAGTGAGTTTTTCATGAATTGTCTTCAGATGAGTTCAAAGTTGAAAATTATCACTGCATCAAAGTGCAGTTTTCTGTACTTTCTGGGGAAAATGCTAATTCAAGAAATAAGTTTTGATTTAGTAGCTAAATAAAGCTTCTTCAGGTAGGTAAATAAAGCTATGTAGGTAATTCAAGCTTTGTAGCTAAATCTAGTGATTGTACTGGACCTGTTTAAGACTTTTGGTTAATTTTCAGTAATACTGACTGATTACATGACGTATCAATGCCAGAGAACCACCACAGAAATTTATTTTTAACGTCAGGACCATGTGCCCCATTTTATTTAAGAGCACCCATCTAGATTTTCTTGTACTACAGTTTATCAAAGTTTATTAAAAGCAGTGGCAGATCCAGGAATTTCATAATGGGGGGCACAGTAGAAGGCAGGGGGTCTGGGGGCTGCATTGAAGCCCGCAATGGGTCCTGGTCAAAGCCCTGGCGGGTGTCTGGGGTGTCTGGGGGCAAAGCCCCCAGATGCTGTTGAATTCTTACAAATAAGAGGTGTTTTTTTCCCTTGATTTAAGGATAATGGACATTAAAAAAAATTCAAACGGGGGGGAGGGGGGGGTGATACCTGGCGCGCCAGTGCGCTGGATCCACCTTTGAAAAGTCTATAGAGTGCAGAGCATCTTAAGTTCAGTAATGAATTTTATTTATCAAATTGTCTTTTTTTCCATTTCCATCGGCCATGTCATGCAATATGGTAATTAAATTATTGGAATTATATGTTTCTGGGTTGTTTACTAGTTAAACAATTGGAAATACATGTACTTGAGTAATAGCTTTCTATTTTAGCTTACATTAATTTGAAAATGGTTTTCATCATTTTAAAAGTACATAAAACTTAATTTTGAAATGACCCATTAATTTTTGTCTAAAGACCTGTTATTTTTGAATGAACTGTAATTAAAACTCATTTGCAGCCATGAGTAGAAAACAGACACCCAGTGAGTTTCTGAAGCAAATTATTGGACGTCCAGTTGTGGTCAAGTTAAACTCTGGTGTGGACTATAGAGGTATGTATCTATCCAATGAAAACTGATGTTACAAGTTTTTGTACATGTATTAGTTAAATCAATGAAAGAACGAGTGCACTTAAGGGCCCAGGTAAAATGAGAAAAATTGAAGAATCAAATTAAGCATAAATTTTCATCTCAGATCATTAATTGATATCTTAACCATAAGATTCAACAAATTTCATCGCTGAAATTCTTGAATATACAACATGTACAAAGAGCAAAGCCATACAATGTGGTAGGGGTCAGCCGACATTTGTGATTTTCTATAGTAAATCGAGGACAGTCATTCATTTCAAAGCTTTTGTTTACTGTCAACCTAAAGTTGTACAAACTTGTGCGAATGACAAAAAGCGCATTATACATTTATAAAACTTATGTGAAAGTAGGAAATTTGTACAAGAATAGGCTTGTACTTAAAATATTAAAAATGTATGAAAAGTTCAATGTTTTTCCTATAGCAAGCGAAAGCTATTGACTTGTATGACCTATGTTGAACCCACCCGTGGAATAAATTATTTAAAATACCGGTAGTCATGTAAGTTCTACCCATGTAAACATTCCTCAAAGGTGCTCACTGTAAATGATAGCCATGCACGTTTTATATCATTATATTGAAGTCGTGCGGCATAGAGAAGTTTGTATGTATTTGCTTTTAGGAACACGATGGGTTAGGAGAATTTAGTGTCATTAAAATGTCATCATACATGAAAGTGTAAAACATTTTTATCATTCGTGCAAGACAATGCTACCGGTATTGAAAGCCACCTAAATATTCTTTTTCATTTTAAAATTTAAAGAAACTAATGTTAATACTTATTGTATTATTTCAAATGCAAGCGTGCAAATTTCTTAGTTTGATCACTATGGCTACAGGCATCTATGCAACTTCATTCGATTTTTTTCTCAGGTAAAATAGCACAAGAAGTATCATTCGGCAAATGTGCCTGTCAATGATCCACCATCAGATTGTTCAAGTGTCCGATTTAAATGCCTCCTCCCCTTGATTTAAATAAACGAAACTCAAATAGGTTTGGTACGACTTCTCCGGATTTGGGGTATCTATAGGCTTTTAAAAATCTTCATTTGTTTCAAATCCGTGCAGATTTAGGTGATGTTTTAACATGATTTTAATTAGAAATATCCACTTGTGTTTAACTATTACCAAAAGAGAACAATTTGGTAATGTAATCTAAAGTAATACGGCACTGAAAAGGGCCCATTAAGCATTGCTTAAGTGCACTTGTCATTTAGAGTTGATTAATCCTCGTTAATCACCAAAAATCTTGAAGCACATGGTTCTTGTACCAAATAAAAACCAACAAGGGCTTCCATTCTGAAATCTGAAATCAACTTACCGGTAGATCGGAAACCCTTGACTAGCGAAGTTTGTAAACTAGAACCAGATGAAATTTTGTGACTTGAATGATTCTGTACAAATTGAATCTAGAGTAATGCGACTGTTAAACCAATCAAATTAGAGTCATATGACTTTTGTTTGCATTAATTGGTATACCAAAATGAATGGTACTTCAAATAAAGTTGTAGACTGACAATTGCAATAAAGACAGACTTAATTAAATCTCTATTTTGTTACAAATCTGAGGGAAACATGTATGAATAATTTTCTAATAATTTCAATTTCATTATTCGTTTTAGCTTTGAGAGCTGAGGAATCATATTTTTATTTGATTGTCACATTTTATGATAAATGCTATTCTATTGCAGTCTTACTATCCATGGTTATTTTTTTCTTAAAAAATAATTAGTTGATCAGCCTTAAAATATATTTTATGTATCTTTAATGATGCTATAGCAGGCAACACATGTGTTCCTTAAAACAATATAGTTGTAAACTGGTACTTAATTTTATGTTGCTAGGTGTTTTGGCATGTTTGGATGGATACATGAATATTGCCCTAGAACAGACAGAGGAGTACGTTAATGGACAGCTAAAGAATAAGTATGGAGATGCATTCATTAGAGGCAATAATGGTAAGTAAAACAACAAATATTGATTTCTTATATTAAGTCAGTCATTGGAGACAATAATAGAAAGAAAAATCGGTTTAGAGCATTCATCAGAGAATAACAGAAAAGATTTAAAAAACGACAATCAGATACCAACAGCAAGATATTAGACACAAAACACAGCAAAATATAAAATAACAGTAAAATATCTAACACAACATGCACAATAACATCAGAGACAATAACAGTAAAATATCTAACACAATCTACAACACCAGAGACAATAACAGTAAAATATCTAATGCAATCCACAACATCAGAGACAATAACAGTAAAATATCTAACACAATCTACAACATCAGAGACAATAACAGTAAAATATCTAACACAATCCACAACATCACAGACGATAACAGTAAAATATCTAACGCAATCCACAACATCACAGACGATAACAGTAAAATATCTAACGCAACATGCACAATAACATCAGAGACAATAACAGTAAAATATCTAACACAATCTACAACATCAGAGACAATAACAGTAAAATATCTAACACAATCTACAACATCAGAGACAATAACAGTAAAATATCTAACACAATCCACAACATCAGAGACAATAACAGTGAAATATCTAACACAATCCACAACATCAGAGACAATAATAGTAAAATATCTAACACAATCTACAACATCAGAGACAATAACAGTGAAATATCTAACACAATCCACAACATCAGAGACAATAATAGTAAAATATCTAACACAATCCACAACATCAGAGACAATAACAGTAAAATATCTAACACAATCTACAACACCAGAGACAATAACAGTGAAATATCTAGCACAATCCACAACATCAGAGAAAATAACAGTGAAATATCTAACACAATCTACAACACCAGAGACAATAACAGTAAAATATCTAACACAATCTACAACATCAGAGACAATAACAGTGAAATATCTAACACAATCTACAACATCAGATTCAATAATGGTAAAATATCTAACACAATCCACAACATCAGAGACAATAACAGTAAAATATCTAACACAATCTACAACATCAGAGACAATAACAGTAAAATATCTAACACAATCTACAACATCAGAGACAATAACAGTAAAATATCTAACACAATCCACAACATCAGAGACAATAACAGTGAAATATCTAACACAATCCACAACATCAGAGACAATAATAGTAAAATATCTAACACAATCTACAACATCAGAGACAATAACAGTGAAATATCTAACACAATCCACAACATCAGAGACAATAATAGTAAAATATCTAACACAATCCACAACATCAGAGACAATAACAGTAAAATATCTAACACAATCTACAACACCAGAGACAATAACAGTGAAATATCTAGCACAATCCACAACATCAGAGAAAATAACAGTGAAATATCTAACACAATCTACAACACCAGAGACAATAACAGTAAAATATCTAACACAATCTACAACATCAGAGACAATAACAGTGAAATATCTAACACAATCTACAACATCAGATTCAATAATGGTAAAATATCTAACACAATCCACAACATCAGAGACAATAACAGTAAAATATCTAACACAATCTACAACATCAGAGACAATAACAGTAAAATATCTAACACAATCCACAACATCAGAGAAAATAACAGTAAAATATCTAACACAATCTACAACATCAGAGACAATAACAGTAAAATATCTAACACAATCTACAACACCAGAGACAATAACAGTGAAATATCTAACACAATCCACAACATCAGAGACAATAATAGTAAAATATCTAACACAATCTACAACATCAGAGACAATAACAGTAAAATATCTAACACAATCTACAACACCAGAGACAATAACAGTAAAATATCTAACACAATCTACAACATCAGAGACAGTAACAGTAAAATATCTAACACAATCTACAACATCAGAGACAATAATAGTAAAATATCTAACACAATCCACAACATCAGAGACAATAACAGTGAAATATCTAACACAATCTACAACACCAGAGACAATAACAGTAAAATATCTAACACAATCCACAACATCAGAGACAATAACAGTGAAATATCTAACACAATCTACAACATCAGAGACAATAATAGTAAAATATCTAACACAATCTACAACATCAGAGACAATAACTGTAAAATATCTAACACAATCTTAAACATCAGAGACAATAACAGTAAAATATCTAACACAATCTACAACATCAGAGACAATAACTGTAAAATATCTAACACAATCTACAACATCAGAGACAATAACAGTAAAATATCTAACACAATCTACAACATCAGAGACAATAACAGTAAAATATCTAACACATTCCACAACATAAGAGTCAATTGCTGTAAAATATCTAACACAATCCACAACATAAGAGTCAATTGCTGTAAAATATCTAACACAATAACATCAGAGACAATAACAGTAAATATCTAACACAATAACATCAGAGACAATAACAGTAAAATATCTAACACAATCTTAAACATCAGAGACAATAACAGTAAAATACCTAACACAATCTACAACATCAGGGACAATAACAGTAAAATATCTAACACAATCTACAACATCAGAAACAATAACAGTAAAATATCTTAAACAATCTACAACATCAGAGACAATGACAGTAAAATATCTAACACAATCTACAACATAAGAGTCAATTGCTGTAAAATATCTAACACAATAACATCAGAGACAATAACAGTAAATATCTAACACAATAACATCAGAGACAATAACAGTAAAATATCTAACACAATCTTAAACATCAGAGACAATAACAGTAAAATACCTAACACAATCTACAACATCAGAGACAATAACAGTAAAATATCTAACACAATCTACAACATCAGAGACAATAACAGTAAAATATCTAACACATTCCACAACATAAGAGTCAATTGCTGTAAAATATCTAACACAATCCACAACATAAGAGTCAATTGCTGTAAAATATCTAACACAATAACATCAGAGACAATAACAGTAAATATCTAACACAATAACATCAGAGACAATAACAGTAAAATATCTAACACAATCTTAAACATCAGAGACAATAACAGTAAAATACCTAACACAATCTACAACATCAGAGACAATAACAGTAAAATATCTAACACAATCTACAACATCAGAAACAATAACAGTAAAATATCTTAAACAATCTACAACATCAGAGACAATGACAGTAAAATATCTAACACAATCTACAACATAAGAGTCAATTGCTGTAAAATATCTAACACAATAACATCAGAGACAATAACAGTAAATATCTAACACAATAACATCAGAGACAATAACAGTAAAATATCTAACACAATCTTCAACATCAGAGACAATAACAGTGAAATATCTAACACAATCTACAACATCAGAGACAATAACAGTAAAATATCCAACACAATCTACAACATCAGAGACAATAACAGTAAAATATCTAACACAATCTACAACATCAGAGACAATAACAGTAAAATATCTAACACAATCCACAACATCAGAGACAATAACAGTAAAATATCTAACACAATCTACAACATCAGAGACAATAACTGTAAAATATCTAACACAATCTTAAACATCAGAGACAATAACAGTAAAATATCTAACACAATCTACAACATCAGAGACAATAACTGTAAAATATCTAACACAATCTACAACATCAGAGACAATAACAGTAAAATATCTAACACAATCTACAACATCAGAGACAATAACAGTAAAATATCTAACACATTCCACAACATAAGAGTCAATTGCTGTAAAATATCTAACACAATCCACAACATAAGAGTCAATTGCTGTAAAATATCTAACACAATAACATCAGAGACAATAACAGTAAATATCTAACACAATAACATCAGAGACAATAACAGTAAAATATCTAACACAATCTTAAACATCAGAGACAATAACAGTAAAATACCTAACACAATCTACAACATCAGAGACAATAACAGTAAAATATCTAACACAATCTACAACATCAGAGACAATAACAGTAAAATATCCAACACAATCTACAACATCAGAGACAATAACAGTAAAATATCCAACACAATCTACAACATCAGAGACAATAACAGTAAAATATCTAACACAATCTACAACATCAGAGACAATAACAGTAAAATATCTAACACAATCCACAACATCAGAGACAATAACAGTAAAATATCTAACACAATCTACAACATCAGAGACAATAACTGTAAAATATCTAACACAATCTTAAACATCAGAGACAATAACAGTAAAATATCTAACACAATCTACAACATCAGAGACAATAACTGTAAAATATCTAACACAATCTACAACATCAGAGACAATAACAGTAAAATATCTAACACAATCTACAACATCAGAGACAATAACAGTAAAATATCTAACACATTCCACAACATAAGAGTCAATTGCTGTAAAATATCTAACACAATCCACAACATAAGAGTCAATTGCTGTAAAATATCTAACACAATAACATCAGAGACAATAACAGTAAATATCTAACACAATAACATCAGAGACAATAACAGTAAAATATCTAACACAATCTTAAACATCAGAGACAATAACAGTAAAATACCTAACACAATCTACAACATCAGAGACAATAACAGTAAAATATCTAACACAATCTACAACATCAGAAACAATAACAGTAAAATATCTGACACAATCTACAACATCAGAAACAATAACAGTAAAATATCTAACACAATCTACAACATCAGAGACAATAACAGTAAAATATCTAACACAATCTACAACATCAGAGACAATAACAGTAAAATATCCAACACAATCTACAACATCAGAGACAATAACAGTAAAATATCCAACACAATCTACAACATCAGAGACAATAACAGTAAAATATCTAACACAATCTACAGTATCAGAGACAATATCAATAAGATATAAAAGAATATTAATTTAAACTTCAAAGATGTATTTTATGTTAATTTTAAAGGGTACATCAGTGCAATGAAATTATATATCAGATACAATTCACAATATTCAACATTGATGATAAAACAGAAGATTGTACACACAAGTACTCTGAAAGTGATATTAAAAAGATGCCCCGTTATTAGCAGACCTATTTTTGTATTCATATGAAGCAGAATTTATTCAAAAACTTCTACATGGGAAGAAGAAAACACTTGCTGTGGTCTTCAACTCGACATTTAGATATATCAACGACATGTTATCAATTAACAATAGTTATTTCCATTCGTATGTCGACATGATATATCCCATTGAGCTTGAAATAAAAGAAACCACAGAGTATGCAACATCTGTTTCATGTTTTGATATTTTACTAGAAAAAGAAAAAGACTTTAATGATAACTTAACAACAAAGCTTTATGATAAATGTGATGACTTCCACTTTTTAATCATCAACTTCCCTTACTTTTGTAACAATATACCCTTATCACATGCATATGGGGTTTTTGTCTCCCAGTTGATTCGATACGCAAGAGCATGCTCTAATGTATAAACAAATTCTAAAATGAGGCAAGCTATTGACAAACAAGTTGATGAAACAAGGATATCAACAGTCTCGTTTGAAGTCATGATTTAACAAGTTTTATGGTCGATACTTTGACCTTGTCAGCAAATACAACTTATCACTAAGTCAAATGCTGACTGACATTTTTCATACTAATTGTTAGGCCATTATTTACACACTGAATTGTCTTTGGATTTTTCCATTTTTCCCAATCATGACAAGGAGCGCATGGCAGGTGTGATCAGTCGGCAGGGGATGCTCACTCCTCCATGGCACCTGATCCCACCTCTGATGTATTTGGAGGTCCATGTTTGCTCTGCTCCTGATTTGTATTGTTTAAATGGACTATTAGTTTGAATACTTGAATACTGTTCGTTATCTCCATATTTCATGAGCTATTCAACACAATCTAGACTTTTCATTATATATATTTATATCAAACAAAACCCACAGCATTCTGTAGTGGAACTTAACCTAGGCTGACTCCTAAATTGCTAAATTTTATTTTTTTTTTTTTCAGTTCTGTACATAAGTACACAGAAAAGAAGGATATGAGACCCTAGAATACAGAATCTTACATTGTGTATCACAGAATAAAGAAAATCTTGTTTCTGAATGTGTGCATCATTAACTTAGTTACCCATAATGTCATTTGTTGCTGGTTGAAAGTTTCATTGTCATTGGCATTTTAAAAATGGTAGATTGTCATAGTTCTAACATGTCTAATAAATATTAAAGTAGTTTTATTATTTTGTTTTGAATAATATTGAATAGGTATACAGTGGAGCCTCGTTAATCCGGACGCCTCCGTCCCCAACGAAATCGTCCGGATAAATGAATCGTCCGGATAAGTGAATCACTTCTTAAAAGACGTACCCTCTCAAAGCATGTACATATGAACATAGTAGTATCAAATGTGAAGGCAAAGAAAACACCTTTATTTTACCTTGACTTATCAATTTTATTTTTATAGTTTTAAAAGAAATAATTAATATTTAAAAAAGAAAAAAATTAAAATGTAATTTACACGATGAAAAATAAATAGGCAGTTTTATGTTGAGACTTCCTTTTCTAACACAGGAAACTTTACTCACCTTCTATTAGACGTGTAGTAACATGGACTGACCAAATTTGATCTGCTACTGTTTTATTTCGGCACATTTTTTTTATTTATTCAAGCTCATATTAAGTAGAACTGTTCATTATCACCATTGAGAATGTTTAAATGACTAACCGCGTATATTCACTACATAGGGAAGTAAGTAACTAAACACTGTAATCAGTGTACGTATTGCAAACATTCAACGTAAACACAAGCCATATTCAGGATTATCAATACTTTTTCTATAATTAAAACTCTAAGTTATGTACCTTGAAAAAACGTGCTCGGCATTTATAACTAACACCAGTTACGTATTTCTTAGTGCATTAAATAGAAAGATATTTTCTTGAATTATGTATCATAATAAGTTATCGTCTGAAAAGAAAAAAAAAAACGTTTCAAATAATGTACGTTTTGAGAATTGGAAAATCGTATTTTGATAAAACTTACGCAACTCAATACCACAACGAAATCTCGTGATTTATTATTCAGTAAAAAATTCTACTTACAACTCTCCAAAATTGTCATAAATTTATATACCATTAGCAATTTATTCTATTCTGAACGGATTTATATTTAATTAATGCACGGTATAAGCTAAATTCTTCGGGCTTTATAATATAAAAGACGTGTGTTTCATCTGAGGTAAACACACGCTAATTATAGACGCTATTGTTTAGAGGTCACAGGTAACCGCCTTCAAACTGACTCCTGGCGGACGGTGACGAACAATGTTTTTACAATAATTATCACTACTGCAAGAAAGGTGTGAAAAGTCGTTCCTCGAAAAATACCGTCCGGATAAACGAGTCATTTTTCAATGAAATATTACGTTTTGTAGTAGAAATTGATCGTCCGGATCCGGAACGCGAATTTCCGGATTAATGAGACAGAATAACGTGGAAAAAATCGGTTCCCAGAAAATATCGTCCGGAAGGTGAAGCGTCCGGATTATTGGCGTCCGGATTACCGCGGCGCCACTGTATATGTACATGTTTATATAGTGTGATCAAAGGTTAGTAAGTCATTTTTTGTTGAATCATGACCATAGCCTCTATATTAGTGATGGGAGATTCATAAGGTTTTTATGCAAACAAAATTTCAATGTGTTTAATTTTTGGCATTTTACTTATCGTATTTGAAGTTGTTTTATTATTTGAATGCACCCAGATATAAATACAGATTCGAAAGGGGGGGGGGGGTGTTCCACAGAGGGAATCTAGTGTGGCGGTCAGACAGATTTGGTCGCCAGTGGCCAGATAATTCAGTTGGTAGAGCACCTGACTAATGAATCAGGGGTTTGGGTTTAAATCTTGGTCTGGTCCATAGGGGCTCGGTTTCAGGATGGTATATTTTGTGTATTGTGTGTTTAAAAAAAATTGTATTTCTTGTACATAAAAAAAAGATAAAACTGCGAATTTCAGTGACTTTCGATATTTATTATAATCAGTATACATGTACTAGAATTTAGACAGACAGAAAAACACACAATACACAAAATAAACAATCCTGAAACCGAGCCCCTATGGTCTGGTCTGGGGGTTTCGAATCCTGGTCTGTTCTGTAGCATTTTCTCATTCAAAAAACCCTAACACGGACCGTTAAAGATTTTTTTGACGTCACAAACGTTGAACGCCATGCAACGTGTAAGGTCATTACTGAAAATCGAAGTTCACCTCACATTGAACAATAGCTGTTGTAATGGCTCTTCCATTATTTGTAACTTACCAGAAAGATAAAGGGATTTTGGTCTATAAATCCATTTGCAGACAAGGCAGGAAGTTAAAAATGTAAATATAAGCTAATGCACGTTACTCAATTTGTTTGTTAAAAACATAATAATTCAATGCCTAAATGACACTGATTACTTTTTCCGTACTTGGACGTACAAGAAATAAAGACAGTATCAACAATTGCCTAACGGTAACTAGTGGACAGAAAAGAATATTGAGTTCCAAATTTTAGTACTCGTACATATATGTACTCCCAAAAATAGTGTACGTCGGGTTTATTTAAGGTTTAAACCCTCTGCTCACTCATATAAAATGTTGCCTTAACTGTTAATAATTTAATTCTGGTTATAACGCGGTATTTGATTGGATAAAAAATTTACTTTATATCGTATAAATTGGGTTGCCTTTGTCATAACAACTTGCGTCAAAAACGTATCGATCCCCCTGACGTTACTTTCAAATTTTGTACAATTTAAAGTCATTTTTAAGGCCATTCATCTTTTTTTCTTACACTAAATGAATGAAAATTAAATTATAAGGAACAGTTTACGCTTTTTTTATAAACCGCTTCGCGGTTTATAAAGCGTAAACTTCCCCAGCCCACTTTATGCCGTATAAATTGGGTAGTCATTATATTCATTCCTTAATGATTTTTGAAAAGAAATGTGTTTTATAAGTAAAATACAAACAATTGTAGCATAGCTTGCGGGGCTAAATTGGAGTTATCTCTCTTATCAGAGTAGCAATGAACCTTAAGCATTGAATTGTTATTTTTTGCTTATATTTACATTATAATTTAATTATGGTTGTAACGCTGTATTTTGATTGGATAAAAAATTTACTTTATATCGTATAAAATGGGTTGCCTACGTCATAGCCTGGTTACCTACGTCAGAATGACTTGCGTCAAAAACGTATCGATCCGCCTGACGTTACATTCGAATTTTGTACAAATTGAAATAATTTTTTAAGGACAATCATCTTTTTTTCTTACACCAAATGAATGAAAAGTAAATTATAAGGGATGAATTTAATAGCTACCCAATTCATACGGTATAAACTGAGTTCCGCTTCGCGGTTTATAAAGCGTAAACTGCCCCAACCCACTTTATACCGTATAAAATGGGTAGCTATTAAATTCATTCCTTAATTAACTCACTGCCTTGTCTGCAAATGCGCTTTATATTTCAAAATCGCAGTATTATTCTTCGGGACAGTTACAATTAATGGAAGAGCCATTCCAACAGCTACTTCTGTAAACTGTAATGTGAGCATGAATTTTGATTTTCGGTTATGACGTTGCACTTGCACTGCGTTCAACGTTTGTAATGTCAACATAAAAATCATAACTTAACCTTTTGACCTCACCGTCCATGTTATGGAGTTATATTTACATTTGCAAATGTTTCCCCTTATATAACACTATTGAAAGCAACGCGTATCTATTTAAGAAATAAGGTATCATTTTTAAACATCTATCGGGCTATAAATACGGGTTGGTCACGAGATCAAATTCCATAAAGCCCGAAGGGCTTTATGGTAAATTTGATCTCGTACCAACCCGTATTTATAGCCCGATAGATGTTTTAAAATGATACCTTATTACTTATATTTACATTTGTGACTTATTCATAGTTTACATTTGTCTGATAAAAATTCCTTAGCGCGTGAAACGTTTTATTTTTCAAACCTAACGGCACGTGTTTGATCCTTTATGACGTCACTGAGAAATTACGTCAAACGTTTATGACGCGAGGAACCCGTGTTTATACGGATTTATTTACATTTGCAAATATTTTTCTTAGATGAACCTATTGAAGAGAAAATATGTTCAATTCTGTATGAACTTATTAGGAGGTCAGAGGTCATGGCGTGACCGAATCACACAGCGAGACGATATCTTGTCTACATATTTCTGTCACAGTGACACTGGTTTCGGAACTTCTAAGCCGTTAAAGCGATGAAAAAGATAAAATATTTGAAACATATTTATTTTTGCGTTCAACAAATGATCATTAGATCTTTCTTCGGGTGTGAAGAATGTTTCTAATTAGCCTAAAATCACGCTTACCTTTTTAATCCGAAATTCCTTTGAAGGTATGTAAACTGAAGACGATAGCACCGCTTTTGACTCCATATATAAAGAACTCATACAATAATAATAAGATTATTCCCAGTAGCGATCATTGTTTTTTTCATTATGAACAGATATTTCCTGAACTGGACTGCTGAACATCAATGTAAGTATTCAAATGTTGGAGCGAGGCGAACTCTCAAGACCAAACAGCTTCTAGGTCATTGCGCGTCACAACATAGCAATACGACGGGCCGTTCGTGTAATAAATGCAGTTCTTTTCAGAATATTCGTCTCAAATGTAAATAAAAGTAATAAACAACAATGTTAAAAAGTTCACTGGGAAATGAACTTGGTTGGTACGTGATCAAATCTTCTGAGAAGCCCTTCGGGCTTCACAGGATTTGATCACGTGACCAACCAAGTTCATTTCCCAGAGAACTTTTTAACATTGTTGTTTATTTCTTAAATAGATACGCGTTGCTTTTAATATTGTTATATAAAAGAAAACATTTGCAAATGTAAATATATCCGTATAAACACCGGTTCCTCGCGTCATAAACGTTCGACGTAATTTCTCAGTGACGTCATAAAGGGTCGACGCGCAAACAATGGATCAAATACCTGCCGTTGAGTTTGAAAAATAAAACATTTCACGCGTTTAAGATTATAATCAGGCAAATATAAAATATGAATAAGTCATAAATGTAAATATAAGTAATAATGTATCATTTTTAAACATCTATCGGATATAAATACGGGTTGGTACGAGATCAAATTTACCATAAAGCCCTTCGGGCTTTATGGAATTTGACCTCGTGACCAACCCGTATTTATATCCCGATAGATGTTTAAAAATGATACCTTATTTCTTAATTGAATGCCGAAGCTTTCCACACACTTTATAAGCAAAATACATGTGATATGTAAATATTTTTAAAAGCATTGAATCATTATTTTTGAAAGATACAGTCTCATAACTGCAAAAGTGTGTGCAAACAAGCGTGTTATGAAAATTTGTTTGCACACACTGTTGCAGTTATGAGACTATATCTTTCAAAAACTAATGATTCAATGCTTATATTTACATTTTTAACCCCTTGCCTTGACTGCAAATGTGATACAGATTTCAAAATCCCTAGAATTGTAACTTTGGTAAGTTACAATTAATGGAAGACTAGAGAGCCATCGCAACAGCTTCTGTTCAATGTGAGTGTGAATTTTGAATTTCGGTTATGACGTTGCACTTCCACGGCGTTCAACCTTTGTGACGTCAAAATAAAATTAATGCCTACTTTAAACTTTTGACCCCCTGTCCGTGTTGTGGTGTTTTGAATGCCGTACGTAGCTTTTCTCACACTTTATAAGCAAAGGATATGTAGAATGTAAATATAACTAAAAGTTTAGGGAACACTTCAATCGGAACATCACTTGACCTTTTTCCGTGCCAAGTGATTTTTCTAATTGGGAATACTTACCTACAGGTGATGCTATTTTGTTTTTGTTAAAATGCATGACTGTTTAACAGTGGTCCCTGCATGCACATATCACAGGGCATATTCTATTTAGAGAAGTGGACAAACGTTTGCCTACATTAGCGAAAGTTTGTCCACTTCTCTGAAGAGAATACTCAGGAATACTCAGGGCAATGAAAAGTGGTAGCGAAAAAAAATAATAAACAATACTGAGAGAAGCCCATTTAAACTCATCAGGTGTATTTGATAATACAGAAACTTATCTCATGTCTCTAAAGGCAGTGCACCTGTCAATCTAACTAAGTGAAAATGGCCTTGTAATGAGTACACCCCATTCTGTAACCAATGAAAACGTTTCACTAATGACGTATCTTATTATAATATACTCCGTCGTTATAGTATTATCGACACAAAGTGCAAAGGATTTTGTCTATCTACAGACGAACACACAACCAGCTGACATAGGTTAATGTTGGAGGGAGATTGACTGGTAAGTATATCATTGTATTAAAGGAAGTATAATTAAGTTGTTAATGTATAAATGGAAAAACAGGAAAAATCTTTCAACTTTCGTTTTTATTCAATAGAAAATAGTGAATGGGAATATTTACTAAATTATCAGGGGCGTAGCTTCCATTGTGGCAATGAGGCAACTGCCTCACTAGATTCTTAACCACTTACACTCCCTCCCATAGTTAATAATACATTGCAGAAAATATCTTGTAAAAATTATGATTTAAGCAATTCTATGATTTACGTTCATATCATCAAGGTCCGGGCTCTTCCCCCATTACTGAAAACTCCAAGTAGGCAATGATTGGAAAAAATTAAAAATGATAAATGCTTGGCAATTATAGTTTTGACGAAATAAAAACAAAAGTTTAAAAAAGTGTATTCATCTTAAATTGTGTTAGTTTTAAACATATTTATTAACTCCTTTACCATCGTCGGCAACCTGTGGTGGTCTAGCTTCTCTTACCTCGTTGGTTTCTGACGATGCTCCTTTAGATACTTTAATAATATGTGGTATCATATCCACGCTATGAAACCGGTAAAATTAACTAAACTTCTGTGCAGGTGTCGTCTGATAAAACACCCAAATCCATATTCTGTGCGGAGGGATGTGTGGTGCTACCCCTCTACCCCCCCCCCCTTACCCACCACCACCATGGCGCTGCCCTGGACCTACTTGGGGCCTAAGGCGGCCCCCTACCCCCTACCCCTATGGTCTTGCCTCACTAGAATTTTAAGTCAAGCTACGCCCCTGATTATGAGTAGATTGTGTTTGTTATATACGTATTTAACAAGTTATATATATTTGCTATCATTTTTAACTTTTATTTCAGTGTTAAATATTAAATAGCCTTTCATTGGTTATCATGTTGTCCTATAGTATAGAATGATAAATAATTCAGAGAGAGAGAGTAATTTTTCGGATTAACTTTCGGGAAATACAGTGTGCTGGCAAACAGCATTTTTTCATCTTTTTCCCGCACGTCTGCTGAACTGCACTAATCCGTGACAAAACTATGCTTCTTTTAAATGTACAAAAGGTTTCAAATACCGTCAACTTTCGTTATTCCTCTTTTCTCGGAATAGGCTGGTAGATATATATTATATATATACGTTGTTCATAAATGATTTTCAAAAAATGCTTAATCAATAGATCCTATATACAACAAAGTCCCTAGGCATTTAAATTTCTTTCTCTCTGATGTTTGTCTATCTGTGCATGAAAGGACTAAAAATGTTATACTGCACGACCATACATGATCACATGCTGTTAAAATCAGAAAGAAATGAAATAGTTTTTGTTCTTTTCTTCTCAGATGTTGTCGTCTTTATGAGAATTTATGATGGACTCAGACAACGAAGACAATACTAATATTTGTACACCAGATTCTTGCAACAGAACTCTATGTAAGATAAGAATGGATTTATCTTTTATTTAGTAACTCAAATTTGTGCAATCTTTGTAATTCATTTGATTTACAGTTAACCAAGACGTGGATAGTGATTACGAGGGGATATGTGAGCCGCCCATTCTAAGACAACTTAAGAACATCTTGGACCAGTATCCGGACGGGTCACAAATTATCCGAGTAAGTCTCACCCTGGATATTGAAGGACCTTTATGTTGAAAGAGGAGGGCAGGAAGGGCTGGGCATCGCCAAGAAAATGGGTCTGGGTCATTGAGACAAAGATAGCTATAGAGAATTGATAAGTATAAACCTCCTAAAACAAATAACATGGACTGCATTCCCTATTGTTTGTTTGTATGTTGTTTAACGTCCCTCTCGAGAATTTTTCACTCATATGGAGACGCCACCTCTTGCCGGTGGAGAGCTGCAAATTTTGTCCTATACTCGGCACTTACGGCAATTGAGCAGTGAGGGATCTTTTTCGTGCCAGCACCTACTGCGACACGGGGCCTCGATTTATACAGTCTCATCCGAAGGACCGGTCTCCACGTCCCACAGTGGGATTCGAACCCGCGACGTAAGGATCAACTCCTTACTTCTCGACTCTAGAGCAGACGCTCTAACCACTGCGCCACGCGGGCGACGCATTCCCTATCGTCATCATACCCTAATGAAATTGAGACATGGGCATTTTCATTTTTACATTTAGCTTGATAATGATAGGTTTTTTTTTTATTATTAAACCTGTACTTTCTAAAGAAAGTATACAGTTTTTATCCTGGTTTGGCCGTCTTTCACTCTATCTAGTCTTCTTCCTCAAACTCCTTTTAATGTATTTTTGAGGCATTTTCTGATATCCAAAAAAAAGAATTCTTGATATCAATTTTTGAATTCTCGAAAAATTAAGAATATATCCCAGTGAACTTGAAACAAATGATACCACAGAGTCTTACACATCACTTTCACATTTCGATATTTTATCAGAGAAAAACTTTAATGGTAATGTAACAACAAAGCTTTATGATAAACGTGATGACTTTAATTTTTCAATCATCAACTTCCCTTACTTATGCAGCAATATACCCTAATCACCTGCACATGGGGTTTTTGTCTCCCAGTTGATTCGATACGCTAGAGCATGCTCTACGTATGAACAATTTTTAAAACGAGGCAAGGTATTGACAAACAAGTTCATAAATCAAGGATATCAACAGTCTCGTTTGAAGTCATCATTTCGCAAGTTTTATTGTCGATACAATGACTTTGTCAGCAAATACAACTTATCACTAAGTCAAATGCTGATTAACGTTTTCCATTCTAATTGTTAGGCCATTATTTACACACTGAATTGTCTTTGGATTTTTCCGTTTTCCCGATCATGACAAGGAGCACACGGCGGGTGTGACCAGTCGGCAGGGGATGCTCACTCCTCCATGGCACCTGATCCAACCTCTGATGTTTTTGGAGGTCCGTGTTTGCTCTGCTCCCTATTCGTATTATTTAATTGGACTTTTGAGCTTGAATAATGTTCGTTACCTCCATATTTCATCTTGATATCAAAAAATACTGTACGTGTACATAAATTGGCGTATATATAGTATTCAAAATTTAGCGCAATCACTGGGTATGAAGTTGTTGGCGAAACCATGAGTTAGCGCCATACATGTCCATGCCGTATATTGTATTTATAAATGTTTTTTTAGCGGTATTCATGAATTAGCGCATTGTTGTCTGCGCCAAAGCCGCTAAAATATGAAGCCCGCTTTTCAAAATACACATACAGTAATTCTTGATATCAAGAATCTGAATTTTTGATATCAGAAAACGATTTTTAATTTGATATCAGAAAATCGAAATTTTTATATCAGAAATTAAATGTAGATTTTCTGATATCGATATAGATAGCTTAAAGCCTTGTCTGTGTGTGTTTTCATTTTTGCATAGATTAATGCAGAGATGTAAATAAAATATGTACAAATTGATACATGTATTTACAATGCTGACAAGTAACTGAACTGTCCGGTTTTTAAGAAAGTCTTGAAGCCTCCTTGAGCTGCACGAACAAGTCAATGGGATGAGATTCGTTAGTAATTGTAGAAATTAATAAAATAACACTGTAAGCATTCAGTAAGGTCTCCTTACATCAAAACAACTAAACTTGTAACCCTCAAATGAGATTAAACACTAATAATTGTCACAAAAAATTGATTTTGTGGTTTCAGAAAATTCAGAATTTCATTTTCGTAGGGAAGCCATTAGGAATTGAATTTTCAGAGGATATATACTTTTTTGGTACAGGAACTTGTACAGAATGCAGAAGACGCCGGAGCCACGACTTTTAAGATTTATTATGCTGAAGGTGATCACAACCCTACCCCGGGGGCAAACACACCTGTATATCAGGAATACTTCAGGGTAATATTAATTGTGTGTTAATAAAATCATGTTTGTTATGTTCCTTCAGCAATCAAAATGAAGTTATGTCTTAAAATCTCAGTTTTTTTTTTGGTTTAAATCTTCTTTCAATATACTGGTTGTTTCATATACCTACATCAAAGGATCAAATTCCATGTTTCCTACACTTTACTCAAATTGAGAAATGCTATTTGAAAGATTATTGAATCTTGTAGACTCCTGCTCTATGTGTATACAATGATGGAGTGTTCTCACAAGATGATTGGAAAGGTATCAAAAGCATTTACACAAGTGTCAAGGAAAAAGACGCACTGAAAGTGGGAAGGTTTGGACTAGGGTTCAAATCCATCTTCCACATCACAGGTACAATACCCAAACCCATCTTCCACATAATCAGGTACAATACTCTAATCCATCTTCTACATCACAAGTACAATACTCAAATCCATCTTCCACATAAACAGGTATAATACTCAAATCTATCTTTAACATCACAGGTACAATATTCAAATCCTTCTTCCATATAAAAAGTTACAAATAACAATTCTAAAATACATAACAGGTACATACGATATTAAATTCATTTTTCAAAATCACAGGTACAATATTCAATGCTGTCTTCCACATCACATGTAATATTTCTGTGTACCCATTTACAAGTGGAAGTATACATCTTCCAAGTCTTTTTTATTGAAATATTTTGGATTTCCAACGTTTTGGCTTGAGCATCACTGAAGAGACATAATTTGTCGAAATGCGCATCTGGCGCATCAAAATTGGTACCATATATGGAAGAAGCAGCACTGCAATGGAATTGCTTCTTTGTAAAAAAGGAAGAAAACCAATCAGCAGAATTCTATTGACAGGTAGTATTTCTAAATCACTCTTATTTAACTCTCCAGACTCTCCAGTAATCATTAGCGGAGATCAGCTTCTGATTATAAATCCTCTGAAGTTACCACACAAAGTTTGTCACCGGATACCATTCAAAAAGCTGACAACAAACAAATATAAGATCGCGTGGTCACTGATGAAAAAGACCCTGGGATTAGAAGGCGAGGGACTGTTTGAACTCAACGAGTCAGCTATTCAGAAACAAAATTATCCAAGTGAGTCCAGAGTTCTTTTGATGTTTTTGTTGTTACTTTCAAATGAAAAAAAATACATAATCAAATTTATATACTAGTGTTTTAGACAAAGGAAATTAATTTTGACAATATTTATCCAGTGGTTACTTTACCATTATGTGTAAATTAAAACTCAAATTCACAATTTTTATACATTCAAGAAAAATGCATTTTGAAAGAGAATTGCACTTTTTTCAGGAACTCTGTTTTGGTTTCCTTTACGTCAAAACATCTCTGAGCTCTCAAATAAAATCTACACATCACAAAAAATGACAGAGCTCTTTGAATCTTTTGAAGAAGAAGCAGAAACGATTCTTCTCTTCCTGAAATCTGTTAGTAACGTCTCGATTTATGACACCCGATTTCGGAAGAAGTTTGCTGTCCAAATGAAAGGTGTTGGAAATGTAAACATTACCAAGGACAGAGAATATATCAAGAATCAAGTGATAAAAAACAAAATTCCCGAACAATCTCTGTGGAGTGAATACAGAGCGATTCTCACAACGCAAAGACCACAAAATCACCAAGAAACCAAACAGGAGTGGTTTGTAGTTAATCTTTTTCAAGGAGAAAAGGACATGTCACAGAGAATGTTAGAATTAGCGCATGATGAACAACTAGGTTACGCACCCTATGCGGGTATAGCATTTCCACTGACACAGGGAGAAAATGAACATTTCAAAGGCCATGTATTTTGTTTTTTACCACTTCCGATTGAACCAGACAGTCGAAGTTTGACCAACTTGCCAGTCCATGTCAATGGTTTCTTTGCATTAACCTCTAACAGACGTCATATGCTTTGGGCAACCCAAGACCAACATGAAACAGATGACAACAGGCTGGTGTGGAACAAATTGATGATTTCTGAGTTGTTATCATCAGTTTACACCAAGCTTTTGAAATCTCTTCTTCAAGATCCCACTATTGCACCAGAAACCATCTACCACTGCCTTCCTGACGCAAAAAACGTGGATCCAAAGTGGTCTATTTTGTTAAGGCCAGTATATACCGAAGTATTTGGTCTTAGAATGTTTTTCAAGGAAGAAGGAGAAACTCTCAACCGAAAAAAGCTTCATTTTAAAGAGTCGCGATTTTTCATTTTTGATTCTAAGGAGAAATTATTCAAAGGAACATTAGAAGCACTTAGAAATCTATTAACGATCTATACAGATAACTTGGTTTGTCTTCCAGAGCATCTACAGTTTGCTGTATGCAACAAGGAATTTTTTCCAAAGGGAGTCAAAGCACGTACAATAAATGCAGAATTCATTTGTCATCTTCTGCGGGAAAATGAAACATACAAAACCTTTACCAGATCCCTGAAACTGGAGATTCTTCACTATATCTTGGCGAACACCACAGTAGATCAGATTGAAGATGTCGAGTTGTTACCTACAGATGATCCATCAACCTTTGTGTCCTTCAAAGACGAAACAGTCTACATCTGTTTAAAAGGAGAAGAAAAAATGTTCCCCTTAACGGAAAAACAATTACTGTCTAGCATACCTGACGATGTGAAAGACTGTATCTTAGAACTTGCAAAATCAGGTTTGTTAATATATTTTCTAAACTTTATCATAAACATAGATAACGATTTGTCTATTGTTTTGTTTATTGCTTTTCTCATGTTAAGTTGTATTTTCATCGTTACAGGCCAGCATGGAGTTAAAGTCTTCTCTTCTTCAGATTTTAAAATATTGTTGCAAAAATCAACTGAAAAACAAAATATACCTAAAGACATACCTCCTTCTGAGCGACAGCAAATCTCAGACTGGATTTCCAAAGTATGGAAGTATATTTCTGTGCAAGAAAATGACGAGGATTTGATGGATAGCATATGTCACCTCAGTATTTTACCAGAAGCACGGGAAGAAGAAAGCTTGTCCCTAATTAGACTTCACAGACTCAAAGGTTTATACATGGTTAGGAGACAAGGCTCAAGTATCTTACCAGATTCAATCTGTGAACTACTTCGCTCACTCAATGTTACCATTCTACATGCACTTCCCAAGTGTTTCCCAAGTGCTGCTATCAAGAAGTATATTTTTGGTCCAACTGAAAATGGTGTTTGTGAAATATTGGCAAAAATGATGACTCTTTCCACTTGTCTAAGCGATCTTGTTGACAAATTTGAAGAAATCTCAGAAAACAATCGAAGGGACTTTGCTGTGTTTATAAGCAAGGCGGATAATCTCACTTCAAGTGTAGATATGCTTTTGAAAAAAGTAAAGATGTTTCCTGCAACTTCAGGAAAGAAAAAAATATTTCTTACTTCAGTTTTGGGGATCAATAAGATGACACCACAAAATTATACAGATTTCCCTGTAGAATTTCCCTACCCACTGATAACTGGAGACTTTAATGGGGCCCAGCTTGCTCTACGACTTGGAGTCTGTCGACAAACAGAAGAAAACCTTACAACTGACATTCTGAAGAAAATTCAAAACAATGGATACAACGAGAAAGATATTGATGTTTTCATGATTTACTTTCTCAAAAAGATACAAATGAATAATGTTAGTTCGGAACAAATAGAAATTGCGGCATCAATTCCATTTGTACTCTCAACTGACGGGAAAAGAAGACTACCTAGAGAACTATTTGAAGTTACAGATAAAACTCAAGACCTCTTCCAGGGTGAAACTGACAAATTTCCACATTTAGACTTTTCCGAGTATTCAAATGGGTTAAAGAAACTGGGTTTGAAGTCATCAAAGGATGTGTCAATAAGTGATCTCATGCAGACTTTAGATCACTTGATAAACAAGGACAGAATGTCCCTTATACAAGCAGAAATTAAAGTGAGAGCTTTTGAGAGATATGTTAATTCTTTGCTAAAAGGTGAAACGTCGTCATTAGAAGAAAAAGAATTGCTGCAAAAGATGAAATATTCCTGTTGGATGCCTAAAATGACAATTAAACCTAAGCACTACCCTCAATTGATGCCGTGGTACAGTGCTAGTATTGAAGTAGGAATTCCCAGTGATATGTATAGTCAAAATCATGAGATGTTGGTTGGGTCTGTAGCAATGCTCAATGAAAGTACATTAGAACCTCATATTTTAGATGAATTATTGTACGGAAATCCAAGCACAGATATAGTATTGAAGCAATTACTTCTGCTTACTGGCAAATACGAAAAAATCCCAAATCCTTCAGAATTTGGGCAAATGCTGACAGAAATTTACCAGTTCATTGCCAAAGCATCGATTTCAGGTTCTTGTCTTGTCATGTGCAAAGAAAAAAATATAATTTGGACAGAAAAGAATTTTTCAAAACCAAGACAAGTTTATGTTAACTTTCTCAATGGAATATCTGGGATAACACTTGAACCCTACATGTATCAATTACCACAGATATATTCTGAAAACGATATCCTTAAAACTTTTTTTCTGAAAGTAGGTTGCAAAGCAGACCTTGAGATTGATGATCTTATTACCATATTAGAAACCATCAAAACTCGCCAGCAAACCTCAGATTTGGTGGATTCAAAACATGACTTATTAATTGTAGAGGGGATTCTTAACATAATGGAAGACTTGAATCAAAATGATTGTTTATCAACGCATGATAAGGAAAGAATTCTTTTCCCGGTGCAAAGTCAAGGCAAACTTTTTCAGCTTCTTCCGCTTGCCGACTGCACTTATGTGGATTACAAAAGAGAGGATGAGGAGGATGAAGAAGACGAAGAGGACCTAAAATTTGTTCATCCGAAGATCAGGAGTAGTATTGCAGCAAATCTAGGAGTGTCATCACTGACGAGGAGAATAGTAGAAAGTAAGGGAGTTGAAGACATACCATGGGGACAAAAGGAAGAATTGACTGACAGGTTAAAAAATCTTATCGCAGATTATGCAGACGGAACAAGTGTTCTCAAAGAGATGCTCCAAAATGCAGACGATGCTGGTGCATCATGTCTCCGAGTTTTGTATGATGAGAGAACGAATGAAAATTCACGAGTTGGTCTAATTGACAAAGGTATGGCAGAATGTCAGGGTCCGGCGATCTGGGTGTACAATGATGCCAAGTTCGAAGAGAAAGACTTTCAAAATATCATAAGACTTGGAGCAGGAACTAAGGAGTCCGATATGACGAAAATAGGAAAATTTGGTTTGGGATTTTGTTCTGTCTACAACATTACAGACATGCCAAGTATTATAAGTGGAGAGTCACTCGTCATCTTGGACCCAAGAACAATCCATCTTGGTAAAGCTTTGAAAAACAATAATCCTGGATTGCGATTCAAGGTATCAGACCCAAAAACAAGACATCGTCTAAGACACCAACTACGACCATTTAATGGTGTATTTGGTTGTGACTGCCAAATTGAGGGCGACAGCATGTCATATGAAGGAACACTGTTCAGACTTCCTCTTAGAACGGCGAAACAAGCAGACGAAACAAAAAATCAAATTTCTTCCAAACATTACACAAAACAGAAAGTCATTCAGTTGATTGAGAAGTTCATTGAAGATGCTGGAAATTTGATGCTCTTTATTCAGAATGTAAACACGGTTGAATTCTTTCACTGGGCATCGGAAGCCAGAGAAGAGTGTCGGTTTTACAGAATACAACGTATTTCAAAAAATCCTGTGGCTGTCACACATGCCAACATACTTAAAGAGGCAAATAAGGCGTTGCTCACGCAGAATAAAAAGCCAATACAAAGGAAAGAAAACATAACCATTAAAATAAACATTCTTCGAAATAAACTTGTTAAAAAGATATTAACAGAAGAGAATTTGAAGGAAAAGACTTTAGAGATGGATTGGAGTATATCCTGGCAGATTGGATCGCATTGTCAACACCTATCTGAAAGTACAGATAAAAACATCATTGTTGGTAGTGCAGCAATACCAGATAATCACTGTCTGCTGCTAGACAGGACAGAAAAGAAATCTACTGATATTCCACTGGGCTTTTACAAAACTGGACATGTTTTCTGCTTTCTTCCATTACCACAGGAATCCATGATGCCAGTTCATATCAATGGGTATTTTGCAGTTGAGACCAGTCGGCGGCGTTTGACGGTTAGCCTATCAGACAACGTATATTCTGAAGGAACTGAATGGAATAAGTTTTTATTGCGAAATACCATCTGCTATGCCTATCTCAATTTATTGGAGAGTTTATCTGGGAGAGATTCTCAAAAATATCATGAAAATTGGCCACTTTTTGGGAAAGACGAAATGATGAATGAATTAGTGATTTCTTTTTATGAAAAAGTTGTCAGGTCTGAACATAAATTATTCTACCAGAAGAAAACATCTGGAGATATCAAAAAGTTTTATTTCGGTGAATGTATTTTCCTTGACCCTTCACTAAGATATGATTTTGGTGAAAAAATAGGAGAGAAATCGTTTGGTTGTTTTTTGACTTTCAATGATCAGGACAAAATTGTAATGGATATGCCAGTAGATATTTACAAACAATTTCAGAAATCTTCAGACTGTCAAACAAAACTAAAAGAAAACATCTGTAATGCTATAACATTTTACCTGAAGTCATTTATACCAAGTCTATTAACAAATTGGTGGTCAGACTCTGTTAAAGAGAGGAATAAATTGCTACTACACATTCTCCAAATTGATGATATGAAGGTCAGGGAAAGACTTAAAGAAACACCTTGCGTCCCAACCAAGCCACACGGAAAGTTGCGGAAACCCAAAGAACTTGTTTATCCATACTCAGATTCTAGTAAATTTTGTGTCTCGTGGCTTTTTTCAGTAGATGATGGGAGATTCCCAGTAGAAGAATTTACGCAGTCGAAAATTGTGCAAAAACTTAAGGAACTTGGTATGATAACTGACACTCTACCAAATGAATTAGTAATCGATCGTGCCAAATCAGTACAAAGATTGTCTTCAAAACCCGAGAAGATGAGAGAAAGGTGTCAAAATGTTCTGCGTTATATAGAACTGAAGAAGGATAGTCTAAATGATGTTCAAAATGCATTGCAAAGCATAAAATTTCTGCCAGTCCTACGGAAGCCTGCACCTTCAGAATGGCCTTTCAAATGGTATTCTTCGGAATCAAAGAGATTGGAGGCAGGGAAGGAACTCTTTCTTTCAAACTGCAGATGTGTTGTTGGCTGTGTTCGACCTGTGATTGACGAAGAAAATTTCTTTCACGCCCTTAAGTACTTGGGAGTACGGTATTTTTCTGATGTTGACGAAAAAATAGTGATTGAGCAGTTTAAAGAGATAACAGCCAATGTTCCTGCTGATCTCTCGGATTCAGTGTGGCAGGTCTTTGACGAGGTGTACAGGTACTTTAATAGCAGAAAATGCAGATTGCTAACAAATTTTACAGACAAACCTTGTATTTTGACAAAGTCGACTGGATTAATCAAACCAGAACTTTGTGCAGTTGACCTTCAAAGTGACTTAAAGCCGTTCCTGTACAAAATAGAAGAACGATGGACAAAATATAGAGCATTTCTGTATAGTGTAGGCGTGAAGCAGATGTTTTCAGTCGAATGTCTTGTTCAAACTCTTATAAAGATGAAAACCAAGGAAGGAGAGCACTCAAATTATGTTCCTACTGTAGTTCGTCTTCTGAACATGCTCTCGGAATCAAAACGAAGAATTGAGTTTCAGGCTAGTTGTGATTTGGAAAAGATATTACTTCCTGATGAGGAGGGTATTATGAGAAAATCAAAGGACCTTTGTATTGATGACAACAAATGTAGAATAGCAAAAGACAACAAGATAATTTTTGCACATGGAGATTTAAACGTGTCGACAACATCCCTATTTGAGATTAAATCAAAGAGTGCCCAATTTTTAAGACGATTTGCGGGAGCTGTTTCATTTGGACAATCTGAGAAATTAGTGACAAGGTTGAAAGGAATTTTGAAAGATTATCCATGCGATGTTTCAATTTTGAATGAGTTGTTGCAGAATGCAGACGATGCTGGGGCAACCGAAATTCATTTCATACATGACAAAAGAACTCATCCTAAAGATTCTTTGTTTGATAAATCTCTTGAAGATACACAGGGACCTAGTTTAGTGGTTTTCAATAATTCTTGCTTTTCAAAGACAGATATTGAAGGTATATCCAAGCTTGGCGAAGGAAGCAAGGGGTCGGATCCAATGACGACAGGTCAATTTGGAATTGGCTTTAATGCTGTTTATCACATCACAGACGTTCCATCTTTCTTGACAAAGGGAAATGCAGTACCAAGTGGTGAAGCTTTGGTCATGTTTGATCCGCATTGCAAGTACGTTCCTCTGGCAACCCATCAAAACCCAGGAATGATGCTTGATAACATTCAAAGTATCAAATTTAAAGAAACTTTTCCAGATATGTACCAGACATACCTTACAGAAGAAGTTCCTGCATCCACAGGGACGTGGTTTAGGTTTCCACTGAGAACGCAAAAAATGGCAAATGTTTCCCAAATTAAAAAGGGCAAAGCAATGACAAATAGTGATCTTGAAAATTTGTTTTCTTCCTTGAAAAATGAAATGCCTAAATCGCTAATGTTTTTATCAAATGTAGCAAAAATCACACTTTCTGTAATATCTTTTGATGGTAAATTACAACAAATATCATCAGTATCAGCAATACGAAGTCGCACAGATCACGATAAGTTACAACAATTCAATAACCATGCTAAACAATATATGGAATCCTTACAAACTGGGAGGGTTTCCCTTGCACAAAATGAAGGTTTATCGGTTCAATACCAATTAGAACTCGATATCTCATGTGACGAAAATTATCAGGAGCTGTGGTGTGTTTCGCAAGTTTGCGATGTTAAAGTCCAAAATGGTGTAGATCAGCGGTTGATAAATGGATTTAAAGATGGAAACATATCCTTGTCACCAAGAACAGGTGTTGCATATAAGATTGCAAAAGAACAAGACAGAGACTTGTCCCAAGTATTTGATTTTCTACCATTACCTATCCAGAGTAATCTTCCTGTGCATATTAATGGTCATTTTGCTGTTGACGCTTCTCGGACAAATATTTGGGTAGACACGGTGAAAGGAAAAAGTCTGAAAGGGCTTTGGAACGATTTCCTGCTTGAACACGCACTCCCCTTTGCCTTTGTAGAACTTGTTTGCTTCCTTCGTGAACATCTATTCAAGGACAATGGAGCTAGCGTTTTAGAGACAGTAGACGTGTACAACAATGCATTCCCCATTTTATCAGATGTTGCTAACACTAAATGGGAAGGAATTGTGAGGGGGTTTTATCAGTTTGCATGGGAAAAGAAAGTTGAATTATTTCCAATATACCTTCCTTCCGCCCTGTTTAATAGTTTTAGAGAGACACGCCACTTTTTTACCAAAAATACAAAGAGCGATGTGACAGGCGGATGTATATCGTTTGTTTCATTAAATAATGATAATCACAGTTTTTCAACATACTTTGTTCCACCAAATACAAATGAATGTTCAACCACTGTTCAGACAGCTCCAGATTATTTAAGTAACTGTCAAATGCAACAGAATGCAGAAGCATTTTGGTTCGATACAGAGTTGTCAAATATCTTGAAACTTTTGGGAATGAAAATTTTGGAGTCTCCTGCTCATATTGCAGAAACTGTGCAACAGTCACTGAAATCAAATTCAAGTGCCCCTTTCCTTAATGTTGCTGAAATTGTGAAATTTTTGAAGTCATGGAATACAGCTGCTGTAGATAAATGCCGCATTACAACAGTTGGAATTAGCTTGAAGAAAACGCTATTTCAGAACATCAGTTTTGTTCAAAAACTTGCGCATGTCTGCTTTGGGTTGGTAAAATATAACCACATCAAACAATTAGAAGGGATACCATTGTGTGTCCAGAATGACAACATTCTTCAAGTCTTTTCTAAAGACAGGAAAAAAATTGTTTCGCAATACTGTGATTTATTGCCAAACTCATCACAGAAATTTTTGCATGTAGAACTTGTTAACATATTCAAAAGCCAATTGACTGAAGCAAAGGATTGTCTTTTGCAACTTGATTTAGAAACTTTTACAAAATTGCTAGAAGAAAATGAGTCCAGAAGATTGCTTTCAGAGATTCCTGTTCCTTTGTCAGAGAAACATCAGAGCAAAAAATGGTTCATCAGATTTTGGGAATTCTTATCTTCTCTTCCGAGAAAAAACATACTTGAAGACTGTACGAAGCATTTGGGGTCCTGGTGTTTGATACCAGCAGCGACAAAATCTAGCAAGAGAGTGATTTTATTTCCGTTTAAATTACGACATGCAGTTCTCGACACCGATTCCTTTCAATTTGGAAAAGATCAGGAAATAGGAAGAATTTTGCTAAAATTAGAAATTCCGTCACCATGCAAAGACTATATTGGAGATACTTTTGAATTGAGACAATTCATGCAGCGTGTTTGTGCCTCTTTGCTCTCCGTAGAAAACGTTCTTACGTGCCTTGTCCACCACAAAGGAAGATATGAAATGTTGCCAAAAGATGCAGTCCATCTTGTTATGTTTTTATATCACAAACTGCATGATGACTTCAGCAGTTTGAAAAGCAAATTTAAAGAAATAAATTTTTATGAATCTTTTGATGGTTCATTGACAAATCTCATCACTAATGGAGAAATGATGTCGTTGGAGCAGGATTGTGTTCCAAAAGAAGGCCTACGGTCCCTTTGCAAACACAAAGGATTGAAGATACTCAAGAAAAATTACCGTGTTTATGAAATATACAGGGAATTCTCGGTGAAAGAAATAAACCCTGTTTCATTTTATGAACAATACTTTCTTCGATATCCACAGCTATTTGACCATGAAACTCGAATGATTCATATTAAATACATAAAAGAAAAGCATTTGTTCATAGACGGTGGTGAAAGAATGCAATCTTTGATCAAAGAATTTCCTTTCGTTCAAAATACTGAGACAAGAGAGTTACAAAGGGTCTGTGAATTTTTTACCCCTTTTCTTCGATTATGCCGGCAGATGTGTAATAAAAGCGAATTATTACCTTTAGACCCATTCTACAACGAAGAATGGAAAGACTTTTTGATCTATGCTGGTCTCAAAACACAAATTCCTGTCAACGTTTTACTCAGATTTGCAAGAGAAATAGATGAAAGGCAGTCCCATAGAAAAGATGAATCTTTAATGTCCCACTCAAAGTTGCTTCTGGCAGAAATTTTGAATGTCCCTAATCTACACAAAGAGCAAAGGTTTCTTCGTGAACTCAGAAAGATTAAATTTCTTATTCCAACAAAAGTTGAAAAAGAGTATTCACAAATTGTAGGGCAATTTAAAACAGGTCATTCATTAATTTCTTTTGAAAATGCAGTTTATCCTGAAAGCAAGATAATAACTTGGTCCTCTTGTAAAATCCTGCCTGATCTTAAATGCAAAGATAGAACCCATTGGAGTAAAGTTGAAGAACTATTGCTGATAAAGAATATTCCTGACTTGAATGATGTGATCTCGCATGTTCATAAAGTTTGTCATGCCTTGAAAAGGAAAGAAAAAGATAAACATGAAAATCAGGAAAGTACTCTTGATCTGTCTACGTTTATAGGAAATATTTATTCAAAACTGAAGGATTTCGCCTCAAACAATATTGTTGAATTGAAAACAGGGTTTTGTGAAACACCTTTGATTTACAACATAGAGCACAACTGCTGGCTTCGCTTAGATCAAGTTATTTTACAGTTAATACGAAAAGAAGAAATTCCACCTTATCTTTGCCGAGGAAGTGAAATATTTGGAGCACATTTTAATTTTTTCAGGAACCTTGGTGTTGCGGATGAGGCATGTGTATATCACTATGCAAGGGTGTTTGATTTACTCCATTCCTCTGTTGGAAACCGTCCACTGTTCCCAGAAGAGCTTCTCGTTTGCCAAAAGTCAATGGTCGGATTTTTATCTTCCCTTGAAAAACTTCAGAAGACATCAATTCCAGAAGAATCGAAGTATGATAAACTTCTTGAGTTTCCTTGTATATATCTACCTTCAAGTGAGAACACATTGGAAAAATCATCCAGCCTTACTTTATGTGATAGACCAGACTTTGTGAAGAGAATACGTAACTTCAACCTCATTAAATTTGTGAAATCTGTTGAACTAGAGAAATACGATGAAAAAAGATTACTTTCATGCCTTCCCTCTTGTTTTCGACCGATACTTCTTTCACAACAAGTGAAAGAAATCATTCATTCTGTAGATAAATGTGGATCATGTGAACGTTTGGAAACTTTGAAGAGAAAATTTCAGATGACAGAATTTGTTAATGGAGTATGTGCAATTCTTTCTAAATCTGTCGGGGTTACGGAGAGTATGATTAAACAATACAAAGAAAATTTGCTCAGATTGCATTTTCAGCAAGTTTCTCAACTAGAGACTAAACTCCTCTATCGTAAAGAAGAGGTGCAAATTGCAGGTTCTGTGAGGAGTAAAGCAGTGTTCTTTGATACAGATGAAGCTGTGGTGTTTATTAAGGTTGACCAAGGTTTACATTCAGCATGGAGATATATTCGAGACCCCTTATTTCATGTAATTATTAGATGCACTGACGGGTGTGCAATCCATTATCGCGAACAAATCTTGAGACTAATGGAGTCTGAATCGGCGGAAGAAATGCGTGGATTGTTATCAAAATTAGAAGTTTCAATTGAAACCAGTTGGGAACCGGAACTGGGATCATACGTCCCTGAAGATCTCCATGATTACTTAGACAACTCTATTCGAGAATTCCGTGATGGAGAAATTGTGGCCTTTGAAGTTCTCAATCCGTCGCTGGATGGTGTGGAAGACTATGTGTTTATCTATGTCCGAATAATAAAGAAAATTGACAATCATAAGTTTTCTATGTATAACATCAATGACGGGTCTGATATTCGTTGTGAAATCGCATTCAGATTATATCGCTTTATCCAAAGTGAAGGAAACAACACTTCACAAGAAATCGAAAGACACACTGATCTGCAAGGAGAGATATATCAAATGAGAAAAGTAGCCATTTTCGAAGAAATTAAATGGACACTTATTGAAGCATGGAAATACAATCCAAATGACTTCAAGAGAGTTCGAAATAGACTACTAATGAATTGGCATCCAGATAAACATCCAGATAATCACTTGGCGAAAGATGTGACTCAATACATCCTAGAGATAGAACGCAGGTTGAAAAATGGTGAATTCAAAGAGTTTATAGGAAACTCTTCTGATGATAGAAGAAATTATTATTATAGACAGAGAAAAGGAAGAGGGGGCAGTTTCTACTATGGAGAGCGACAATCTACGTTTTCACAACCCCAGAAGAAGGACTATGATGATTGGATAGATGGCTACATGTCACGGCGCAGACGTAGAAGAAGAGGAAATTGGACATCCTGGTCTTCATCGAGCAGTGGTTGCGTCCAAAAAAGAACACCAAACCCCCAACCACAAGTTGGAAAACTCTGGTTCAAACAAGCCAAATACGACTTGATCGCAGCACTCAAGCAAAAAGAGAGATGCATCGATGACGACACGATAGCTCATACTTTGAACTGGATATGCTACAAGTGTCATCAGGTATGTTGATTTTGGTGTATAGCAGGATAAAAGAAAATGGTTTTTTAATGCAAGTTATAATTAAGTAGATTAAAATTTAAAATCCAAAAGCTAGCTCAAGATTCTTGAAGTTCAGAGAATTGTTTGCTTTTAATAGAGATCGATGCTTGTTAGTCCCCTACAGGTGAAACTGGATGGGACTATAAGTTTTCTCCTCGTCTGTCTAATCTGTCTGTCCCACTTGGTTTTCCGCACTTCATTTTCTAAACGCTTACAGATATCGAGTTGAATTTTGGTATGCGAGTGTATCTTGATAAGTTTACATATCAAGTACATTTTCTTCAAATTCAATATATATTTTTTTTTTACGAAATTACGGTCTTTTTGATTTTTTTAGGGTTTTCGGGTACTTTTTTTCTCCTAAACGCTTGGAGATATTGAGTTGATTTTATGTATGTGAGTTAACCTTATATGACACAGCTGAAATACATGTGGACATATACGTGGTTAAGTGCTTCGGGTAATGCATAGACCCCTACCATATCTAAGTGACATGCTTGCAACAAAGATCTGAGTTAAATGGAGCAACCTGATCAAAGACAGTGTCAACCATACTGTTAACGCTATAATTGGTTCCCTCTCATACATATTACACAGTTTCTATAAAGCTTGTTGATATGCTCAAATATCAAATTCAAGATTTTTACAGGTTTTTGTCAGGATTTCTTATGCATGTTCGAAAGAGTTGGTATTTGCCATTACATGTATGTGTAAGCTCATTCATTAATTTCAGGCCATTGAAAAGTGCATCAAGAGTTTGATGTATCGGGAAGATGCTAACAAAGCAGGGGATAACCTGAGGACTCATGACCTAGTTTCCCTGTCGCACCGCGTGTCTGTTCCTGGACTGACGGACCTTTGTAGACAGTTTGGCTCCGAAGTAAGCAGTAGTCCAGACAGCATAATGTACCCTTTGTTCAACACTGTTCCCGGCGAAGTGTTCACTTCTGATCAGGCAGTAAAGGCCTGCAGTATTGCAGAAAGCATTGTTGAAATGTGTGATGAGCAATGGAACTCGTAACTCACAATGTGTTTATTAAATGGTGTATATAAATCACATTTCTCTGATATAGACTGATAGTTCTGTAGTTTTATTGTTCATAACTTAATGTATTAATATTTTGAAGCTTATCTCCATTGTACTGTAATTAGGTACGATACTAGTTTTTGTTGTTAATTTATTCTCAAATTTGAATATATGTTAATTTCTTATTTTTTTAAACAAAAATTCTGAATTTCATCATTTTGTAGAAAACCATTTATTCTCTTCAACTTAGTATAAAATATCATATTAAAAAAAATTAAAAGGATTTTTGGAGAGAATGGCTTTAAAATTACCATGATCTTTAAAATTGATAACATTTTTACTAGCTTTTTTGCTACACTGTATGAATTATAAATAAGTTATGATATCATGTAAAAAATGTTACGTCCATAGTTAAAAGGTGTATTTAAGCATTATTCTTTCAAGATCAATTCAGTTGTAATAGTTTGGATATCAGTCTGAATAGCTCAATCAGTAGAGCACCCTAACTAGGATGCAGGGGTCACGGGTTCCATTTCCAGTCTAGCCAAAAATTTTCTGCTTTCCTGTTAAACAGTGTATCAAAAAACTCACTATACTCTGTAATACATTTAAAATCTTTTAACAGAACAATAACTGTACATGTACTCATTTTAGTGGTAATCATATCTGGGTGTCTTTCATGCTTTTTTATGTCCACCTACTTAAGCATCCGTTACTACATAGAGAAGTTTTGCACCAAACGATAATGATGTTATCAGCTGATGAGGAAGATTGCACTAAGTTTTGGGTGTGTTAAATTTATGTACAGTAATTATCATATACTCCAGTGCTTTATCCTAATGGTAGTTGCAGTACTGTATACTTATAACAATAATATAATGCCTGTGTTTTTAAGGTGCCCATGGCACTCCAGATAAATCTTTCAAATTGTACACTGAATTAATGAACACGGAAATAAACACACACATGTAGCATTTAAAAGTTTTTTTTTATTCTTCTTACTTGTAGAATACAAATGTTCAATTAAACAATTGATAACAATAGATTTGTCTTACAAACTGCATGAAATTTACACAGTTAATGAGTGCTACATTAAGATTGCTGGGTTTGACAGGCAACGTTTGTGATAAATTAACTGTAATATGTATATTAAAACTTTGTAGTTATAATTAGGATATTAGTATGACAAACTGTGGTGTTGTTTATAGATATGACAACCTTTTCCACTGCAATGAGATACACCAAAGACTTCAGAATTCAGTGTGGAACCTCTAGTCACTTCTTTGTCCGCTACTAGACAGATATTGAGGCTGGAGTATTGCATTAAACTTACACTGTCATACATTACATAAAAACGATACTATCTTTAAAATTAATATTGCAAGAAATTCATTGACACTTATTTCCACACATTATCACAAAATACATGCTTATAAACAACTCAGATATGAGATTCAAATAAAACTAAAGTGGGTCCCATAATTTTAAATATTACAAAAATATTGAACAAGTCAATAAACAGTATTTCTGACAAAAACAAAAAAATCATGGGACTTATAAAGCAGTTGACAATGAATACACAAAAATACATAGTACAATTCTCTTTTCTGCTTGAACTTTCAGTAAGGTGTGACATTCTTGGCTATACATAATTAGTGTCTCTCAAATAAAGACTTAGATTCTCATTGGTTGCCAGATTAGCTCATCAATACTGAAATTTACACAGCTTTTCATTCACGGGTGAAATACACATGGGATAAAAATGGGTCAGACGTCAACAAGTGACGCAAGGAGCCAATTACATTGTTTCTTACAGTAAAGAGGTGTGGCTTATGTCATCTCATTGTTTGTTAACAACAGTCTGAAGTTGCTAATGTTATTACTTTCTTAACCAATGAGAATCTAGGTCACCATTTGAGAGACACTAATTATGTATCACCGAGAATGTCAAACCTTACTGAAAGTTCAAGCAGAAAAGAGAATTGTACTAAGAGCTCACAAGCACAACAGAAGTTCTAACAGAGATGATCTACCTTGTGTTTTATAAAAATCCTAATTAAAGATCTGAAACAATCCCTCAACATGAATAGTTTAAGTCTGTAGTAAAATATCAATAAATAATTGCTAGACCTCGGTCTTAACCTACTCAATCTCCTGCACTTTTCTGCAAATTTCTCCTGTAAACTCGGAACACTTAGATGATCCCCCTAAATCACCTGTCAAAAACTGAAATATTAAAATTGCAAATTATTAATGGTATTATTAATGGTATAAAGTGTTTCAATAATAAAATATCTAACATAATCCATAATTAAATTTCTATTATAATCATCCATAATAAATTTTCTATTATAATCAGTATTAATAAAATTTCTATTACAATACACAATAAAACTTTTATTACAATCAGACCAAATTTTTACTGCCTAAATAAAGAACTACTCACTCTTCCTTCTCTGATGACATCAAAACAGGAAGTCTCTATACGTCGTGCGTACTGTCCAAGACCCATGTATCGTAACATCATTACAGCACTGAGAAGCAGAGCCGTTGGATTGGCCTTGTCTTCCCCAGCAATGTCGGGGGCTGTTCCATGTACCTGTAAAAAGATTTAAAAACAATTTAATTGACAGCACACATACACATGTATGTAACCCTCTAAACAACTACACAAATATAGCTGAGATCACATTTAGTTCTCTCAACTTCTTGCAACTTTGAGGCAGTTGATAGAACAAGGTTCACTTAGGGCCTTTTTTGGCCCTGTGAATTTCTGAAAAACTGAAACTGCTTAGTTTTAGTTGACAATGCATTAAATTTCATTTAGACATTTGGCGATTGCGAATCTACCAAAAATGACGTAATTTTCTGGCTAGTCAATGCATTATGACGTCATGAAATGTGTCATTTTCCTCATATCCTGAACAATTCTACAAAAACAGCCAATTTTTAAAGCTATTTTTCGATATTTAATATAGAGCACAATCTCTGATCTAAAATATGCAATTATTTACTGATAGAACTGTTTCTGAGGATTACAAAACATGTTTTATTTTTTAGATCAGAGGGTGCGCTCATATTATTTTTCTTCTCTGAAAGTACTTAAATATACCTGTTTTCCTTAAAATTCAAGAACATTGCTATTCCATAAAGCTTGTTTTCCAAGACCTGGACTTTAAGGAGAAAAAATTTAATAGGAAATGAAAGCACTAAGTCTCTAATTTATCTTGATATTTAAAATGGAACATAAGGTGTTAGTCAATAAATTGGTATATCTACAGGGCCATTTTATGCATAAAGTGAACCTAGCTCTTTGTTGTAAAGAAGAAAATGAAGGTTTTCTGCACTTCTGTGCTGAGGAGTTGGAACTACTTCCTTTTTTATGTTATCTACATTATCTACATTTTCACTTTATGAATGATTTACTTATCTTGACTCAACTTAAATTTCCTTACAAATAAAAGTACAAAAACTTACAGATTCAAAAATTGCACCATCTTGTCCTATGTTGCCACTAGGTGTCACCCCAAGTCCTCCAATAAGTCCTGCACAGAGGTCACTGTCAATCAGAGATATAAACTCATTTATAAATATCAACTGGAAAAAAAAGGTCAATGTCAATCAGAGATATAAACTTGTCGATCAATAGATATCGATTGGAAAAATAAGGGCTACAAGAAGGTACATCTCCAAGTATGTAATTGTTAAGTCTATGACATCTTATGGGACAGAATGACAGATAAATGTGACAGACCAGAGGAGGATTCACATCCAGCCCTCCCCCAAACTATTGAGCCATTGGTACATCATTCAAAGGTAACTTCAAGGGCATGGCAAAGCACCAAATGTAACAGGAAGGGAGAAAATTCAATGGACACAACCAAGATTGAATATGGGGCCTCTGAACTTTAAGATGATGCTGTACCAACTAAGCTGTCTGGCTACTGAGCCTCCTGACTGCCACACTTACTTGTCTTACGTCTTTGATAGTAAAGCTTCTTATTAATGTTAGGTTTATTCTTATACTTCTTTCTGAAATTCTAATACTATTTAATGATTTACCTCAAAATATCACCATAGAGATTTGGCATCACCAACACATCAAACTGAGTGGGATCTTGAACCATCTGGAAGGAGAAAACAGTGGAGTGGGTCGTTTTCATTGTGAAAGACTTCCCTTTAATAAAGTACTGGTGCATTATACATTTATCAGACTGCATAACAATACTAGGAAACTTTGAAATATACACTGTGCTTGAGTATCTTTGCTGCTGACATGATTAGTATATAAAGCTATACTTCTCTGCTAAGATGTCGACTTACATTTAAGCAGACTGTATCAAGGTACATCTCTTTAAATTTAATATCTTTGTTCTGTTCGGCTACATGTCTACAGCACTTTAAAAACAAACCATCAGTCATCTTCCTGCAAGAGAAATGAAATATACTGAAATATCATAGTAAATACTACACAAAAATGTCAACTCTCTGACCAATGGCACATGGTTTGATTCATGGCTTAGTGATTGAGGTGAATACTGTACATAGCAAATTATATATTTTTATAATATGGCACAGGTAAATTTATCTTGACTCTTAATGTTACAAGTATTTAGAATTTGAAACGGAGCAATAAAACGAAGGAGAGGAGGCAGGGAGCTCATTGGAACCACACTATTTTGGTCATGAGTAGCTAGTGGTGGAAATATCAAAAGACACAATGAACTTATTATGTGTTTGAAATAACATTTATCTATGACTACTTTTTTATTTTGCCAACATGTATGTACAATTCAAAACCAAATTGATTTCCTGAAGTCTGAACCAAACATGGCAAATTGTGGTGCACTGATATCTTCAGTACACAATACAGGACTAAACTCTTCTGCATAAAATTGTATATAATTTAACTTAGATTACTAATTTATAAATTACTGGCATGAACTCAGCCTATGGAAGTCAGTTCATCCAATAGACAGGTTTCTTACAATATGTTTGCTTGTGATCAATGGACAGATTTCTAACATTCAATATGTTAGCCTTGTAGCCAACAGAAAGGGTTTTTACATTATGTCAGCCTTGTAGCCAATAGATTTCTTCCATTTTGTTTGCGTTTTTACCAACTGACAGGTTTCTTACATTATGTTAGCCTTGTGGACGGCTGTGACTGTGTCCCTGTTGTTGTCCCGTGCGTAAGAAAAGGCGTACTCCGCTACCCTCATAGACGCCTCCTCTGTGATCTTTTTAATACTCTGTACCACACCATCAACAATCTGTAAGAGATACTCTAATGTGTGTACACTACAGTCTTTAAAGCAAATCTTTCAAAGACAATGAATCTCAACTTTATATGAAAAGGATTTTAAAAGAAAAAAATCTTAAGACTGTTTTAGACAAATATTAACAAGTTACCAATTAAAGCTAAAACATACACTACAAAACTCATCAAATGCTCTGTACCAATGAAAAACTCACCACATGTTCTATACCACTATATTCACCTTCGGTGTTCTCTCTAATAGTGACCAGATCTACATCTGAGTAGGCTGTTTTGTAGCCTTCTATCGACTTGCAGGGGCGCACATTTGCGTACAGACTAAAAGCTCTGAGTAAAAAAAAAAATCAGTTCATCTAATGTTATGGCATCATTTCTATAAAATGAGGTATTGAAAAATATAGGATCAAGTCACAGCAAGTTTGATTTGGTTATACTGAGTATTACAAATTACCAAATTTCCATGACACCTTATTTTTATGAGATAGCTATTTGGTATTTATCATTGACAAAAAAATTCACACAAGTGTTGGTTATTGTTGTATATAATATTGATTGTAACAGGAGAGGAGAAAAATCTCCTGTTACATTAATAATATAAATATTTGGTGTGAGAAAAATTTTTGCGAGGATAGGGTCTCGTATATAATTTTACACATAAATTGTGTCAACAGTATTTCTTTATTTTAAAATCAGAACAATACATATTTAGTTTTACACTCACTTCCTCAAGGCCAGATTTAGAGACTGATGGCCTTTCCCTATAGGTGTGGCTAATGGGCCTTTAAGACCAACTTTTGTTCTATCCATGGATTCAAATATCTTTGGAGGGAGTCGAAAATTTCCATCTGGGCCTTTAACAGGAGTGACATCAACATCTTCCCAGTCAACAGGGGCCTGCATCAAAAAGTAAATAAACTATCTTATGGCTGTTCTATTTGATAAAATTCATTTGTACACAAACTGACACCAAAGTCTAAAGAAATCAGTTAGCTTTTAAAGTTTCTGATGAATATAATCTTAAAACTACAAAAACATATTGATATTCACACAGCCAATCTTCTGAAGTGGTCTATAATTGTTGCTAAATGTAACTGACTACAAGTATATAGTTAAATGTAATATCACTTTAATGCTTGAAACCATAGAGTTAAAATTACCACATCTTTACAATGCCAAGATTTTGTGATATCGTTTCTTTACAAAAACCCTTGACAAAAGTCGCCATTTAAGTCGGCTTGTGGTTACACATGATGTGAATGGTTAATAATAAACCAACCAATGAAAATATATCTTTCAGTAAGAACATGAAATTGACATCTGAGCTCAAGAAAAATGCATAGAAGTTCATTTTTTTTCCATCTGATGTTTATTTTCAAATTTGAAATCTAGTTTTAACATTTTGTTTAGTTAAATTCAAATATCTCCAAGTACTCAAACTCTGTCACCATAAGCGGAAAACACCCTGTGTTACTCTCCAAATTACTTTTTGGTCTGTTTCTTGTTTGCTACTCTTAGTAATGAAACTAAACATTGTTTTCAGAACTATTAAGAAAAAAGTGCAGTTTTTGGGCTTGTATAACACCATTAACTAGAACGCGTAGCACACTCATGTACATTACGTCCCATGAACCCTGACTCGTCACCCGTGTCCTCTATAATATGCCAACATATTAAATGCATGTTTTTTCCCCAGTTCAGTTTTTTGTCCCTTTTTCTTAAAGTTGTAACCATAAAAAATAATTTTTAAGATTTAAAATAGTACTAAATGAGTTTTAAGAAAAAAATCTACAACAGAAAAAAAAATAACATTAATATAACATATTTTATAGGAAATAAAGTTGAACTAACGTTATCGCCAACCTGTAGTGCATTAGAGCAAATGTACACAAAAAAAATAAAATGTTTTTTAATTAAGCCGTATCCAACATGATATGTTCAACCTTGGACATTAGACCTTCATAAAAATGACTTGCATATGAAGATGAGTATGTTGAAGACAGAGGTACTTGTTGGAGATATTGATGGAATAGCACATGAAGGAAAACGCGCTTACTGATTTCACATAAAATATGATATATACAATGAATAGTGTAATTGTTATTTATTTTTTATGCATTCTTGAACTTGACTGTTATAATATCTTGGCATTTGATTGTAGATTATCAGCACGCCAAAAATGATGTCACAATAACATTCATTTACAAACAGCGTGGAGTTTCCTGAAAGTGACAGAGTTAGGGTAGTGATGGAGTTAGGGGGTGTGGCGATATAATATTTGAGGTAATTGGTCCCAACTCAGACAATTGACACTTTCCATTTTACTGAGATATTACTTTTTTATTGCAACATTTAACCCACTATTACAGTTGTTTTCTGATTGGTTTCCAGTCCAAGGTCAGGAATAAATGAAATAGCAGCTCTATGGCCCGACTTTTAATTAGTGACTTTTGTCAAGGGTTTGTGTAGAGGTACAATATCGCTTTGACCATGTTGACATTGTGAAGAAGAAAATACCATAAAATCAGTAATTCTAAATATAGTTTAAATTGCAAAATAGTAAATTTTCCCTGTTCTTCAATACAGTGATTAATTTCAATCTGCATAAGTTACCAGTTACACACTAGTCCGATATATGTCTGAGTAAAAATTTGATTCTTTACCCCTGCAGCACTAAATATGTCCTTGACGGCTTGTGAAATCTCTGGTCCAATTCCGTCCCCTGGAATCATAGTAACCAACTGTCTGCCCTCTGTGGCATAGCTTCGGGAGTTCTAAAGACATACACACAGTCCACATACAACATGGTCAACAATCATAAATAACACATCTAGCACAATAGTCATGATAATCTTTTTTTTTTATTTGTTCAACTTATCGATAAAAAAAATTAACAGCAACAAGTGTTAGTCAACATCGACAATTCTAAAAAAAAAAAAAAAGTTTGTCTTCAGTGATTAAACAGCAGGGCTAGGTCCGATGAAACGAAACCAAATTACTGTTCTCAAAAACGTCGTCTGCAAATTCCCACGTGGGCTGTCAAAGGCCCCTTTTACACTACTTTCGGTATTCATCTAAAAGTAATTCACACGGAAGACACTCAATTAAATGTGTTTCATACATGATTTATCTTACCTGGTTTGGAAACTCCTGTAATAACCTTTTCAACGCTCGACGAAAAGCCATCGTTGTGACCTTCAAAATGGAGAGTTCCAATAATTCGATTTCCGTTGATAATCACGGTGTTTTAAGCGCTTTCATTATATTCAGGGGAAGGTCTCACAGTTAACAAGATTATCAGTTTTTTTTTTTTAATTAACGGGGGAAACACCAAAATTAAAATGTTTTAAATATCCAATATTTTTAAATTTCAAAGTGATTATAAATTGATTACACATATATTCCCAAATAACATCGATTTAGATCAATCTACATACTATTGAATTTAACTGAGATCAAATTGGGGAGTCAAAAAAAAAAATATAATATAGTGTGTTCATGTACATACTATATATTTACATTAACTTCCAGCACCTGTGGTCAAAAGTTAAAGACTCAAGTTATTGATAGAAAGATTTGCATTTAGTTTGGTGATAGAGTAACTTAATTTATATACATTGAGTAATTAGAGAATAAAGTCTGAAGCTTAATTTACATGTATCTAGTTTAGGAATATAAAAACTTCTACTAGTTTAGGGATATGGTAAGATTAAATACCGTTTAGGCCTTAAGGGATAGACAGCTTAATACATATAGTTTAAGGAGAGGCAACTTTATTATCAGTTTAGAAAAAAGTAGCTAGTAATATATATATATACAATCGATCTAGTTAAGACTAGTTTAGAGATGATATTTACATTTCCAAATATTTTTCCTTGTTTAGATTCTTTGCATATTAGAAAAAGTTCATTTTCTCATGAACTACCTTGGGATGAGTAAGAATTAATATTTCCAATGTGATGTGATTGAAGTCAAAAAATAGCACAAACTTTTTTTTCAAAAATGATCGATGTGTAACAGGAAAGGAGAAATTTATGTATTGCTGGACCGGGAATCGAACCCGGGACCCCTGCATCACTAGAAAGGTGCTCTAACGACTGACTTACCGAGGCCAATATCCACGGCCAAAACCATTACAAGTGTAAAGATAAACAATTTTTCCTCTAGTTAAGGGATAGACATCATTACATCTTTCTAGCTTTGGGATAGACAAATTTACATCTATTAAAGAGACTTTACATCTAGTTTTGGGATAGACAGCTTAATTTACATCTAGTTTGATTTGATGATCAATGTATCATTAAATGTTGATTCACTCTACAGGTCAGGATACAGTAGAGATAATTTGTAAAATATTTGACATGTACTACATGAGAGTTATAATTAATGCATTATTGAATAAATGCATATCAATGGCATATAACATTAAATTGACATGCTGAACCTAAGTCATATATCAAGCATAAACTTAGAATAGCCATATATTAAATGGCATGCATTTTACAGATATAACCTATATACTGACACTGGCCTATGTAGTGGTTATGGCCAGCAATCCCGAGATCCAGAAAGTTCAAAACAACATGGCACTGTTGAATTAGATGAGAATAAATAATTAAATGGTCAGGGTTAGGGTTTGCTGTTCAAGGTTAACTGAATCTCAATGATGTTCCTCTCTAAATATACAATTTCTTATAATCTGAAAAAGAGATTAATACAGAAATATAGCAGAATATCATTATTTGATTTTCTTTAATATCATACACAAACTCACACAAACCTTATATCATTATGATACATCATTAAATGAAATGAAAATACAGTTAAAAGGCAATTAAGAATTGCTGTTATAGTATTTCTTTCAGTGTTGTTGTTTTAACAACGTGTTAAATGCCACAATCAACCTTGTTACACTGTTCATTTGTTCTGCTGCATAATGAATTAATTGAAGGCTAACAATATAATATTCACGATATGAAGTTTGAATTCATTTATGAACCAACATAAACTAATATTTCAATGTTCTGATCTTCGTGGGAAATCGTTGATGAAGTTGGAGTCGGTTTCCGAGCTTCCACTGCTGCTTCTACTTCTGTGTTCCTCCATCAGGGAGGGGATATCTTCCTGAGAGTCCCCCGGGGACGACAGGTGACACCCGCCCATAGCACCAATACACCTGTCTTTCTCTAGTTCTGCTAGCTTAAGCTGAGAGTTTCTTTGTTCGTGTATTCTCAGCTGTGACTCCACTCGATTAGATGACCTGTCATCATTCCGTCGAGCTCGTCGATGTAATAAATGTTCTGTTGGTAATCTATACATGGAATCAAAATCCTGCGACCTTTCGGAACTCTCACGATTTTTATCGATCTTATTTCTTTTCATTTTTTCTTCTTTCCAGCTCTCTCCCCTGGGTCTGTGCCTCGCCTTGGATTTACTTTCTGTGTACTTATCTGTGTCAGCTCTAGGTCGATTTTTCTCTACTTTTTGGAGGATTTCCCGTGGTGATTCAGCACGTCTCTCTTCATTAAGTCGATCCTTCTGCCTTTGATTTGTTGACTTCTTTTTAGCTACAAAGTTTTTGGATATTTTTTGCTGCACTTCATCTACTTTTTCATCTCTTGACAAATCAGCATTTAAAAAGTTAGAGGCATTTTCACTGTAAAAGTTTGATGATGTTGATCTATCTACGTGGGAATCATTATCCTTCGACTCAAAGATCTGGAATTTTGGAAGGTTCTTTTTCACAGTGAAGTGAGGGTCTGGTTGTTTTATAGGCAGCAGACTAATACTGCTCTCTGTCGGTTTCCTGTCATCTCTTGGTTGCAGAGACATCAACTGGGGGCTATTTTTAGGAACAGGTTGATGCCCATTTTTCTCCTCCTTAGGAGAGAGCTGCTCTTTTTTATTTTCCTCATCTGGAAGGTTTACAATGACTTGCAGAGAGAGCTCTTTCTGTGAAGGAGAAGAGCTTTCCAGGAGATTAAGTTTCTCCGATATTTGTAAAAGATGAGTGATGCTGCAGTATTTATTATCTACAATGTCTGACAAACTCTCTGATGATGAAGATCTAGACACATTCTCCATATTTTTGGCAACAACTCGGTTTGTTACAATGGAATCTGTAATTTTGTTATTGTCACATGTTTGACCACATGGAATAACAGGTTCCGATACCTCATTCCCGAGCATTCGTCTCAAGGTTTTAGGGGACAGTTCATCCACCTGTAAACAGATACAAATCATGCTTGTAAACACCATCTTAATTATGACTAGAAAAAAATTCTGTATTGAATCTACAACCTTTTTATTCTTCGAAAAAAAGTTACAGTGTATGTTCACTCCTAGTAAATGTAAAAAAAATATTAATATAAACATGTTTTCTCTAGAAGTTTTTATTCACACCTGAGGGAAATTCAGTTACATGGAGAGCTTAAGGCATAATTTTTTTTTTTCCACTTATGTCTTATGATAGAAAAATATCCAAACTCTAGAAACATTGTTACCATAATATTTGTGACCACATATTTACCTCCATGTATGTTAATTGTCAAAAACACATACTTAACCTCCAGCATAAAAAACAAAGAATGAAGGCATGCAAGGCACGTACGATCCCCAGCTGTGAGAGGACTATTTTTCAATTCTAAAGTTCATGAAAATAAAATTTTTCAAAAATTATATTGTCAATATAATCTTTTACACATTTGCTTCCTATATTTTGTTGAATAAATTATTGACAATTGATTTATTTTTCACTAATGTTTTTAAGGTTTGTGAAAAAGAAAAAAAAAATCATGCATGATTCGAACTCTCTCCAAAGCTCAAGGTTGGGCATAAGACTGAATGCATTAACCACTACGCTACAAAGTCTGCTTGACTTGTTTTGTGTTAGTGTGATTTCAATAAACGAGTTTGTTGAAGTGTAAAAAAATTTTCAGAAATGTTTGATTTTCCTATAGAATGGGTTCTCAGACTCCATTTTTTTGAAACATGAAATAGATTTTACATTTACTTTTCCATCATTTAAATGTTAATGAATAATGGAGACTTGACCCATTCATATTCAAAAATCATTTCTTATGGCTCTAATAAACCCATTTTCCACTAAATATACTTTACTGTCAACTTTAAAAACAAATTATCAATCAAAAAGTCATTCAACAAAATAATTGAATTAAATGTGTTGAAGATAACATTACTGAAAACATTATTTTAGAAAAATATAACTTTTCCGTGAACTTTGAAAATTGACAAATATATTGTCCCAGAGCAGGGGATTGTCCTCATCTTGTATGCCCTCTTTCTTTACTGCATCATTCTCCATAACAAAAGCTCTTATTGTGAAAAAAAACTCTGAATGACAGTTGATCTGTCCACTTACCTCGTTTTCCACATGGAACGACCTGAGAACACTTGGTTCATCCTCAGGACATCTGTACTCAGCCAGGTACACATGATCCAGGGCATCCTCAGCAGAAATCCGGCTGTCTGGATTAAATAGGAGGAGGTTCTCCAGCAAATCCAGGGCTAGATACAAAAACAAAGAATTACAACTATCTGCAGTCACAAGTATCTGGTTTAGTTTTGCAGTTTCCATACAATAATGCTAGAAAGAAGAGCTAAGTTCACTTTATGCCCTGTCTGTATACCAATTAATTGACTAACTCTCTGTTTCCCATTTTAAACATCAATATAAAGTAGAGACTTAGTGCTTTCACTTCCTTCATTTCCTATAACAAAGTTTCTTCTGAGAGTTTTAAGTATTGAAAACAGGCTTTATAAAATTGCAGTGTTCTTGGATTTTACAGAAAACAGGTGTATCTGAGTACCTTCTGTAAAGAATTAAAATATGAGCACACCCCTTGATCCAAAATATTAAACATGTTCTACAATCTTCAGAAACAGTCCTATCATTATATAATTGCAAATTTTGGATCAGGAATTGTGTCTATTTGAAACATTGAAAAACATCTGAAACTTTTGGCCATTTTTGAAGAAATTTTCGGGATATTGGAATAATGGCACAATTTATAATGTCATAATACACTGACTAGCAAGAAAATTACGTCATTTTCACTTGATATGCAGTCATCAAGGGTCCCAGGGATATTCATTGCATTGTTAACCAAACCTGAGCAGTCTTGATTTTTCATCAGTTCACAGGGCCAAAAGGCCTTACATGAACCTTGCTCTTTCAAACACAGAACACTGAATTGCAATGACTTTAGAATCCATGAAAGACAATTCTCCACTGAATATGCCTTGAGCTTTATCAATGTATAAAACTCATTCTAAAATGTGTCAGTCCTGAAATTCAGATTGTCTGATCTATCATTGTGTTCCCAAAAAAATCTTCAAAAACTTGTGACAGCTGCTAAGAAATTATTACAACTTGTAGTTTCAGGGTGGCTTTCAATTTCTTCAATTTTAAAACTCTTTGAAATATGTATGCTGTGATAATTTTTTACAAATATGAAGGAACAGACATCAAGTTCTCTTATTTGTTGACAAATTTCTAATCAGTATCACAATATACCTACCATCTTCTGACAGTTCCTTGAACTTTGACTTTAATGCTGTCTTGGGTGGCCTTGACCTACTTCTAAGGACACTGATAGGTAAAACCTGAGTCAATGTGTTCCACTCATTATCACTAAGGTGAGTAACATCCAAAATTTTCCCAATCTGGTCCATTTCGTTTCCACCAGCAAAGAGCGACTTTCCTGTTAGCATCTCTGCAAAAATACAGCCCACACTCCACATATCTATAGCCTTGGTGTAGTCACGAGGGGAGATAATCAGCTCAGGAGAGCGGTACCAACAAGTTCCCACGCCATCTGTCAGATAACCCTAAAAATAAAATATAAACTTTGATGTGTAAACAATAATATACCTATCTGTTAATTGTCATCTATAGATACAAATCACTTTTCATTACAAGGCACATAATAATACATTACTTTACAAAATTAATTCTATTTTCCTGGCATCAGAAAATATTTCTGAAATACAACATCAAGACAGCACATGCTATCTTTTAACATATATAAGTACCTTGTGTGAGTATTCCATGTCAACGATTCTGGCAAGTCCAAAGTCCCCAATCTTCAGATTGAGATCCTCTATGTTAATGAGAAGATTGGAGGGTTTGAGATCACGGTGGACAACATTGGCGGAGTGGATGTATTTAAGTCCTCTGATAAGCTGATAGAGGAAGAGGCGGACATGTTCCTCCGTTAAAACTTGACACTGAATCAGTTGCTGTAGGTCAGTGTCCAGTAACTCCTGAACCAAGTACAGTGATGTTAGTTCATTCAGGGGAATACTGCTGGAGTGACCTGACAGCTGGTACCCATTTGGTCCAAGGATCTCATACACTGTCACAACATTCTCGTGTTTGAGTCGCCTCATTATCTTAATCTCACGCAGTGCATACTTGCAGCTTTTTTTGTCATGGAAGGCAAGTTTTTTGATGGCCACAGCTTTATCACAGTCACTGTCTGTCGCAGAGAATACAACCCCACTTCCTCCAAACCCCAGCGGTTTAAGATCCACGAAGCGCGAGTCCACAGTGAAACTCGAAGTGGCATTGTTAAGGCTTGGGGATGAAGGACTTCTTCTCTCCATTTTTTTGCACCTCAAATCTAATGTATGAATTCGTGTACATAAGAACAAAGAATTAACTTGTTTTGTAGCCACAGAGAAATGTCAATTTGTCTTCAATCATTAAATCATTGATAAATTTTTGCTTGCCAAACTCTCACAACTAGTTACATTGAGATCAGACACGGGGGTTGTTTTAAACGAATATCAAAATTAAAGTGAACTAAGAGAACTTTACCATGGCAGATGAAAAATCTTCCTAAACTTTGTCAACAAAAGATCAGCAAGATTAGAAGGTGCTAGGTGGTAACAAAAAAACCAAGGTAATTCACTCCATGACTATGTCGTAGAAGATACTGCATTGATTCAGGGACATGATTACTTATTTATATAATCTTGTAAAATCAAACATCTCAGTGTTTTATCTTTCAGCTTGGAATAAAGTAATTGTCTATTTTAAATCATTCAAGTGCAATGAAGATCTATAAATATATGTACGACTTATCTAAATTTGTGAAATATTTTGTTTTGAGAAAAACCCTAAAGCAAACTAAGCGTTTCATTAGCGCTGATTGGAACACTTTCCTGTGTGACGTCATATAGGGTTGGAAAAAGGAGTTCATCATGGCCAGCGCTGTTCAACAGAATGTGGAAACATGGAAGGCTAAACTAGATAAGATATTGCACGAGAAGAATGGCTTCACAGATCTTCTGGAGAAGGTGGAGCAGAAGACAGGCGTGCGCAGACTCTACCTGGCTCTTGGTATTTTTATCCATCAACTCTAGATATGATCCTTGTGACGTGATCAGTGTTCACATCAACAGCTGTTCTTTAAATCACAACCTCTGTTTTTCTTTGTTATTTATTTAATATGCATCTTGAACACAGTTTAGTATATGTTTTGTTTTAATCGGTATAGGAATATTATTGTAAAAGGTAATAGTTTTGCAGTAATAACAGATTTTAAAATCTGCACGCCTCTAAAACGTGATCACACTCACAGTTCATACATGTCATATTAACAGGACATTATCACAGAGGATGCTCAATGCAAACTAGCTGGGTTTTTTTTTTTAAATAAAGTTTGTAGTAATATTTTCAAGGTTTCTTTACCCATTTTTCAAAGTAAATGCAAACAGCACTTGACAAGAAGAAGTTTATATATCAACTGTTACAAAATGAGAAATGAGACTACTATTAGTATTTTTAATCAGTTAGATGAAGAGGAAAATCATAGTCTGGAAAAACAAACAAATAAGCATGATAACAACCCTCTCTACCTCTCTCTCTTGTTTGAAACAGGATTTGCTGTAAATGCAGCTGTAGCCTTACGAGGTTCATATTATAAACACTAGGAACAATTATGTGAAATGGAATACATGTATTAAATAATCATGATAATCTTCTTGTATAAAAGTACATGTACATGTATATATTAAATACTATGGCCCGAAATAGCATTTTTAGTGTAAAATCAAGGAGTAAAATATTGAAACCTCTGTTGAAATTGAACTCCTGGTTGTAAGTTTACTTTAGGCAACACTCTAAATCATGAAGCTATTTGGATGAAAAGTAAAATGATAATCGAACATGACAATAACTGCATTTTAGGTGAAAAACCATCTCTCCTCCCTCCTCCCCCCCCCCCCCCCCCCCAAGGAAAATAAAATTTGAAGTGTTAGTTTTCCTTAATTTGATGAATAATTTTTTCCCCAAAAGGATTAGTGAAACATGAGACTGAAAAAAATCTTTTTAAATAAAATTATCTTAGATGCAATTTAACAAAATTTTTCATGCTGTAGATTTTTTTCCCTCCTGCTATAGAGAAATATTAGGAGATTAGCAAGATTATTTTGCTGTAGTGGAATGGTTCCCAACCTTTAGAATGTAAAATTTTGACTTTGATATATCTTGTTGATTCTAATCAAAATGTCATGTTATTGTATGTAACTTCATGTAAAAAACATACATTGAGATTGAAGTTACCTTGACAATCTTGTATATTAAATAAGAAGCACAATTTACAGTGTATTTTTATCTTACATTTCTGTCTCTTTTCAGGCCTTTTTGCTATTGTAGTCCTGTATTTAATGGTGGGCTATGGTGCACAGTTTCTGTGTAATTTTATTGGCTTTATCTACCCAGCTTATGCATCGTAAGTAAATATACAGCCAAGCTGTTGTGGATATAATGGAGATAGGGCAATCAATATTATTGTCTCAAATATCAATTTATATACCAGTATTATATATTTGTTTAGGTCTTCCTTTAAAAAAATAAAATAAAATATGAACCATGAATTGATGTCACTACATTTTATAAGGATTGTATTTTACCATGATCAGCTAACACTATACATAACTTTTAGATTTAAGGCTGTAGAAAGCACAGACAAAGATGATGATACTGTGTGGTTGATATACTGGGTCGTCTACAGCTTTTTCGCTCTCCTAGAATTCTTCACAGACATCTTTTTGTTTTGGATCCCTTTCTACTGGCTTCTGAAGGTGAGCATTTAATGTGGAACCTAGAATCTAGGAGATTAAACACAGGGTTTGAGCATTTAGTGTGGAATCTAGGAGATTATACACAAGATTTGAGCATTTAGTGTGGAAACTAGGAGATTAAACACAAAAAATGAAAATTCAAAGATTTGATAACACTTATATTGCTTAAAAAACATTTACAATTCATGTGTAAGTTTTTAGTCAAAAATGCAGTTTAAGAAATTCCAAGAACACTGCAATTCTAAAGAAATTTGTGCATTTCTTTAAAAAGTCATATTAGTTTAATTTTGTATGTGCAATTGTGCCTTTTTGAATTCATTCCAGAATTTTGTTAAATAAGTTATTTACCTACATGATAAAGAAATTGTTTACTTCGTACACGATGGTGGTTTTCCTATTCTGTATGATTTACCTCCCTTTATACTGTTATATTTTTTAATTTCTTCTTTTACTTTCATGTATCTTCGACATTCTTCGTGCCATATATGATTTACCTCCCTTTATAAGTTTTGTTAGTCTTATGCCCGTATTCATACCTATGGCTTAGGTAAGCTAGGTTTATCAAGTAAGCCAGAGTCAAGTAAACTGGATTTAAATCCCACTTGAGCTGAGCTCACTTAAACCTCACTTGTGTTTCACACTGAAAATAAAACTGGGTTTACCTAAACTGCATTCAATCTCGTGTTTTGACAGCATTTGGTATAATATTAAGCAGAGAAAGAACTAGAGACACAGGAAAATGAAAAAAAAACCCATATATTTTCATAGAAAATCTTTCATTACTTCACGGAAAAGGTTTTACTAGGAGCGTCCTCCTACTTTGAGTAGAGACAATGTTCTCACCATTACATGTACTATCAATGAATTAATTCATTCAATATAACGAATGCCTCCACTTACTCTATAATTTAATTTTCTAAGAGAGCAAAAGACACAATTCAAGGGCAGATACAGGAATTTTATGTGTACACGTACGCATGGGTTCAAATCCCCCCCCTTCCCCCAATACACACACACAACTTGCCTTTGCAATTACACACAATAGAGGGCGAAGTTGCAAATCGGAGACAGTGTAAAATCATCTTTAAATTTCCACCCGGGAATGGCATTGAACATTGATGTATCACCGGGGAAAATAAGTGTAAAACTTTCCGGCAACAATGAAACATAAAAATGATAACGATGGAATAGCACTTTATTATAAACTTAGGTCGGTAGGGTGAATTCTGGAAATCCAAAAATTAGACCCGAACAATCCGAAGCCTAGGACTTGACTGATTAACAATGTTGCATGTAACATATAAATAATAAAATATGATAATTAGCACAATTTTGAGTATGAGTGACAGATGGCTTAGATAGAATAACTCATGACATGTTGAGTAAATCTATTAAATTGACACATTTTGAGTTACATGGTAATTAGCATAATTAGTCTTTTATGTTGTTTTAAGTAATTACAATAGATTAAAAGTATATTTCAAAGATAGTTAAAACAGGCCACTAAAATTGTTTTTATCAAAATTTACACCGTGATAGATGTAACACACTTCAGTATGTTCATAATAAGTAGAACAGCATTTTGAGAGAAGTCCAAGAACATCATATAAATAGATTTGCTCTGTCATGTATAATTTTGAGTCGTCTTTTAATTTTTTTCCACCTTCTTCATCTTATCTATCCAGTCCTCCAATGTTAGAAGAACAGTAAATCAACATTTAAACCTACCCCAGACCAGGTATAGGCTTATCTATCCAGTCCTCCAGTGTTAGAAGAACAGTAAATTGACATTTAAACCTACCCCAGACCAGGTTTAGGCTTAGCTTAATTTGTGAGCTCAGCTCACTTCTGAGAAACAGGTATGAAACGGATTTAAAAAATGTAAGCTTTTCTTAGTGGTAAACCTGGTTTAAACACAGGTGTGAATACGGGCATTAGTGTTACTTTCTGCTTTGAATTAATACAATGTGTAACTTATCTCCCTTCATAAATTTTAATTTCTTTTACTTTCATGTATTTTCATGCCCTATATGATTTACCTCCCTTTATAAGTTAATTTCTTCTTTGACTTTAGTGTATCTTCCTGCATGCAATATGTGATATACCTCCCTTTACAAGTTTTTAATTTCTTCTTTGACTTTCATGCATATACATGTACCTGTTCTGTAGCATTTACCTTCCTTACAAAGTTGATTTCTCCATTAACTTACTGGTCTGTATGAATTACTTCCCCTCATAAATTTTGACTGCAGTGTAATTTGTATGGATAACCTCCCTTATACATTTAATTCTGACTTCAATCTTCCTAGTCAGTGATTTACCTGCCTTTATAAGTTTTTAATTTCTGACTTCAGTGTATCTTCCTGGTGTGGTGTATGGCTCCCACGTCATACAATGGCTCTCAGATGCTCTACTTTAGATTTATCAGACCATTTATCCTCCGCTATGAGAAGAGAATTGACAGTGCCCTCGACCGGGCCTCTGATGCTGCAAAGGAAGGTAAAAGAAGACAACTGTCAAATTTTTTTGAAATTTTGCTGCTATTTTTGTGCATTCAAATGTATATATTATAATTTTTTTTTACTGTAATGCCTATACTTTGTTATTGTCAAATTTACCATGAACTATATATATATATATTGCTACAATATCAGAAACCAGTCAATTTTAAAAACAATCTATGGAGATATCAATTGTACTCCTAAATTATTCTTTTTTGGATAAAATACAATTGAAGTGAATATCCAAAAATGACATTCTATTATTGTCCCCATTTTTCACAAAAGCTAAGGAACATTAAATCTCATTCATCTGTCAGTCTATCCATCTATCACTATGTCAAAAACGTTAACCTTGAATGAGAAAAAACAAGGCTTTCATATTTCAACTGCATTACTTTAACAAGACCTTTCCAAATATACTTTGATGTAGACACTGTAACCTTGACTTTGAAGTCTGAGTTACATTTCAAAAAATTTAACATTGGTGATAACTTTTGAATGAGAGAAGACAGGGCATTCATATTTGATTTGTGCATTACCTGTTATACAAGACCTTTTTAAATTTACTATGATTTTTGACCCTGTGACCTTATCCTTGAGTTTTACCTTTTTTTCAAAAAATTTAACATTGTTGATAACTTGTGAATGGGAGAAGATAGGGCATCCATATTTGACATGTGCATTACTTCCAGTTGACTATGATTTTTGACCATGTGATCTTAACCATGATGTTTGACTTATTTTTCAAAAATTTTACATTGGTGATAACCTTTGAATGAGAAAAGATGGGAGATTCATATTTGACATGTGCGTTACCTGTTACAAGACCTTTCTGATTGGACTGTGGTTTTTGACCTAGTGACTTTAACCTTTAAGTTTAACCTATAGTACTTTAATTTCAAAATTTTCACATTGGTATTAACTTTTGAATGAGAAAAAATATGGCTTTCCTTTTTTTTACTTGTACATTATCTGTGACAATACCTTTCAGAAAGAATGATCATTTTTGACTTCATGACCTTGACCTAGAAGGTAGACCTACTTACTCAAATTTTAACTTTGTCTATAACTTTTGCTCCAGATGAGACCGGGCTTTCATATTTTTTTTCACATGTGCATTTCTTGTGAACAGACCCATTCAGATTGTATTATATTTGACCTCATGACCTTTATCTTAGAGTTGATGCAGTTTTAAGAGACTTTACTAATCTTAGCTGTAGCTTTTATTAATAAAAAAATTTAAATCTTTTTTGTATGGTGGACAGACAGACAGGACACACAGACAAGACAGTTACAAATAATTGCAATCCTTTCACTAAGACACCGAAAGCGGGGACCACAATTCTTTGAATTTGCTTGTTTCTCTTTTGAAATATTTGGTTGTTTTGTTTCAGTAACAATTTTATTAAGAGTGCTAAAATTATCTACAAACAGATAGGAGTTTCATGCATAAGAAGTTGTAATCATTATCAGTGGTCTTAAATATTATGCTCTTTGTTTAAATTTCAATAGCAAAAAAGAAGCTTAACTAAGGCAGGTACATTTTCTCATTAACCTAAGCTAGCCAAACCTGGTGTTGCACTTACTCGGGGGGAAAACTGTCAATTTGTGAATAATGAAAACTAATAATTAAACTGCAATTTAGATTATGAAGATAAAGTTTGACTCCTGTATATATCAGACACTTGGCTGTAATTAACGTGTTGTTTTTCTGTGCTTAAGTGTTTGGCATAGCTTTCAAAGCAACAAAACAGGGTGAGTTCCAAGAAAAGCTTAACGTTATAATTCCCTTCAACTCGTATCCAATGGATTGATCAAATCATCTCTGCATCAATTAGTGTTCTAAATTCATAAGAACACTGAAGCATTTATAATTATTAGTCTCTGCAGAAAATCATTCTGTACCTAAGAATAATGAATGATACAATATACATCAGCTGATTTGTGTAAATATAAAATATTCAACCATTGGATTTTTCCTTACTTTCCATGGGGCCATTTTGTTTTAAGTGCACGCATTTTGTTTGCATGCTTATAGTTGCTGATTTCTGTGTTGATTGTACATTAAGTTATTAATTGCTTCAATTTTTAGCTTTTTATTAGAGAATATGTGAAATTATTGGTATAACAAGGTTGTTCTTACATATAGGGATAAAGGAGACCTGGGGAGAAAAATAAATCCAATTTTGTTCTTGAAATAAGGCACACAACGTTTACTTTTAGAATGGCAAATATAGGGGGGTAAGATTGAAATTGATAAATGCCATTCTTGGCAAAAATTGTCTTTGTTAATGAAAAATAAAAGTTCATTCTTTGTAAGTTATAAGTTTATAATTACATTTTCAACACTATCATTTACTCCTTGATTTTCAAAAGTGTTATTTTCACTGTGTGGAAATTGCAACTGTTAAAATTAATCTTTTCATATTGTAACATTAGAATCACTCAAATAAGGTTAAATAATATTTGTCTAATCATTTAAACTTATTGAGTTCTTCTGCATCTTCCTTATGTGGAATCATTTTAATTTGTGGGGGTCAATGTTCATGGGTAAAACAAAATTTCTTTGGTTTGTTTGTCCTAATTTTATGGGTAATTCATTTATAGAGAAGATTATATGAGTCATTGACACAATTGGGGGGATGTAAATTCCTTTGTGAGGGTACCCCATGAAATCCACGAACATTGGTCCATCATGAATGATGATTCCACAGTATTCAAAATATTGTTTTGTATTAAAAATTTTCAGTAAAGAGGCTGCTAATAGGGGCAAACAGAGGAAATTGTAATAAATTGGCAATTCAGTGTTTTGTTATTGGATATGAAATATGTATCACTTGCTTTGAACTTATGAAAAATAAAAGAAAATCCTGTCTCAATCATGAAATAAGTTCCTTATTCAACTACAGATCATTGCTTATCATCTTTATCAGTCCTCTAAAATATTTTTATTCTGAATTTGTTACTTAAATTAAGTAATTTCTCCCTAAGATTAAAAGTACAGACATAAGTCCTACAGCCATTGGAAAGTTAGATGATGTATAAATTGTCTGTGTATTTAATGCTCTACAGTTTTTCATGCAGAACACAGTATGACTCACCGTTGGTAAACCTTTTTATTTTTGTTACAGCGGGAGAAGTGGCCCAAGACATGGCCAGTGATGCAGCATCCGATGCCCTGAAGAAACAGTACTTGGATAATTCAGCAAAGACTGACTAAACAGGACTACATCCTCCACCCTCCCTCCCTTCAGCAGTATCCCCCTAATACCCTCCACCTGATTTAATGACACACACCTGAACTTTAACCTCCCCCACTGTGAAAACTTTTCAACCTATCAAGGATCCCTTGACCAATACATTACCGCCGAACCAATCTAAACTTTTATCTGAGACTTATGTGCAATATACATTTGCAAAATTTGAGAAGTGATGAACCCCTTGTTTTTCTTGTTAAATTGATTACTTTTTGATGTGTTCACTCCGTCATTATTTCATCGTTGATTTTAGAATCTCCCTATCTCCCTTGATTCGTCATGTCTGAGTTTTTGTTCCCAGGGTATCTGTTAATTCAGTTTGTTAAAATCTGGAGTATTAGTAATCAAGTGTTTGCAAAGCAGACATCTTGAATTTTGCTCAATATAAATAAGTGTATGAATACAATAATTCTTTACCTTACATATCTTCTGTTGGCAGTTATATACAATATAGCAAACTTAAATGTAACCATATCAAACTTACTTTGTATTAACACATAACGTAAAGAGAAAATTAGCATTGTAACAATGACAGCTCGGCTTGTACAACCTATCTAGTTCCCCAAGTATGTAAATATTATTCAAAATGTTGGTTTAGTTCCCTAGGAATGTAAATATCATTCAACATTTTGTTGTTGTAAAAGTATAATAAAAATACTCCGCATATTAAGACTTTTATCCATTTTAAAATTTTCTACATAGTCAATATTTTTCTCAGACAATACACCATCAACTGCAAAATGTACATAGCTTAATTTTTCTATGATACAAATTTTTATCATATTTGATAGATATTGATTCTTCTTTGTTAATTATTAGATATTTATTAAACTTGCTGTGAAATTTAATAATTTCAATATTTATAGAGCTTCATATGCATGAAATATTGGTGTATACTTCTACAGAAATGTGGAAACTGTACATATTATTATTTATTTATTTTCTACATTCCTAAATCATCTAGTTATCTTTTAAAACTGAAATGAATTAAAAACTTTCAATTTTTAACCGTCTGTATGAATAAATGAGATAACAGTAAAATCTTAGATCCACCACGAAGAAGTGTTACCTAGTTATCCTTTGTCCTAGATTGTTACTGTGTAAGTTCTTTTGTCATGTATCAAATCTGCTAGCATTTTCTAAGTCAATAAAACTCTGAAAAAACAAGACTGGTAACTGTTAATTTACTGATGCACTAGTACTCTGTGTTTCATCGAGAGAAACTACAGCATGTGTCAGATCATCAGGTTTCTGTGGTAAACAAAATGTCATAGGGTAGGTATGATTAGGAGATTACTTGCCAAAATCTAATGACTTCATGGTAAGAAGTTAAATACAGAGATTCCTTCAACAAAATATATTTTTAATGAAGAGTTCTCATGGTAGTTTATAAAGCATATTAAACAAGATGTGTGTGTGAAACACTGATGGCCCCATATGGCAGTTTATGCGAAAATTAAAGTTTCTCAAATGCAAGTCAAACTCCAGGTCAAGAGATCAAAAATGTTGGTACCTAAAGAAAGGTCTTGTCTCGAGGAATATACCTGTGAAATTTGAAAGCCCTAGCTCCAACTGTTCAAAAGTTATGGCGAAGGTTAAAGTTTTTTAAAAGTAAGTAAAATGTCAAGGTCAAATGGGGCCCCAAGGGAAGGTCTTGTCGCAAGTGATACACATGTTCGTGAAATGTGAAAGCCCTAAAACCAAACGTTCACATGTTAAAGCCAAGGTTAAATTTTTTCCGAAAGTAGGTCAAACGTCAAGGTCAATGCCAAAATTGTTGGTATCTAAAGGGAAGTCTTGTCTTAAGAATTGCACATGTGAAGTATGAAAGCCGTAGCACCAAATGTTTAAAAGGTATGGCCAATATTAAAGTTTTTCAAAAGTAGGTCAAACTTCAAGGTCAAAGTCAAAGTGGGTGGTATCCAAAGGAAGGTCTTGTCACAAGGATTACAAATGTGAAGTATGAAAGCCCTAGCACCAACCATTCAAAAGTTATGCCCAAGGTTAAAGTTTTTCAAAAGTAGGCCAAACTCCCAGATCAAGGTCAAAGTGTTTGGTATCCAAAGGAAGGTCTTGTCACAAGGAATAGACATGTTAAATATGAAAGCCCTAGATCCAACCGATTAAAAGTTATGATAAAGGTTAAAATTTTTCAGAAGTAGGTCAAACTCCAAGGTCAAAAGGTCAAAGTTGTTGGTATCCAAAGGAAGGTCTTGTCACAAGGAATACACATGTGAAGTTTGAAATCCCAAGCACCTACTGTTCAAAAGTTATGGACAAGGTTAAAGTCTCATAAAATTTTGCAAAACTGGGTCAAACTCCAAGGTCAAGGTGAAAAGGTCAAATATGATGCTACTCAAACAAAGGCCTTTTCACAAGGTGTGAAATATGAAAGTCATAGCTCCAACCAATCAAAAGTTATGGGCAAGGTTAAAGTTTTTGTGGACAAACAGACAGCTAAACAGACGGACAGACAGGGCAAAAACTATATACCCCTGAATCTTCGATACGGGGGCACAAAAAGATACTCATCTCTTTGGAACATTTTGATATAACATACAAATTAGGTGATGCTGAAGACATGCACATGGAGAACAAAAACATGGTTTTTCTGTACAATTGTAGTAGAAAAGGAGAAATGCATAAGAAAACATATGGCTGGACAGCTCAGTGGTTAGAGCACCTGACTAGTAATAAAGGGGTCCCGGGTTTGATTCCCGGTCCAGCCATATGTTTTCTTCATGCATTTCTCCCTTCCCACTACATTTGGTGGCCAGTGTGGGAGGCCATGTTCAGGTTATGTTATGTGTAAATTACTAATTATTGGCAGGGCCCTAGAACTTGTGTCTTCGAGGTGGAAGGAGGGAGGATTGTAGAAGTTCGGGCTTTACGGACCGTGGACATCAGCCTGGATAGCTCAGTGGTTAGAGCACCTGACTAGTAATACAGGGGTCTTGGGTTCGATTCCCGGTCCGGCCATATATATGTTTTCTTCATGCATTTCTCCTTTCCTACTACACAATGATCTAACAATGCATCTGTTGACCTAGGGTATTATTGATTTTTTTTTTAAGTAATGCAATTGAATAGGACATAATTTAACAATTTTAACATGATTCTAACTTTGAGGGCAAAAAAGAGCCTTATTGTATGCTGTTCTTTTTGTGAATGCAGGCTATTGCAGAAGTTGCACAAGATGTACACATTTATTTTTCTAACACTGTCTTGCAGCTCAGACTAAAATATTTTAAGGACTTGACATGATGAAATGATCCAATGTGACTTTTTACTACTAATCCGAGTATGAGAAACTGTAATGATGAACACAAGAATTTATCTGTAAAGAGGAGGAATCTTCCTAATTCATCGAGTATTAATGGGTGACCTGTCTCCTTAAAGAATATCATATGTGTACATGAAAATTCTAGCTATAAATACACAGAGTTTTAAATTGTAGTAATAATGGTTGAAAAAGTCATGCACATCAAGATGCCTCCCTTACAAGCTCAGTATAACAATTGACTTCCTCTTGTCTTCCTGTTTTCTAGAACAGGAGGTTACACTTCCTTGTTAAGATTGCTAGTCTGACAAATACAGGGACATGATGTGAGTTGTAGTAAATACTATGATAATCATTAGGATCCTACTTTGCAGGTGCAAGTGATTAGTCATTCCATGTGTCTATAAGATATTACTTATCTGTAGTATATTTCCCTTGGCCTTTAATGTTACCAAGGGTAAACCTGGATGCAAGATTCTAAGTAAATTATCAAGGTCAAAACAAATCTCTGTAAAATCCTTGTCCAGAAAATATTTGCCTTCCCTTGGCCCAATCTGTCTCGCACTTCACCATGAGGGGCCGTTTTGGTATTTGATCCAAGTTTTTACCAAAAAGGTCATGGTCAAAACAAGTGTGTGTAAAATTCTTCTCCAGGAAATCTTTTCTCTCCAATGCTGGCTAATACTTTGCATACAAGTACCTTTAATTAAATACATGCAGTGACCTTGACATTAATTTCTGGATCAGATCTGGGTCAAACCTTACAGAGAGAATGCCCAAGGGAATGAGAGCTTGAAGTGATGTTGGTGCAAGTTTCTACCTAAAAGGTCAAGGTAAGCAGGTTTCCAAGTAAAATCCTTGTCGGGGCATATTCTCCCCTTGGCTCAGTCTGTCTCGTACTTGCTTCAAGATTGCCTTCGGTGAAGGGTATGCAGTGACCTCAAACTAGTTTAAAGAGAGAAGTTTGCATCATCTTCTTACATATAAAAACCATTGTCTAAAGTATTTACTTCTCGCTCTTGGACAAGTTTGGCTCACATTTCAACCATAAAGTACCTTGTGTACAACATTTGAACCTACTCAAAGGTCAAGGTCAGAGCAGAGTTTGTATAATCTCCAAAGGTCATTATTAGTTTCAGCAGTCACATAATTCTGGTAGTCAATGAAATTTGAATCAACTTCCACTGGGAGAAAAAATCCTTCTCTTTTTACTTTTCAAAAGAAAATAAGTTGTAAATTCATCTAACCTGAGGCAAAACTTTCTGGGTATTAAAAAAAAGGTCTCTTATAGTCCTTTCCATATCTCCTTTATCCTTTTGTCCTTCACATTTACTGAACTTTGGATCCTCTATAAGATGGTCACCATCTCAATAATGTTTAGTAAACTGATGATACATGTAGCATTCATACTCATATATTTACATTTCCAATAAATTTCCCCTATGATTCTTTACAAAATAGAATACAGTTAATTTTCTCATGAACTACCATGAATGGGCATGAGTATCTCCATTGTCACGTCATAATACCTTACTTGACGTCAAAACTATAGTGCAAACTGTTTTGCTTTAAAAATGACAGCTGAATTGCGTTATTTATGGCAAATTATCAGAAAAATAATGTAAATATAAGAAATGAATTTAATTTTTGAAAATTCATGAGGTACATGAACTACAACGCTTCACGCTGGCATATTTATCATGAAGCGCTAACACGCTTCATGAAATATGCCGGTTGAAGCATCGTAGTTCATGTCCTCATGAATCTTCAAAAATTTAATTCATTTCTTAAATGTACAGTCAAACCTTATTATCTTTAACTAGGGACCAAGAAAAACTTTGATATTCAAGTGTTTGAAATACTAAAGTTAAAATGTGTCAAGAAAATATGGTTGGGACGTCCAACTCGCATCATAGTATTCAAGATATCTACATTCAACTGCAAAAACAAAATAAAAGAGCACACAGTGTTTTCTCCATTTATTTGACGGGGTGATGTCCCTTTCATACATAAAGTTCACACATTGCCTGCATACATTCAGTAAATAAACATTTAAATCGTATGATAATCATATTTATTATACATCTACTGATTTTTCCCAAATAAAATTAGATCATTAGATGTGATTAATTCTCTAGAAATTGCTGTGAATGGCTTAATCCCCATTTTTCTGTGCCTTAGTCAAGTGAGCTAATCCCTGCTTCAAAATTTAAATTGATATTGCTGTGAATGGATGAAATCTCCATTTTAGCATGCATTAGTCAAGAGAGCTATTCCCAGCTTTGAAATTTGTATCGGTATAATAAAACAATTAAAAAGTAGAGCATTTAGGGAGTTATCAAGATTCCAGTTCCCTGAGGCCAGGATTATTTCCCAAGGCAAAGCCGAGGAAAATAGTCGTGGTCAAAAAATCTTGCTATCTCCCTCAATGATATATATTTAACTGTATAATAACAGATCTGCAGGCATACCGTCACATAGAAATATCCTTGAAATAGATTTTCTTGTTAAGCCAGTATCTCTTTGAAATTTTTACTAATTACCACAAATAAATATTTAGATGATTTTTTTTAATGTAAATGTACAGCCATCCGACAGTTCTGATGCATAATTAGTCTGGATTCAAAAATAAAAATGTGTATTGGTTTAATTCATTGTTTAATAAATTAAGTGTTATGTTACCTGTTGTGTCCTGGTCTTAATTATGTACATTAACAACATACACACACTGAACTTTAATGCTTATGTGTAGTATGACATTGTATGCACTGCAAAAATCCATTTCCCCAAATTCAGAAAGCATTTTACCAAATTATCAACTTACTTTCTGATATTTTACAAATAAAACTTAAAGCTTGAATGACTTACAAACTAGAGACAGAAAATCGATTAAATTTGTAGACAAAGAGAAATTAAAGTTTTGTCAGAAAACTCTAAACTTGTATGTCCATCATCTTGAAAAATTGTCCACTGGAGCTATAAGTACAGCATGTAAGTATCCCAACATTTTTGTCTGAATTCACAAGAAATACAAAATCAGTTGTTATAACAGTAAAAAGACTTACAGGTCCTGTGTGGACATCATACAAATCCTATTCATGCATATTTTTTTCTTAAAGGTATATGCATAAAAATCAATGTCATATAGTCACCAGAAATGTCTCCCTCTGACATGACTTCTCTTACACCATATTCTCTTCACAAAACAATAATTTAATTCAGAAAAATTGAGCAGGATAAATTACTTACATACCAAGTATATTTTCATTCATGAACTTAAAATTTAGTGTGATTGTAGTTCTTTGTTATAATTTATGAATCAGAGCTGTTGGTATATTACACATACGTGAATTTGTATTTTAGAGGATTATAAATTTAGAGCTCAAAAAGCTAGGAGTAAGACTCTAACATGAATCCTTCTACAATAAGTATACAAAAAGTTATCTGTATTCCAACTCTCTCATACATACTGGAAACTCTGTACCAGATCTCTATGAAGTTAAATAATGCCAGGGACATATAAACTTCACTGTTTAAGTTAGAAAATGTATAAACATATAAATTCTAGTTCAAATTTGACTGGGAAAACAGTTAACATTCAGTTGATGATTTTTTTTCTTCATCATTTACCTGCCTTGTTATAAGTAATTATTTTAAATTTTAGTGTTCACAGGTGTTCACATTTCATTAAGATTCAGAGAAGCTGCAAGGCTAGACATTTAGAAGTGAGCCTTCTCAATTGCATTTAAAATACAACATTTGGACACAATACTTAAATGAGAAAAAAAAGAAGAAAAAGCAACATTTACTCCACCTTTCTGAATGATCTTCTATAACTTACTACCTTCTCCTGCAATACATACACAACAAGATAGCAATTATAAATACATGTAAATGCATGAACATTCATGCTTGTTGGCACAAATAAATTCAACGAGATACAGATATTGGTAATTATAAGGAAATTGTTTCTGCATTGAAGGGAGATAAGTCATGGAATGACTACTGCAGCAAAATAAGCTGGCATAAATAATAAAATATTTTACATTCTATACATGAAAGACATGGGTTCCAAACTTGACTGAGATACCAAAGACTTGTCTAGATGTATGTTTTATGCATGGCACTATAAATTACAAATTCTAAATTGACTTTTCATACACTTGTATTTCTCCTGATTACGATAATTAGGGCTCTGTCACCAGTCACCATAGAAGGTCCATTTGAAGGTGAACTCTTGACCCCTTCCTTCTAACCAACATCTCCATCTAGACTTCCTCCAAGTCAAACTTCTCACAGTGAAGGGCTGCCATTTTTAGCTGCCACTGTGTCACTCTTTTATAATTTTTATATATCCAATCTGGACCCTCCTCAAAAACAAAAACATTCACCATTTTATAACATTGCTCCACATCCTGAGAATTCAAGCACATAATTTATCCTACACCCTGCACCAAGTTGGCCATGTATGGCTACTTCCTTGTACACAATATCTAGTACCCTGGTATCACTAGCTTTTCTCTAGCTCCTCCAGACATTTTTTCATGTAACCCTGTGTGTCTGACATGTCTGTCACAGCATTATATACCATTTCATGGAAAATTAGTGGCCATTGTTTCAGAAATTCATTTTTCTTTCTATCCGTAAAAACAGTTTCTTTTGTTATTTCACTGATGTAGTTTTTGGCAAACTGTTTTTTATTTGAAGAATCCTGCAAGGAAGAATAAAATTATTAAACATTTGAAATTTACAACAATTCATTTCCAATAAATAGCAAACAGTCACACTAAAAGATAATGGAGGCTTGGACACTTGCTGGATTATTCTTAATGCATAAAAAGCACTAATATGAATTTTCACTTAAAATCTAAATATGGAAATACATCCATGTTAATTTTCCCCTCTCTATATAAATGAATAACATATACATAGTCATGTAATAAAAACACCTTAGATCTATATTAGAATCCCCCCCCCCCAATTTATAACAAAAATCTCTAACAATACCTCATTTGAGTCTTTGGTTCAGGTGAGCTAACATAAATATTCCTGCATTATACCCAGATTCTAAAAATAACCACTGTCCAGTTTCTTGGTCTCTTTTCTAATTTTCACGTGACATACTTTTGTCTTTTACGGTTCTTTACTGTTTTTACAGGTAACAAACTTGTTCTGTAACTTACCTGACTTTTACAGGTACATGTAACAGACTTGCTTTTCTCTTTAACTTATCTGACTTTACAGGTAACAGACTTGTGTTTTTGTGTAGATTACAGGTAACAGACTTGTTTTGTAGCTTACCTGACTTTACAGGTAACAGACTTGTCTTTTTGTGTAGATTACAGGTAACAGACTTGTTTTGTAGCTTACCTGACTTTACATGTAACAGACTTGTCTTTTTGTGTAGATTACAGGTAACAGACTTGTTTTGTAGCTTACCTGACTTTACAGGTAACAGACTTGTCTTTTTCTGTAGATTACAGGTAACAGACTTGTCTTGTAGCTTACCTGACTTTACAGGTAACAGACCTGTCTTTTTCTGTAGATCACCTTACTTTTACAGGTAACAGACTTGTCTTGTAGCTTACCTGACTTTACAGGTAACAGACTTGTCTTGTAGCTTACCTGACTTTACAGGTAACAGACCTGTCTTTTTCTGTAGATCACCTGACATTTACAGGTAACAGACTTATGTTTTTCTGTAGATCATCTTACTTTTATAGGTAACAGACTTGTTTTGTAGCTTAGCTAGGTAAACACTCTTTGTTTCTCTAAATCTTACCTGGTTTTTAGAGGTAACTGACTCTTGCGTTTGATAGGTCAGTCCTGACCTCCCCACAAATTCACCCTGAGATTTGTCAAGTTTTCCCTCCAAAATTTTCTTGGACTTGTCTTCACTCATGGACAGGAGCTGCTTTCTCCTAAAATAGATTTACAGCAAAGTCATCAGAAACTTGTTATATTATTATAATATTTATAATATTAATCATAACAAAGAAATTAAAACATATAATTTTATTTAAAATCACACAAGAATTTATTCATATTTGATCCTAAAAATGTTTGAACATAAAATCCCAAAATTTCCTGAGGTAAGACTGACATGTATTCTCAATTTCATCATTAATACAAGTGGAATTTATTAGAAACAGATTGCAGAAATGTGTATAATATACTGAAGGATATTCTTAATATCAAATATGAAATATCAAATATAAATTGATGAAATTTTGTTAAATACATGTACTACCGAGTAACTGTTGTGGAAAATCCCATCTTTTGAACCCTAACATTGAGATATTTTTTCAGTAATGTTGCGTGCAGTGTTTATAGCTAATCACAACATAAAGTGTGATAGTTTGAGTAGAGAGAAAGAAAGGTAGATGTACTTTATTTCACAAACATGTTTATTGTATCAATGAAAATATCACGGTTTACTGGATTATTTTGGTTGACATTGTCCCCCTGGGTCCTATCTACCCTGCTTAATCCTAAATAAATAAAATAAAAAGATTATAAACTCTTCCTGTCTAATTTCAGATTCAGGTTTTTAGGAAAAGGAAATTAATACATGTATTGATAATTTAAAGGAGATCTGAAAGAAACATAACAGGTGAACCCCCCCCCCCCCCCCATCTGCTTAAAGTAGTGTGTATTGCTGGACTCTGAATAAACAGATAGACTCATCTCCTTTGAGAATGTATGTGTTTTCAGCCACATACAGTGAACTTAGATGTACATATATCAGACCTGTACACTGTTCCTCTATATCCATAATTCATTTTATTTTCCCTTAGACTAAAATGTCATTGGTTCCAATGGTGACCCCAGGTGAGAATTTATCTGTGGCAATATAGTTCCTAACCATCCTATATTAGTAAGGCCAACATTTTTTTATTAAATGATTTATGGGAAATTTTTTTGAAAAATAGGGTCGGGGGGATAAATAAAAATAAAAATAAAATTGGAAAAAGTGTCTGATTTTTTTATTTTCATTTATTCGATAAAAATTGCCATATATATGGTGTGTAGCTTAAAATATGATAACCCCAACACAAAATTTAAAGTAGACTATTAAACCCTTATGAGAAATGGGGGAAATCTAAGGAATTTCATCATGTTTTTATCAAAATATTAATCATGACCACAACAAGATCACCAAAGAAAAAAGTTTATAATGAGAACCTCACTTTTCTCAAAGTACTGAAAAAATCATGAACCAACAAATCAAAAATGGAAAATATTGTTATAAAGAGAATCTCAATATAAAACCCTGAATCATGAATTAAACCTGTATTTTAAAACACGTACAGCATATGTTTATGCATATTAACAAACATCTGAAAGCTTGACAGTATTAACACATTAAATACCGTTTTGTTTGCAGTGTCTGTTTGTATCTATTCTACAACTATTAACACACATCAAAATATTTATGAATTTCTAGTCTGTATAGTGCTGCATGTGATCTTTTTAAAATGTTACAAGTTTGAAAACGTTTCTTGGATATGCATGCAAATTAGATATGTCACATTTTATTCTTCACAAATTTCGAACGCATATTTTTAATTTCCATTCTTTTATCTCGTTCATCAAAGGTATCAAAATTGTAAAAAGAGAACTACTGTATACGGTACCCACAGCGAAAGTGACAGTCTTGTCAACGTATCCTCTGATCAAATTAGGCTGATCATTTCTTTTATTTCTTTTTAACTCCAACTTAACTTCGTCATCGGACATACTCCAATTGATTTTTCTGTTAGCTATGATTGACTTGGAAAAACTATCGTGTATAAGGACAAAGTATTCTCAACTTTTGTAAAAGTTGACATTTCTGCATCCATGTTGGCACGTTTTATACACTTCCAAAACAATTGATAACAGATGTAAATTGACTGGATGATAATAATGGCTTTCAATAGACTTATTTGCACATAATTTTATTTTCTTAGTGCACTTGCATTGACAATCGGCGGGAAATTTAAAAATAAAATCAACAACAGGGACTTTTATTTTTATTTTGTTTTAGCCAAAATCGCAGTCGGCGCTCCTGTAAATCATTTAATAAAAAAATGTTAGCCTAATTATCAGTTTTTGTGAAAATAATTTCTCTCATATTGTGGTCCATGAGAAATTAAATCAATTAATAGGTTTTAATTGTTACTGACTGTCTACAGAAATATATTGGGCTGATCAATCTCAATACTGAAATTGTTTCCATAGATAGTAACAAACCTAATAAGTAATAATATCTTGTCAACATTTTCTTTACAATTTAGCACTTGGTGAAAAAATACTGATTTTGTCATAACCAATACTGAAGTTAGACATTCACGTTTGCAATACACCCTTAGTATCAAAATAAACTGTTCTATATGCAATAATGGATGGTAATTAAGGAAGAGACATTCTGAATTTAATTATCTCATTCATGGAAATATTAATACAGTTACCACTCTTAAGATGGCAGTACCTGAATCACAGTCAACTACAGATCAGACAACTGTATGAAAATCATTGCCTCTCAGTACTCTCAGTACTGTCATTAAGTTCCTGAAATGTCACAGCAAAACTGATTTTAATTCTCCTTCACAATTACTCTGATGTTGAATCAAAGGTTAACTTACAAGACTTTACTGAGGCCAACACATAAATGTATAGCTTTAGATATTTGTTAGTTAATTCACTAGACTTTGGTAAATAGTGGATTAAAACAAGGGTATAGTAAGGCCTCATGTCACTTCAGGGAAATTCTTGAACATTTGTGTTGGATTGGCTTGGTAGGTGTACTTTTCAGTTTTTCAGAGATTCATGATCATTTAATCAATAATAATTTTTCATGGTAATTGGTCATACTTTTGAGAAGTGACTGATTACATGAAAATAAGTTCTGTATTTAGACAACAAACTCTTAAATGTGTTACAATGTTAGGGAATAAATGATACACATGCAGTTATTGTAGGTAATTTTACACTGGCCAGTATATTTCCACTGAGGGAAGGCTGATTAATTGATTTTATGTTGTTTTATGTCCAGTTCAAGAATTTTTCACTCATATACCAGTGAAGAGCTTCAAATTCAGACCTTTACTCAGCACTCAGGGCCATTGAGCAATGAGGGATCTTTATCGTGCCAACACCTACCATGACATGGGGCCTCAGTTTTTAAGGTCTCATCCAAAGGACCCGCAACTTTCACTTCAAAGTGCTGAGCGCTTGGTGAAGGAACAGTTGCTACCTATTTTTCATTGACTTATCACGGCCATGTTTCAAACACACAACCTTCCGATCACAGAGTGAGCCAATGAGGGAAGAAGATGACAAGTCATTAATCAATGTTTACTATCCAATAAACTGTAACTAGAAATACTGATAGGACCTTTAAAGTATTCACAAAGCTACTGTCTTGAAAAAGTACTGGTATATATATCTGATGAGAGACTTCAAATACTTAAAAAAAATTTAAATTTAACTCGAAATGATTACTCCATGAAATATTTGAAATAGAATCTATTGACAAAAATGTCAATGGTAAGTAGTGCTCTGTTCTGCACAATCAAACTTTCAATTTTCAAAGGAATATTTTTAATACATAAAAGATTAAATTTGATATTCAGTGAGTGGGGGGGGGGGGGTTCCACTTGTAACTTACTCCCTGGGTTTTTTGGCCCTCCAGTCAGTTTGTACCACCTCAGAATGTGTGTGGACCTCTATCAGTTTTAGAGACACCTTCATTTCAGGAAGAGGCTCAAATTCTTGTAATCTTGTTGGCTCTGGAGAATGTCCCCAAACATTCCTGCTGAGTTTCGGTCGCCCAAAACTGTACCCACTACAGATGGTACTCTTCATGGCTGGGGATGAGTGACCTAGTGTTGGGGTCACGGACCAACTTCTGCGAAGCCTCGGTTTGGCTTTGATCTCCATCTTAGTGCTGATTGCAGTGACGTTTGACAATGACGATCCCATTGTTTTGTGGTTCACCATTTCATCTCTTGGAGATGTTCGTTTGGGAATGAATCCCACATTCATCTTAATGTACATCAAATCATCTGAAGGTCGCATTCTGTCCTTGTTTGCTGATATTTATATTTAGTATTTCCAATCACTGTATATTCTTCAAGGTTATAGCTCATTTTGAAATTTCCAAACATCGATTAATTGGTAGAGACAGGCATATTTTTATCCATACGTTAATATCCTATAAATTCTTATCTCTCTCCTGACTCAACAGAACAAAATCTTCAAACAACAGAAAATCACTTTTGAAAAAAAAGAATTCCAAGATTTTAAAAGCTTAAATCATTTACACTACAGACACAAATCCTCCATAAAAAATATATCAAAGCAGAAATTCCAAACTGATACCAATTCATGGTCATGCAGGCAACAAATGTACTTTTAACAAAAAGATCTTGGTAAATCTAGCCATTCTCCATTGTTTATGAGTTGAATTGTTTGATTATTTTAAAACTCCAACAAACAAACACTGATACACTTCTGCTGAGGGCCAAAGAGTTTGGTCTGTAGAGAAGAACACAAGTGTTGAGTCCGTTATACACGTTAGGTCGAATCCTTGCTGAAATTATATCTCTGTTTGATCTGCCATTATCATTCCATTGCCTCTGTTCAGATAGATACACATTGACAGATATCTACAGTCTATGGGATTACCATTCATCGGGGCTCGGGATGACTTTACGCTCCATCGAGGCACTCAATAGGACCAGCACAATAGAAGTGCGGACCCCGTTGTTACACAGTAGCTGATAGCTTCTGCATAAGTAATATGTATTAATTTTTACAAAGGGTATTTAAAAATTTCAATTCCTTGGCACTTCAATTAGTGCCATGTATACATATACTTATTACACCTTAGATAAACACAGGTAGACAGCCTACTGTTAGTAGGAAATGGCCATTGTTATTTTAGATTGTGAAGGAAAAGTCACTATTCATCATGGAATATTCCTCAATAATTAATGATACCACAAGATGTAATGCAGGCCAAAAACTTGTAAAACATAATCCGATTCATTGAAATATCATTGTGTGTTTTGTAGACCACCTTGGAAATTACTTGTTTAAATTGCACTAGAAAATTAAAGTGTTTAAACATAATAATTAATTTGAGAAACATTTTCAATATTGAAACATTTTTCCATCCGTCAACTGAATACAATCCATTAAATTTCCCTCTTAATTAAATGTTTTAATCTTGACCTTAAAAGCCCTGATAAGAAGGTGTTGAGGTGACAGTAAGGGCTTTTTCTTTTGGTAAGAGTGACAGACAGAATGTAAATTAGAGACGGTGTAGGCCTTATTACTTATCGCTGATCAATATCTCGTGATTGAAGGTTCCCTGTGATTAATATCGGTGTAACCACCGAGGTGGTAGATACATCGGTGTGCAGGGCAAACACAGTTATTTATCTTACCTGCCAAACACTGAGTCACAGAATTACATTTATAGCTCACCTACCAAACACTGAGTCACAGAATTACATTTATAGCTCACCTACCAAACTCTGAGTCACAGAATTACATTTATAGCTCGCCTACCAAACTCTGAGTCACAGAATTACATTTATAGCTCGCCTACCAAACTCTGAGTCACAGAATTACATTTATAGCTCACCTACCAAACTCTGAGTTACAGAATTACATTTATAGCTCACCTGCCAAAGGCTCAAGTGAGTTTTTCTGATTGAAGTGTGCCCATCATTTGTTTGTTTGTCTGTCTGTTAACATATTTTGGCTTCTCCTCCACAACCAATAGGCCAATTCCAAGCAAAATGGCACAAAGTATTACTGGTATTCATTAAAGGGAATTCAAATTTGTTTAAATGAAAAGACATCTTCCCTTAAAGATAATTCAAAAATGTTAAAAATAGGGTGGAACATTGAAAAATATTCCCAAGAAGCACTGAGCCAGAAGAGAATATAAGAGGAAAGCATTCCAATATTATGTTCAGATTTGTTCAAATCATTACCCCTGGCTGTGGGATAGGGTTACAGTAGGTAGTCAAAGCTTCACATAGGAATACTTATAAAGGAAAAACATAAAAATAACATTCTCTTCTCAGGTACAACTGGGGCACAGATAGTCAGAATAAGCATTTCTCATATAGTGTAAATAATCCATGTTTGTTCTGGGCTATAACATTGGGCACTCATATGGAACCCTCACCTCTCATTTTTCTCCTTTTATATGAAAGAGGTTCTAAAATAAAATAAGTAAATGAACCCCTGGAGTTAATTGATCCCAGTGCAATAATAACAAGAAGTCCATGGGCCACATCGCTCACCTGAGCACTGTGGCTAGGAAAAAAGCAAAAATCAGTTCAGTATTGAAAAGCTTTAATGCATAAGTGGTCCCAACATACCCCTAAAAAGGAACGGGGGGTGGGTGGGGGTATGATTTGAACAAAATTGAATCTACACTAACTAAAGATGCTTACATATAAATATGACCAATCATGGCTTTGCTGTTCTTGAGAAGAAGATTTTCAAATTTTTTTCCTATATACTCCTATGTAAAACTTTGATTGTCCATTGTAGCCTCACCCTACCCCAGGGAGTCATGATTTAAACACACTAAAAATCTACACGACCTAAGGATGCTTCCATATAAGTATGACCAATCATGGCTTTGCTGTTCTTGAGAAGAAGATTTATAAAGATTTTTCCTATATATTCCTATGTAAAATTTTTATCCTTCATTGTGGCCCCACCTTATCCCCGGGGGTCATGATTTGAACAATTTAGAATTTACACTATATGATGATGATTCCACTTGAGTTTCATCTCTCCTGGCCCAGTGGTTCTTGAGAGGAAGATATTTAAAGATTTTTCCTATATATTCCTATGTAAAACTTTGATCATCCATTGTGGCCCCACCCTACCCCAAGGGGTCATGATTTGAACAAACCTAAATCTACACCACTTGAGGATGCTTCCATATAAATAAGACCAATCATAGCTTTGCTGTTCTTGAGAAGAAAATTTTTAAAGATTTTTGCTATATATTCCTATGTAAAAGTTTGATCATCCATTGTGGCCCCACACCCTGGGGGTCATGATTTGAACAAACTTGAATCTACACTACCTGAGGATGATTCCACATGAGTTTCATCTTTCCTGGCCCAGTAGTTCTTGAGAAGAAGATTTTTAAAAGATGCCATTAATTTTTTCACTAATTTGTAATTATCTCCCCTTGGAAGAGGGTGTGGCCCTACATTTGAATAAACTTGAATCCCCTTTATCCAAGGATACTCTGTGCCAAGTTTGGTTAAAATTGGCCCAGTAGTTCTGGAGAAGAAGATGAAATTGTGAAAAGTTTACAATGACAACAATGACAATGACGACAGACAACGGACAAATTTCAATCAGAAAAGCTCACTTGAGCCTTCGGCTCCGTTGAGCTAAAAAGATTGCAGATACTTTCTTTGTCACACATTTGGTTAGACTCTCTTAATCTTACTTTTTATGGAAATCTCATTGTTATTTGAAATACTGTAAATTCCTGATTAAACACGAGAAATTTTTTATTGCATAATTTCGCAAGAGGCAACACTTTTGAAATACAATTACTCGATTTTATTTTTATATTGCTGAAATGCATGTAAAAACTCTGGATCTATAACCCTCACAGCTGCTGTGTCTTCAGGAATTAAATGGACTTGAAAATGTCTGAATATTAAGGCTTCACTGTGATCATTGCAGTTAAACAGCTAAATAGTTGGTCATTATTCAAATGAATTAAAACAAATATCTTAGTACACTTGTACTTGAGCTCTAAATGTTTTGATACAAGCCTGCCCACTGCCCAGTATGGATATTAACTAAATATACATATCTCTAAACATATGTATGTGGAGGAACTACAAAATGATGTAATTTTCTCTCTAGTCTATGTATTATGATGTCAAGAATTGTGTCAATAACAGTATCTTCTAAAATGTCAAATATTTCAAGCTGTATTTTAAATTTTCAAATAGAACACAACCTCTGATCCAAAAAGTACTAGTATATATTGCTAGAACTCTTACATCATTTTATGAGAACTCTCAGAAGATATTTTTGAAAGCATTAAGACTCTATATTAATGTTTGACATGGGACATTGGGTGACCATTCATAAATAGGTCTGTAGAGAGAGCCATTTTACACATAAAGTGAACCATAAAGCTCTTAAGGTACCTTGTCTATGGTTCTGATATTAGAATTAATTCTAATTTTTCTAACAATGTGACACAAATTGTACATATTTGAATCTCCTGACATAATGGCAAAGTTTAGTTTTTCTAAAAATGTGACACAAGTTGTATGTACCTGGTCTGTCCTGATGTAAGGATTTATTTTGTTGTGCATACCTGGTCTTTTCTTATGTAAAGATTTATTTTGTTGTATGTACCTGGTCTGTCCTGATGTAAGGATTTATTTTGTTGTGCATACCTGGTCTTTTCTTATGTAAAGATTTATTTTGTTGTATGTACCTGGTCTGTCCTGATGTAAGGATTTATGTTGTTGTACGTACCTGGTCTCTCCTGACTTAAGGATTTATTTTGTTGTACATACCTAGTCTCTCCGATGAGGGACAGAAGACGAGATTGTGGAAGCTGTGATGTTGTGATATGAGACACCGGTCCAAATAACTTTTCTGCATTAACAATATCTGCTGCCGATATCTGCAGAGAAAAACGTTATAAAATAATGCCAATCTTAGGGAAAACACACAATGAACGAGTTCTTGTCTAAAGTTCAATTTCTTTCCTTGGGACATTCATTCAAAATTCTACACAGCTGATTAAAACAGATAAAGTCACAAGCTATATAAAATTCTCATATACTGTAACCCCAGCTGAGCCCAGAAAAATGATTAGTTCAACAAGACTGGAATTTATACTGCAAGGACATACAAGATGAACAATTTTTCATATGAAAAATTTATTCTTCTGTATGAAAATACTTTTAGATTTAAAATATAAATTCTCCAATTTGATAAAAAATACTTAAGATTTTTAGTCTCCCACTCAGGACACAATGTTTTGTATATTTTAAAATATTATATCCTTGCTTTTTCAAGACAAAGTTTTTTTTAAAAAGAATTTTCTTTGCATTTAAATTTCAGTTTTGATGTCCATAGGTTTACAACAGATTCCAAGTAAAAAACCAAAATCTCCATACCTCGACATCGTTAATTTTTTTCAGAGCGAAGTGCGCCAGTCTGAAGATGACGTACATGCGCCACAAGGTGAACTTAGTGATGGGATTTCCGTCAAGGTTAATATTTAAATTATCCAGCCTCCGAACACTAGAGAGCGCATTAATTTGGTCCAGAGATCGGATATTTGTTGAGCTGAAGGTTATGCTCTGAAAATAAAGTAAGAGATGAAAGTGTTGATCCTGTCTAGTTACATGTATCTTATTGAAATCATACAACACTTTACATCCAAATTCAGTTACGTTGTACCAATCTTAAATTTTCTTGACACAAACAAAAAAACAATATTTTTGATGTGCTTGATATCCAAAAAGAGTGTTTTATTTAATAGAATAAAGGTATATATCAACATGGAAAAAAATTCAATATAAAATATATCATATGATTGAAGTACAATATGTAGACTACTGTATAAAAAAGTAGTTATCAGTGATAAGGCCAAATAAAAAAATATGTGTGGTTCCGGTTACACCTCCAAACAAATTAGGGTAGGTAGGTAGGGTTTTTTTTTTTTTTTTTTTTTTTTTTTTTAAATATAATAAAAGTCAAAAATATCATTGAATGTTCTTGAATTAACTATTGGTGATATTGGTGAGATAATACTATTGCTTCCTTTTAAGTGGAGACATTTGTAACTGACAAAACACTTGTACTGCGTGTTGAAACGATGTTGTCAAAGAAGGCCACCATTGCTGAAACTAAAACTAATACCGGAGCCAATGAGGGAAATCAGGGAAAATTCTGGAAATTTGAAAATTGTCAAAAAAAAAAGTTTAGGGTCGGGGGTAAAAAGTAGGGACGGTCGGGTAACCGGAACCACACATATTTTTTTATTTGGCCTAACTGTTAATGAAACATAAATCTGTATGCATCTCATTGGCACAAAAAGTACAGTGACTAAATGGTACGAAATTTTATAAAACCCTATAACCTTTCAAGCTTTCCTTGTTTAAATTATATAATTCTTTATTGAAATTATATAGTTTTGTAAGAAAAACAAGTATTTTCTGTCTTCTACAAATACAAAAATATAAAAATTTCAGTACAGCCTACAGAATTCAAACTATCCATTTTTTTGTGACCTGCATTATTATACCAGTCTCCCTTTCATATAGCAGTTAAATATGGAATGCAAATTATTCATCTAAAACTATCAAAGATGTCATTAATTTGATTTATCATAGTGATTTCAGAATGCTGTGAATTTTTTTAAAGGGCCACATAATCATCTGTTTTGTGAATTATGTTACATTGATTTTTGTTTGATAAGTATTATATTGTATCCAGGGCTGAATTTCTCTTTTTGTGATTAATATTTAGTAAAGTCTTTCATCAAAATATTCTTTTCATCAAGAGTTGACACACAGAAAACTACAGAAAATGTTCTCTACATTAGTAGTTATGAAATATAAAAAAAAATTATCTGAATTTGGGCTTTTAGCATTCCTACCTAAGTCTGTCAATGTGATTTGAGGCAAAATGAATTTTTCAAAACATCTGACTAAATTAAGTTTACTCCCTGATCTTTACATATAGCATCATCTTTTGGAATTCAAAAAATGCTCCCCCAAAGAATAAACTTCACTCAAAACTTTGCATGTGTTAACAACAATTTTAATTTTATTACTGTAAATTAATTCAAAAGGTATTGGAACCTGGAACCCCCCCCCCCCCCATAAAAAAAAAATACATATAAATACTGTTTGTAATATTGGTTTGTACAGAAACTAAACAATGAAGTCCTATATTCAATATGATATGAAAACTTCCCCTGAAGTAAAAACACTTACTTCTATAGACACAAACATTTAATGAATCAAATCCTACAGAAGAAATCCAGTATAGAGTTCTTCAGAAGCCATAATGATAGAAAATCTTCAGTTATCACAAACTCAAACAATCTGTATAATTTTCCACTTGATTATAAGAACCATTTTAATAAACAGGTTAAAGTCCTTATCAGAGTACAAGAAATACAACTGTAGTTAAATACAGAATCAAGTCAATAATCTACAGATCGAAGGCGAGATTACAAGATAAGGATTCAATAACCCCCATACTTATATAAAACTGCAGTAAGCCACAGCAACTCCTAAAAAATCCTTGAACACAACATCATCAAACTGTGGACATTATGCACAAAGAAAATCTCCAAAATGTTTATATTTCAAACAAAAAAGTCTCCACTGATTGACAGAATGTTCTCCGTGTTAGGGAGTAGCTGTTGTGATTTAAAATAATCTAAACAATATACTTAGAATAGTAATTTGAACTTTGTATAATGGAGTCAAATTCTTAATCCTAAACAGCTTGTGGGTAATATTGGAGTTTGCCCGCAGAATTAAAGGATTAGAATGCTAATGCTTCCAAATATTACTCTTGACAATGATTTACATTTCATGGCACTCGGAGGAGTGTAAAAACGGAAAGTATTTATAATTATCCCTACTTCATAATGCTAAACCTCCTAAACTTTTAAGTTAGAATTAATTGTTTAAATAATTTGTAATTACTGTCTTTATAATTGGTTCCAGTTTGATTTGACAGCCTTTGTGAATTCTGGGAAATCTGAGATTGTTTAATGGAGGTAAGGAAAGTGACTACCTTAATGTTACGTAATAAGGATTATACCTGTACCATAACTCTCCTTCATAAGGAAAACCATCAGGTTTGGATTTAAACCAGAAGTCTCTGTCAAGACTGTAGCTCTACTGGTTTGTACTTATAAGAAAGGACTTGGACTTAAAAACTTTGCAACAGCAATAAATAGAATAATTTTCATTGATTTAATCTCTTTTTGTGGCAAGATTGCAATCAGAATAAAACTGTAGGAGTAACCTTTTAAAAAAAATTAACAGAAATTTCGAAGTTACCATGGAAACATCATTCATCAAAGACAATTATGTACCTCAGTGTAGTCTACTTGCATGCCATTTTACATTAAAATCAGACCAAACTGTAGAAGGAGTAACATTTTGAAAGTATTTCATAGATATTTCTTATTTTTAGTAACCATGGCAACACCGTTCATCGAAATCAAAAACCGATATAGAGAATTATGCATCTTGGTGTAGTCTACTTGTGTGCCAATTTATATGGAATTCAGTCCAAAACTGTAGGAGGAGAAGCATTTTGAATGTCTTTCAAAGAAATTTTTATCTTTAGTAACCATGGCAACATCATTAAAAACCAATAAAAAGAATTATGTAACTTTATGTAGACTACTTGTGTGCCAAGTTATACTGAAATCAGACCAAAACTGTAGGAGGAGTAGCATTTTGAAAGTATTTCAAAGAAATTTTAATTTTTTTTAGTTACCATGGTTACACCGTTCATTGAAATCAAAAACTGTTAGGCAGAATGCCCACTTATTCCTACTAGTGATTTTTAGGATGTCCACTCATCCCTGCAAGTGATGTTTTAGAGTGCCCACTCATCCCTACATGTAATATTTTAGGATGCCCATTCATCCCTGTAAGTAATGTTTTTGGATGCTCACGCATCCCTACATGTAATGTTTTAGGATATCCACTTGTCTGTAAAAGAAATGTTTTAGGATGTCCACTCATCCCTACAAATGATGTTTTAGGATGCCCACTCATCAAATTTCAAACTGACGAAACATGCATAAAAGTTGTCACAAATAATAATTGGTTTACAGTCATTTGACATCTAGTGACACATACAACATGATGTGAATGGAGATTAGAGAGCTGCCGAGTATACTGACCTAATCCTACTTATGTTTAGTACTGATATACAGACCTAGTCCTACTGATGTTTAGTACTGGTATACAGACCTAGTCCTACTTATGTTTAGTACTGGTATACAGACCTAATCCTACTTATGTTTAGTACTGATATACAGACCTAGTCCTACTTATGTTTAGTACTGGTATACAGACCTAGTCCTACTTATGTTTAGTACTGATATACAGACCTAATCCTACTTATGTTTAGTACTGATATACAGACCTAGTCCTACTTATGTTTAGTACTGATATACAGACCTAGTCCTACTTATGTTTAATACTGATATACAGGACCTTATCCTACTTATGTTTAATACTGATATACAGACCTAGTCCTACTTATGTTTAGTACTGATATACAGACCTAGTCCTACTTATGTTTAGTACTGATATACAGACCTAGTCCTGCTTATGTTTAGTACTGATATACAGACCTAGTCCTACTTATGTTTAGTACTGATATACAGACCTAGTCCTACTTATGTTTAGTACTGGTACATACAGACCTTATCCTACTTATGTTTAATACTGATATACAGACCTAGTCCTACTTATGTTTAGTACTGATATACAGACCTAATCCTACTTATGTTTAATACTGATATACAGACCTAGTCCTACTGATGTTTAATACTGATATACAGACCTAGTCCTACTGATGTTTAATACTGATATACAGACTTAGTCCTACTGATGTTTAGTACTGATATACAGACTTAGTCCTACTTATGTTTAGTACTGATATACAGACCTAGTCCTACTTATGTTTAGTAATGATATACAGACCTAGTCCTACTTATGTTTAGTACTGGTATACAGACCTAGTCCTACTTATGTTTAGTACTGATATACAGACCTAGTCCTACTTATGTTTAGTACTGATATACAGACCTAGTCCTACTTATGTTTAGTACTGATATACAGACTTAGTCCTACTGATGTTTAGTACTGGTATACAGACCTAGTCCTACTTATGTTTAGTACTGGTATACAGACCTAGTCCTACTTATGTTTAGTACTGATATACAGACCTAATCCTACTTATGTTTAGTACTGATATACAGACCTAGTCCTACTTATGTTTAGTACTGATATACAGACTTAGTCCTACTGATGTTTAGTACTGGTATACAGACCTAATCCTGCTTATGTTTAGTACTGATATACAGACCTAATCCTACTTATGTTTAGTACTGATATACAGACCTAGTCCTACTTATGTTTAGTACTGGGAGAAGACTGGGATTATCTATCAAGAGCAACATACCTGTACACCAGGGAATCGGGTTCTGATTTTGTGTAAATGCTTTGCTATTTCCACAAAGTCTATGAACTTGAACACAACATGTGTGACTGTCCCAGCAGCCTGCACCCCCCAGTTCTTATCCAGAGCCTCCAAGGACTGGGGGCCATACATCGTCAGGCTGTCCCCCTCCAAGTCAGCCAAATTATTCAGGTCACTGGCATACCGACCTGGGTTCCTGTAATACAAGGTTTACATTATAAAATCTTGTAAATAAACAAATTTCCTAAAAATAAACCAGTCTGGGAATACACCTTAATTAGCTCACAATCACAAAATCAATAAAATCAATGATGAAATATCTCCACAGATAACTTCAAAGACATCTACCCAACAAGTTAATTAGGATTCAATAAGGAAAAACAACCTGGTTTTTAGGTAAATACACATTAACAGGGACTTTTTCCCCATCCTGTCTCTAGCCCTACAACTACGAGCGATCTCCATTCCTAGAATTCGCGACTATCCATTGCTTTTACCCTTGTGTGAGTCTCTGATGCTTGACTACAAACTGTATATAAGGAAATTCAGCTATCGGCGTCATCTCATTGTTTATCCACATTAATTATTGAAGCTGACTGTCTCTCAGATTATTTCATGCAGGAATGTACTCTCTACAGCAATGCTTAGTGAGACTGGCAGAATTCATTATAGGATTTATTGGGACAGAAAATGGCCAGGTTAACTCTTGTCAGACAGAGGGTAGACATAGATAAATTATACTCAGCAAATATATCTAGATTACTTTTCCATCAATATTAAAGAAAATGTTTTAAAAAATTCAAAATTTTTACGTTTTCCTCCAAAATTTTAACTCAATTTTAAGCATGCTGTTATACATACATTTAATACAATTCATTGGTACAGACACCTGACACCCTTAAAGGAATACCAATTAATAATTTTTAACAAACATTGCACTAAAGTAACTCAGGAACCAGAGGTCTCTGACAAGGCTGTAGCTCTACTGTTTACAATTAAAAGTCAAGGAAAATATTTACATCTGTAGCATTAAATGGTGTATATTTTATCTTCAGGTATACTGCATTTCATGGAGGAGACATATAATTATATGATCTATATTCAACACATATATATATATACCAACTAGAATGTTTTTAAGTACACTATAAAATATTTCTGCCCTCAAATTAATTCCAGGTCAAGGTGATACAGAGGTCTTCTTTTGGTGATGCATGCACCTTCAACATGTTCAAGCCAAATATCCTTAATTTAGGTAAAAAGGAAAAAAAACCTGGTACAGAAAATCATGATAAAATCCTGGAGATTTAAATCCATCTGAAGCATCTAGTCCAGTTAACCCTGGTTCAAGGTCACGAAACAAACTAAAGGCCAAAAGCAATATTTGTGTTAAATATGAGCTTTTTAAACCTTTTTTCTTTTTGTTTTTTTTCATAAGCAAAATATCAACAGTGATCTACCGATAAGTAGTTTCTATAGACAGAACCTAATTAAGTCAGGTGTAAAATAATCAAGAAACAACAACATGTTTATTTTACACCTGAAATAAAACTCACCAGTCACTACATTACTACATTATAAAGAAAAAGGATTCTTCAACTTTTTTCCTTCAAATTTTATGAATTTTTCTTAAAAAATTATTTAGTGCAAACATGATATATCTATTGGATAGTCTTAGAAATCACTTCTGGGAAAAACATTGCTTAGATTCTGTGTCTGATATACTCTCTATCCTGTCTTTTGTCTGGGGAAAGGTAACTCTAAATGAATGACTATATGAAAAAAGTTTTGTTGAGACTTTGCTGAAAAAAACAATAGAACTTATAAATGAATTGAATACTCACCCAAATATCATGGTTTCCTTGAGTTGGCCAGGTTTCTGGGCCTCAGATTTGAATTGCTGAACTAAGTTCCCCGTGCGGGGCCTCTCATCGGCCGTACTCTGAGCACTGCTCGGACGAGATCCTCCCCGACTGCTCTGTTTGGACTCACTGAAAAATAGGAATTATACTTCAATGATTTTCCACATAACTGTTACAGGAACAAGAAATGTATGCACAAAACTTTACTTTTATTTCTAAGTGTATTTATCATGAAAGTACTTGAAGTAAAATAAATGAACAAGTTCACTCAAAGCCTCTGATCTCGGATCCTTTGTGTTTTTAGTTGCATATTAATTATGGGAGGAAAAATAATATGTTTACCGTATTTAATTTTTATGATTTTTCATTTTCCTCTGTCAACTACCTAAACTTATAAGTGACAAAACAAAGCAATATAATTAAATCCATTTCCATAACAATCCTCCTATTTAGGAATGTTACTATATGCTCTGTGTTGTCATAAATATGTTAAGTCCAGAATTCATGAAAAATTAAGATAGTGGGATTTCAACCTACATCTTTAAATTTGACCCATGCCCCCCCCCCCCCCCCCCCAAGATCTTGGTAAATAAATCTGCTCACCTGTGTATGGACTCAACCTCTAAGTTTTCCTCATTGGATGGAGAAATCAGGTCTGAGTTAGAGACAGAACCTACATGGTTGGCGTACAGCTCTGGCATTTTGACGAGTTTTCCGGTCCGATTCATCATGGAGCCCTGCATCACTTCCCACTGTCGCTTGGCATTGTTAATGGCAAGACGTTTCTTCTCCTGTATTTAAGAATTACCGGATTTAAAATTGATTTTGCAAAGGACATCAAACAGTGAATTCACACACAGTACATGATATTAAAATTAACATAAGTATTTTTAACAAACGAACACAACCTAGGTTTTTTAACCATTAATTGTTTTAAAAACACATGCTGTTTAGCTATTAAATAAATATGTTATTAAGCATTGATTCATCTAGAATGTGTACGAACAGATATACTAAATCATTCCCTCAACCATATAAAAGACAAAGGCATGTAGTCAGCATCTCAAATAAATTATCTACCGATGAAGTAAAACGTCAAGTTCATAAACAAAAAGTGCCTGTGAAACAAACAACCCTACTACCAACTCCAGAATCATATAATGGAAAATACATATATGACCTTTCACCTCCTCATATAACCTTGAACATATAGCCTTGACCTTCAACTTGAGATTTATGTGTTACAGATTTCAGAGATTATCATACAAATGCCCAAATTTTTTACTGGGCAAAATTGAAAGCAGAAAAATCAACATACAGACCAAAAACAATATCACCCATCCCCAATTCTTGATCCCTTGGGGGGAGGGGAGGGGAGCAATAAGCAATGATTGCTACTTGAAACACTTTTTATGCAATTCTGGGGTTAAGTGCTTAGTTTTTGGGGATTAAGGTGTTTTTTCATCAAGAATTAAAAATTAGAAACATATCAAATATTCTAATTTCACTAGCCTGTTACACATACTGGTTAAAAATTAGGAAGCATTACTACATCTGCATGTGTAGGATAATCATGTTCTTCTCCCAGGCATTCACATATTACTCACTAAAAAACCCCAGTTAGAAAAAAAGCTTTAATGCTTGTCTGGATTCAGCCTTAAACTTTCAAACCAAACCTTCACCTTTCACAATCAAATAAAGTTCAAAAGAAGAAAGACCACAACATTTAACAAATTTATTTTAGAGTCAAATCCCCACAGAATTTATTATCATTTCACCATTGAAGCAAATAGCAAGAATACACATGTATTGACCCTTCAATATGTTTCATGAACTTATGTGATTTTTTTTTAAGTGTTCAAAACTTTTTAGTTTCATGGTCACAAATTAATAAAATTCCTAAAAAAAATATCTATATGTAAAAATTAAATGATGATAAAAAAAAGAAGAAAAAAAATACAGGAGTTAGAAGAATCTTTTAAAGGTTTAAAATCCACTAGAAATTATTGAGAGTTCATTTGAATAAACCTAGTATCATTATATTTTTTCTAAAACCACAGAAATAATGTATGGTAAACATGCATTTGTTAAAATTTAATTTCAATGTTCTAATATGTTTTAGTTAGCATTAAAAAAGACAGGTTTATCTAAGCTAGTTCATAACTGAAGAAAAAAGGCTGATATTGCTACAAAAATTGACTATACCCCTCCAGGCGGGCGGTCAGGTGTTTGTACCATCTGAGGGGGAAAATAGAAACAATCAAAGAGAGATAACTCTGTATTACTGAAAGAAAAGTCTATGACAAATGAATTTGTTGATAAATGACAATGAAATTGAGTCATTATTTATAAAAAATGATTGATTTATTTACAAGGAATCAAGTTTTTCCCACTTCATTCTACATTGATAAATACGACACAAAATATACACACCTATAAGGTGTTTAGTCCTATCAATGCTTGAAAACTGGTCAAAATAGTGGGCATTGCTAACAGGACTGTTTTGGTCAAATGATATATTAAGACCCTATGGAACTGACCTTCATAATATTAGTCCTGCTTGACTCCCTCTTTTTCTCTTCCTCCTTGCGTGCCATGACGAGGGCAATTCTGCGCTCCTCCTCCTAAAACACAACAAAGAATGATCATTAACCAATTGATTTAAATTGTGAAAAAAATATACCAAACACATGCTGTTTCCATACAAAATGCCTTTATCAATTGCTTTATCAGAAATTTTACAAATTCAATTTTTGGGGGAAACTTCCTTTTAATGTGCCAATATCATGTAACTTTTAAATTACATGGCAAATTAATTTTCTCCATTTGGATACAAAATCACTGGTAAAATTCCTAAGCCTTATTAATTTGAAGTATGAATGAGAGTTTTAAGCAGCATTGTGTATGGATGATCATTGATTCTGCTGTGAAGTTGTGACAGGCTGTCCAGCACATTTTTGACAAAAAATTAGGACAAATTTTAAGGATAACATTAAGAAATTTTAAGGCTAAATTTAGGAATTTTATAACTTAAGTACAGGAAGGGCATATTGACATGATACACACTGGTCAACTGCCTTTCACTGCATAATCTGCATACAAATTGCAAACATTTTGTATGAATGCATTAATTTTCAAAATTGCTTGAGCAGAAATATACGGTATATAAAAAAATAGGAATTGACATGAAAAATTAGGGGATTTTTAGGATTTCTCATTTAATTCAATATTTTTAAAGGAATTTTAGCAAAATTAAAAAAAAAGATAAGAATTTTTTTTTTTAGGAATTTTAGGGCCACTGAACAGCCTGATGTGAAATTAGTAGAGAAGAGCTTCCTAGATCTAACAGCACTTTTAGCATACTTAAAATATTCACCCAAAAGAGACAAAAAATTGTCTATCTTTCTCTCTGTTTAAATTTTTCTTTTTTCATTTGACTATTCAATATTGGCTAGTACACGCAAATATATAATAGCAAAAAGATTATTAAAATACGCTTCCATTGAGTTTAAAAATAAAGACTTTAGGCAGCAGAGCTCTTAGAGTTATAGTCTTTGATTTCACTTTATTTTTTTTACAAATGACTTATGTAATAAGACAAGAAATAAAAGATTCCTGATGTCCTCATGACTCATAGGAGGAGTGATATCCAGCCATGTAGCAAATTTAGAGGGGGGCCCAAGGGGCCTACTCCCCACTTTAGTGACCCAAAATTTAGTGTAGATAATTAAATAAGTATATTGCTTTTATCATTTATAATGTTTAGCTAAATAAGTTACAGAACTATTCAAAAAAGACCTAAAACCTGGGAGCTTCCAAAGACTTCACCCCCTAGTCCCCCCACTGAGGTTTTTAAGATGCCCCCCCCCCCCCACCTTTTAAAGAATCCTGGATCTGCCACTGATATCAATCAGTGTTTATCTATTGTACCATTTTTTCCCTGACCACAATAAACAAGAGGCCCATGGGCCTTGAATCGCTCTTCTGATAAACTGTACAACCTATCACTTCTTTGAAGCTTTGATTGATTGATTGTATGTTGTTTTACGTCCCATTCGAGAATTTTTCACTCATATAGAGACGTCACCATATACCGGTGAAGGGCTTCAAATTTTGACCTTTACTCGGCACTCAGGGCCATTGAGCAGTGAGGGATCTTTATCGTGCCAGCGCCTGCCGTGACACGGGGCCTCGGTTTTTAAGGTCTCATCCGAAAGACCCGCAACTTTCACTTCAAATTGCCGAGCGCATGGCGAAGGAACAGTTGCTACCCATTTTATCGACTTGGGTCTGTCGCGGCCGAGATTCGAACTCACGACCTCCCGATCACGGAGCGAGCGCTCTACCGACTGAGCTACCATGAACGGTTTGAAGCTTTGAAGTATCCTGTATATTTACATAAACCCTTGAAATTCCAATTCACACTCTGAGAACCCAAGCTGATTCTATGCCAATTAGTACCTGAGAGTTGGTCATGATGACCTACTTATCACTTGTCATTCTCTGAGGACCCATCAACTAAGTTTGATGATTCTAAGCCAATTAATACCTAAAATGTTTTTTAAAATTATAATCATAAAATTTTATAAGTAGGTCAAAGTGACCTACTTTTCAATTGTTTTACTCCAAGGACCCAAGATGCATCAACTGACAAAGTTTGATGATTCTAAGCCGATTAGTACCCGAAATATTTTATTAAAGCCATAAATTTTCCAAAAGTAGGTCACGGTGACCTACTTTTTAGTCGACCTACTCCGAAGACCCATGACACATCTACTGACAAAGTTTGATGATTCTAAGCCAATTAGTATCCGAAATATCTAATTAAAGCCATAAATTTTCAAAAGTAGGTCACGGTGACCTACTTTTTAGTCGACCTACTCCAAAGACCCAAGATGCATCAACTGACAAAGTTTGATGATTCTAAGCCAATTAGTACCTGAAATATTTAATTATAGTCATATAAATTGAAAAGTAGGTCACGGTGACCTACTTTTCAGTTGACCTTTTTTTAGGACCCAAGATGCATCAACTTACAAAGTTTTATGATCATAGGACTTAAAATGTCCAAATTATGCCTCTAAAACACTTTGAAATCGAATGCCTGCAAAGTTCAAAAAGTAGGTCACTGTGACCTACTTTTTAATAAATATGTTTTATGGCCCCAAGATGCATCATCTTACAAGATTTAATGATTCTAAGCCTCCCCGTATTCAAATTAATGACCTTAATTGTTTTAAAAAAGATTAGCCATAAAATTCAAAAAGTAGGTCAAGGTGACCTACTTTTTAGTTGACGTACTTTGAGGACCCAAGATGCATCAACTGACAAAGTTTGATGATCATAGGCCTTAAATTGTTCAAAATATGCCTCTAAATCATTTTGAAAAAGAATGGTCGCAAAATTTAAAAAGTAGGTCACCGTGACCTACTTTTGAGTCAACATGATATGAGGTCCTTAGATGCACCAACTGACAATATTTGATGATCCTAGTCCTTATAGTAAGCAAAATATCAACATTTTAATAAAATGTAATTTTTGGTCAACTTTGAAGTGACCTTGAGACCACGCCCTTTGCCCCAGGGTAAATCCCCGTGCAAATTTTAATCTACAACATATCCTCATCCTTTTGTGTAAGTTTGGTGATAATCTGCCCAGTGGTTCTTGAGAAGAAGATTTTTTAGCAACCAGTACTTTTTTTTCTATTTTCCTAATTATCTCCCCTTGTTAAAGGGTCACAACCCCAGTTTTAGTATAAAAGGGAGCCCTTGGGCCAAGGATACCCTGTGACAAATTTGACAATAATTGGCCAAGGGGTTCTTGAGTTATGGCCCATATTCTAAAAAGTTTACGCACACCGCACACCGCACAAATGGCCATAGCATTAGCTCTTTGAGCCTTTGGCTCAGAAGAGCTAAAAATAAATGACTTGGATTAGTACTGTATATGTAACTCAAACATAAAAAGTGACAGTTTGGTGCCCAGGAGAGGAAAGTAATGACATACAAAAGGTACCAGGATGTTTAGATTGAGGACCCTCCCCCTTAGCTGAAGGAGATTGGTGTCGCTACAAGACAGTGGGCGTGGCGCGAATGCTCTACGCGCTGTTGGATCGCAGGGCTTGGGTGCTGCAATCTTGGGCAAAATCTGGGCGTTTATCTGGTGCTGCTGAAACACATTGAGGAACCTGTTCTATATTTAATGACAGGGACTTTAAAGGAAATATCACTTAGCTAGATTTGGAATCAATAAAATCTTAGCTAGATTTGGAATCAATAAAATCTTTTCAAATTTAATCTTATCATTGTACCTCCAATCAAACATCCTGGATTTAAAGAGTAATTTGTATCAAGATAACAAATGTAAGGTCAAAAAATATTAATCTTTAATTATCAGGCACCACCTCAATAGGTAAAACAGTTTTATTGCAAGGGGGAATAACTAGTTTTCGAGTTGTAAAATGAAAATCAAGTCATTCCCCTTATATTTTATGAATAAACTTTTTATAACAGAGTTTTGAATAACATTTAAATTTATTGATAATAAAACAATAAAAGAGTACAAAAAGTAAGAAGTTCATGATTTAGTTGACAAGAAAAAAGAGATAACATTTGGTCCCCCCCCCCCCCAAAAAAAAAAAAACTACCTGCTGCACTTAATTTAGATAATCTAAAGATTAATTTTTTTTGGAAAAAAAAATCTTAGAACCTTACATGGAAATCAAACACAGTTCGAAGACTTATTATAAAATATACAACTAGAAGTATGTCACTTCTTATTCAAGAGTTTTCAGATTGACTAAATCTGTATTACACATAATAATTAGTCCAATAGTTGTTTGTGTTCACATTCTTCATATCATGTAAATTCAAATTCTGGTTGTGATCAATCATTTTAGCACAAAAATCATGTTGGACACAAAAATATAAATTCTGCTAAAATACATGTTTAGTAATAGTCCTATCCTAATTATAATACAACTAATTAATTAGAGAAAATAATGATTGTTGGTCAATCTGAGCATGACCGGAAGGAGAATGCTCCAAAAGTTTTGATTGGTTAAAAAAATCCCAAATCCATTATTCTAACGCAATATAAGATCCACCCCCTGATCTTGTCAGAACACACATATGCCCCTCGCTTACCGTGACTCTCTTCATATCCAGCTGCTTAAGCTGCTGCATTTGCCTCAGTACAATCTGTTTGTAGTACTGCTCCTGTGTGATCGGGTTCCCATCGAGCGAAATCTCAGACAAACTCGTGGAGTCAGACAGGGAGGAGATGTCCTCAAAACTGAAAGTAGAAAAATGATCGTCGTAACAAGGTGTCCTCAAAACTGAAAGTAGAAAAATGATCGTCGTAACGTTTCCTCAAAACTGAAAGTAGAAAAATGATGTGTCCTCAAAACTCTAATCTGGAGTGATCACTATAACCCTGGCTGTCATCAAAAATAGAAATGATCACTGTAATAATGTAAGTGAAAGTAAAGATTCTTTAATTTTGACCTTGGCCTTTGATCTTTTGACCTCAAAATTGATAGTGGTCTTTTAAAAGTTAAAGAAAGTTATCATATGAAATTTCATTGAAAAGCTAAAGAACTTTAGAGATAGCAGCCATATGATATTGGATTCAGCCTTTTGTATATTTAATAACCATATGAAGTGAACATAATATTATTATATAACTCTGGTAAAATAAAGAATTCCTGGTGATGTTTTTATGAAGTTCTTTATGACAGTAATAGAAGTGTAATGGTGGACATTCTCACGTCTGTGTGCTCTAAAGTTTAGTATGTAACTGTACTTACGCAATACACATATAGATAGACTGTTAAATATGATAAAGCCTCCAGTAAAAACTCAATGGAACCAAGAAAAAAATTCAAGATATCCAGAAATACAAGATATTGAGGGTAAAATGCTTAAAAAAATTTCTTGGGACTTCCAAAATCACTTCCACATAGTTTTGTTTGTTTGTTTGTTGTTTAACGTCCCTCTCAAGAATTTTTCTCTCATATGGAGACACCACCAATTGTCGGTGGAGAGCTGCAAATTTTGACCTGCACTCGGTACTGAGGGCCATTGAACAGTTAGGGTTCTTTTTCGTGCCAGCACCTACTGCGACATGGGACCTCGGTTTATACGGTCTCATCCGAAAGACCAGTCTCCACGTCCCACAGTGGGATTCAAACCCGCGACATAAGGATCAATTCCTTACTCAGCGACTCTGGAGCAGATGCTCTAACCACTGCGCCACGCGGACGACTCCATAGTTCTGAGATGTCAATGTTCAAGACACCAAAGTTCAACAGTAATTATAATAATACAGTTAAATTTGTCTAATTTGGATGTTGTGATTCTGAAATCTTGCTAAATATGATGTAAACTTTAAGTCCTTTTTAGTAAATTCAATTGTTTAAAATGTTATCTAATCTGGAATGTTAAATGTCTAATCCCGGAAATTTTTATGGAATCAGTGGTGTCCGGACTAGACAAGTTTTACTGTAATAGTCTATTGAAATATAACTATATACGTGTACTTATATTTATATAATTATGAAGAAATTGTTTAAGGAGGTTCGATCCTGAGCTTTTGAGCAGATTTTGGTCAGGACCTTTATTTCTAAAATTCTGCATCATTTTTATGTTCTAACATTGAATCTGGATTCTACATTGCAAATTAAACTATATCCAATGAAAAAACCGCGATGAAATTCCATTAAAATAGGATTAAGCCAGGAACTATATTTTGTGGCAGAAGGTTTTTTAGAAGAAAATGATCAATTTTTCCCTTTTGAAATATATACAGTACTGTTAAGTTTAGATTACTATTTTTCCATGCTGGTTGCACATAGAGCTGTTTTTTGCAGTGAAATGTTTTATGCTGGCTCTGAAATATCTAATAAATTATTTCTTATGAATTCTTTCATTATATTGTGACAAATATAGTAAATATATTCCGAAAGTCCAGGAAAAAATTGAGCCAATTTTAACATAAAATTAACACTTTTTTAGTAATATCTAAAAATTTAGATCATAGACCCCCACTTTTGTTTTTCTTTTCTGAATATATGATAACTTTGATCAATCTGCTTAAATTCAGCAAAAGTTTAAGACTTTAAAATAATTTTCTTGCTTTTTAAATTTTTAATGCCAGAAAAATCACATTTTGTGAGTGCAGAAAGGTCAAATAATTCATTATGCGAAGCAATTTAAAACTTTTTCTTCGTCACAATTTTAATGCGTCTTTTTTTAAATAGACTAATAGTTTATTTTGTCCCATGATTTATTTGGATAAAAACTTTGGAGGGAAAACGTCGAAGATGTGATTTTTGATTAAGACACAAATATCAGTGCAAAAAGGTCAAATTAAATGTATTGTAGCGCCGAAAGAAGCATACTGACCCCCATTTTTTGTTTTGATTTTTAATTAAGCTATGTGTGTAGAAACTAAAAATATACTTGACAAAAAAAGTTTAAGACTTTTAATATCAGGATCCAACCTCGTTAAGGATAACAATGCCTCACCAACTCAAAAATAATCTCAAATCTCTGATCAGTTCACTATAATTGAACAATCCATGCTATAAAATTGAAGTTCTCACTTCCTTATATCAAAGTTCCTATAATCAAGTTTGAACATAAAAAATAATATGCAAATTCATATAACAGCTAGGATTCATCAAAGAGGTATTTGAACAAATTAAAGAATTAAGTTAACAAGTGTTTTAAACATGTACATTATGTAATCCTCGAAACCTCAAGGCATTCTGCAACTCTAAAACTTAAATAAATCCAAGAAATCGGAGAACTCACTATTGAGATGAGCGATTGAGCTTTTTATCTCGGTACGTTCTGTAATGCCACATTCTCTCAGAGATTGCTAACTCGATCAGAAACAAGTCCAGCTTATATCATCACTAATCCTGAATTTTGTCTGTAAACAAACACTTCCTTTCCTAAGACATCACATTTTTCTTTTCTGTACTGGGCAAACTACTGGATAGGTTTTCTGTGGTTAAGATCCCAGGCACAGTTACCATACCAAGACATCAAATAACAAATGAACGGACAAAATGGAAAATGTCACTATTTACCAAGAAATCAATGAGAAAAGTTTACTTTGTATTATCTAAACACACACATTATTTACAGACAGACAAATTTACACAAGACTAAGTGAAAGGTTCCCCAACATCTCAGCAAATTTGTTTCCTTTGATAGAAATATTTACATTTGAAAGCAAAACAAATAAACAATTATTGACAAAATAATAGAAAAGACTCAATTTAGAGTATATTTAAGGCTACCCCTGTGCATATACATGTACAACTAAAAACTAAGTCAACAACTAAACAATATCAAAGTTTTGCAATTTTAGCACTGCATGGGTCAGAAATTTATCAAAATCTCTGCAATAAATAGACATTTTTTTTCCATTGCCTGTTTACTGTCTGAAAAAAAGGAAGTAAAATACAAATTCCAAACACTGTCTGGGGTAAAAAAAAACCTGACATATAAAATCAATCCTTAATAAATTAAAAAAATGGTCGGCAGTTTACATAAATCCAAATGTTCTAGAACTACTTGCAGAGATATAATTCCATTGGCCAAAGAGTGATTTGAAAAGCGACTACAAATGGCACATGTTAAAACAGTTTGAATAATATCAAAGTCTGCAAACTTTAATGCAGCTAAGTGAACATATCCACAAATGATAAGTCCTTATTTTGAGGATCAATTGTTGGAGATTTGTGAAATTTTCAACAAACTACAATATCTTCTCATACAGCATACAATCTTAATCCTGGTGACAGCATTGATTCCCTGTAACAACAAACACACCAGACACCCAGATCATTTTCTCCCTCGCTGTTCCAAACTAAGATCTCATTTTTCCCTACCATGGTTGTATGTAAGATTACAAGATCAGCTTAAATACTCCAGCCAGAATTTCCTTCGTAAACTAAAATATTGACAATTGACCCTGTGTGGTGCTGTCTGTCAATTTCTGGATGTGGATATTTAATTCCTTAAAACAAGCCCCAGATTTTATTCATTAAGTCCCTGGTGTGTTGTTTCTCAGTGAAAAGCTCTCAAGTTTGAGATACAGACCATATTTAGTTTTAAATACCTATTTCATTTACAACAATTAACGTTTTTGAGTGACCTCAATATTTTTATATTCCCTACACTTTTAAAAAAAAATAACTTTAACAACTCCAAAACCTTCAAGTTGTTAAAATCCTTCATTGAAAACAGAGGTTGTGTTAAGTGTTTTAATTTGAGTCAATGTGCTGTTTTCATAAACACAGAACTTCAATGTTTGATATAATTTGATATGTTTTAAATGCTTTACAAATAAAGCCTGCAAAATTCCATTTAAAAGGCATTAAGACTTCTATATAGAAATAAAACAGTTAAGATTAGCAGTGAGTGGTCAATATTGACAACAAAAATCAGTTACGAAGTGTTTAACTCATTAATATAAAATAGACACTAATGTATATCAATAGGTAAGTTTGCCACCTGTGCATTTACGTAGCTTATTAAAGACCTTTTTATGCTTTACTAACAATATATTAAAAATATATACATTTGCAAATGTTTTCTTTCATATAACACTATTAAAAGCAACGCGTACCTATATCCGTATGAACACGGGTTCCTCGCGTCATAAACGTTCAACGTAATTTCTCAGTGACGTCATAAGGGGTCGACGCGCAATCAATGGATCAAATACGTACCGTTGAGTTTGAAAAATAAAACATTTCACACGTTAAAGATTATAATCAGGAAAATATAAAATATGAATAAGTCATAAATGTAAATATAAGTAATAATGTATCATTTTTAAACATCTATCGGGATATAAATACGGGTTGGTACGAAATCAAATTTACTATAAAGCCCTTCGGGCTTTATGGAATTTGATCTCGTGACTAACCCGTATTTATATCCCGATAGATGTTTAAAAATGATACATTATTTCTTAAATAATCCATAAAAAAGTTGCATTAACCTGTATAAAATACATGCTAAATAAACTTGACACACAAAATAAAAGGTAATATGATAAACAAAAATGAGATTCTACTGAGAAAGTCATTGTTATTTAACTAAATTTTGATATTTCTATGGCAAAGTACAAAAATCATAAAAGAAATATAAACAGGAACTACATTTGAATAAAATTTTGCAAATTTCTTCTACAAATTGTATCCTGTAATTTTCATATGCACGGTACAGCAAAATGAAACAAAAAATACAGCTATCATAGTTTGAAATAAAATTAACTTGATTATAGGCAAAATCAAGCAACAAACATGTGCCTGGAGTCAAATATGTGGTCAACATAGGTCTCCGCTAAATGACTTCTCAAAGGAACAAAATACCAGTATATATTTAGGTCCATTATAATTTTCAATTGTTGAATAGTTGAATTCTGTCACTTTACCTGCATCTAGAGCCTAGATCATTTATGATGGTCCTACTGCGAAACGAGAGGACAGGGGTACGATGTTTACATGCTGTCTCTGGTCGCTGTGACCTCCCCATGTTGAAGCTAACACCCTGTACATCTAAGTCACTGTCTATATCCACCTTCAGAAAACTCTTACTACGCCTCATCTTCACACTGAACTTAACCATATTCATTCCGGTAAGTCTCAATATAACAACCAAATACTCCAGAAAACCATCTCATAAGTCAGCGAGATGTAAGAAATCGGTAATATATGACCTCGTCATATCACCTTAGAGTGTGTGTACAGTGACCAACTATCCAATAAAACCTTTATGAGTTTATGATCATATTTTCTATAGCTTTAGTCAGATTAAGGTCTTGACAATACAAGATATCAGTTTGTTTGTGTAGCAAATGCAAAAAGCGTCCTTTAAAATTCTGAGACACTCCTTTATTATGCATAATTAAAAACAACTTTTGGTGCAATTAAAATTCTAAAGAACAATGTTTATAGCTGAATACACCTGTACACAGCCATTACTGAATCAACCTTATTTTTCAGGTTTCTAGACATTTAAAGGAAAAATGTAGCATAATGACTTTCAGAACTTTGTATTCTTTGATTTTCTTTGTTTATGTTGGCACTTGGAGAAACAGACTTGTCATTGTAAAGAACGACCATTACTGTGTTAGAAAGATCTTAAGCTAGAATGTATAATTACACAAACTCAATTGATGGTCTAAGATGAAAAATATTCATTACAGACTGTGACCTTGAATGACAAACTTCTCTAAAGGAATTGATTTAAAGTTTCTTGAGCAGTTAATAGTGAGGTAACCTTTGGGTCTTATTTGAATATTAAAAAAAAAAAGTATCACATACACTGCTATTAAGATTTTTAATTAACATCATCCCTGAAAAATATTCAGGCACAAATTTCTAAAGTAGTTTATCAGACCCCCCACCCCACCCCCCCACCCCCGAAAAATAGACTAGAATCTTCTAATCTTGCCAGATAATTTAAAGTACACATAGCATCTACTGCATTACATTTCAATGACTATCTGATGTTATTCAAATTCATAAATGAATGAATTGAAAATGAAGGTTAATATTCTAACAAAAAAAGTGATAGAACTGCATGGACTAAAAAAAAATCCAGTTTAAATATCAGGCAAGGATCAAGTATGTAATGTTACAAATGGGGAGGATCTAACATTTTCCCAGCTTTTAAGATGATATCCTGATGAAGATTACTATGGCTGTGTTTTGTATGATTAAAAACAATTGACCAAAAAAAAGTCAATGAATAAATGCTGTAAATTGGTTGACTGTGATTTAATCCTGACAGATTAATGGATGAGCAGATTAAATAAAGCTATCTTATCTGCCTTGTATCAGATCTAGATAAACCTGTGATTAAATATTAAGATATTAATTTGTCTTACCTAGAAATATCGTTGAAGCTGAGAAAGAGACGCTGTAGGCTTGGTAAATTGTCCACATCAAGCTAAAAGGACAAAAATCAACATTATACCACAGGATTAGAAACTGTATAACTTTGTGACATCAATAAGAAGCAACCAATGTTTGGTGGGTGCTGGACTGATTAAAGTCCAGTATACATGGGTGGTGGGTTAACCCCCCACAAAGGTTTGGACAAACAAGACAATGTCATATCTATTCTTTCCTTTAAAGCTTCAACAGAAATCATAATTGCAGATACATTTACATTTTTATTCCCTGATATTGTTGCACCTCAACACCGATATGCCATATCTAAGCCCTGATAATTCACAGCAGACAGACATAAATTCCTGGGATAGCGAACATATCTCAGGACAGGCTTTTTAGTGTGTACTGTTTGTTAATAAAAGTGTGTTATCTCCCAATGGAAGATACATTCCATTATTCAGTAAAATTAAAAGATCAGTTCAGACTTAAAGCCGAGTAAACTAAGTCATATGAAGGTCATTCAGTAAATTTTTTTTTATTTGTGTGATTTGGGCAAACAGTTATGGTCAAATCAAAAGTTTCATAAATGTGAGATTGGATTGAAGGCTTGTTCAGAACTAAATATGCTAATGGCAGTGTGTATTTATACAGAAATATGGAAATTTAATATTATTTGATAAAAGAACTTTGGTTTTGGTCTACACTGGTTTAATGACAACAGAGACAAACAAATACTTTCACTCCATCTCAAAAAATCCTTATTATACATGTACTTCCCTACTCTGTACAATTATACTATACAAACTAAACTTCCTGACAAAGGGAGATAACACTGATCCAAGTTGCAATAACTAAACGTCCTGACAAAGAGAGAACACTGACTCAAAGTTGTCCATAACTAAACTAAACTAAACTTCCTGACAAAGGGAGATAACACTGACTCAAAGTTGTCAATAACTAAACTAAACTAAACTTCCTGACAAAGGGAGATAACACTGACTCAAAGTTGTCAATAACTAAACTAAACTTCCTGACAAAGGGAGATAACACTGACTCAAAGTTGTCAATAACTAAACTAAACTAAACTTCCTAACAAAGGGAGATAACACTGACTCAAAGTTGTCCATAACTAAACTAAACTTCCTGACAAAAGGAGATAACACTGATCCAAGTTGTCAATAACTAAACTAAACTAAACTTCTTAACAAAGGGAAATAACATTGACTCAAAGTTGTCAATAACTAAACTAAACTAAACTTCCTAACAAAGGAAGATAACATTGACTCAAAGTTGTCAATAACTAAACTAAACTAAACTTCCTAACAAAGGAAGATAACATTGACTCAAAGTTGTCAATAACTAAACTAAACTACTTGACAAAGGGAGATAACACTGACTCAAAGTTGTCAATAACATTTTATCTACATGTTAACATTATGCACATAAAAAGCCCTATCAATTTACATGTATGTAAAATTTACTAACATTATGCCCCGAGTTTTACAATTTCTCAGTTATGTTTACCCAAAGGTGGAGGATGCACATTAAACATGGATCATCCCTTTTTTATATCTGCCCAACTTAATTACCATTATTCCTACTGAAATATCAATGAATCAACTCAAAACTTGGAGATTTTTGTTTATTTTCAAAACAATGAAAATTTTCATTTCATTGCTTTCATTTTTTGTCCAGATGTGAGGGAAAGCAAAAGAAAGTTTTTCTCACTATACATGAAAGGTTAAGCATTAGCCAATGTCAAGTCTCATATATTAGTATTTACAGCAAATTTTTGTAAAAATCATTTATAGGTATATGAAAAAAAAAATGCAAAATAATAATATTTTATGTAGAATTCTGTCAGCAAAAATGATTCTATGGCCAAAAAAAAAATTATACCTTTTTCTGCAAGGGTTAAACCTAAATAATGAGACAGTCACTTGGAACATTAAGTGACACATCTACATGTAATAACAAGTATTGGCACTTAAATTTTGTTTTTGATATTTAATACTTTATGAATGAATTTAATACTAGTAGCCTGGGTTGGGACAGTTTACACTTTATAAACCTCAAAGCAGTTTATGAAAAAGCATAAACTGTTCCACACCAGGTTATACAAGTAAAACTTGGTTAGCTATTAAATTTACTCCTTATAAATTTATTTTCTGACATGTAGTATAAAAAAGAAAACAATTTCCAATAAAAAAAATGACTCCAAATTATGCAAAATTTAAAAACAACATACAGCGGGTTGATAAATTTTTTGATGTCAGTCATATTTTGATGTAGGCAATGCAGGTTATATGACGTAAACTAATTTTTTTCTGCCAATGAAATGGCCTGTTACAACCAGAATTACTGTTAAGTAATAAAAAGTGTAGATACTTTTAAAGTATAGCAGGTCCTTGCTCCATGTTTTTGAAAAAAAAAACCCTATATATTTAATTTATACTCAAACATGTATTTGATGACTGATACAGATTCAATAAAATGGAGTGAAGACCCACTTGTATCAAAAATTGTTCTAAACTATATTGAAATGGTTTAATTTTTACTCTTTGGTGTTTGCATGATATTCTATAGACAAATAATTTTTCTAGAGCTCAACCCCTGTCTCACAATTGGTGATTTTTCACTGGTGCCCGACCCCTTATCTCACAATTGGTGATTTTTCACTGGTGCCCGACCCCTTATCTCACAATTGGTGATTTTTCACTGGTGCACGACCCCTTATCTCACAATTGGTGTTTTTTCGAAGTGTTTTTCCTTTTTAATTCTAGCATACATACCACCATTCTGATTCGGTTTCTTCGTAGATTGAGTTCCGCCAGACTGTCCATCCCCATGAGATTGTTCACATTGACGATCTGGTTCCCAGCCAAATTCAGCACCCGAAGCTCGGCTAAATGGTTCAGATTCTCAATCAGTGTGATCTAAAAATAATTAAGTCAGAACATTTTTAAAAAACTAAAACTTCTGTCAAATTCTCACAATAAGCTTGTTATTCACAAAGCTCAATAAATTACATAGCTCTTTGTGAGTGAGTCTGAGTCTGAATACCAGTACCTAATCTAAAACATCATGATTTGAATTCTTATCTACACAATTTATACATGCTGGCATATTTAATACCTATATAAGTCATTGTTACCTGGTTCCCATGGAGATCCAACACGTCCAGTTTTGTTAAGTTGTCCAAGTTTTCTATCTTCTTTATTCTGAAAATTGCATTGACTAGAATATAAATTATTTTCTTCATTAAGAGTCAACTGAACACTTTTTTATGAAAACCTTTGGCTTGGACACTGACATTTACAAAAGCTGCAAAATATCTGAATGAGGAATGGGCCCAGCTTAAAACCACTGGATGTTTTAATGTTCCTAACAAGATTCAGATGTGAATTCTACATATTTCTGAAACATACACATCCTTTCATATAAATTTCATTATTCTTATGTTTAATTTATGCTTATACAATATGACAGTTATAAGATCACACTAAATATTGCATACAGGAATTGTTTTCTAGAAACAATACCATAATTCAGACAAGGCTGTACCTGTTTTTGCCTATGAGCATCCAGATTTATACCTAATAATTTTGTCTTATATGAGCATCCATGAACTGTGCCTAATTTTGATAAAAATGAGCACCCTGATGTACCTGTTTTAACCTGAGTTGTACCTTTTACCCTAAATGAGCACCCTGAGATTACCTGTTTTTGCCCAATATGAGCACCTTGAGCTGTACCTGTTTTTTTCCTAACATGAGCAGCCTCAGCTGTACCTGTTTTTGCCTAACATGAGCACCCTGAGCTGTACCTGTTTTTGCCTAAAATGAGCAGCCTCAGCTGTACCTGTTTTTGCCTAACATGAGCAGCCTCAGCTGTACCTGTTTTTGCCTAACATGAGCACCCTCAGCTGTACCTGTTTTTTCCTAACATGAGCACCCTCAGCTGTACCTGTTTTTTCCTAACATGAGCACCCTCAGCTGTACCTGTTTTTTCCTAACCTGAGCTACTTGAGCTGTACCTGTTTTTGCCTAACATGAGCACCCTGAGCTGTACCTGTTTTTGCCTAACATGAGCACCCTGTGCTGTACCTGTTTTTTTTCCTAACATGAGCACCCTGTGCTGTACCTGTTTTTGCCTAACATGAGCACCCTCAGCTGTACCGGTTTTTGCCTAACCTGAGCACCCTCAGCTGTACCGGTTTTTGCCTAACATGAGCACCCTGAGCTTTACCTGTTTTTGCCTAACATGAGCACCCTGAGCTGTACCTGTTTTTGCCTAACATGAGCACCCTCAGCTGTACCTGTTTTTGCCTAACATGAGCACCCTCAGCTGTACCTGTTTTTGCCTAACATGAGCAGCCTCAGCCGTACCTGTTTTTGCCTAACATGAGCACCCTCAGCTGTACTTGTTTTTGCCTAACCTGAGCACCCTCAGCTGTACCTGTTTTTGCCTAACATGAGCACCCTCAGCTGTACCTGTTTTTGCCTAACATGAGAGAACCCTGAGCTGTACCTGTTTTTGCCTAACCTGAACACCCTGAGCTGTACCGGTTTTTGCCTAACATGAGCACCCTGAGCTTTACCTGTTTTTGCCTAACATGAGCACCCTCAGCTGTACCTGTTTTTGCCTAACATGAGCACCCTCAGCTGTACCTGTTTTTGCCTAACATGAGAGCACCCTCAGCTGTACCTGTTTTTGCCTAACATGAGCACCCTGAGCTTTACCCGTTTTTGCCTAACATGAGTACCCTGAGCTGTACCTGTTTTTGCCTAACATGAGCACCCTCAGCTGTACCTGTTTTTTTTCCTAACATGAGCACCCTGTGCTGTACCTGTTTTTTTTCCTAACATGAGCACCCTGTGCTGTACCTTTTTTTGCCTAACCTGAGCACCCTGAGCTTTACCTGTTTTTGCCTAACAGGAGCACCCTGAGCTGTACCTGTTTTTGCCTAACACGAGCACCCTCAGCTTTACCTGTTTTTTTTAACATGAGCACCCTCAGCTGTACCTGTTTTTTCCTAACATGAGCACCCTGAGAGACTTCAGCGAGCTTAGTCCTGAGATTTCCTCAATTTGATTATCATACAAGTCCAGAAAAATGAGTCGTTTTAGTGAGCTCAGATGCTGAATCTTTGTAATTGCATTGTGCTGATAGTTCAACAGTCTTAACTGGTCTTCTCCCTCCAAGATCGGACATACTGTAAGTTTCCGCCTAAAATTGAAAAGGCAAGTAAGACAAAAATATCTAGAGAAGACCAAATGGAAGGCACATAATTTTGACTTAAATCATCTTGAACTGCCATGTTGTGAAGAAGAGTAGATTTAGGATGTGCATCTCTTAACAAGGAAAAATCTAAATCTGACCTCACATTAGTCACGCTTTACATTTCACTTGGAACAGAAATCTTTTTGTGCAACAATTTTCACTTTCACTTTAAAATACGATTTGTAATATTTTCTTAGTCTTTGAACCAAATTGGTAAAATCTAATATCTGTTTCTCATAAAAAGGAGAAATACTTGACATTTAACAGAAACAAAATCACCTTCAAATGTACCTTAAAAGCCAATACACTAATATCTAAGTGGATAGTGAGTTACCAAATCTCTGATTATGGGGGGCATAACAACATGCATTTTTTTTTAATGCACGTATACCTTTCAATCTTTTAGTCTTGAGAATTGTTGTCAGTTTCTAAATACTAAATGTGATCTTCTACTCACAACACTGAGAAGAATATTAGGATTTTTAAGCAATCTGATTAAAATCAGATCCTTTGATCCCCTCTCATAGATCGCTATACAAGGATCTGAAGAAACCCCATTCAGGGTCATCTCCTGGTGACCTTTCAATTATCCAATCAAACTTTTGCTTCAGAGAATTTGGAAGTATCTCGGAATTCAGTTACGAAAGTGAAAGACCCAATGATACACGAACGGAAAATCTTGACCTGGTTTCCGTAGCCTGTCAAAAGAACGACCACAGTCTTTTCTGTACAGAAATATATTTAGTATTTGCTTTTGCCTTGTTTTTTAACTCTTTGTTTTGTACAAAACGATAAGATCTTCTCCACAGCTACTTTCACTTCTACATTCATTTTCCCGAATGTCGCTTAAGTACGATCTCTCTGATTGGTCAAAATTTTAATGAATATTTTTAATAGAAAGGTCACCAGGAGATGACCCAAAATGGGGTTTCTTCAGATCCTTGTGTAGCGATCTTTGTGTGTGGATCAAAGGATCTGATTTTAATCAGATTGGATTTTTATGATTCCTTCTCTGTTGATGTACAACTACTCATTATGATCTACTGTGACAAACATAGCACCAACATAAAAAATTTAGAGACCATTTTGTGAGTCATGTAGATGACTTCATTCAATGCAGATCAAGATAGCTTAATGATTAGAAAACATACAAAAAGTGACCCAGAAAATCTGGATTGTTTAGAGAAGATGTAACCTCAGGTCTTCATGTGTGTTTTACATGATCTTATAGAACATGATTTTACTGATCTTTTTGCATGTCTGTGAAATAAAGTGAGATAACTTTAAAGTCAAACTAAACTTCGAAGATCCTCCAATGTTAATAGATTTTTTTACATTACCTATCAAGGTTAAGTCTGTCAGGATTTGAGGACCTTTCCTCTGGAGTCCTGTAAACAACAGGAATGCCCGGGGCAGAGGGCGATTCCGCAAATATCACTCTATCACCTGAAAACACATCAGAATTAAGTTGAACAACCATAGACCTAGGGCCCAGGCTAAAACTTCATATGTATCTGTAGAACCTACAAAATGTTTATTACTTCAAATAAAATATTACAATCAACATGTTTACCCCAACCCAAGTCAAAAAATAATTCCCTTTTTCCTCATAATGCCCTCATCAGACCAAAATGGACAATTTTTGCAGACCAAAATGGACAATTTCTGCAAAGTTTAGAGAAGCTTGGGATAAGATGGAGTAAAGTAACACATAATAAAATTTTATTTCTTAAGAGTATTAAGGATGGTTTGAATTTGAAACTCTTGATCTAATTATAGCACATAGGGTATTAACTTTAGTAACTTTAAAGTCTGCTTTGGAAATATAATAATTACCTATTACATATCATTACCACTTTAATCCCCCTATTCCTGAGGTGCTGATCTTGCTTATTGAACTTGTCAAAATTTACTTTAGGATTTTAATTTTTCATGTATTCCACAATGAAGACTCTTTGACCTTGTATCTAGCACAAAATCTATAATCATCCTTACACAAAACATTGCACATGGCTGTTGCCTGACAAATATTTACCCAGGGAGTTCTATTTTCTAAACCCACAACCCCACCCCACTCTCAGTATACTTATATCAACACTATAAAGAGAATTTTCTACTTCAATTTTTTTTTTGAGGAGGGGGGGTTGGGGGTTGCAAGTTTCCAGGATGAATATAATAATATAAAAATAATTTCTTCTCAAAATCCAGGTACTTCCTAAAAAAGACATCCATTTATGGTTAAAAAATAGACACACAAATGTTGATAAACAATTTGAAATCTCCATATTTAGTATTAACTGCAGTAGAAACATTTAATATGTGTTTTAAGTGACTTTAATATTTTCACAAATTACCCTTGACATTTTATCAAGATTCATGTCTTGGACATGATTAATTAGTAAGTATTAAACAGATGTTAAACATTCAAATATGTTGATCTACTCAAGATCAAAATCAACTGTTAAATCACACCCTAGCACAGCAAACAAGAGAACTGTTAAAAATTATAATTATGCTGCTTATCGATAGTTTCAAATTGATGGATTTCAAAAATTCAAGTTTCAAATTTTCAATAGAATGATACACAAAGAGAGGTTTCAAACCATGTGCAGAGATTACAATGCATTCCAAAAATAATTACCTGAAAATTCAAAATAGTCTTCTAAAAAGACAAATAAATTAGTTTTCAAAGATCAAAGATTTGTCGAAAATAAAGCAGTCCAAGTGGTTGGCATTTTGTTAAAAGTTAATTATTAATATCAAAACTACGTTAATTACGAATATCAAACACAAAATCTGTCATAGAAATCAAACTCTAAGATCAAATAATTATGGAAAGCAACAAAACAAACTCTAAAATCACATAATTATCGAAAGCAAATGCAACGTTTACTATTTACAGATTTTTAAAAAAGCATACGAACTTCTGAAGTTACAGTGGGTACAAGTGCAGATTACAGTTCAAATATCACATAGACAACTCCAAATAACATAAAACGTCAAATAAAAATTTACACTGCAAAGCAAATATCCACAAACCTGGCAAGAAAGCGGGGGCTTTTTGCGTCTTTGGGGACAAGTTTGCGCTTGAGCGTGAATTTCGCCCACTTTCCTCTGCATCTTGTACAATATCAGGGGTGCTATAATCGTGTGCACAGGCAGGTGCTGGCACCATAGGCTTTTTGTTTGCCCTATAGTGAATCGGAATTTTCTCTGAAATAAAAAAAAATAAAAGGCCCTTCACCTCCGACTAATGACCAACCTGCACCAAGTGAGAAAAGTGAGGGTGCCGGACAACATAGCAACACAATACTTAAATCCTCCCTACATTAGTTTATGATTTGCCCCTGAACCATTGTAACAGGAGAGGAATTATCAGCTATAGATAAATGTTTATTAATTTGAATTGGCTGAGATTATTAACCTACTATTGTGATAATTAGTTATATGACAATGCAACAAAGGGCAGTAACTCATGTTCATCTCTCCCTCAGAAGCTAAAGGGCATTGAGCTGATGACTAATTAATGTCACTGATCACTGGATTTTACAATATATAAAGGAATAAAAGAAATGCCACTGACCATGCGGGGATTCAATATTTCATCCTTCACTCTACATCAATGCTTTAAAAATACTTTACTCCAAGTTAATAGTTTTAACTCTTGAATGACTTTGGTAGGAGAACATCATTAACCTTATCAAACCTCATTAACATATCACCAAGCAATTTTCACATAATTTTATAGGGGGATGTTGTGGGGTATCCCCTTTACCTCCACTAAGCCTGGATGGTTGTTGCATCCAAATGACTTCATAGCTGAGAGGAATCACGCTGGAACCAGATTTTGACCTCTCGCGCTTATATCGCATCATGTCAGAATGGCCCCCTTCAATATCTTATCAAAATGTCATGTTTAACATGTCATGTATTCCGTCACATCAAAAACACCAGAATGTCTCATGACTTAGTAATATATACCTCCAAAGGCATCATAAAATATTGAATTCATTAAACCATCCATAGAGTCACACACTTTTTATAACATTGCACATTGAATTTTCTCATGCTGAACTCGTCCAATAAAAATCCTGACAACAGTACAAACTTAAAAGTCACAGGTTTATATAATACAGATCTCATCACCTCATTAGTCTCCTGATCTGGAACTCAGCTGACTGCAGTGAATATTCTGACATCCTGAGGAATCCAACTCTCTTCTTGTAAGTCAATGCAAAGGAAATAAAACATGTCCATTTTCCTATTAAATATTTAATCATATTCCACTTCAAACTGACAACACAACATGGACACTTTTTTTAAATACTCTCTGTGAAACAGTAGAAGGAATACTATTTCTGTAATCAAAGAACTGAGGTTTCCAATTTTTGCATGTCCTGATCTCCTCTTATTAATGGTTTAAAAACCACAGAAACCCACACACTGGGGCAAATCCTTGTAAAGAACTTGTAAAGTTTGAAATAATGTAGACCAAATATTCCCCTGCATGAAGTCTAGCCTCTTCTACCGAGTGTGAAATCCTTCTATTATAAAGATCTGAACACGGGGGAAAAAAAGAAAATCCTATTGTAATTTATTTAAAATCAATAGGAAGCATTCGGACAAATTGTTTCTAATCACAATATTGAAATAAGTCTTAAATCTGATTGAGAAATCAAAGAAAACAAGGCTTTGTAAAATATCCGTCAAATATTGAGGCTAAAATGACATTTAAAAGGAGACTTTTATGATTTAATGTTTAAGAAATATTGATTGGCTTCAATACCTAAACTGAACCTGCTATAGTGAGGGATAATGATGAAATTTTATCAATATGAAATATCAATACCATCTACAATGAAAAACCAACATACTCAAGCATTAGATAATCTGTTGAATAGATTACTCACAATCCTCTCTGCTTATACTAGAGGATCTCATTTACATCTCTACTCAAAGATTGCTTTGCTGCATTTAACAAATTTAAAAACTTGTCCAATATCTTAACAGAAAATTACTGGCAAATTAAAATTTAGAATTAATTATAAGAGATGTAAACAAATTCACAGCAAACAACCTCAGTCACATAAAATTGACATTGTCGATATAGGAAAGTAGTTCTCTTGCAAATTACAGAAATCCATTACAGACTAAATCCAACAATTACAGAAATCCGTCACAGACTAAATCCAACAATTATAGAAATCTGTAACAGACTAAATCCAGCAATTACAGAAAACAGTTACAGACTAAATCCAGCAATTACAGAAAACAGTCACACACTAAATCCACTAGAATGAGAAACATTATATCAAATTTGCATTGCCTTTTTTTCTTTTAAATAGAAAGAAATATATAATTTTTAAAGACATTTTTCAAATGATGACCAAATCTTCTATGAAAGATTTAACATTAAACATTCCAAGACTTGGATCAAATATAAAATTTCATTTCACAAAAGGAAACCCAAAACAATATCCATCTGAGCACCAGAACAACAAAAGAAATGTCCACCTCTCCAGCATCTAATGTAATCCTTGTTCCTTAAGAGTGACAGTTTGGGTGCCTTGTCGACTTCTATACACCTTTATGATCTATCATCACCTGTCATGTATTTAAATGTCTGCAGGTAATGCCCAGTGTTTACTCAGAGATTGGCATTTGATTACAGTCTGTCAGGGACTAGGATATAACAATTAGTGGGGAACTATATCTTCCATCTCTAACCAATCCGTGCCTTATCATCCAATTCCTGGATATGATTAATTTTCCAATACCTCAAGATAAATTGTATGAAAGTGATTTTTAAAGTATTACTTTAAAATGTATGACTATGATGTTTTAAATAAAAAAAGAAAATTAATGAACTTGCAGAAAATATAGAGACTATTATTATTACTTTTCATGCAGAAGACTCATTAGAGAACTTCAAAGAGTTTTGAGTAGCCTATTGTCTTATTTATGTACAACGAAACAAACCCCAAATATATCCCTTTTCATTGTAATATCATGTTTCCTACCTTACAATACCCTCACATACTAATTAAGATCCACAATATTCAGTGTAACAAAGGTTCCATCAATCTGTTTTGTAATACACCTCATTCATTTAAAAAAATTCTCTCTCTTAAAATATCAGATGATTCTATCGAGTAAAATCAAGTTTTCTGAGGTATTCAATAATTAGCTCTGATTGATACATCGACGTAATAATTTTAATGAGAGGTCCCTGAAGAGATGGTAGCTCTACTGTTATGAACGCAAAATGCGTAAGATAACCTATTACAAAGACAGTGAAAGAAGCATCAAATTCTTCTGTATGGTGGCATCTGACCTATATGATGGACTACAGAAGAACAATGCATTCTTAGGCAACATCTAACCTACTTAATGGAATGCAGAGATAAAAACTATTCATTGTTTTGAATTGTAGTGGTAACCTGAATAATTTGGTATGGGACAAAGAAAGGAACAATGTCCTATCTTCCTAAACAGAAGGAACAGTATATATGTCCTGTTGTTTTAGAGAGATAAACAATTTCTGTTTTTGTGGTGCCCCATTTTTTGGTATAATGCAGAGACAGTAGCTATGGTGTGGTGACAATGGAGGTATCCAAAAGAGGGAAAAAATGGGTTGTTTAATCTTCCCAACTTAGTGAGGAAAAGACACTGGTGTGTAGAATGGTAGGGCCTGACCTATTTAATGAAATGTGGAGACAAGAAAGTGTTCTGCAGGATGGTGCTACATGGTTTATTTAGAAAGGATAAAAAAATTGTTTCTGCAGTGCCGAGAGATTTAATCTTTCTGGTAAAGGGCAAAGATTGAAACAATGGTTCTACAATCTAGTGACCTATTTGTGGAAGGTCTGAAATAGTCTTTACAATGTGTTGTCCAAATATAGAAGGGCTGAGACAGTCTTTATAATGTCGTGTCCTAATTGTGGAAGGGCTGAGACAGTCTTTACAATGTGGTGTCCTAACTGTGGAAGGGCTGAGACAGTTTCTGTAGTGTGGTGTCCTAATTGCAGAAAAGTTGAGCCATTTTCTACAGTGTGGTGACCTATTTGTAGAAGGGCAGAGATAGGAACTATGCTTTTTGCACTCTGAGTCAGATCACACCTGAACCCACCTGATGACACCGCAGTCCCCATCCTGATCTGCCCTGGGGGGTCAGCAATATTCTCCCCTTAATATAACCCTGCAAAAATGGCTATCATTAGAAGGAACTCAAGCCTTCTGTGTGGATGCTGATAATGCAACACAAATATTTTAAGGTCCTTTTAGGAAAACTTAAATCTTGACAAAATTACAGATTGATGACCATAAACTATACTGGGTCAAGTTGTCACTAGAAATAAATATTCCGATTAATGAGCACTCTGGGAATTCAGATTCCGATTAATGAGCACTCTGGGAATTCAGATTCTGTATATTAACTTTGCTACATCTAGCTACATCATTCATTGAAATTTCATTCCCTTGTTAATAACAAAATGTATTTTTAATAAACAAATAAAAAGTAAAAGAATAAAAACATAAAATGAGTTAAAGAACATATCAATCAAAAACTTTAATTTCTTAACTCACCAGCTGGCCCCGAGCGAAAAGTTCGGACAAAAGAGCACGGTCTTCCTACAGTACGATAATCTCCCATCATTTTAGCAAACAATGAACTAGACAGTCCAAGTGAAGCATTTTCAGACTAATTTTAATTAATCAATGTCTTAGTCCTCGTTTACACCCAATAAAACAGGTACCATGAATTTAATTTGAGCAAGAGACCAAATAATAAGTGTTAATCCCGCTAATCCCCTTTAATGAGTTCTGACTAAAAAGATTTGTAGTAATCTGACATTATGGTCCTATTTATTCGGGAATACACATTGTGCTAGAACCTGTACCAGATTGCTCTGTATTAAATGGGTTACAGGCCTGGGTTTAGAAGTGGCCAGACCTATATATCATTAATATATCATTAAACTTTAAATGTTTCAATTTATATTCAGACAAAAGATTAAGTCCCCTCCCCTTTCTTGCTGTATGGAGGCAGAATCAGGGTGGCTATGAAGAAACCAAAATCTTTACAACATAAAAGTTTTATTTAGGAACTGTGTTGCTTATTCCAGAATTTTATATCTTTTTTTTTTGTTTTTTGTTTTTTTTTTTTTTTTTTGTTCTCTCCAATCCTGTATGCATTTGCCTTACATCATCACTTAATAAATTATCAAAAGACATACTTGCCCCACTTCTAACCCTTTTAATGTTCCAATATCTAGGACCTAACAGCCTGCCTTAGACCAACAATACTGAATGTATCCAAGTGTGCCAAAAAAGGGATTCATTTCATATGCTTGCTGTTGCAATTTCAATGGTGGTGCAGTGAAGTGTGTTAACTAACTTAGCATAAAGATGATACACTAGTTGAAGGAAGGAACCACTGTTTGTGCTACAAGGAACCAAAGTTTGTGTACCAGGAAACCAAATATTTCTTTTACAGGGAACCAGTGTCTGTGCTACAGGGAACCAAAGTTTGTGTACCAGGAAACCAAATATTTCTTTTACAGGGAACCAGTGTCTGTGCTACAGGGAACCAAAGTTTGTGTACCAGGAAACCAAATATTTCTTTTACAGGGAACCAGTGTCTGTGCTACAGGGAACCAAAGTTTGTGTACCAGGAAACCAAATATTTCTTTTACAGGGAACCAGTGTCTGTGCTACAGGGAACCAAAGTTTGTGTACCAGGAAACCAAATATTTCTTTTACAGGGAACCAGTGTCTGTGCTACAGGGAACCAATGTTTGTGTACCAGGAAACCAAATATTTCTTTTACAGGGAACCAGTGTCTGTGCTACAGGGAACCAAAGTTTGTGTACCAGGAAACCAAATATTTCTTTTACAGGGAACCAGTGTCTGTGCTACAGGGAACCAATGTTTGTGTTACAGGGGTCAGGGAACCAATATCTATGTTACAAGGAACCAAATATTTCAGCTAAAGGAACCAAAGTTTGTCAATTAAGTAGGAGGATCAAGGGATTCAGTTTGGCTCAAGTCCATGGAAATTCCCCATAGAGGATCCAGTATCTTTGTCAGTTGATGAACATTTTACAGATGTGAAGTTTGAGGACACTGACATAAATCTATTTAATGACAAGCATGGTGAATGTGTTGTAACAGGGAACCTAAATAGCCAACAGTCCTATAACATGTCATAAACAAAGGGAGAGCACCTTGATTTCAAAAGATGGTTAAGGAATGTCAAAATGAAGTTTATAAGAAAGTAATGGCAGTTAAGATTATGAACACATATTCAGATGCATCCTGGGTAAAATATAAGGTTATCACAAATTCAGTGGTCATCTGGAAACCGTAAAAGACAACATATATGGATCCGAATAACTTAAAATTTTGTAGAGCATGTTCCAAGGTTGACATGGACCTACTTATAACTAAGTACACTACCATAATGAGCACAATGACTTAGCAACCCTCATCATACCCATTCATACATGGATTGATCAATTTAGCATGTGTGAGGACTTCATAATTTTTTTTTATTCTCCGTTCTTTAGAGCAGTATCCACTCCCTAAATCTAACAGCATTTTTACCCCTCTAATTGGTCATCAACAGGATGGAAGACACTCAGCACTAGCTCATGTAAGCTAGAAATAGGTCATAGGTCACATGTTGACTACAAAGTAGCATGCTTTATTTGGATGTGCTACTGAGGAAGAGATGAAGTTTTGTAACTTAATAAAGAAGCCATTTTGACTGGTGCATCATTAGTCTTCATCACAGAGTGATTGGTAAGTTTACCACAGATTTACGTACCTCTATAATTCATACTGCAAAAATAGCGAAACACAACATTTACAACTACACTTAGTGCAATAAAGATATCTTATATTTTTAAACATCAATGTTTTTACAAAAAAAAATTGATATAGCTGTGTTTCAATTCTGAAACTATAATACAAATATATCTTAATAATGACATTTTATATCACTACATTGAATGTATTTTATAAGAAAAAAAAAATTTAGCAATTTTTCTCCAAAATAAAAGCATTGGTGCTGAAATGCCTATTCTATGATCATAAGTATAAACTGGAATCCCTGATGCCCCCCCCCCCCTTCCTTTTCTCTGTACTGATCTATTGTACATGTTGTAGATCATCAAATTTTATTCACACCTTATTTTTATGGGATAGTTATTAGGTATTTATAAGGAAGAAAAAAAACATGAATTTGGGTTATTGCTATAAATATTCTTAATAATATGTAAATTTAAGTAGAAATGTGATTTACAACACTTTACGACACTGACACAACAAGATGCAGTCCCAAAGATATTTCATAGCTGCAGTAATATATAATATTCCTCCTCAAATTCTACATCCTGCATCTATGTTATTTTTCTACACATGCATATGTATAATAATTTATCACTGTGTAGAGTTTGAGGAGGCCCAATATTCCTGCTGCCTGTGATTTACACATGTGCCTCTGTCACCCTAGTGTACCCCTTTACCTGCAATGTGGTTAAGAGTAAAGTCGGGGGGACCTTGGGGGTAACGTTTCATCATGATGTCGTTGTTTGGAATCTGGGTCGGACGGAAGACAACTTGTTCTTGGGGCTGGACAGATTTCTCAACAATCTGAAATTGTTTAAAAAAAACATTTAAAAAATAAAACAAATGCAAAGTCTATATTTTATACCAAAAATTCAATTTAAAGATTCAAAACAAAGCATCTACAAGATAGATACTGCTAATTTTTTGGCTAGATTTATAATAAAATTAAAAAGCTCATCAGAAAATTTTCATGACATGAATCATATACAGACAAAACAGAATGTTGAGTGACCCCCCCCCCCCCCTTCCACTACCACCATCAACACCAAACACACACATGGACATTTCTTTCAATCCTGTTGCAATAAGGTGATTATCTAAATCCAAAGTGAATCCCTTAACATAAATAAAAGAAATATTTACAGGAAGTTCAAATGTTCTTAATGGAACCTCTTTCACAAGTCTGTTATAATCCATATTTTAAGATAATTGTCACTGAGCAATGAATCCAGTATGGCCAGTGAGTTTGGGATGATAGCAGTGTGTCCTCAGAAATGTCACTGAGCAATGAATCCAGTATGGCCAGTGAGTTTTGGATGATTGCAGTGTGTCCCCAGTGTTATATTGACTTTGTCACTGTGCAGACAGATTCCTATTGACCACATTGATATATTGTCAAACAGGTTTTACAAAGTTAAAGGAAGCATTTAACATGTTTAATGTCTACATTTAAATGAAATTAAACATTTAATGCTGTTTTCATTGACACCATATATGTACCATACTACCACCATTCAACATGGCTAAAGTTAAATTTGAATTTGATTACCATTACCAAGAGGAATGTATTGTTATCCAGATAAATGGGTGTTAAAGACTTTTAACAGAAAATTGTTACTGAACAAAGTAGAGTATGATTCAATCTCTAAAGGTTATAGACCAAGTTTTCTTTTTCAGTGCGTCAGGATCGTTTTTATGATGGTATAGAAATAGGTATATTCCTTCTTGTTTTATTTTGTTCTGATTTTTTTCATTCTTGTTTTTATTTGTTTTGATTTTTTTTTTAATATGCATCAGGTAATAGAATCAAAGTCCCAGTTGTTTCAAAATCTATGTAAATAATAATTATTTATCTTTTGTATAGGTATTCAATATCATTAAACTAAATGACTAAGATTGATTTGTGTGTATAAATTTACTTCTTTATGTTTTAAGTTTCGGTTGTTTGTGTAAATTTTTGCATCCTCAGACCATCTGGTTACTTCATGCAAAAGCGCTTTCGTGCTCAGTATAAATAGATTTAACCAGGAAATGTTTGATTAATGTGACGTTCATTACAAAGCATTAAAGGTTGTTTTGTGAGTTGGCTTTCCCTGCATACCCAGTCCCATTATGTTTTTGTGATGAATTAAGAGCCCTCTAAACACTGCACACTACAGAGTTCTGATTTTGTGGTATTTTTGTGCTGATAATCTGCCCTTTGATCTAGAATAAGATAAATTGAAATGTACAGTTTATTACTTAATTTGTGATCAAACAAGCATTCATAAAATTTTAATGAGCCAAAATGAACAGATTAAACACTACATCTGCAGGAGTTTTTCCCACTTAACGTAGGTCACGGGTTTGCTGACATCATTAAAACTGGGTACGCAATTTTTATGGTTTGGGCGACTTTCTTGTGCACATTTGATTATGACGTCACAATGAAAAAGAAATTTCTGTACATCATTATCTAGCTATAACTTTTGTTGGAATTGGTATTTTATTGTTATATTATTTAAGGCACAACTTATCACAAATAATGAAGGCTTTTTACGATTTGAATAGTCGATACAATATTTAGATATAACTCTTGTTGGAAAAGGTACACTGTAGCTTAATTAGTGTAATATATTATTTATAGAACAAACTGAAATTATCAAATATAATGAAGGCTTATATTACGATTCGAATCCAACACTGGAAGTATTAGAAAACGTTTCATTATGTGTTATCAATCGCATCCCGGAGAGCGCTCGGAGAGAATTTTCGGCTTGTCGGAAAGGTCCGCGAAATTGCGATTGATTAGATATCACATGGTATTGCAAAACGATATGGGCACAAGTTTCAACTGACCTCTTTTCCTTTGAACGTATTTGAATTAACAGTTTGTTTAATTAATAAAGAAATCATTATATAACAATCACAAATACACCTATTACATTAAAAGTTTAACCTTTATTTTTAAAAGGGACATTTTAAAAATATGTTTAAAAATTTATCACAAATTAAAAACTGCTAAGGTACTATGAAACATAAACCAATACATTTTTTGAGCGACACTGACCTCCTATAAGTAAACACAGGCACTTGGGATATGGATTCCCCCTTTTCATTTTTTTCTCTTTAAATCTGGGGTTGAGTCACCTTTTTCCTATTTTTGTATTCTAATACCAATAACTTACCCTTAATAAGCCGTAAAGATGCCCTTAGATGCAGGTGATTTAATCGAAATATTTACTAATCGGGGGCACATGAAAATCAAATGGAAATATGAAACGGAAGAATGTGTAAAAAAAAAAAAAAAAAAAATCATTGATGTCTGCATATTTCGTGTTATCTTATGCTGTAGATAAATAATCATGCGAAGTTTAAGTTTAAGAAGTGAGTTAAACGACGAGAAAATCTCTCTTTTTATGTATCAGTCGAAACGATATATTTAAAAACAGCTTATAGAGACAAAAGGGTTACATTATCGATAGCATATAGTACATGCTAGAATACAAAACTAGGAAAAAGGTGACTCGACCGAAGATTTAAAAAGAAAAAAAAGGGGGGCATTTTTATGTATCAGTCAAAAACGATATACATGTATTTAAAAACAGCTTATAGAGACAAAAGGATTACATTATTGATAACATGCAGTACATATTAGAATTCAAAATAGGAAAAGGGTGACTCGACCCCAGATTTAAAAAGAAAAAAATGGAAGGGGGGGGGGGGCGGTCAATACCTCAAGTGCCTGTGTAAGTAACGGCTTACAATGTTGTTATCTACAGATTTTATTCAAGTCTTTGCTTTCCATGTCCAAACAGTCGAATTAATGTTATATACATTGAAAGTCTTTTGACCCCTAACCCCCCCCCTCCCTCCAAAAAAAAATCTGCCTGTTGATTACGTCAGATAAAATTAATTTTTAGATTCTCGTCCCATTTACCCCTCTAAAATGTCTCGTTCGTTCATTTGTTTTTTCTATTCTTATACGTATAATCATAAAATCAAGTTCAGATTTTTTGAGTTATCCTCTGTCTGTATGTAAAAATAAATAAAAACATTTTTTTAAATATATACTGAAAAATAGCCAGGACGATATTTGGCGGAAATTTATTCATTAAGAAGTTATCATAGCTATGTGCGCATTGCTGAATGTTCTAAATAAAAACATCTCATATGTATACTTGAATAAGAGGGTAACCGTTTTCCACCAGCACGCTGAAAAAATACACAGCCAAATGTAGGATACTTATTTACGAAAATGAAAAGGAAACAAAACAAAAAGAAACGGTAAGAAAACAACACATAAAGAAAATACATTGAAAAAAAGAAACTAAAGGACTGATTGTCGTTTTACGTCCCTTGAGATAATTTTCACTAATATGAAACGTATAAAGAATATTAGAAGAGAAACATGACTAATAATCATTTCATTGCTATTGAATTATTATGATACGATTCGTGGGTCACATGAAAGCAGATAGACGTGAATTAAAAATATTTTAATTTGTTTTTCTGCTCTGTATACCGGATCAATATTCATGACGTCAAGCATGACATCGCAATATTTTATGACGTAGTTCTTAAAAATGTTAAATTTTGCGATATAAAATCAATTGTCTACAATTAAATTATGAGAAAACAAACTCGAAGACATATTGATTTTTTCACATAGATTTATTTCAAATCAATTCTACTTTAAGATACCAAAGGGGGATCAATTTCGTCTGCGCCATTTAAAAGTTAATGGTATTTTTTAGAAAAAAAATCTTGCCTGAAAACGAGCCGAAATCGACGTTTTTCCTATATAATTCAATACAATAACGTCGAAAATGTTACTACAGCAATGGAATCTTTGGGATTTAATTACATAAAAACGATGCAGACGAATTTTATAAAATTTTCAGAGAATATAAAACAAAGGTAGAGGAATTATATAACTAATTTTCATGGTATGTTTTCGGACACTTTTAAAAGGCCTGCAAACCCGCAACCTACGTTAAGTAAACAACAGTGAATTCTGTTCATCAGTACTTCGATCATTGTCTTTGAACATTTTTCCTGGGGGTAAATGCAAGGTACCCTATGTTGAAAATGTAATAGATAAGCTCAATATTTACAACTTTACGAACTATAATTTTCTCAATGTCTAAAAAAAATTTCTTAAGTGTATAAAGGGTCCTTAACATGGTGATACAGTATGTAATTTGTTTTTGTGTTGTTTATTATATACAGAATTTATGAAATTAAATGCGATTTGTAAAGAATGCAACAATCTTAAATTGTTTTCATCTTATTTATCAATGAATTTGTCAAGAAAATATTTATTTTAGAGGAGTGAAACGAGGGAGAGAATATTATTTCTCTGGAAGTGGCTGTTGACCTTTAAGTATATGACCTTGACCTGACTGGCCATTAGATTAATGAGTCAACATGTTGAAGACAGGCCAAATGTGAAGTTTGACCATAATTTGCCAGTTAATTTCTAGACTTCCATTTATGGGCTTACAAAGAAAAAAAGATGAAATAATTTCAGAATTATATAACTTGCTTCAAAGACAATGCATATGTCAACAGATTCATGATCATGATTTGGAGGGGGATCAAGAACTCACTACTCTTACACCAAGCACATGTATAATATCTTTACAGTACTTCTTGTATTATAAAAGTGCTTAGAATGGTATCGGGGCTCAGCTGTGAGCTTGATGAGAACTGGATCACTCACTTGATGACTGTAGGCAGCAGTGAAGTGTTTACTACTAAGTGCTGGAAGAATTTGTAGTGAAGAAAGCGTGGAGTTAGTCTGCAAGATAAAAACACAGCTACATTGGATTAATGGTCTACCACCATATTATCATGTATATAGGTGCTAAAGCAATGCTTCTGAAAGTCTGTCAGGTGATCAAATATAATAGTACTAAGTAAGGTCCTTTTCAACAAAAGAACTTATGACTAAGGCTAATAGATATAGTTTTAAAATCTAAACATCTTAATAATTTTGTGAGATTGTATTCACATAAATTTACATAACTAAATCTTCCTTTATATTCATGTAACAGGAGAAAAATGTGACGGACCAGACTGGGATTCGAACCCAGGCTCCCTGTATTTCCAGTCAAGTACTCTACCAACTGAGCTATCTGGCCATCAGCAATCGAACCCGTCTAACCACCACATTCACATAAAAATCAAAATTCAATCAACATAAAGAATACAATTAAATTGCAAAACCAGATATTTGTCTTAGTTGTAAGTTCTTTCTTAAAACTTGGCCCAGGTTCATAATTTCATTTTCTGAATCAATTGTTTATTCTATTTTCAATCTCTTACATCTGACAGAATTTCCAGGTGATATACTAGAACTAGATCTATATGACAGTAACATTAAAAGACATAAATATCTAGGGCTGTCACAGTTCCAAAATTTCTTTGGGTCGGGTCAGTTCTGTAAATTTTCGGTTTGGTTTCGGGTTTTTCATTTCGGTTATTTACATCTATTTTAAACCTTAATTTCATGAATTTAACTTGAAAGATCTTTATTTGTTACATTAAATTTACATTGAAAACAAGTCTTAACCATACCAACGTCTAGACATTGGTGTGTAGAACTACTTGGCCTACTATTAGCCACAACCTGACTATTCCTGCTCGTTTTGATAATTATCTAATGCTTCCATGACAAGTGTTTTGTCATGGAAAGAAGTAGATTTCAGTTGTGATGTTTATTTATCACTGTTATCGCCATCATTCCTTTGATTTCGACGCCACTTTTTGTATTGAACAGACTCTAATATATAAACTAGACCCGAACCGAAATCCGGGAAAATGGAACCGAAACACCGAACAACTTGGACCTCAGTTCTCGGTTATTTCGGGTACTCATGACAGCCCTAATAAATATATATATAAAGAAAGAAAAAGTTTAAAATTATTTAGATTATTTAGTCATATTGATGGTGCAATATACTTTTTCATTGAACGTGCACTAGAATTTTAGTGGAGTAGTTTAATATACCCATGACTACTACTTAAAACCAGTAGATATATCATATGCAGCCATGATTATTACTTAAACATACTACTTAGTAGTCAATGCTATATTAGATTTATTACACTTACTTGCTCAATGTATATCATTTTTTTAAAAGCAGTAATTAATACAGTTATTTTTTAAAAGCAGTAATTAATACAGTTAATTTCCCTGTATAGCCATAATGTTTATCAGTCATTATATGTGTGATGCTTAGCAGATGGCATGTAAATAATATCACCAAATTCTTATTAATTCTACCACTGTACATGTATCTTGAAACTATATCCATCAATTACTTAGATTACAGATCCTGTCAATGCAAAGCAGATTGACTAGGAGTCAATGATAAAAAGTGGTCAATTTTTTACGGGGAGAAAATGTAAATAATGATTATATTTATAAGAATATTGATACACCAAGACTGGCAAGAGCAAATCCCTGCAGTATAACCACCCCCCACCCTCCCCCTTTTTCTGAAAAAAACGTGAAAAGTTATGTATAAAGACATACATGTACATACACACTTCTTTTATGTCACAATACATGCTCAGTGAAAAATAAAACATTTGTATGAGATTATGAATCTGTTACGCCACTTGTCTGCACACTCAAAAAGAACAAGATAATGTGCATACCTCTTTCGTGAGAGTTAAACGACTTTTGGGTTTGTTGTACATATCTGACAACAAACTGACAATTTAACCTGGTCTTTCACACAAAATTTCACTGTGCTATAAATATCATGATACATTTTTGTGTAATAATGATCACAACAACATGAAAAATGCATGTTTTTAACCGTCGGTGCCCTTGGTTGCATAGGTTGCCGCCATTTTGAAACATAGGAAGCTGGACTTGCGCAAATATACCGGAACATATTTTAGAGAAAATTCGGTACCAAGGCCAAGGTACCCGAGCTTGATGCAGAGGTTGAGACACAAGAAAATAAGATATAGATAACTAAGATTAAAGTCACGGAACTTAAAATTAGGTCGATCTGAAGAATACAATGTCTACATTCGACCCGAAAGGTAATTTATTCATAAATACATGAACTTTTGGAATTTAAGCTCACCTGGCCTTAGCTGAAGGCACAAGTGAGCTTTTCTGATCAAAACTTGACCGTACGTCGTCTGTCGTCGTTGTTGTCGTCGTCGTTAATTTTTCACATTTTCTCCTTCTCCAGTGAGGTCCACTCGACCAATTTCAACCTAACTTCCCACAAAGCATCCTTGGTTGAAGGGGGGGTTCAAGTTTGTTCAAATGAAGGGCCACGCCCTTCAAGGGGAGATAATTAAGAATGAGTGAAAATTGAACAGCGTGTTTCAGAAATCTTCCTCTAAAAAACCACTGGTTCAGAAAAGTTGAAACTTATGTGAAAGCTTCAATACATAGTGTATACGTAGATTCAAGTTAGTTCAAATCATAATCCCTAGGGGTAGAGTGGGGCCACAATAGGAATATGTAGGAAAATATCTTTAAAAAATCATATTCTGATGACCAGCAGTCATGATTAGTAATATTAATACAGAAGCATCCTCAGGTAATGTAATATTATTTGTGCAGAATTTATGTACATGTGTATGTATAAAAACTATCTGGTTTATTCCTTCTTTTTATGTTTTTCTCCTATCAATCATGCAACTCTTTCTCTCTTGTGTGTATGTATATTCATTATTGTATTACATGTGTAACGGGAGAGGAGAAAAATGCAGCGGACCAGACCGGGATTCGAACCCGGGCCCCCTGAATCTCCAGTCAGGTGCTCTACCAACTGAGCTATCTGGCCACCGGCGATCGAACACGTCTGACAGCCACATTCCTCCCTCCTTAAAGGTCTTCGGCCCCAGAAGACACCAACCCAGGCTCTTCCCTGGCAGGTCTTTCACCTGTCACTTCCAGGGCATGGCACAGCACCAAATGTAACGGGAGAGGAGAAAAATGCAGCAGACCAGACCGGGATTCAAACCCGGGCCCCCTGAATCTCCAGTCAGGTGCTCTACCAACTGAGCTATCTGGCCACCTGCAATGGAACCCGTCTGACCGCCACACATGTATATGACTATATATAAATGTTAATTTACAATGTACTTTCTTTTTGTCCCATGAGGGCCCTTAATTGGTAAATAAACTAATTGAATTGAATTGAATTGTAGATTCAAATTTGTTCAATTCATGATCCCAAGGATTATGGTGGGGCCTCTTTAGGCAATCAAAGTTTTTTAATATAGAAGCAAGTTTTTTCAAATCATCAGTTAGGATTAGAGTGGGACCACTTAATATATATTAAAACTTTTTAATACTGAACTGAATCTTGCTTTATATCTCTCTCCAAAGTGCTCAGGTGAGTGATGTGGCCATAGGCCTCTTTCTTTAATGTTACATACTCTACAAGCCAGCTTATATGAAAATTCTTTACATCTGTCCATTGACCCAAATGATAGGAAATCCAAATCTTAAGAAATATATTCTGTTCTGAACAATTTATCCATAGTTTATCTAACTTCAAATAGAGACTCCTGTGTAGAATGCATCTTTTTGGGATTTGCTGCAGCAGCTCAGATATGATTTCATGCATGGCAACCAGCAAATGTAGCTTTGAAACATATATCTCTCTTGTGTGTATGTATATTGTATTACATGTATATAACTATATATAAATGTTAATTTACAATGTACTTTCTTTTTGCCCCATGAGGGCCCTTAATTGGTAAATAAACTAATTGAATTGAATTGTATACAACAGTACACTTTTTAGTTTACCATGCAGCCACATAATAGGCCTATAATTTGTTAAATTTTCTTCACCTATTACAGGTCTAGTACAATCACTACATATAGCTATAGCTTGAATTATCTACGTACATGTAGCTTTATTTAGCTATTCTAGATCTAATGCAAGTTTTCACAAGTTTGCTGTGTATTTTAAATAGACAAAAAATCGCAAGTAGGCAACTACTAATATTTATACTATAGAGTATTTTAAAAAAGTAACCCAGAGCAAAGATAATTTAAAAATTTCTGCTTTTTATTGTTTGATTTCTGGTGCAGCCATATATGTTTGGCTTTCCTGTTACATTTGGTGCCATTGTACACCCATGGATTTACAGGTGAAAGTCCCCCCAGGGGCTAAAGAAACTTGGTTGTGTGTCTTTCAGGATGAAGGAAATTTAAGAAGGGAGGAATGTAGTGGTTTGGGCTATATGGACTGAGGATATAGGCGTGGATAACTCGGTGGTTAGATCAGCTGACTAGTTATGCATGGGTTCTGGGTTCAATTCCTAGTCCAACCATAAATTTTCACTTTTCCAGTTACACATGCATGCACTGTGATTTATCATGAGGGAATTTACGTGTATATAAATTTACGTTGAGATGCATTTAAGACATGGCTTATGTGAATTGTTTTCTTTATGTTTGCAAGATTTATTTTAAGATCTAGAACCATGAATATAATTTTTTGTTTTTAGAACAACTATTTTAAATACTGATATCTGAATTGATTATGGTTTCTACCGTTTAGAGCACCCCCATGTACGATACAATCCTCTGATGGAAGAGTGGGTCACTGTGTCTCCTCATCGCATGAAGAGGCCCTGGAAGGGGCAGGTAGAAAAACCGGAGGAAGAAGAGATTCCTAGTTATGACCCCAACAATTCTCTGTGCCCGGGAAACACGAGGTCCAGCGGAAAAGTACAGTGTAACTACTAACTTGTTTTATTTACTATGATCCCATTCATTTATGAAATTCAATGCTGTTTTTAAAGCATTTAATATGTCATTACTACAAGAAATACTATGGATATTTTTTATGTCTTCTGATATTAAAAGTGATTGACATTTAATTTTTCCAGTTTTCCAGATTTGAAAATATCTGTAAGCTTTTTGTTATAATATTTCCAGGTAAATCCAAACTATACAGGCACATTTCTGTTTGAGAATGATTTCCCAGCACTTCTTAAAGATGGACCCGCACCACGTAAAAAGTTACAGTCAGATTTTACTGCAAGAAGGCTAATATTTCAGCTGCCACAATTAGTCATGACTCACTGGGAATTTGTATCACTAAATAACACTTATATGTTATTAAAAAGGGGGGGGGGGGGGAATGCTATGTTATTGCTAGTTGAAGAAAATGTGAAATTATGAATCAATATAATTTGAATTTTCAGCCCCATGCTCTGACCCCCTGTTTCAGTCATCCCCAGCCTACGGGACTTGTCAGGTGATGTGCTTCCACCCCCGGTCCAACCTGACCCTACCTCTGATGTCCCAGTCTGAGGTCAGAGAGGTCATTGATAAGTGGGCAGAAATCAACACAGACCTGGGAAAGAAATACACTTGGGTACAGGTTTGTGAATGTCTACATAAAATTTTACGTGTATTTGTGAGGATGGACAATAGTTTTCAAGCCTCTCCGTATATGTTGCTGGGGCATGTGGTGTTACAGTTCAGGATTTTGTATTTATTCAGTTCTTGAATGCAGTACAGTTTTGGATATTCATTTCAATAAACCTTTAATTTTGTAAATGTAAAGTTTTTTTTCAAAAAGTTTAAAAATTCCACTACTCCAGTACAAGTTTTGTCTTTCACAATTATGAGTACAAATTAGTAGAGCTACAGTCTCATTTGGGACTTCTGTTTTTGTTTTCGTTTTTTTTTTTTTCTGCAATACTCAAGTGCAAGATATGAGCTCTTGTTAATATTTCAGATCTTTGAAAATAAAGGAAACATCATGGGCTGTTCTAATCCCCACCCACATTGTCAGGTGAGTGTTCATTGTCAGGTGAGTGTTAAGGGTCATTGTCAGGTGAGTGTTAAGGGTCGTTGTCAGGTGAGTGTTAAGGGTCATTGTCAGGTGAGTGTTAAGGGTCATTGTCAGGTGAGTGTTAAGGGTCATTGTCAGGTGAGTGTTAAGGGTCGTTGTCAGGTGAGTGTTAAGGGTCGTTGTCAGGTGAGTGTTAAGGGTCATTGTCAGGTGAGTGTTAAGGGTCGTTGTCAGGTGAGTGTTAAGGGTCATTGTCAGGTGAGTGTTAAGGGTCGTTGTCAGGTGAGTGTTAAGGGTCATTGTCAGGTGAGTGTTAAGGGTCATTGTCAGGTGAGTGTTAAGGGTCATTGTCAGGTGAGTGTTAAGGGTCATTGTCAGGTGAGTGTTAAGGGTCGTTTTCAGGTGAGTGTTAAGGGTCGTTGTCAGGTGAGTGTTAAGGGTCGTTGTCAGGTGAGTGTTAAGGGTCGTTGTCAGGTGAGTGTTAAGGGTCGTTGTCAGGTGAGTGTTAAGGGTCATTGTCAGGTGAGTGTTAAGGGTCATTGTCAGGTGAGTGTTAAGGGTCGTTGTCAGGTGAGTGTTAAGGGTCGTTGTCAGGTGAGTGTTAAGGATCATTAGCTCACCTGGGCTAAAAGCTAAAAATTTGAACCTCCTGGAGAAGATTAACTCTATACCAAAATATTGGGAATTACAATAATTATTATAGTTGGAATATAAGGTTTTTTTCTATACTTAATAAAAGGTTATAGCTAGACAAATCAGATTTCATATTTTTAGGTGGATTTTTGGGTCATTTAATTGACCACCTAGCCTAAATGGACATGTCTGCTTACTGGGATGAATACTGTTCTTATTTAGAGATTCAGATGAGAAACGTAATAAACAAGGAGCTTTTCTTTCCCAGCTCTCAATGTCATTTATTCCAGTGTCTTTGATTACATGATTTACAAGAAGACTAACATTCTTATGACAGGTGTGGGCCAGTTCCTATTTTCCAAATGATCCAGCTAAAAAACACAGAACACAGAAAGACTATTATGATGAACACAAAGTACCAATGTTGGTGGACTATGTCAAAAAAGAACTTCAGAAACAGGTAAGTTAAGATTTGATGTGAACTTTTTGATTGGTCTGGATTTTCTAATCACGGAGCTGTTAACTATTTCAGAAATTCTGTAATTCTAGTTTTAAAATACGGATTACAGATTTACCTCCTGAAAATACATGTAATTTTCCTGGTCATGCTCTGAATTTTATTTTTTTTTAAACTACTATAGATCACTGAATTTTGGTGACACCTTATTTTTGCGAGATTGTTATTCGGTATTTATAAGCGAGACAAAATTTTCATGAATTTCGGTCATTGCTCTAAATAATCTTTTATAATACTAATATACGTGAGATAGAAATTATCGCGAGCAGTTAGTCTCACATAATTACGTGAAAATAAAGTTCTCACAAACAAAAAGTGATTTACAGTATATTGTATAAATGCTTAAGCAATGATAAGGATTCAAAGATAATCAAAGACACTGGTATACACTCAGATGGTTATTCTGTTTAGAGACGTGGACATGCAGGCCTAACTTACATCAACTTTAGGGATGGGTATCGGCAAACATTTCGTATCGTGATATATTACGATTTTTCCCAAAAATATCACAATAAATCGTGATTTTTTAACACACAATTTTTACTACAATTTCAAATGAATTTCTATAATATTTCTTAAAAATATGCTATAAAAACATAATTTTACTTTTAAAATTTTTATTTATTTAATATAAAGCTCATTTGGATGCCGTTGTTTAACAGTTTTCAACATTTTTTACACTTCCTGTAATTGTCATTCAATAGTTTGAACAAATAAATGAATAATTTCTGGAATTTATAGTTATGTACCAAATACTGATACTTTAGTCTCCGTATCATGATACGTATCACGCAATAAAAAATTGCGATATAACGATATACTGATAAAATCGCGCATCCCTAATCAACTTCTCTTTGCAAACCTTTAGGTTTACATACTGGAAAACATGTTAATATTTAATCAGTGAAGGCCTAAGCTTTGATTGATATTTCTTTTCAAATGTGCCTATTTGTATTCCTATTCCTGTGTTCTGTTCCAGGAGAGGGTGGTTCTACAGAATGACTATTGGGTTTGGCTGGTCCCGTACTGGGCAGTTTGGCCGTACGAGACCATGCTGCTCCCCAAACGACACATTTTACGAATTGAAGATCTGACTTCAGAAGAAAGGGATGGTAAGTTTTTATTGTCAATGATATACATGCAAGTGAAAAGCTCGTAAAAGTTCACCAGGTAATAATTGCAGGATGTTTTATTCCAAATCCCAACTAGTGCCTTATTTTAAACTTAATCATTGTCAAGTTGTAAAATTAATTTAAAAAAATATTTTTAAATTTTGTGTGTAGTTTTATCAGATGGATACAAAACAGAAATGTATGAAATAAGATGCACCTGTAACAATTGTAACTTTTCAGCATTAGCAGACATCATGAGAAAACTCTTGACGAAATATGACAACATGTTTGAGGTCTCTTTTCCCTACTCCATGGGCTGGCATGGTAAATGATAAAGTTTAAATTCTGCTATAAGTAGATGTACCTTGGCATGGTAAATGTTTAAAGAGGTACTGTACAGTGGTATAATTGTTATTGTAGTGTAAATGCTTTAGTTTAAACCAGTGATAAGATCTACTTGTACATTGTACCAAGGTTTGTGGTACAGTTTAATCTCTTTTATAACAGCTACTTTTAAATACGTGTACAATGTACATTTTTTAGCTCTACTGGTCAGAGACCAGAAGAGCTTATGCAATTGTAAGGTGTCCATCATCCGTCTGTCTGTCTGTCTGTCCGTCTGTAAACAATTTTTCAAAGCACTAGTCCTCCTACAGTTTTTGTCTGATTTCAGTATAACTTTGCACATAAGTAGACTACACTAAGATACATAATTTTGTGTATTGGTTTTTGATTTCAATGAACGGTGTTGCCATGGTTACTAAAAATAGAGATTTCTAGGAAATACTTTCAAAATGCTACTCCTCCTACAGTATTGGTATGATTTTAGTATAACTTGGCACACAAGTAAACTACACTAAGCTACATAATTCTCTGTACCAGTTTTGGATTTCGTTGAACAGTGTTGCCATGGTTACTAAAAATAGAAATTTTCTTGAAATACTTTCAAAACACTTCTCCTCCTACACTTTTTGTCTGATTTCAGTATAACGTGGCATACAAGTAGACTAGACTGAGATACATAATTGATGTTATTGTTTTTGATTTTGTTGAATAATGTTACCATGGTTACTTAAAATATCTGTAAAATTGTTTTAAAAGGCTACTCCTGCTACAGTTTTAGTCTGATTGCAATAAATCTTGCTACAAAAAGAGACTAAACCAAGGATCATTATTCTATTTATTGCTGTTGCAAAGTTTCAAGTACAAGTGCTACTTTTATCTTCCTTTATAAGTACAACCAGTAGAGCTACAGTCTCATCAGAAACTTCTGGTTTAAAGAAATACTGTAAATGTTAGTTCTTGTTTACATGTAATAAGTAACCATTGAAAGGACCAGGCTAACTCAAAACTTAAAATAGTTGTAATACGTAAGGATCAGTAGAAAAGGTTTTCATTTATGTAAAAGATATACAGCTGTATAGAATATTACTCATGCACATGACTTAATGATTACAGGTGCCCCTACAGGGGAGTATCTCCAACAAGATAACAGCCACTGGCAGCTCCATGCTCTGTACTTCCCCCCTCTGCTGAGATCAGCTACAGTTAAGAAATTCATGGTGGGCTATGAGATGTTGGCTCAGTCTCAGAGAGATTTAACTGCAGAACAGGTAACAAGATTAAAAAGAGGCATATTTAATCCCAGTGATTTTATACAGAATAGGTAGTCGATATAATAACAGGGCTCTCACGCCACTTATTGGGACGGGGGCCAGGGTTGTAAAATTTTGGAAAATTAATGACTGTTTCGGTAATTTTGTGAAAGTCATTATATATAGGGTTTCTGGTGTTTCTTATCAGCTAAATTTCTGTTTTACAATAGAGGAATATGAATAAGTTTAGTAATTACATATCTTACTAAATGTTCTTTCTTTTTCTGTGGAAATGACAACTGGAAAAATTTAATACATTCAATTGGGGGAAAAGGGTACTTTTTTGAATTGGGAATGGGAGCCTTTATAGAGAATCGAGAGCCCTGAATGAAAGATAAACAGGATAAGTATTAGAAAGATATAAAGGGTATAAATACCAAGTAAGACTTAAAGCAAAATAGGTAATAAAATTAGTGAGATGAAAATTTTACCCAAACTTTATCCTTGGCCATAACTTTCGAGCAGTTGGTGCTAGGGCTTTCATATTTCACATGTATATTTCTTGTGACAAGACCTTCCCTTGGTTACCAACAGTTTTTACCTTTTTTTTCCTTGACCTCGAGTTTTTCCTACTTTTGAAAAACTTTAAACTTGGCCATAACTTAATGAATTGTTGGAGCTAGGGCTTTCATATTTCACTTGTGTATACCTTGTGATAAGATCTTGAGGGTACAGTGTGGGCACATTAATTTTGACCCTTTGACCTTGATCTTGGAGTTTGACTTACTGTAAAAGTGGTTATTTACGCGTGGGGGAAATTTACACTACTTACGCGGTAAGCTTAGAACCGCGTAAAATACCCCCGCGCGTATGGTCACAAAATTTCAACCTTCTGGAATCATTATAGACCATTACTTATATACTGTTAGACAGGTCGAACCAGTCGTATATTAATTATGGAATTGAACGCACGTGAGTAGATAAATACATCACGAACAGAGATGAAAACGTAACTGTTCTTTTTTTAATTGTGCAATGAAAAATGCATCTTGATATTAAATATTTTAAAGCAACGTCACGCAACTAAAGCTTCAAAACAATGATACTCATTTTCATTTCCTTTGTATGTACGCGAATGTCCCTCTTTATTTCAAATAATTAGTCCAAAATGTTACACAAACTCTCAGTCACTACAAACATACCTATTGAATTAATTGTCAACGCTCGCCACGCAGATACAGGTAAGTAGATCCCACTTTGAAGTTTGAGCTTGCGTAAATAATTACAATAATTAAAGCATACACCAGTTGTTCACACTTCACAGCTGTTGTCTGTGCTTATATTTAGCAATCCAACAGTATAAATTCTTTTTGTTTTGTTTGTTTGTAGTTATTTTTTTTTTTCTTATTCATTCGTGTACTTGCGTGACTTTTAAAGGGGAACAACTTGATGTTAGTAACGATGGCCGCGTAAATTTTTCTAGGTAAATCGTGCGACCGCGTATATTACACCCATGCGTAATGTTTGATGGTCACAAACGCGTACTTAACAACCAGTGTAAATAACCACTTTTACAGTACTTTTGAAAAATTTAACCTTACCTTTCCTTGTGACAAGACCTTTCTTTGGGAACCAATAGTTTTTGCCTCTTGACCTTGTGATTTGACTTGCATTTGAGAAACCATAACCTTTTCCATGAGCTGCCAAACGGGGGCATCACTGTTTCACAAACACATCTTGTATTCAAAGAATAGTTAAAGATTGAGTGAACAACTCATTAAATTATTTGATTCAAGCCATATTTAATATTTAAATTAAAAAAAAATAAGAAAAAAAATTGTCATACAAATTCACAATCTAAAAATACTTTATATTTTTGCAGGCAGCAGAGAAGCTGAAAAGTTTACCAGATTTACATTATAAATCACAGAATTCTTAACAACTCCAGAGTCTTAGTGCTGCATGTTCCTGTTTTACCAGATCTGCATTATAAATCAAAGAATCCTTAACCACTCTACAGACTTAGTGCTGCTGTAGTGCCAAACTTCAGGGGTCCCTGCTGTGTTCTGATCAACAATAGTATTGTAAATAAAATGTATTACAAATAAAATGTCTTTGATCATGTTTTATCTTTGTATTTTGATATTAAGATGCTGATCATTTCACAAGAAGGATCTCCAACAGTGTTTTTCTGTGGAATTTAATATTCCATTTTTGGAATACTGTTCTTGACTGCTGTATTAATTGAAAAAGCCGAAATTCAAAGGTTTGGAACACTTTAACTGGCAGGTGCTGCAGAATGCACAAAAACACAAATGTAAAACGATGGGTTTGTTTGAGTCATTTGTCTTGTTGACTCAAGGACATAATACACAATTTATAAAACTGACATGGAATATATCACTTTTATGCATTATTTTTTGAAAACATGATTATGAGTACAAATAAGGCAACTGTCAAGGACTAGTAATATGGTCGCTGATTTTCAAGAAGTATTAGGAAGGTGCTCTTACACATGGTTTTCTCCATGACGGTCAATTTTTTGTACGTATTATTCTATCCATTTTATACTACATCCAGTCCTCAACCATTTATAGCATACTTTGATAAAGTCAAGTTAAGCATAATTATTATACTTCTGTTAAAATGTTTCCTATATGAAGTTAAGAAGGTAAAATAACTATTTTTCTATAGGCTGAAAATTTCACGTCTAACAAAGCTATACCCCGGGGTATAGTTTGTGCTATCCACCCCTCGGAAAACTTTCATTCAATTTTTGCCGCCAGTTTTGATTTCCTGCGTTAAATCTATAGACTGATGATTTCATTATGACTTCACTAGCATTGTGACGTCATCAGCATTTCAGCTTATTCTTGCAGTGTTATCTTACGCCAAATCTTTTGAACTTTTCATATTTTGCCTATGACACTGTAGTATCAGGTAATCCAACCCTCAGAAATTATAATTTACATCAGTATAATAAAACGCTTATCCACTGGCTTTGAATGGGATAGCTCTTTCATCAAACCCTTGACAGGAACTATTCCCCTCGGGCAAGCCCTCGGGGAATAGTCCCTGTCGCAGGTTCGATAAAAGAGCTATCCCACTCAAAGCCAGTGAATAAGTGTATACTATACCCTCTTCAGCAGCCTGCCAAGGGTACAGTTTTAGGAGCAGATTCATTCTGAAGTAACTATGCTTGCATCGATTGTACACTACAACTTGCTTCCTAGCTTTATCTGACCTATTTATGCTATATCAATGACCAAGCCAAAGTTTTTGGAGCAGTTCCATTTACAAGTATAGGCTTTACCCTACTTTTTAATACTAGGTAACATTTGTCAAGATGAGCTTGGTAATCATTATCTTTTTTTGACAAAGCCAATATACAAGCAAATCTAAAGGGATCCATTTTCATTTTTCTCACAAGACTTGAAATACGGAGAAACATATGAAGAAAGTTATGTTAAAATGAGTGCTTGTATGGAAATCATTAATCGGAAAAAAAATTTTAAGGCTCATACTTCAAGGGCAGGCCCAGAAATCCTTCTGTGTGTGTGTGTGTAGGGGGGGGGGGGGGGTGGAGGGTCAATACCCTCTCAAAAAAATCTAATGGACATTTTTCAAAATGCAAAAAAACAAAAACAAAAACAAAACAAAACAACAACATCTTAACAACTTACAAGGAGGGATCAATGTTTTTGGGAGAGGGGGTCCAAGGTCATTTTTTAGCTTCACTATATTTTATTTAACTTGGACAATTCCCCCAAACCCCATGGATCTGCTTCTGTACTCATTCCATTGCCAATGGCCAAGGTGTGAATTTTTCTGTTCCATTAATCATCCAATTACAAAAGATACACTGATTTAATTTATTGAATTAAGTTACAATAAAAATGAGCAAAAATGAAAATAGAACAAATTCTTAATAAATACAAATATATACTCCATAAATTTTGATAGCCTTTCATCAGCTGTTCATATAATTAACATATACAGTAAAACATATTTAAAGCCAAGTACAATTAATTATGATTTGTTATAAACATAATTCATTACATCTGTTAAGTTTTTTTATACATTTTAAAACTACAGGGAATAAATTCATTACAAGTATGTCCACCATAACCATGTTTTATTGAAGGGCTACTTTATTTACACAGACCCTGGCAACTTGAATTTGATGAACTAAAATCTGTAAACTTTGTAAACTCATTTTACCTTTATGTACTTTGTACAAACAAAATATAATGTACCTCTTGTTAAAAAAATTATTACAAAAATAAAGTTCAATTAATTACCATCTTCGCTAGCCAAGGGTTTCCGATCCGAAATCTAGAGTAGATTTCGGATCGGAAACCCTTGGCTAGCGAAGATGATTAATTACATGCATAAGTTGTTTAGCAAACTTTACAGTTGATGCTTTTCTCTTTTAATCAGCTTTTCAATAAAATCATCAATAATGGATTACAAATAACAATGAAGAGGTAGAAAAAAATTGAAAATATTCTTATTTTAGCCATTATGAAATAATTCATCTGATTTATGTTTCATGGTGTTTGCTGTGCTTTATTCTTTAACATCTGGAAACATCACCTGCTCATTCTGGATGCCTCATCTGTGGATATTCTCATTACTTCACATGTAAACTCTTGGTACTTCACCTGTACACACTAGGTACCTCACCTGTATGCTCTTGGTACCTGTACTATCTGGGTACCACACCTGTTCACTCTTGATACCTCACCTGTAAACTCTTGGTACCTCACCTGTACAATCTGGATACCTCACCTGTAACTTCTTGGTACCTCACCTGTACAATCTGGAAACCTCACCTGTAACTTCATGGTACCTCACCTGTACAATCTGGATACCTCACCTGTAAAATCTGGATACCTCACCTGTACACTGTTGTACAATCTCATCTGTACACAGCTGTACAATCTGGGTACCTCAACTGTACATTCTATGTACCTCACATGTATACTGTTGGTACCTCACCAGTACAATTTATACATTAAACATATTTACTTCACAACTACAATGCATACTCCTATTAGACTATACAGTAAGAAATTTAACATGGCTAAAATATAAAACATGTAACAAGAGGCCCATGGGCCACATCGCTCACCTGAGTAACTTTGGCCATGCTGTTCATTACCAGACTTTCCCCCTTGTAATACCTATTGTGGCCCCGCCCTACCCCTAGGGGCCATGATTTGAACAATTTAGAATCTACACTACCCCAGGATGCTTCCACATAAGTTTCAGTTTCTCTGGTCCAGTGGTTCTTGAGAAGATTTCTAAAGATTTTTCCTATATATTTCAATGTAAAACTTGTATTCCCTATTGTGGCCTCGCCCTATCCCTGGGGTCATGATTTGAACAATTTAGAGTGTACACTACTTCAGGATGCTTCCACATAAGTTTCAGTTTTTCTGGCTCAGTGGTTCTTGAGAAGAAGATTTTAAAAGAATTTTCCTATATATTTCAATGTAAAACTTGTATTCCCTATTGTGGCCTCGCCCTACCCCTAGGGGGTCATGATTTGAACAATTTAGAATCTACACTACCCCAGGATGCTTCCACATAAGTTTCAGCTTTTCTGGCTCAGTGGTTCTTGAGAAGAAGATTTTAAAAGATTTTTCCTATATATTTCAATGTAAAACTTGTATTTCCTATTGTGGCCTCGCCCTACCCCCAGGGGTCATGATTTGAACAATTTAGAATCTACACTACCCCAGGATGCTTCCAGATAAGTTTCAGCTTTTCTGGCTCAGTGGTTCTTGAGAAGAAGATTTTAAAAGATTTTTCCTATATATTTCAATGTAAAACTTGTATTTCCTATTGTGGCCTCGCCCTCCCCTCTGGGGTCATGATTTGAACAATTTAGAATCTACACTACCCCAGGATGCTTCCACGTAAGTTTCAGCTTTTCTGGCTCAGTGGTTCTTAAGAAGAAGATTTTTAAAGATTTTTCCTATATATTTCAATGTAAAACTTGGATTCCCTATTGTGGCCCCGCCCTACCCCCGGGGGTCATGATTTGAACAATTTAGAATCTACACTACCCCAGGATGCTTCCAGATAAGTTTCAGCTTTTCTGGCTCAGTGGTTCTTGAGAAGAAGATTTTTAAAGATTTTTCCTATATATTTCAATGTAAAACTTGGATTCCCTATTGTGGCCCCACCCTACCCCCGGGGGTCATGATTTGAACAATTTAGAATCTACACTATCCCAGGATGCTTCCACATAAGATTCAGCTTTTCTGGCCCAGTGGTTCTTGAGAAGAAGATTTTTTAATGACCCCACTCTATTTTTGTCTTTTCTTGATTATCTCCCCTTGTAAGGAGACTTTGCCCTTTATTTTAACAATTTAAACTCCCCTTCACCCAAGGATACTTTGTACCAAGTTTGGTTAAAATTGGCCCAGTGGTTCTTGAGAAGAAGTTGAAAATGTGAAAAGTTTACAGACGGACAGACGGACGGACGACGGAGAACGGGTGATCAGAAAAGCTCACTTGAGCTTTCAGCTCAGGTGAGCTAACAATGGTATAAAAATGCATCTTAGATGGATGGAAATATTTACACGTATATTAGAGAATAAATCAATCATTAATTATATTTTATTTCCTCCGTTCTAAATTTCTAAAATCCTCCAACATCTACAAATACACATCATGTACAGACATGATAGGTAAACATTAATTTTTTTTCTGAAGATATTGTTTCTCAGTCATTGATGTGAATTGTTTGACAATATTTAAGTAGAAAATCCGACTAATCTGATAAGAAAATGACTTGCAAAACTATGGTGCTTACCCAAGTCAAAGTGGAAGGCAGTTCTTTGGCAGTTTTTTAACCTTCACAGTTCAATGCTTAAGCAGTTTTTAGACAGTTTACTAGCCTTCTCCTCTGTTGTTGGCTGAAGGTTTTTGCATGCTAATCATTAGACAATTTTTATTAGCAGTCCACCATTTAAGCAGTTGCTAAGCAGTTCATTAGCAGTATATACCTTAGCAGTTGCTAAGCAGTTTCCTTGGCAGTATCTTAGCAGTCAATGGGAAGGTTAAGGTGAACTGCTTAAAAACTGCTAAGCAACTACTATAGGCAGTTTCCTTTGCTATACTTATATGGAAATGACTCCGCCTACATATAAGTATGAAAATATATGAACTGCTTAAAAACTGGTAAGAAACTGCTACAAGCAGTTTTCTTGTCTACTTATAAGGAGATAACTCCACCCATATATAAATATGAAAATGCATAAAATTTATGCTTCCAGGGTGATTTATTCATAAAAATAACATTACAGATGGGAATTTAGCTTAGTACATGTATTAAACATTGTGCAGATGAATAAACACAATTTTTTAAGGATTTCATTTTCCACTCAATTATGACATACATTTATCATACATGCAGGTATAAATTGTAAATAAGTCCTTTCATGGAGTTCATTTTCTTGCATTTCTTATAAACGAGTGTCAACTTTAGAGCTTCGTCAATATAGGGGACTAATCTGCAGATTCCCAATCAGCAATTAGCTTTTATCTGCAAAAATTTTGAATATACATTTAATTATAATAGTTTTTCATGGCTCAGTTGCATGCTTATGAATTAAGTGCCAGTCAATAAAAAGATCATATATATCAATATAAGCACTTATCTTGAAAGAATTATAAATTACTGCATTTAGCTTTACAATTTGACCTAATATAACTGACTACATAGTTCGTAAAAAGAATCTGTTAGTCTTGTTAAAGAGAGTTTGCAATATATTGGGAAATTTTTGATCCTATATTCAGAATTATAATTAACATTTATTTTATTTATTTATCTAATGATGTAAATTAATTCATGTACATATGTATACTGTAATTACTGATAACAATATACTGCATTTACCATGTTTATATCTAAATTAAGTACTAATAATTAAAATACAAACAGATTATATGTTTTATAATTCGTATTCTGAAATGAGAGAGGGGATATAATATATCATATCACAAGCCCACTTACACTTTTCTCAGCATACTTTAGTGCCAGCAAATCTTTAAAATTTTCCTAGCACCCTTTTTCATTGTTGCTGCATGGTACGTCATATTAAATTGATCTTTAATATTTCCCATCTCATGGACTTCAGATACATCTGTAACTAATTAATGTTCACATCCAATCCAATATGCTGATGACAGATATGTATTTCCCAAAGCAATTATTTCACTTCTTTACTGTAAAATCTATATAATTTCATATCCTCACAAACATTAATTTGTACTGAAATTTTGAACTGGTCTGGAAAGAGCGCACAAATCTTGACTGGCTCACCTCATTGGATAAGTTTCAAGCAACTGTGGGGGACACAGCAGGTTGTTAATGTAACAAGAGGACTGCATTTGCAAGTTGATGGGATAAAGATTAGAAGCTCATGTGTTCATGCCATTTTTTAATATGTAGCCTCAATCTATTATAAACTACTGTTTCATTTCTAGTAAGATTTTAAATATATCTTTGTTTTTTCTAATTTTATTTTCTGTACAAGAAATTCCTGCCTGGCCCCCAGTTATTTGTGATGCATTAACAGTAACACATGGGCAATTGTAATGAAGGCTAGTGAAAGCTAGGACCACCAAGAGTGACAAAGTATTGTATTTCCTCATGTGAGAAATTGAAATGAATTGGTTGCACTTTTAGCAGTTTTGAGAAACTGCTTGTTTGACTGCTTAAGTTTATTCAATACTGAACTGCTAACACAAATTCTTAGCAGTTTCTTAACCAGTCTGTTAGCAGTTTTAAGGAATGCTAAGACCAAGACTGTTAGAAACTGCATAAAAACTGCCCAAAAACCTCCAGACTGCCTAATAACTGTTTATAAACTGCTAAAATAAGCAGTTCACTTTGACTTGGGTATATAATGAAAAAATGGGATTCAGTGCATATGCCAAAAACTAAAAATCAAAGAACTGATATAGTACTGAAGAATGAGGTCAATTTCATCAAGTTTGTTTTTTTTTTCAAAACTTCACAACTGTTGCAGACTTTTACATTCAATTTGTTGTAACACTAACATGGGAAAAAAAAAATTAAAATGAATTTTAATTCTAAATTTACCATTGTAAACAGATTATCAAATTTATAGTTGTCATACCTTGTTCCAAAGCAATCTGATATTTCCAGAAGTAAACAAACATTGACACAGATTGATATAGACACACTGACTTGTCTAACTTTGGTAATAAAAACTTACACATCAATTTGAATACTGTATACAGGGAAATTTTCGCCCCCCTTTTATTTTGCCCCTTTCACCCTACACACAAGAGGGTGAATTTAAAACAGGGCGAATTCAAAAATCACAATATAATTTGTTAAACAGAATTATGACTGGGCGAATTTAAAACAGGGCAAAATTGTTTGCAAGTATGAAAGGGCGAAAATAACACGGGGCAAAAATAACCCTGTATACAGTATATAATTTTCAAAAGATTATTATAGTTTTCAAAATACATAAGCAATATTTTTTTATCACTGTAAAAGAACTGTCATATTGCTTCCTTTTATTTGCATTGATTAAACACTAAAGTCTTATGACCAGGGAAAAATCAACATATGAAAGGACATTGTTAACACATATATTTATACATATCTGAGGCTGCTGTATCAATACATTGTAAGTATAATAAATGTATTGTTACAAATGTTGGAATCTACCGACAGCAAAGAAATTACGTGTTTTGCACATACAAATATTGCATAGTTTAGCTCCTTGGAATCAACTTTTAAAATCAATAACACAATGTATTTTTTTCACTGGAGGTTTTTGGGCACCAGTACTATGTCTCTCTCCAGCATGTGTGTTGTGACAGGTACACACTTCATGAAGTTAAGACTGGCTTCATTTGTGATGGACTCCATCGTCATCGCCATCAGGTAGTTGATTTTTGTCATAGAGCGGATCATTCTGATTTTGTGCCCTTTATTCACATGATTCATGTAAACTCTGTATAGACATGTAATCAGCCAGCCCCCAGTGTCTTGTTCTGACCATGCAGCCTTACCTGTGATAAAAATAAATTAAAATCTTACATTTCTAATCCTTTACCTTGGCATAATCCCTGGTTTAAAATTTCAAGCATCCCAATAGTAATGGGGGGGGGGGGGGGGTCACTGTGGGCAACCAAAATTTTACTGATCCGTGAGGATGTAATTTCAGGGGAAAATACAGAAGATTCAATGAACCGATACGATGACAAAGTAATCCTTCATGGGAATGTAAATTTGTGGGTATGGGAAACCAGCAAAATCCATGAACTTTGGTATCCCAAAACAATGGGGGCTCCAATGTACTTTGATACAGGCATGTATGTCAAGAGAGTTAAGTTTGGTATACATCATGAACAATGTACCAAATACCAGGAATACTGTGGAATCCACATTGTCCATAGGGGACCAAAACTTGTGGATTTGGATATTGTGAGTCAACTATTTTACATCCCCACAAACACTAACTTTGTCATTGCACTGGTTCATTGAATCTTCTGCATGAATGAGTTACCCACAAAATTTTAAATTTTTCCATACATGTAAAAATTTGGTTGCTCACAAATATTGAACCCCACAAATTAAATTGATTCAACAGCATGTAAAATACCAGAGATATGTCAAATACAAAGAATACATCCAATACCAGGGACATATCAAATACAAAGAATGATTTGTCAAGTACTAGGGATACAGTTGTATGTTGAATACTGACATCACTATTATAGTAGTGGACCACTTACCTGGAGGACTGGCCATCACTATCATACAATTGTGTACTACATACCTGGGGGACTGACCATCACAATCATACAATTGTGGATCACTTACCTGGGGGACTGGCCATCACTATCATACAATTGTGAACCACTTACCTGGGGGACTGGCCATCACTATCATACAATTGTGGACCACTTACCTGGGGGACTGATCATCACTATCATACAATTGTGGACCAGTTACCTGGGGGACTGACCACTTACCTGGGGGACTGGCCATCACTAACATACAATTGTGGACCACCTACCTGCGGGACTGGCCATCACTATCATACAATTGTGGACCACTTACCTGGGGGACTGGCCATCACTATCATACAACTGTGGACCGCTTACCTGGGGGACTGACCATCACTATCATACAATTGTGAACCACTTACCTGGGGGGACTGACCATCACTATCATACAATTGTGGACCACTTACCTGGGGGGACTGACCATCACTATCATACAACTGTGGACCACTTACCTGGGGGGACTGACCATCACTATCATACAATTGTGGACCACTTACCTGGGGGACTGGCCATCACTATCATACAACTGTGGACTACTTACCTGGGGGACTGGCCATCACTATCATACAATTGTGAACCACTTACCTGGGGGGACTGACCATCACTATCATACAATTGTGGACCACTTACCTGGGGGGACTGACCATCACTATCATACAATTGTGGATCACTTACCTGGGGGACTGGCCATCACTATCATACAACTGTGGACCACTTACCTGGGGGGACTGGCCATCACTATCATACAATTGTGGACTACTTACCTGGGGGACTGACCATCACTATCATACAACTGTGGACCACTTACCTGGGGGGACTGACCATCACTATCATACAATTATGGACTACTTACCTGGGGGACTGATCATCACTATCATACAACTGTGGACTACTTACCTGGGGGGACTGACCATCACTATCATACAATTGTGGACCACTTACCTGGGGGGACTGGCCATCACTATCATACAATTGTGGACCACTTACCTGGGGGACTGGCCATCACTATCATACAATTGTGAACCACTTACCTGGGGGGACTGACCATCACTATCATACAATTGTGGACCACTTACCTGGGGGGACTGACCATCACTATCATACAACTGTGGACCACTTACCTGGGGGGACTGACCATCACTATCATACAATTGTGGACCACTTACCTGGGGGACTGGCCATCACTATCATACAACTGTGGACTACTTACCTGGGGGACTGGCCATCACTATCATACAATTGTGAACCACTTACCTGGGGGGACTGACCATCACTATCATACAATTGTGGACCACTTACCTGGGGGGACTGACCATCACTATCATACAATTGTGGACCACTTACCTGGGGGACTGGCCATCACTATCATACAACTGTGGACTACTTACCTGGGGGACTGGCCATCACTATCATACAATTGTGAACCACTTACCTGGGGGGACTGACCATCACTATCATACAATTGTGGACCACTTACCTGGGGGGACTGACCATCACTATCATACAATTGTGGACCACTTACCTGGGGGACTGGCCATCACTATCATACAACTGTGGACTACTTACCTGGGGGACTGGCCATCACTATCATACAACTGTGGACTACTTACCTGGGGGGACTGACCATCACTATCATACAATTGTGAACCACTTACCTGGGGGGACTGGCCATCACTATCATACAATTGTGGACCACTTACCTGGGGGACTGGCCATCACTATCATACAATTGTGGACTACTTACCTGGGGGACTGGCCATCACTATCATACAACTGTGGACTACTTACCTGGGGGGACTGACCATCACTATCATACAATTGTGGACTACTTACCTGGGGGACTGACCATCACTATCATACAACTGTGGACCACTTACCTGGGGGGACTGACCATCACTATCATACAATTGTGGACTACTTACCTGGGGGACTGGCCATCACTATCATACAATTGTGGAAACAGGGTGGAGGGGCTAAGGCAATCTCATTCTCCAATGGGGCACGTAGGTGGCCAGATCCCTCAGTAAACAGTTTGCTTCCTTTAATGACATCTGATGCTCTTATTCCCTTGGCATCCATCCTAGTGTGGGACTCCTCTGTGAAAATAAAGAATTATTTATTATGTCAAGACTAAAGTCCAGCACCATAAATATCCAACTATGCTTTCTTGTTCATTTTTTATGCTTAATCAATGTGTTTTTTATATTCAATATCACTGCAGAGTTTATTTAAACTAAAAAGTGCATCGGGTAAAGCTGAATAGTGATTTTGCAATATTGGAATATTGGAATAAAAGCTTACTAGACAGAAATGCACCACTTTTTTCTGTATCACTACATTATTTTGGCATGTTTTAGTTCTGAACCATTATAAACATGCATCTTAAATAGAGCTGAGAATCTGTACCACCGGGTTAATCAGAGAGAGAATTTAACATTGTACCATTGGGTTATTTTGAAAGGAAAATATTTTGTACCACATGGTTACCTATCCTACCCAATCATTCTATACTCGTACCACTGGGTCAAACCTTATATTTTGAACTTCAGGCTTGGATGGTACTATTCAGTACATGCACCACTTGGTGCCTACCATTCTATGTTTTAGGGTTAAAGACTATATTTTACCATTGTGTCAAAGTTTACCATTCTCGACCACTGAATCAGAGCTTACTATTCTAAACCATTGAGTTAAATCTTACCAATAAAACCATCAGTCAGAATTTACTTTATTTTTTATACTTGGTTATTTCGAAAGAGAACTGCAATAACAGCTCATTGGTTTTGTTTACTGATCTTAAAGATCAATGCTAATTGTCTGGCTGCAATAACAGCTCATTGGTTTTGTTTTCCAAATCAAAGCAGTCTGTCTACTTTCAAACTGGGTATAGTTGAGTCAAGTGACAATTCAGTCCTACATATGAACAAAAACGGACTGGTGCCATATTTGGAAACTGAAAAGTTTAGATTTAAAACATTGTATTACTTTTTGAACTTTGGATTAGTTGCTCTGTTTTTATGTGTTTCAAGCATTTTCAAATTATCAAAATATATCAGTATTTTTTTTTTACCAAAACTGTGTCCATGCCCCTTTAACATTCTATACCACTAGGTCAGAGTGAACTAATTTGTACCACTGGGGTACAGGTTACCATTTTATACCACTGAGACAAAGCTTACTAGTTTGTACCACTGAGTCGAAGCTTACCATTCTATACCACTGGGGTACAACTTCAACTGATGTACAGATTACCATTCAATACCACTAAGACAAAGCTTACCATTCTATACCACTGAAGTACAACTTACCATTCTGTACATCTTACATCTGTAAGTACAGATTACCATTCAATACCACTAAGACAAAGCTTACTATTCTAAACCACTGAAGTACAACTTACCATTCTGTACATCTTACATCTGTAAGTACAGATTACCATTCAATACCACTAAGACAAAGCTTACCATTCTAAACCACTGAAGTACAACTTACCATTCTGTACATCTTACGTCTGTAAGTACAGATTACCATTCTATACCACTGAAGTACAACTTACCATTCTGTACATCTTACATCTGTAAGTACAGATTACCATTCTATACCACTGAAGTACAACTTACCATTCTGTACATCTTACATCTGTAAGTACAGATTACCATTCAATACCACTGAGACAAAGCTTACCATTCTATACCACTGAAGTACAACTTACCATTCTGTACATCTTACATCTGTAAGTACAGATTACCATTCAATACCACTAAGACAAAGCTTACCATTCTATACCACTGAAGTACAACTTACCATTCTGTACATCTTACATCTGTAAGTACAGATTACCATTCAATACCACTAAGACAAAGCTTACCATTCTATACCACTGAAGTACAACTTACCATTCTGTACATCTTACATCTGTAAGTACAGATTACCATTCAATACCACTAAGACAAAGCTTACCATTCTATACCACTGAAGTACAACTTACCATTCTGTACATCTTACATCTGTAAGTACAGATTACCATTCAATACCACTGAAGTACAACTTACCATTCTGTACATCTTACATCTGTAAGTACAGATTACCATTCAATACCACTGAGACAAAGCTTACCATTCTATACCACTGAAGTACAACTTACCATTCTGTACATCTTACATCTGTAAGTACAGATGACCACTCTATACCACTAAGACAAAGCTTACCATTCTATACCACTGAAGTACAACTTACCATTCTGTACATCTTACATCTGTAAGTACAGATTACCACTCTATACCACTAAGACAAAGCTTACCATTCTAAACCACTGAAGTACAACTTACCATTCTGTACATCTTACATCTGTAAGTACAGATTACCACTCTATACCACTGAAGTACAACTTACCATTCTGTACATCTTACATCTGTAAGTACAGATTACCATTCTATACCACTGAAGTACAACTTACCATTCTGTACATCTTACATCTGTAAGTACAGATTACCATTCTTTACCACTGAGGCAAAGCTAACAGATTTGTACCACTGGGGTACAACTTACCGTTTTGTACTACAGGGTTATTTTGGGATGACACAACAGGTTGCACCAATGGGATTGGCTCTTTACTGGGTTCTGATTGGAATCTAATAGACACGCCTCCATCCACCATATCACCCAGTGTTTGATCTTCACCAACTCTACCCCTACATGCCTAGTTGGAAATAAAGACCAGTGTTTAGCACTGTATGATAACAAAGGTCTTATTCACATAGAATGTGACCTCACTGTCCCGGACTATTGACTATTGTTTTTTTCTGTGTTAAATCTTTGTTCTTTATATCAGTCTTTACATATTTTACTAGTTATTATTGAGACCTATCAATAACATTTGTATATGTGTAAAATTGAGTAAAAATAATCCTCTTCTCCTCAGTGCCTTAGTACATATGTACTTACTTGTATGAAGAAGACTTTAGGTTTCCCTTTCAAGGCCCGGCATTTATAGTCATCAAACATGTCAATGATATCACTAGTCTGGATGCTGCCGTCTGTCGTGGAAAACCAGTGTTGGTAGAATTTAATCTCCTGTCTCCGGAAGTCAGGGTTGATATCGCCTTTTTTCCCCACTTCTGCCTCACTGCCATGGGAACTTATCACCATGACAACACATGAGATTCTTTGTAGAAGTTCAGTATCAGAAGTCACTGCACAGAAAATAAGGGGAAAAATATATATAAAAAAAAAAAGATAAGGTGCTTTCTCAGGTCATGTTTCATGATACTGAAATCCTATCTGAGTACAATTATAATAGATTGCTTATTAAAATAATGATATATGGAGGAGGGGGGGGGGGGGGAATCTTGTGCAGGAGAAGAATTTTTAAATGATACCCTTGAATTCATTAATCATGTTTACATGCAATATATATATAAAAAAAAAAAACAAAATATGACTGAAAATCAACTCTCTCATACATTCTTTCTTCCCTGATATTATTAAAAAATAATTATATTTACACCATTTTTGGCTTTTCCTGAAGTTATCTCCCTTTTTAACACAACTGATCAAAGTTTATCAAAGACAGTTTCTTAGTTAAGGAAAGAAACTGCTATAATTTCCCTGACAGACTAAGTTTTCAAACTCAATCTTTCTAAAACCTCAACATCGTCCAATATCAAGAATTTTCCAATTATTCTGCTAAAGAAAGAACAAAAGGGCAAGTGAAATTGACAAACATGACAATCATTTCAATAAACTGTAGAAGTACATTTTTCCACATGGTATTAATTTACGCAATAAATATGGTCACAAATTTTCAGTGGCAATTTGTCCCAGCAAACTTAAATAACGTTTTAGGCATAAAGAGGTGATCTAGGAAATCTGAGAAATTTTCTACCCATGGATTGAACAGAAATCATGATTCCACAGATTTAGGACCCCTGTGGAAAAAACGTACGATTACAGTATCGTTTCATCCCTGCTAATCCCTGCTAATGAAAATATGGGACTATAAGTTACAAATCGTCTTTCTAACCCCAAGCTCAAATCTTCTACAAATCAACTTTTTAACCCCTAGTTCAAAACTCTTACAAATCATCTCTCTAAACCTAGCCCATGATTCCTATATGATCCGTAGGAGTTGTAAGCTAGGGGTAAGAAAGATGATTTTAACAAATTGTTGGGCTGGGGGTTAGATGATTTGATTGAGTTTTGGACTTGGGGATAGATAGAATTGTGGGCCAGTGATCGGCCAGTGATCAGAGATATGATTAATCCCCCTCCAACAGCTCCTACAGATCATCTTCAACATAATACCACCCAACAATTCTTATAAATCATATCTTTAATCATGGGCCCACAATTCTCTCCAATCTCCTTTCCAGAAATTGCAAAACAATAATTTTGGCCTTATGCTCCCCTTGGAGTAAACAGAAATAACCCAGAGTCAAGTCAATATCTCTAACCACCTACTTACAATTCCTACATTCTGTAAATCATCTTTCTAATCACAGCCCACAACTCTTATAAAACCAAACCTCTAACCCCCCCCCCCCCAACTCTTACAAATCATCTTTATTATTCCCAAATCCACAATCATGACCAACCATCTTTCTAACTCCCAGATCAATTCATACAAATCATCTTTCATATTCCCCCTCCCCAGCAAACAATCCCTCCCAATCATCTTTCTAATGCCCAGATAATGACTTCTACAAATCTTCTCTCAAAAAGCCAGGCCATAAGTCTGCTAGTCACCCTACTGACATCCAGCTCATACATGTAATTATCATTATCCAAGCCCAGAATTATTCTGTATCATACCTCTATTAGTCCTAGTCTTATTATGTCTTATTCCCAGCTCTAAACTGCTACAAATTATTTCTTTTAACCCAGCCAGTAACTGTTACTAAATTTTATCTTTATCCACAAAATTTACTTAACAACTTCACTCACCATCTTCGATCCACTTCCTACATTCATCAGCAGTCAGATCTTTTTTCCATTGAACCTCGAAGCCTAGATGTTCATGGAATAGCTCATACATTTTTACTAGATCTTTTTTGACCCCAGGTCTTGGTTCTTCACCATTGTTAAAAGTTTCAAACCCAAGAAGTAGGGCAAGACCAGGCTTTTTGGCATCCACTACTACAAACTCTTCTTCAGTGACTTCACAATCTTCTGTTGGGACTGGGACATCGTCAACATAGAGTTTAACACGAGCTCCCAATTCTGTCTCATGTACTACACGTCTGTCTCCAATGCACTCTCTTTAAATTATGCATACAGGGTTTATATCTCTCAGTTGATTCAATACACTAGAGCATGCTCTACGTACGAACAATTTCTAAAACGAGGTAAGTTATTGACAAACAAGTTGATGAAACAAGAATATCAGCAGTCTCATTTAAAATCATCATTTCGTAAGTTCTATGGTTGAAACAATGACCTTGTCAGCAAATACAATCTTTCACTAAGTCAAATGCTGACTGACTTTTTTCATACTAATCGTTAGGCCATTATTTACACACTGAATTGTCAACGATTTTCCATTATTTCCCGATCATGACAAGGAGCACACGGCGGGTGTGACAGGTTGGCGGGGGATGCTCACTCCTCCATGGCACCTGATCCCACCTCTGATGTTTGGAGGTCCGTGTTTGATCTGCTCCCATTTTGTAATGTTTAATGAACTTTTGAGCTCGAATACTGTTCGTTATCTCCACATATTTCATTTGACACGTACAAAAGATAACAAGTTATAGTAGTCGTACAAAAGATAACATGTTATAGTAGTCAAATACTTTAATACATTGTATTTTTTTAACCTGAAATAGTATTGTCCTAACAAGCACATGTACTAATATTGTTATATTATCCAATGCCTTGTCTGTTCCTTATTATTGTAATCATTTCATATTTGTCTATTTTGGACTCTAAATTAGACTCTATTCTGTTCTGTAGAGAAACAAGGTACGTATGTAACATGTACACTCTAATGTTTGTCTTTGTGATAAAAACATTAAAGGAATCAAAACCCAAACCTGTTGCTATCAGCAGTGAGATTGGCATCTAGTCTACTGGACATATTTTTCTTGCTTACATGGATTCCCAAATGAATACTAAAAAAACAATGAAACTGATTATCAAAATTCATACATTACATATACATTACATATTCAATTAAAAAAACAAGATCACGTTCAAAGTGGACCATTCACTCATAATTTAACTGACATGAGGTTAAGTCCAGACATAGGTAAATAGCCACTTTGACCTATGAAGCTATAAATAGATAGCTGCACTGCATAGACATGTTTTACTATTTATTTCCCTGCTTTGAGTACACTTGTTTGATATAGTTCATCTATACAGTAAAACTCGGTTAGAGCCAAGTCTTGGGGACCCCTGAAATTACTTCTATATCCGTAATTCGTTATATATGTAAAAGGAATTTGTTAAAGTTTATATAGTGAATTTGCTATATAGATTTTCCCTTTCAAATATGATTACCAAATGTATTTTGGGATGTATTTAATACAATAGCTACCTTGCAGTTCAAAAAATTTTTGGATGAATTGAACTTCAAATTTAAAATACTTCATACAAATAAGAGTGTCAGTTCAATAGTTTAAAAATTGAGATCTTTGAAAATTCACTATAAAAGATGTAAATTTCCTTGTTTTTAACATCTAGGGGACACAAATCAGTTCACTGTATCTGCAAATTCACTATATCTGAGTTTGTTATATCCGTAAAAATTTACAAGGAATTGTTAACAATTTTGCCGGGATTGCAAAAAACTTCACTATATCCATAAATTTGCTATATATATCCGTGTTCGTACTAAACGAGTTTTAGTGTATTTTAATTATATCTAAAATCAAATATTTTCTCTTTGTAGTTCTTTTTTCTTTTAAACTTCTATGGGGCTGAAAACACTTCCTTAGAATAATATACTTCACAAGGGGAAGTCTTGAATAATCGTGGTTTTATTTCTTTAAGTACAATTTACAAGAACAAATAATGCACATCCAAATTTGGGGCATCATCTCAAGCCATGGTCAAGTGTCTGCTTATAGCTCTCTCCAGAATGGGAGAGGATCGTATGTTTTGGCCATAGTTTGCAATGATGAATTTGGAGAAGTCAGAGAGCTTTTGCCAATTATAGCCGCTCAAAAGTGATCGAAATTAATCATCTCCCAAGTTACTGGGTAATCTATACATCTTGTAAAGAAAATTAACAAAAATAAGACTTATGTTCATTGGTGGTCAGAGAATCTTGTATGTGGGTCCGAAATCTTGTCTCAAGGTATGCTTCAATATGTCCAAGTAACAAGTGGGTAGCATTTTTCCTGTAACAGGAAAGGAGAAAATGTATGGCTGGACCGGGAATCAAACCCGGGACCCCTGGATCACTAGTCATGTGCTCTACCGACTGAGCTACCCAGGCCGATATCCACTGCCCAAACCATTACACTCCAGTGACTGCCCCATCAACTCAGGGCCAGAGAACACCAGCAAAGAGCGTTAATTATGGGATGATCACTTTAGAGGTGACATTTTATGAATAAGCACTTTTAAAGCCATTCTCCCCATGGGCAGGAACAAAGTATCGTTTTTGAGAGGGGGCAGCCAGGAAAAAATTGACATCTTTCCTGATGAAAACTTTGACAAAGAAAAAAAGAAATAAAGGGAAAATTGTCCAAACTAGAAAATCCTATTTCGTTGATGGGGGCGGGGTTGATGGGAGTCACTTTTTACTACACTGCAATCAAGAAATAATTTGCTCGGCACAACCTATCACTGAGGGATCTTTTTCGTGCCAGCACCCCCTGTGACTTGGGACTTCGGTTTATACGGTCTCATCCAAAGGGCAAAGGAAAAATAAAAGAAAAAAAATTTCGATCGTTTCTGAAACCAAATTTTTAAAAAATGTCAACATATCAAACAAATGTACCATAATATTATTTATACTTATCACAAAACATATTAGGAAGAAGAAGGACAGGTTATCTTAACATTAATTATTTATAATTAAGTCATTATATTACAAATATGTTGAGGTAAAACATACTTACTATCATGATATACAATAAAATAACGGTTAGTGATTAAATAAATCTGTTTTCAATCACTATTATTGTATTTGTCATTTACTCAATTACTGTCCAAATAAACAAACAGAAAGTAGATCTATGTAAAATACGGAGCGGAAAAGTCGTCATTCCGAAAAGATATTCTTGCTATAAACTCCGATCAGTGAGAGATTTAGTATCAGTTTGTTATCGTTACAATCAATTTTTTGTTGGAAGAAAAAGGGGGCATTTTTTTGATCTGTTTTCGTACATTCTGGTTAAACAGTTGAATGGTCAAAGTCACAACCTCACTTTCAAGATTCATAGGCACTCCCCAGCTTAATTGTTAAAAAAATATATATCTACTATACTATAAACATAATGTTATGTTTATAGTATAGTAGATATATATTTTTTTAACAATTAAGCTGGGGAGTGCCTATGTCAAGATTCAGCAAAGTCGTCAGACATATGAGGTGGAAATTAAATGGACTATTTTAAAGGACTATTGAAAGTCATACTTTTATTTTTCAACATCAGAATACAGGCTCGGATTTGTGATTATATTTTAAGGGGAAGAAGGACCTTGAGCTGAAAAAAAATACTTGTCATTCATTTCTTTTCATATTTTGTATATTTCTATTTAAGTATGTCCCACATATCTTAAAGCAGTTATATCATTAGCTTTCTTACCTTATTTTAGAGATATTGATTGACAAATACTACATGTATGCCCTACAGTATCTAAGTGGAGTTTTAAATCTCCATGTTTCCGGGCCCATTACATGCATTAGTCTGTCCATAATGGAATTTGTTAAGCATAGATAAAAAAACATGTAAGTGGACATGTATCTTTTAAAATATTTCAGAGTATGAATAGGATTTAAAATTCGAAAAAAAGAAAGTTTTTTTTTTCTACCACACTGCATCTGGATTGGAAAAATCATTCTATATTTCTAAATTTACGTTGAAATGCAAGTCCTTCATATTATTAATTAACTGTAAAAATTTCGAATGGTGAAGCTGACCTCAATATTGCACAGGACGTCGTTAAAGATGACAAAAACGTGTCATGTTTACATTTCTCGAGTACGGGAAAAACCAATTATGACGTCACACGTAAGCTAAATAAGCGAAACAATATATACCAGATTTCCGTCATCAGCCATGCAAAAATAATTTTTGTGTTCCATGTTTCTCAAAATATTTCATCATATACTGATTATAACCTGTTTTACATAACAAGTTTGGCTTTCCAGAAAGCCTGGAATGTCATCTCTTTGGCTTCATTAATGTCACAGAATAAACAGTGGAATGTAACATTTCTTCTCAGCAATTACAAGAGAAGAATCGTTTTTAAGGGGGCGGGGGGGGGGGGGGGTAGTCAAAAAAAAATTACAACTTACAACTTACCTGATCAATCTTTGACTAGGAAAATAAAAAAGAGTGTCCGAACTCGAAATTCTTGTTTCATGGATGGGAAGGAAAGATGTAAACTTTTTGACTTTTTCAAAAACACATTTATTTGTGGACATGACTATACTGCAAAAAAAAAGTGTGGGGAAAAGGGGGCGGTCTTTCAGTTAGCAACTGCAACAGTAAAGGATTGTTTAAATAAATTGGGATGGTGTGGCCCTCCCGAGGACACGTGCCTGTAATATTTAACCTGTGTGAAAATAGATTCTGTTTCTTCTTCTTCTTCTTCTTCTTCCCTTGATGGAGTAAACTCAATTTGAGTGTTAGAACTCCAGTAATTCCGTAGTGAACAGCTAAAAATCTATGTACACCGTATTAAAAGGGATAAAAAGTTAAAAGTGGACAATTTAGTGGTGTAAAATATCAGACACGCTGATGGACTGTATTGCGTGTCTGAAGGTGTCCACTGATGGTGAATTCCTAATTGTGGCTGGTATATTGTTCCATGCTACGATAGTTGCTGGAATGAATGAGTATTTGTAGACATCAACCCTGGTGCTGATTTGGCGGATTTTGTTTGCCATAGAACCACGGGTTCTGCTATTGGTGACATGTAGCACATGATGTACCGGAACTTCCACAATGTGATGGTAGATCTTGTAGAACATGATCACTCGGTTCCGGGCCCTCCGATGTTCAAGTGGTTTCCAGCCGAGTTGGTATAGCATGGTGGTCACACTTCCTGGGTCCCTTGATGAGTAATCACCTGTGGCGAACCTTGCTGCCCGGCGCTGAGCATCTTCTAGATGTTGGATTAAATGATGTTGGTAAGGATCCCAAACCACTGACGCGTACTCCAATACTGGACGTACTAGCGTAGTGTATGCCTTGCTTCTGATAGCCTGTGGGCAACTTCTGAGGTTCCTTCTTAAAAATCCAATTGTTCTCGTGGCCTTGGCAGAAGTTGAGTTAATATGCTCGCGCCATGAAAGATCTTTGCTAATTGTGATACCAAGGTATTTACCACTTGGGACATTTGATAAGAAACTTTCTATCCATTGTAGAGTGCAACCACGAATCCCATAATAATTCAGTTTGTGAAGGAGCCGTTGGTGTGGTACCTTATCGAATGCTTTGGCGAAATCCAGTAAGATGACGTCAATCTGGTTTCCATTCGATAGGCTACTAGCAAGATCTTGTACTGTGGCAATAAGATGAGTCTCACATGATCGCTTACTACGAAATCCGTGCTGTGCTGGTGTAAGGATAGAGTTCCTTTCAAAGTGGTCCATGATGTTAGAATGGAGAATGTGTTCCAGGATCTTGGAGCAAATTGCTGTAAAAGATACATGGCGATAATTTGCCGCTGCACTCTTGTCGCCTTTCTTAAAGATGGGGACTACATGGGCCATCTTCCAGTCATCTGGTACACATCCACAATTCAAAGACGTTTGGAATAGAAAAGTCAGTGCAGGTGTAATCTCCTCTGCCAATTCCTTCAGAAAACGTGCTGAAATGGCATCTGGTCCTGTAGCCTTGTGTGGTTGTAAGTTACTTAATAGCTTGTACACACCACGTGGATTGATGATTATGCTGTCCATTGTTAGGAATGGGCTGGGACCCTTGTCTGGAGCTAGGCTAGTGTCCTCCGTTGTAAATACGGATTTAAACTGTTCGTTTAATATATTCGCCTTGGCTTGTGGGTCGCTGGTTATGAGCCCGTCCGTATTCCGTAATGGTGCTACACCAGAGGCTTCTTGTTTTTTGCTCTTAATAAATGACCAGAATTTCTTGGGATTTTCTGAGGCACTGGGGGTGATAATGTCATTCATGTATTGTTGATAGGCAAGACGAATAGTGCGCTGGCATTCTGATTTAAGAGACAGGTACCTTTGCTGGTCACACTGCTTCTTTGTTGCCTTGGCTTTGTGGAATGCACGTAGTTTCCTGCGTGATAAACGTCTGCTAGCTGTATTGATCCAAGGGTTTGATTACCTGGATCGTGTGAGCTTGTGAGGAACATGTCGGTTCATGATGCTGAGTGTGGTGTCTCTAAAGAGTTCCCAGAGAGTGTCAACAGAAGTGAAAGGTCTGGTGATAAAGTCTTGTACAAAGTTGTTGATGTCTCTTCGCAAAGATGTCATATCTGCCTTATCCCATGAGTATATTTCTCGACGGGCCGGTTTACTTCTTAGCGGCTGGATTAAGGAGTCAATTAAGACTGCGTCGTGGTCGCCTACCCCTGGGATGACTTTACATCGTTGCACAAGTGATGGGTTGCTAGTAAAGAACAAGTCTAGGATTTTGTCTCCCCGTGTTGGTGTGCATACAAGCTGCTCCACTCCACAAGCACCAGGGATGTTCAAATACTCTGTCGACATCTTGCTTGGATATTGATGGGAGATGATTGATTGGGTAGGCCAGTTAATGTCTGGAGGGTTAAAATCTCCCGCCATCCAAAAGTCACACTTATGATTATCCGAGCGAACCTTGCTCATCTCTGCTACAGCCAGGCGTGCATTATTTTCGCAAGTGATGTTGGGTGGGCGGTAGTAGGCTCCTATGATGATTGACTTTTTCTTGTTTACATGAAGTCTAACACAGAGGAGCTCATGGTCTTTACTGGTGTAGATTGGCGTACACACCAAGTCATTCTTGACAGCAATGATGATTCCACCATGTGAGTCAGCCCTATCCCTTCGGAAAACATTGTATGTTGTAGGTATAAGTTCTGCTGAGAAGATGTTGTCATTCAGCCAAGTCTCTGTACCTACAATAATGTCAGGTTCTGAGTTATCAATGAGTACCTCAGTCTTATGAACTTTGTTTTTTATGCTTTGGAAGTTTAGTGATACCACTCTGAGAAACTTCCGTTTCTGTTGTTTGGGAGGTGACTGATCACGGATAGGAGATGATGTAGCACACGGACTCCCAATGGAAGAGCATGGGCTGCATAGTATGTCAGAATTCGGGGCTGAGAGGCTGTTGTATGTGTTCTCTTCCACTGAAATGGAATTGTAGATCTTGCTGCTGTTTGGGGTGTTGCAAGCACTGCAGATCCACACTATGGATGTGTTAGCAAGATGGATATACTCTGGGGTAGTCATTGAAATACACGAAGTGTGATACCATTTGTCACATTTATCACAGGCAACACCACGTTGACCAGTTTTTACTGCCCTTGTACATATGCCACAGGGATACTTTACTGGGCCTGGGTTACATTCGACTTGACCACCAATAAGTAATAATAGCTTGATGAGGCACGTAGTTATGTATACTATGCTGAAGAGCAGGCAAAGTTCTTGATAGCCATACATGTATACTATAGGTTGGTTTTGTTATGTAAGCAGTGTTCTTTTCATTAAACTCAAGATTTTCTGAACATAGTATGGATAGTATCCATATTAAGATAATCATAGACATATGTAGGTTCATTTTAGGATATTCAGGTGTAAATACTACTCATTTGGTTCGAATTTTCTCTGTCCTTAGTTGGTTGATATAATCGCTGATTGAATGGTAACGTCAGCGGGTCCAATTGGGTATTGTTTAGACATCACTTACTATTGATTTTCTAGTTACTGGAGGGCTAGATAACTAGTAAAAAGAAATTTTGAGCAATACAC